AGATAGGATCTCTAGAGACAATCTAAGAGATCTTGGACTAGTGGAGGAAGCAGAGAGTAGGGGAGAAGGATAGTAGGAAGGGTAGCCTAGGCACATCTAGGAGTTACCTAACAGACAATGAATACCGAGGAGGGCACAGCCCAAATGCTCTGGCGCAGATAGGCGGATCGGGCGAGGAAAAGGACCAGAACGAATATACGAAGGATAGTAGGAGCTTATAGAGCTCCTAGAGATAAATTAGGGGCAGTGGTCTAGACCACTGCCTAGACACATGTCTGTCATAGCCAACTGGCTCCACATGGACGTTAAACTTGATTAAATAAATAAATAAATCTATAGTAAAGTTACTGGGAGTAGTTTTCAATCAAGAGCTGTATTGAAAGAAGTATATATAGTAAGTAGTTAAACAGGCAACCAAAGTAAATATTGTCTTTGGTAGACTAAGACAGCTGCGTCCAGAGTAGATAAGACAGATATACCAGGTATATATAACCCCAGTGTTGGACTATATATCGACTATCTGGTATAATTCTCTCCGAGACAAAGTATATTTGTGATTACTGGGAATAGTTCAACAAACTGTATTTATCTGTATTCTATTCTCTTTTAAAACGGTAGTAACTTTAATACTGGAGATAGAAGTATATTTACTACCGATATATCTCTATCTCTATCTCCGGATACAAAATACTATAGCAAGACTATATATCCTCCTACAGGGCCACTCTATATAGATTATACTGTTGCGAGTACAGAAATATAGGAACAATACTTATATAGCTACTTAATTTCCCCTAACAGAAGTCTTGAAGACAATAAAATTAGAAAGACTAGATAGACTAGAAATAATTGACCCAAGACTACTTCTATCTTAGAGGTCTCCAGTATTTGAAGAGATCGAAGTCAAGCGAGACTGAGAGACAGTAAGGGAGAGAGTATCTACTATACAGACTATCTCTAATATTACAGTCTACTCAGATATCTCTGAACACCAGAGCTATCTGGGCACTGTAGCTGTAACACTAAATAAAAACCTAGAAATCACTGAATTCCAGCAGACCCAAGTCAGATCTATAGATCAGTAGTCGATCCACACCACTGAACTAATCGGCATATTCTATACAATTAGCTTAGTAGTTAAACTTGTCTATCAAATCCAAAGAATAATAAGTAGATATATACTATTAATAATAATTCTTTATAACAGTAAATCTACTCTGTAAGCAGTTTATAACCCAGAAAACAAGCCAGAATAACAGATTATTTATACTATTCTTTAAGCAGCCATAGAAGCCAGAGCAAGAGAGATTATACTCTGTCTTCAGTAAATACCAGAGTACTGTAACAACTCGGGAAAAAATACAGCAGATTAATTAGCTAAGAAAGTAGCAATTTCAGGTAAAATATATCTGTTTCGATCTCTTTTATCAAGAGAGAAGACTACTATTCGCAACTATATCTATTGCCAGTAGAAGTAGAAGTAGAAAATATTTAAGAAAGAGAGTTATCTTTGCAAGATTAATAGTACACTACCTACAGTATATACAAGACGGCTGTACAGCTTACTATAACAGAATCGGGCTTATCTATTGATATAAATACAGGCGGGCCACTCCTGGCTAGCTATATATAGGAAGATCTTCGGGTTTCAGGAGGATAACCAGTATATATATAATACACAAGAAACAGTAGTCTATGTCTTAATAGACTGTCTACTGTTAAAGATACCCCGGCAAGAGCTCCGGAAGAAAGTCAGGGATATATTTAATAATATATCAGTACTACTAGGGGGCAGTAAAGATAAGGAAAGATAAGTAGATACTGTCTTACAAGCCAGTATAATTAAAGTAGTGCTGGACTTTGTAGAGATATCACAACAGTTCTGAAGTCGCGCGCCTAGAGAGCAGCCTAACAGCGAGAACAGCAGCTAGGCCACGATAGGCCGCAACGAGGCTCTAAGTTTATTTTCAGGAAGTGGCACAGTCTACATGTACATACAAGGATATATATAGTTGTGGTAGTCTGCATATCGCTTTAAAATTTGCGAGGGGTCAGGGTAAATGAAATCATCCATCCATCCATCCATCCATCCATCCATCCTAGTGTAACCCTTGATTCTTGAAACACATGACTGGCTTGTCCATCTGCAGACTCAAAATTGCCGCATATCACCGCCCACTCTCCTTGCTCAAGAACAAGTTGGAAAACATTGACCAAGGTGGTTGGTTGACTAATGGCTCAACGGGGCCTCTGTGGGAAAGAAGATGAAATTGGGGGACTTGTTCCTCTATGGACAAGGTCGCCAGATGTCTCTGTCATCAGATCTCTTGCAGTGAAGCATTTGCCCGAAGGCCACGATAATGTCAATGTTACTTTTTTCGCGGAAGGTTCCTTCAACAAGTTATATAGCGTCTCTTCGCCACACATACCACAGCACTACCTCATACGTGTAGCATTACCAGTGGATCCCTTTTTCAAACAGAGAGTGAGGTTGCTACGCTTACATAAATCCGCAAATACACATCGATCCCTGTGCCCAAGGTACCAGCATACTGTTCATCATCAGAGAGCGAGCCTGGCTTTTGATGGATTCTGATGGAAAACATCGTGGGTATCCCCTTGTCAGATATCTGGGACGAGATGTCTTTTGAGGTAAAGGCAAGCTTGACGACAGAGATCTGTGGCTACCTCGAAAGTCTTCAGGGCCTTCAATTTACACAGATTGGAAGTCTATATTTTTCTTCAGTTCGCGAACCAGTCGGCACCAGAGATATCGGTGACGCGCTGGAGGCTATACCAACCAATACTACGGTTGACTGTGGCATTGGAACTGACTTTGTGATCGGGCGAGTTGTCTCCCCTTGGTTTTTCAGAGACAAGCGCCTATATCTCTCTGCCGTTCGTGGCCCTTTCCAATCCTCGTATCAATTCATGATGGCGAAAACACGGATGTAGATAGAGAGGATCAAACATCTCTCCCCTCTCCCTACAGATGACTTCTACTCCGAGACCGATGGAGTTCTTGCAGAGGAGCAAGGGGACGTTTTGGATACGTGCTACAGCCTAGAGGAGCTTCTGCCTTATATCTTTCTCCCACCGGGTGGACAACATGAAGCTAAATTGCTTTACCATGATGAACTTTCAGCCTCCAACATCATGGTGGACTCGGTGTCCTATCGCGTCACTGGTATAGTCGACTGGGAAAGCGTCTCTATCCATCCTGCATGGGAAGCGACAGAGTATCCCTTCTTCTTGAGAGGTATGGACGTGCAAATGCCGCCGCCGCTGCCCCCAGGTTCAGGGACTATCGAACCCGAGCTCTGTGAAATACGGAAGAACTGGGAGAAAGTTTGCCTGCGACGTTTGTATAAAAGGACGTTACATAATGATATTGAATTGTCGCCGGACGTAAAGCACAAACGCAAGTTTTCCGATTGCCTAGAGACTATGCAGATAAATTGGACAGCATCCGGGCATTGGGCACGAGGGATGCTTCGAGAACTATATCAATAGAGGAGAACCCAGGCTAAAAAGTCTAGGCTCAAAATTTCAGTCTCGATGCCGCCCTTGGCAGCTAAGTGACCCTTGTGAATGACGCTATAGCATCGATGCAGGTGCCGTTGCGAATAAAGTGACCCCGTGCTCTGTGATTTGAGGAGCGACGGTGAATGAAATCTTGACCATTCTCTTTTGCGACTTCCTTTTCATATACAATGGATGGCTATGAGACTACGGGTCAGTCACCAAATGAATATTCCATCATTCAGACCTCCCATGCCTCGACCCGGTCTAAGACGGCAGCCGAACGCAATGATGCTACCCATGCTGCGCGCCGGGTCCGTTGAAAATAAGAAAGATATTAATCATAGATCTCGTGAGGGCGACCTGATCGAGTGGCCAGAAGTACACAACAAATCCGACGGACATAGGACTAGGGACACGCCGCTTCTCAGAAGTGAGGTTCTAATGGCTGTAGGCATAAACCATGAAAGGAATACTGTTGGCGCTACTGCGGATGTTGGGGGGACAACGCGGCCACGCTTCCAGTATAAGCCAGATAAAGATCTCTTTAGGAATGAGATTAATGTCTAATGTAACCACAGCCGTACCACTTTGATCGTCTATAAGTTACTGTTAAACATCGTTTCCGGCGATAGTGCTTACATTGTGGGGAGAAACAAAAGTTGGACAATATCCTTGCCTGCAGTTGCCAGGTTACAGGATGTCATCGTACGACATAAAGAGCTGCGACGATGAGGTGGCAAACGTCCTCCGTGTAACATGCAATTGATGGTAATTGAATGAAGAAAAAGAAAAGAAGACGAAGAAGACTCGAATATCGCCAATCTTGCTATGGTGTGCCAGCATTCAGTCACTGGTCAGAATATTAATCTCTCTGTCGATCCCTACTCGGCCCAGAAAATAACCATGTAAGCCCAGCGACTTAGACTGTTTGACAGACGACAAGCTCTCGGCAAGTACGGGCCTTCACATAAGAAGACGATTGTGCGTAGGGACCCTTTAATAGTGGTCCTTTCTATTGCCGCAGTTTCAGTACAGACACTCTTGGGGCGTATAGAAACTTTCGATGACGCTTTTTACAGAAGTAGAGCGTGGCGAAATATACCAAACTCGCCCTGGATTCCATGGTTAGAAATGAAATATGAGTGTTGGGATTCAACTCTGACAATGGCCGTCGCTTTTGGGGGCCTGTCGGATAATGTGACCTGGAGTAGCCCTCTTTGACTGTCGTACCCTCACTTGGTCTTGCCGACTATGTCAATTGTTCAATTTTTTCAATTGTTCCTTCCCTCCTGGTGATTCATTAGCAGTTAGAGGCGGGCTTACTGTCAGCCTCTCGTTACTTATGTTCTCTTTCTCTTCTTGTCATTCACTTCACTTCACTTTGCCTTTCTTATTTCCCCCACCAGCAACTGCAGAGTAACCACTCCGGTATTTCTTGTACAACAGCTGCTATCGTGAACAGGTCTGGTTTATCTTTTGTACGATTATACGACAACAAATTTCATCATGAAGCTCTCCAATGTCTTACTGGGCAGTGTGTTGGGGACAGCCCTGGCTGATATGCCAACTATTGTCGCGAAGGTGGGCGCGAAATGGAGGATTGTAACTGTCGTACAGTAACGCTGACAGTACCGCTTATTAGGGATCCAAATTTTTCTACAGCAACAATGGCACTCAATTGTAAGTACATACTACTATACAGTTCCACCCTTGAATGTCTCGGCTTCTACTGATTGGTTGATTCTCAGCTTCATTCGCGGCATTGCTTACCAGCGTATGTGACCACTCCATCTCTGTGGGCCTTGTGCTATCTGATTAACCATAATCACCATCATCAGAGGAACACACGGGCGCAGGCGACACGAAATACACGGACCCCCTTGCGGATCCAGCGGCTTGCGAGCGCGACATCCCATACTTCACCAAGCTGCGCACCAATGTAATCCGGACATATGCCGTTGACCCATCGAAGAACCACGATGAGTGCATGAAGAAACTCGCTGATGCCGGCATCTACCTCATCTCTGATCTTTCCTCTCCGACCGAATCCATCGAGCGGGAAACCCCCAAATGGGATCTTGATCTCTACAAACGGTATACCGATGTAATTGACGCGTTCGCAAAGTATGATAATGTTATTGGATTCTTCTCCGGAAATGAGGTCGCCAATGCCAAGAACAATAGTGCGGCGATTGCCTTCGTCAGGGCAGCAGTCCGGGATATGAAGGCTTACATCAAGCAGAAGAGGTACCGCGACTCCTTGGCGATCGGCTACTCTACCGATGATGATCAGTCGATGCGTGCCGATGTGGCGGACTACTTGGTCTGTGGAAACAAGGACAGCCAAATTGATATGTTCGGCTATAATATCTATGAATGGTGTGGAAAGTCTTCCTTCAAGGAGTCTGGCTACGAGGAACGTACCAAGGAATTCTCCAATTACCCCGTTCCCGCCTTTTTCTCGGAATATGGATGCAATAACCCTCGACCTCGGCCATTTGATGATGTACCAGTGCTCTATAGTGACCAAATGAATGATGTCTGGAGCGGCGGCATCGTGTATATGTACTTCCAGGAGGACAACGACTATGGTCTGGTCACCCTGGGCAAACCGAAAATCAGCACCATGTCGGACTTCAACAGCTTGTCGTCTCAAATTCAAAAGGCGACCGCAACGGGCGTGAAAAGTGCGGACTACCGTCCGACTGCCAGTGCTCGGACCTGCCCGAAGGTGGGTGACGGCTGGCAGGCCAACGCCAAAGACCTTCCACCAACCCCCAACGCAGATCTCTGCAGGTGTATGGAAGAAGGCCTCACGTGTGTGGTCAAGGACTCGGTGTCGGAACAGGAGTATGGTAAACTATTCGGAATGATCTGTGGCAATGAGGGCGTCTGTGATGGACTCGCCCGTGATGCGATGAAGGGTAACTTCGGTGCATACGGCATGTGCAGCGCCCGACAGCAGCTTTCATTTGTCCTCAACCAATATTATCAGCAACAAAGCAAAGAAAACCAGACTTCGGCGTGCGACTTCAAGGGAGCTGCCTCCACCAAAAAGGCGAGCAAGCCCACGGGTATCTGCTCGTCGCTCCTGGGGCAAGCTGGTTCTGCCGGTACTGGCACGGTCTCGTCCAAGCCAACCGGTAGTGGCAGTGGCAGTGGTAGCGGTAGCGGCAGTAGCAGCTCCTCCACATCAGACTCTGCTGCCGGCCTCATGATAGCACCACGATCGGTTCAGGCTGGTGCTTGGCAAATCGGGGCTTACCTGGTGACGGCGATAGTGGCTGGTACTGGCATGATCTTGCTGTAAATGATTATTGCCTATAACTTCACTCTCTTGATGTGGGCTCCTTCCTTTTTGTGTGTATCCAACTGTTTTGCATTGTCAACCCACGATTAACTTCTTACCCACTGTGCCTTATTTCCAATCATGACAGTAGTTGCGTTACTTGGCTGTATTCACTAGAGATGCTCCAAATGGAGACGTAGAAACTCGTCTCTTTTGAGATTAGCGTCGTCTCCAACAGGTAGACAGGTGGTTGGAGAGCTTTTGGAGCATCTGGTATGCACATACCATTGTAGGGAGTCTAGAATCTATCTCAATCGAGGAATGTGAGTTTCGCTCACGGAAAAAAAATTGTCGTATGGACATAGACGCGTAGAGAGGATGGTTGCCCACATCCGCGTCGTCAAGATTCCCCTTATCGTCTCCGCCTTGGCAACTTGTCGCAATGAAGTCGTCGTTGCTACCACAGAGCGACCCAAATTCGAGATAGCCATCTGTTATACTACTCTTGCCATAAATCCTAATACTTGGAAGTCGGTATACTTTCAAATGATTATACGAATTCCTAAGATTCAGCATATCATTCACATTCTATGCTGTAAGCTGTGTCGTACTTCATAAGGAAAGATATATATTTTCAGGACCGATCGGTGAAAAGGGCTTTCAATCGCGCTCTATGAGCAGTACGTCGAAAGAGATGACCAAAAGCATATAGGACAATAGTGGACATGTTAAGAATATGAATCCCGGGGAGGAAGACTTTCTATCTTCTCCCGATTGTTATACTGTGGGCTACATACTGCACCATCTGTCTGGATAAATTGAAAGGGGTGGGGTTGAACCCGATTGAACCCTTTGTTGCTTAGGGGCTTGACTGACGCTAAACCACTTTCGGACCAAAATGCCTACCACTACGAAGAACAAACACGACAAGTATGCGGTAGGATATTCAAACAATCTCATTCTAACATGGCTCGAACGCTCTCACTTTGTTATTCACACCACTATATTTGTGTCTCTCTCTCACGGAGCCCCCAACACGGAGATAGCCAAGAGAAAAGCAAGCCGGTACCCCCCTGGCGAGACGGTCTCGAATAGTGGATTAGTGAAAGTCTTGGCTTCTGGATCCAGCCCAACAGGGGTCTAGGGCTGAGCCTTGCCCTCCTGCGGGGCGTACTCTTGAGAAGTTGAGATGCCCAGAGCTAACAGTTGAGCCATGGAATGCTGGCCATGGCTCAGCGGTGTAAGCATAAAAGCTTGTTTCAAAAGTCCATTCATGTCTTCTATTATCTATGTGGTTAGAGATTCTGGCAGAAAACAATTTAGCTTGATTGTGTTGTAAATTTCCTGTTCATCTTGGGATTTGTAGATCGTCCGCTGAATTGAGAGGTCTGTTCCAATAGGCCAGCGTCTTATCAGTATGCCTTGTTTGATTAACCTAGAGACGGATGAGCCCACTGGGAGGTCTTTGTCCTTGCTTTGGGTTCACCCGTGTCTCTATGGTGTGATAACCGTGCATCGCCCTCCACCGCGTCATAGGGCTAAAAGTGACAGGTGGCTGAGGGGAACCCTGTCCAAATGGGGATAAAAAAAGATCAGATTGCAAGCTTGGTGGACAGAAGGCCAATCAGAGTAGAGACGTGGATCTAAGCCACGGGATCGGCCACCAATCAGGCATGACTTTTGTGTTGGAGCGCTGGGTTGCGCCAAAAGAGGTTAGCGTCGCTGTAAGGTGAGATTCGACCCCAAAAGTAGATATAAACATGGAGAACGGCGACGGTCTCAAAATGCATCTTCAATCTACAATCACTCTTCTACACTACTACACTCTTACACTAAGTCTTTCTTCACTGTCTATACTCCTTCAATACTCTACAAAGATCACACAATGTCTTTCGATTCAACCGAGGAGAAAACCAGAGGGTTCTCGCACCCGATTTACTCATCTCATAAATTTAGAATGTCGCAGCAACAGCAGCACTATCCTAGTCACAATGCACCAGTACCACCTCCATATCCGGGACAATTTCAGCCGATGCCACCAAACCCGCAATATGGATACCCTCCTCAGCCGTATGCCAGTCATCCCCAACCAATGATGGGCAACCCCCAGTACCCTCCTCAGCCGCATCACACCCAAAATTCAATGCGCTCCCTGAAAATTGAGTTCTCCAGTTGGACATCAAGACATCTAGCCATCAATGATGTCGGGCAAGGCTCGTTGCTCTATACGGTCGACCTGCACAACCGAAACCCACAGATGGAATTCAAGGATGCCACAACGAACAATACCATCGCCACGGTGCATATGCGGGCTTTGAAACCAGAAATGGATATCAAGCTCCACGGTCGTGACATTCATCTTCGCGTTCACCGCTCCATGAAACCCGAAACATCGTATCACTCGATCGCGTTCCCCACCATGTCTTTTACATGGAAGGTGACTAGCGCATGGAAGTTCCTCAGTTTTGAATGTGTGGACCAGAACAACGTGACCGTGGCCAGGTTCAAGCCGGCTTCCTCTTGCTCCATGCGGAAGTTTGGTCAATTGGATATACTGATCCCGCCGGCTACCAGCGGAGTCGCTATGGATGAACTGATGCTCACGGGCGTGTCCTTTATGTATTACGAATACTTGAGTCATACGCGGAACACCACTGCCGCTGTCACTGTTTAAGCTATGATCCTCTACAATCGACGGAACTTGCGGTGTTGTGGTGATATTCTTTTTCTTTATATTGGCGTGTTTATTATCTTTTCCTCTTTCTTTCTAGCGCCGCATTTCTTTTCTACCGAAACCCTCTCTCTCTCTTCCGTTCTTCTGCTTTTCATCATTTATTCTTGGGTCTGGACAAATTGGCGAACAAATTGTATTGCATGTTGGGAATTATGATTGGAACAAAATACCCTGGTTCATGTATCAAGAACTTCAGCATGATTTAAACGGAGACCAATTGAATGCAAAATTTAAGACTGAAAAAAACACCTCAACTTGGCTTGTTCTTGTTATTTGCCCCGTGGACGGTACTATTGGCTAACGGTCAAGCGATTGGTGATCCTAAAATCTTACAGACTATGAGCTGAAAGATCCACAGCATTCACAGCCTCAATGTCAGCCTGCCAAGAGACGGGCTAAGGCTTGGCATACGCTATATCTTATCAGCCCGATAAACGAGCCATTTCCCCCCAAAGATGCCCAGCTGACAGCGAACATCATGCCCGGAGTACCATCAGGACGGGCGTGTGAAGGCTGTCGTCGCCAGAAAAAGAAGGTATATGGTGCATCTACCTTCTGATATAGCATCGGTGGCTTATGTCTCGCTTCTAGTGCGACGAGAAACAACCAACCTGTGGACGATGTCTCCGATTAAACATACCATGTATTGGATCCGGACAGCGGAGATTCAAGTTCCAACAGGAGTATACCATCCAGATAATGGTGAAGAAAGGAAAGATCAAAGGACAGTCTCCCAAGGATCAGACCAGCTCTAGCAGCGACGAAGAGCGTACAGAAGTGTGCCGGGTGTCCCCACACCCAAGTAGTGCCCTGACGGTGTTAACTCAAGCTTTTGTCCGAGCTATACATCCGTCGACGGACATCCGATGGAATCTTGCGTGGGTATATGGGGGCTTCCTGAGAGATGTGCCTGCTCGACTGGGCACAAACGAGGCCCTGGACACCGCTGCCGATGCAGTAGTGTGTATGCATTCGGATTTCTGCGCCACCCGGAAGATGTCTGTCAAGGCGCTCAGTAAGTACAGCCGTGCTTTAAATGCCCTCCATACATATCTGGACGACCCGGTCAAGGCGGCCAGCACCGACACGCTATGCGCGGTGACGATACTCTTGCTCTGCCAGGTTCGCAATTCCTGATACTGTGTGGGATGAGACTGGTTGCTGATAATTGGTAGGGCTTCCTCCCCGGCCAGGGTAAAGTGCGATCGGGCCATGCAGAGGGGGCTGCTCAGATTCTCAAGGCGCGGAGGAATTTTCGACCCCGCGATGACTTCGAGGCAAAGCTGCTTCTGACATTGCGCGGTCCTGTGGTATGGCTCCCACGACCCAAAAGTTGAGGTTGGTTACTGAAGCGGGTAATAGCTCTTCGAAGGTCTATTCGTCGACAGCATTGACCTAAGCGGTGAGGAGTATGAAAGTCTGGTTGAAAGCGATCTCGATGCCGGCACCCCAGACGGGCAGATGATGCGCTGTCTTGCACGAGTGCCAGGGATCCGAAATCGCATCGCAGTAACAATGCCGGGCGATGCTGAGTTCGAGGCACTACGACACGAAGCTCGGGCCCTCTATGAGAGCTACCAACCGGTCTTGACGGCATTACAAGCGAGGACAACATCAGTCGAGACGCCGCTTGCCGTCGGTTCTATGTATCGCTTGTGCACCCTGCTTCATGCGCAGTATCAACGCATGTATGGCATTGGTCTTACCGTAGCCATTATCCTGAACTGCCTGGCCCGAGCGCTGGACCCAGACGACCCTACGCTTCCCGTGGAATCCACTTATTTCGCACAGGAGACCATCCTTTTGTCGGATAGTCAGGTGGCCTTCCGCCCTCTGGGATCCTTTTATATGCTGATCTGTCTGTTGACTGCAAGAGTGGGCACCACGGACCCGATCCTTCGGACTACTGTTGAAAAGGCACTGGATGACTATCAGCGCGAGTTCGATGGGGGACGTGCCACTGACACGATAGCAGAATTTGAGGAAAAGGTGCGACCCATATCAGTTTTTTCTGCGAATAAGGAGGACAATACAATGAGTCGCTGGGAGTCTAGTTTACTTGAAGTCTAGTGTAGCGCTTTGTTCATTATTGTTTTTGGCCTTGCCTAGCTTTACATAACTGTCCTGTATAGATTCACGTAGCCAGGAGGTGGAGCATATGGCACAAACGCAGTCAGAGGCGATGCAAAATATCAATTTGGTAGAAATACAGAGTCACGAAATCTATTTACTGATCCTTTGGCTTTTCTCCGATGGTCCATTTGTTCAATACACCCACACCGGCATTGAGGTACGTGGCAAATGCGAGCCACCCCGCGTAGGGGACCATGAGCCAAAAGGCCGTGCGATCTGTCTTCCACCAGGTCTGCATCAGTGCCGCTACATTCCCTCCCAAGAGTAATATATCCGCCAACGCCCAGGCAGGGCGACGGAGCCCGAAGAAGAGTGGCATCCAGAGGTAGTTGAGCGCTAGCTGTGTTGTGTAAAGTGTTTCCCAATTCGTACCCAAGCTCTGTGCAGCGGTGGAGGAGGAGGAGGAGGAGGTCAGGGCGCTATATCCGGCTCCTGTCGCGTGGTGAGCGGCGTATCCCATGGCCCCATAGAGAACCGTCCACATCGGTGCGAAGAGCCATGCGGGCGGATAGAAGGCCGGCTTATGAAGTGATTTGTAGGTCCCCTTAGTTTTTCCTGCACCTGTATAGAGTTATGACATGGTCGATTCCTCTTGAATCACTGTCTTCATAGGTGTAACTCACGGTTGACTAGGTAGCCGACCAACATTCCAACCGTGGTCGGAGCTGTGACGGAAAGGATTGGCGAGGTAAAGACCTCTCGGGGAAGTGCTATCGACCAGGCCATCTTGGGTGGCCAATTGTGAGGCTCAAGGAAAGCGAGAGTGAGCTTCACGAAGATGGTGGGTTGGCATCGCTTGAGACGCGGCGAGTGCCTTGGTTATAAATGCCTGCCATCGCGCTGGCGGTAACTGACGTCATTGCGGCTAATATTACGGGTAGATTAAACTAGATGGTCCAATAACATCGGGACAATGACAATCGATCGTAACATCTCGGACAAGCTGTATCCCAGCGTGAGAGTACTTGGACTATGTACTAGTGTTGTGTTGTTCATCCTGTGCTTCTCACTGATTCACTGATGGCATTTGCAAACATAGCAAAACAAGGGAAATACTATCTTATCATCATGTGATGTCACGGGATCCCGATGGGAAATGCCGAGTTTCCGGATCGGGAGTGGATCCTCCAGTCATTAGAGTTAAGCATAGCTCCAACATGAATGAACACTGCGAACTCTTCTTCAATTTTCACTCTTAATTGTCCGAGTTAAACAAATCCATGACCAACTGAATGAATCAATGAATGAACAAGTGACATGAATAACCGCAGTCCCGATGTGCAACGCCAAGAGATTGACCGTGTGCTGCAACTAAAGCGGAAGCAGCGCGAGGCTAAGGCCTGTTATCCTTGTCGCCAGCGCAAAGTCAAGTGCGATAGCGGCCATCCTTGCAGAACATGTCAAAAGCGTGGCCACCCACATATCTGTGCCTATGATGTGTCGAAAGACTCGTCGCGACACTCGTTTCCCCGGTCGGGGAGGGTGGATCCCGTTCGAGCATCGCCGTCGCACCCACAAGCTGGTATTACTTCCCCGCTGACTCCGTCACCGTCGGCACTTAATGGAGCAGAAACCGAGAGAGCGCAACCGCTGGATGTGGCTTCACCATCGGGAGCCGCTCCGAGTTCTGGGTCGATCAGTCGTGATCGCTCGTCTGATTATGTCTTCTCTGGGCAGAACTCTGTGGTCTCCATTCTCCGGCTTCAAGACCCTGATGGGTCCATCGCGCGAGAGGCAGGGTCTGTGTTGGGCCTGCAGAATACATACGAGTATTATCCATTCCTTGACATTAAGACTCCAACAGATCGGTGGTGTGCACTTCTAGACATACTCCCTCAGAGAACGGAGATCTTAAAGTAGGCTCGACCACCACCAACGACACAAGAACCAATGATTTTAACGGGGAATAGATTTTTTCACCACCATCGCTTGTCTGCACACCCTTTTAATCCGATCTTGGTAGATATTGATGGGGTTGAATCCGCCATATGCACCTTTCTGGAGTCGGTCGCATCCGGGGAACTGAGTAACCCAAACAAAATCTCGGAGCGTTGGTCTTCCGATAAGTCCATTGGCCATATCAGTCTCCTTTTGGCGACCTTGGCTTCCGGTGCTCATTTTTCAGATCTCGAAAACCCACAGCGCTCGGAAGTATGCCAAGATCTTGGTATGGTGTTTCAGCGATTTTCTGCTTGAACCAATCGCTAATGGTGAGCAGCACGTCGATCATTCCAGGCCCTGAGATTGGCAAATTTCCTTTTCCGGCCCTCCTTGGACATTGTTCAAGCCATGCTCATCCTGGGAAACATGTTGCAAAATAATGGCCAGTCTGACGCAGCCTGGGCGTTGCTTGGGACCACCGTCCGCTTAGCCCAAGCTGTTGGCTTACACACCGAACGCGGCACTTCACATTTACCAGAAAGTGTCCGTCTGAAGGCCAAGAAGCTATGGTAAGGTGTGACCTAACACATTGAATTCGACACGCTAACCCGTCAAGGTCCATGACTGTTTGGCAGGACTGCTTATTGAGCCTCTGTTATGATCGTCCACCAGTGGTCTCCACCTCGGGTTGGCAGCAGAGCATTAGTCTCACGCCTGCACTTACATTGTCGTTCACGGATATGATGCATTTTCTCTGTCAGTTGGGCCTCGATATTGCCAAGGTTCAGGAGCCTGAGTATTGGGATTTGACGCGCGCCACTGAACTATTGAGCGCATTAGATAATATCTACAGTCGTGCCCAGCCCCATCTACTCTCCCGAGAGCATTGCCATTGTTTACAGGAGCACCAGGAGCACCTCGCCCTTCGGATGCACATGTCATTTTGCGTGTCTGTGCTCTGCCGACCGACCATCCGAAGTTCTCCAAGCCATTCAGATGACCCTCGTTACAGCCGCCTACGGCTCCGAGCCAAGGATAGCCTTGTGAGTGCATCGAATGCGTTCCTGGACTTCCAAACTTTGAGCATCGTGCCCTTGCGAACCTGGTCAATGGTACATACAGTCTTGAGCTCCACATTGCTCCTCTGCATCTGGCAGGAAACTCGGAATGACAACGAATGTCGAGACTTGCAGCAGAGAGTGATCACAGTCTTCTCAACGGCGGACCCCGCAAGGAAGGACACTATCGGTGGATCGGATGACGGACAGTGGCTGTCCGCGCGACATATTCGTGCCCTTGTGGCTCTGAGAAATGCTGTCCGCAATGCGCCGCTTAATGCAGTTGGTCAAGATGGTAACGGATCGCAAAGAGAAGGCCAATCTACCTATCCTCCCTTGAATCCTAATGTAAATGGACTTGTAGCGCAAGATCCAATGTTTATGCCTGGATTCGACTTGGGCGGAGGTTTGACGACGGGGGATGGAAGCTAGTAAGTCGGTTATATCTGGTTTGTGGGTTCTGGAGATTGACGAAGAACAGCTTCCCGGAAGGTGTGCTCGACAATACAACGGACTTCTCCCCGTTGACCTACCTGGACTCTATTATGAACGGTAAGTGCTTTCATGAGTCTCAGGTGTCATATACTGACGTTGTTGAAAGTGCCATTATTTAATATCTCTGAAGACAATGCATTCTTACAATAGCTTGCGTTTATAGCGACTTTTCATTTCAATGCTCATGCCTATATACGGATAATATACCGCACTCGATTGCTGTTCTACCAACTAGCTGAAAGAAGCCGATGCACGCGTAAGCATACTAGACGTCATGCCTTCATTCTTCAAACGGCGAGTCACGAGGCCTTATAACGTTCCCACAATGTGGAACTCGCGACTTATACGGCCGGAGCTTCTCCATTACGGTGGTAGATGCTACCTTCCGGGTACGTTTGCACGAGCTCTCAATTCAACTCTTCGCGCTAGTCAGCACAGCTCTCCTTCTGACGTTCTAGACCAAGCGTGTTACGCGACGCCTCTAGTTCTCGAAAGCACGTGCATGGAAAGACCCCGATCGCATCTGGCGTTGCTCTCTGTGAAAACAAACTATCATCGTTTATTCATCATACTAATAAGCTAATTTGCTGTTCAAATGTATAATTTAATGTACACATAATTTATTCCTGTTTTCTGAATCCCAAAGCCTCCCACTTGGCCCTGACCTTGGCCTTGATCTCTTCTGGATAGGAGTGCTCAAAGTCGGCAGCTTCCCAATCAGCACCTGTGGTATACTCCGTGGGCATCAGAGCGTCAGACACAACTTTACCACCCTTGGTGGGCGAACCTGTGCCGTGACCCATGTAAGGGATAAGAGGGAAACCACGGACGTCTTCAAAGAACATTTCATCTGCATTGGGCCGACACCGTGTCGCGAAAGCCCACATGACATCTTTCCACTCGTACGGATCAATATCTTCGCCAACCAAGACCAAGCGGTGGATGGTGTACCCGGCCTTATGGTTAAACACCACATCCCCGACCCTTTTTTGGAGCTCTTTGGGGGTTAGCTTCATTTGACGAAGCTTGGCGGTGTCCACTTTGAGAGCCACCCAGGTAACCTGCGCCTCAAAGGGAGAAAAGGTGTCGGTGATGGGGAGACCGGCCAGCTGGCAGATTTTGCGAATCTCGGCGGCGGCCAAGGAGCCAATCATAGTATGGGTTTCGTCAGTGAGACGACCGCAGGCGGACATGGGAAGGATGGCATCGGTCCGGTAGGTGATCTTGTTGACCTTGTAAACGGGACACTTGTGGCTATCACCGGGGAAGACGTAACCGTGCATCTCACCAAAGGGGCCCTCATCGGCGGTTTCAGTGATGGAGAGGGTACCCTCGAGGACAATCTCCGCGTTGGCGGGGACGTGCAGGTGGTTGGTGTCGCACTTGACGAGCTCCAGCGCGCGACCCGTCATGGCACCAACATACCCAGCCTCAGTAACACCATCCGGGATCGGCATCGAGGAGGCCATAATAGCGGCAGGAGGGACTCCGAAGCATAGCGCCCATGGGACATCCTTGCCCTCCTTTTTCCACATTTGGTGGATTTGCCAAATATGCTGGGGCTCAATAACCAAACCCGTCAGGTGATTCTTGTCCTTGACCATCGCACGGGCGATAGACCAGTTCGTCCATTTTCCATCAGGAGACTGCACGACATGCATGCCGTATGTTTGTAAGTATTTACCGCCGTCGGACTTGTGCACCATTGGCACTGGGAGTGCAGTGAGATCGATTTCGTCGCCTTCAAGGGAATTCTCCTTCACTGGACCGGTCTCGACGATCTTAGGATCAATGGGAGGTAGCTGGGACGCGGAGAGCATCTTGTCAAGGATCTCCTTCATGCTGGCAGTAGGGGGCAGGGCCAGGTGGCGGGCGAGACGGCCGTAGCGGTCACGTTTGGACTTTCTGAGAGAGCCGGGAGCGCCTAGGATACGGAATAGGCCATTCTTCCCCATGCCCTTGAGGTTATTGAAGAGGGGGGCTTTGTCATCGGTTTCGCAGACAAGACGAGTGATCGCGGCGGCTTCCAGGTTAGAGTCGATCTCGGTGTTGATCTCGACCAGGTCATCGTCGACCTTGAGGGCTTCAACGAAAGCGCGGAAGGAATGATCGACTTCGTTAGGAGCGGCCATGTTTGCACTTATTGCGGAGTTTAATCGTGGAATATGAAGTTAAACTGTGGTATTCGATATTATCGTGTGGGTGTTAGTGTGGAGACTACTGTTATGATGCTTCCTCGACTTCATTTATATACCTACACATCTACCAGTACGGATCTTCGGCATCTGCAAATTACCAGATTAGGCAGTGGATAGTACGTCTTCTAGAAGCGTGGAATTTTCTCAAATGCTTGTTTAATCTTGCCGAAGCATGTTCGGGGCCTCGGAGGAGGGCAATGCTCTTAAGCTCGCAGCTACTCGGAGGCTCGGAAATCATTCCAGGACATATCTCTGTACCCACCAGTGATATAATATTGTGAGGAACCAAATTACTGGAAACGCCTCACCCGAACTCTATCCACAGTCTCGGAGCTCGGTGTCTCGGTAACCCACCTTTTGATGCAGGCTATCCGGGATGCCGATATCATTGAGTCCTGATGAACTGGTAGAATATGATCCCTAACCGTTCCCAAACTTTTCTTACTTGTCATTTGCCTTTACGGCAATCAACATCCGAGGGTTTTTTTTAAATACACAGGTCGCGCAGTGCATTTGGATCATCATCTCATCGCATCAGTATAAAATTAACGAAAAACCCAATCGCTTCGACACTCAACATCAAGCCTTCTGTTGACACAGTCCCAATTCAGACCTACATATCGTCTCGGTACTGTTGATTAGGATCTCACAATGCTCTCCTCTTTCCTTCCTTCTGGCACCAATACGCCAAACTCCGGCCGTCACAGCCCCGACAACGCATCCGAAACCCAATCAACCACACAATCCGTACCGGTCGAGCCAACCTCCACCCCGATGCCTCTAGTAGCAACCGGCGGTCGACGCAAGCGAATCGTGGTAGCCATGACCGGAGCCACTGGCTCTATTCTCGGAATCAAAGTTCTTATCGCTCTCCGGCGACTCAACGTCGAAACCCACCTCGTCATCAGCAAATGGGCCGAAGCAACCATAAAATACGAAACAGACTATCACCCACGGAACGTGCGCGCCCTGGCAGACTACGTCCACAACATAAATGACATGGCAGCGCCCGTCTCCAGCGGCTCCTTCAAGACAGATGGCATGATCGTTGTCCCATGCTCCATGAAGACCCTCGCCGCCATCAACTCCGGCTTCTGCGAGGATCTGATCTCCCGTACTGCAGATGTCATGCTGAAGGAACGCAGAAAGCTGGTTCTTGTTGCCAGAGAAACTCCTCTTAGTGATATCCATCTTAGGAACATGCTTTCTGTGTCTCAGGCTGGCGCTATTATCTTCCCGCCTGTACCGGCCTATTATATTAAGGCGGCGTCTGTGGATGAACTTGTGGATCAGAGTGTTGGTCGCATGTTGGACTTGTTTGATCTGGATACGGCCGACTTTGCCAGATGGGAGGGGTGGAAGAAGGACAACTGAGACGGCGAACGAAAAAATCTCTTATACTTCGAGACACATATATATGTGCACGGATAAGTCATTTGTTCTTTTATAATTGGCCAATCACTGTACGTGGTCTGCTGTTGGGCAAAAAGGGGCAAGGTATGGGTTAGCATCAATTTTGCATGGGGTAATCGGGATGGATTGTTACTCTTGATAGCATGAAGAAGGCGTTACTCAGGGCTAGGCGTTCTAGAGTTTTATTTTATCAGTGAAATCGAAATCCATATATTTCTCAGTTATCCTTTCGCGTGTTTATCAAATCTGTGGTTGTTGGGTATGTTGAAGACATATCGGTGACTTTTAGAGGTTGGATTGGAATGCAGAGAAGGGGCCATTTGTTTTATCTAAGAGTTACATATAAAAAGAAACAAAGTGGTATGATAGCTAACAGACAAGGGATGTTTTAAATGTGATATTAAAGTTTTATCGGGGAAATACAATGGTCCTAATGTGCCGGGAAACAGTTCTATTAAATTAGATTTCCTCAGCTTCTGTTCTTCTATCTATACTCCGTACCTATCTATCCCATTTACCTTCCATGAACTATGGATGTCCCCTTCCCTTTCCAACCAGACTAATTAGTCTATTGTAATGACCACGTCTTGACCTCTTGCCCTAGCTGACCTGCTAAGATCTAACTTAGATCAAGGTCGACTCGACGGGAGCCAGAGTGCCATTTTCAATAGCACCAGCATGGTGGCGGGCAACCAGTCCGTAAGCGAATTGGTACCTGGAGTAGCCTTGCGTTAGTAGTCCGTGACAGCAAAGACGGAATGGTGATATCGTACTTGTCAAGCATGGGAAGCACCTCGGTCAGGCCGGGGGTGTTTCTCCAGTCCCTCATGAGATCAGTAACGATACCGAAGATACCCATCAGAGTAACGCCGGCCTTCTCCATGCGGCGGTTGGCATCCTCAGCGAGGCGGGCATCGAAGGTACCACTGGCCTCAGTGTTGGCAAAGACCTCGTATCCTTCGTCGACGAGGGAAAGAGCCAGGAATGCAGTGCCTATTGAATTAGACCTTTAGCGAATGCTAGTACTTGAATGATAGAATAGATAAAAGACCAACTTACAAACTTCAGTGACGATACCGCCAATGATCAGCTGCTTCTTGCCAGTGGCCCGGACGGCAGCACGAAACTCCTCGTTGTCCCAGGCGTTGACCTCACCCTGACGCTGGACCAGAGTGGCGTTGGGGTGCATATCCCGGATCTCCTTGAGCAGGAGGCCGTTGGGACCGGTGTCGGAGGAGGTGGTCAGGACGGTGGGGAGGTCAAAGACGTTTCCGATGGCGGCGTGGGCCAGCATGTTGTTGCGGAAGTCATTGGTGCTGTAGTCGCGCACAAGCTGGGCGAGACCGACCTGGTGATCGATGACCAGTAGGGCCTGGCATGCAACGTTAGTATGGGCGTGATAAGTAAGATTTCTCAAGAGGAGCAATGAGACATACAGCGTTGTCCTTGTCAATTCTGTTCCATGCCAGAGCGGGGACAGAGGCTCCAAGGAGCGCGATGGTCTGGAAGATCTTGCTGAGCTGCATTTTGCTGAGTTTGACTTGAGAGATGCTGGAAAGCTATTGTTGCTCACTGGATCTGCTGCTGCCTGGTAAAAAGAACCTCCATGATGAGGAAAAGTCCTCTGCTTATATAGTGCTCTGAAATTGCATCCCAAGGCTAGATTGAACCTGCAAAGCATGTGTGTAGCATTGACAGCAATTTCCCAGATTGGTGACTTCGAAGAAGTTATTATTATGCAAGTCTTGTATAAGCCTTCGTCAGCGTTCAAAATGATCCCGTATGTCTTGGCATGCCTACTGTAACCACGCTAGCATCGCTTACCACGGATTATACAATTCTGACAAGCCCTTCTTGGCGGGCCGACCCTTCCCTATTATGGCTCTTTTAACGGATGGAAGTTTCACCAGCCAATCACACCATGGTAGGGGAAATTAGCAGCTGCCCTAATTTGGGAATATTTGACACATAACGGCCTGGGGTAAAGCTCTCGGAGGAATCTAGATTCTACGATACTGTACCCTGGATCTACCCACGGTTGGAGATTAGCGTCTTTTTAGCACTTGCCCATTATTCATGAATGCTATGAGGTATTTTCTTGCAAATGGTGTGTATTGGCAACATGGAACTTGGAATCTAAGATATGTCTATTACCTGTTCCAGCCCTCTCACTCGGCCAGGGATCTTATTAATGATACCTATCTCTATCCTGATTTGGGGTCGATAGTTTGCTAACCAGGTAGAGGGGAAAAAACTCGTCATATAACCAGCTTCTTTACTGCAGACCTGAAAATTTTCTCTAGACCTGGCTAGAAAAAGGCAAAGACATCACCGGCGAAGGGGCTAATGTAAGTACTAACCGTCCGATCCAATCTGAGAGGTCCCGGGTTTCCCGTGGTTAGTTCGATTGCCGCCACCGTGGAATAGCAGATGGCGAGAATAACCCACGTGGTAAGAGTATCGGAAACCATGCTTTTTTCCGGGATATGATAAGAAGGCCCATGTAAACTAGGCCGCATATCTCGGTAGTAGTTAGTGACTAAATACGGTATAGGATCACATTTCATTGTCAATTATCTACTGCTCAAATGGCGTAATTTTTCAATCTATGATTGTTTGTGAACGTTCTTCTGCTAGAGAAACCCCCAGTGGAGCTTAGGATATTACTGGACGGTAAAGCTTGCGATGAGGTCAGTTGTCCTTGACTTCACTTTCAGTCTCTCTCCATGGCAGTATATAGTCATACTATCCTCACGACCAATAATATCTTGACCAGAATCTGCTGCGCATGGAAGCATGTCACTCTCCCCCCGCCATTTCCATCGTCTCCCACCCCTTCTGATGGTTTTCTCGCGGATTGACGGCATCTTACTGACTAATAACGACGAATACTGAAGCGAATAACGCCAGCGACTCCCTGTCCCGAAGGAGCAGGCGGCATGATCTCACCACTGAGCGAAACAGTCTTTCCTCCAGAATTGTGAGCTGCGATCTTCACGTCGTTCGGGCCAACAGATGACGACCCGGTATCAATTTCGTAATCGCCATTTAAATCTTCGAGGCTCTCGTACTGGAGGGTTGCAGATGGTGCCTAAAGCTGCCCACCATGCTGCTGGAATGTACCCATAACCGCAATGGAGAGGCCGTCAACAACGAATTGCCCGAAGAACTCTTGGCCTCGTACATGAACATTGCCGTAAGCGCTTATCTATTTTGAACGTTAGGGAGAGATTCATGATGTAGAATAGAGAATGAATGATGTCTTCTTTACTTGAAGGGAGATATTACGTTGATCGAGAGAAAAGGTCTCGGTCTTTAGAACGACGCGTGGAGGAAGATTGGTGGATTGTTGAATATGCTGTTTGATGGCCAGGAGAAAGGGTCTTACATAGGGCGTCTTCCGGCCACAAGGAAGGGGTACAAGGTTTGAGCGCTGAGAGTCCGCATTATCGTGCTCAGCTCATGACAAATACTGCAACCTCCTATTGGAAATATTTTCCGCAACGGATGAAGGTGGGGAAAGTTTGGGTAGGGGTGCGGCATCGCTGCCTCGCAGGGAACCTCCTGTTGGCTATACCATGATACTCACTGATGATCATGTCTCATGTTGGATATGTCTGCCCGATTGCGCGCTCTGTGATTGAGATCGCCGGTAGTCTTATCTGCAAGTAAGGTATGGGAGAATGTTTCATTGTACTATTGCTGGTTGGGATATTTGTTTATGAGTTGGCCATCACACCGCGTTAGGGGAGAAAATTCAAACTAGACATGGGAAATATATATATATATAAAAGAATATAAAAGGAGGCCTTGCGTAATTCGTGCAGTTACCATTAATCGTCAAACACCCGCGGGGCCAATGATGGATTTGAATAGACATCATACTGATGCTCGTCCCCGAAATTCATTGATTAGAGCCACAATTTCTGGAACTTCCTCGCCGGCTTCTTGAGATTTATTACTTTTGTGCTCTGCTGATTGTTTGTTCCTCCTCGCTATGGAATTAGGAACTGGAATCTGTGTATTACGTCTCGACACGTAGCCGCGTGGTTTCTTGGAACGTGGAGGCACCGGGGGCTTGGATGCACTCGATACAGAATCCGACCTCTCATTTGATGCGTCTTGTCGCTGCCAAGGTACCCTATCAAATGGGTCACAGCTCGAGTCGACAGGTGAAAGCGGACCACCAGTATCATGTGGGATACTTATCGAAATGTTTCTGCTGATCTCTTTGCCCATCAGGGTTCGGACCCCTTGGAGAAGTTCTGCGGTACTGCCCAACACCTTTTCTCTCTCAGCACCATTCCACTGTACGGTAGAAAACTCTGTCGGGCATTGATGTGGGGATTCTATCCAATCCACTTCACTTTGCCTTCGTGCGTGGGACACTGCTTGCTGGGCAACGTGGATGTTTATATGTATGGGTGCACCCCCGAACTGCTGCGTAGGACCCTCCATGGGCTGAGCTGCTTTCATCGGAGGGTTGAAGTCGGGTGAGTGGATGTTCGCTGCCACTGATAACATCCAGAGATAGAAGGACCAAATCAATTGCCCAAAAATGGCCAGCAATACGCAGGTTCCAATGAGGGCACTGTGCATGGTCGTCACTATTCCAGTGGGCAGTTTTTCAAGCACCCGCATGAAGTCCGCACGGTCGACTTCCCACCGTTTGTGCTCGCTCACACGCTCCATGCCTGTGGGATTGACCGGAGGAATAGTGAGCAGCAGCTCTTTGGCACAGACGGCGGCAGCAGCAGCAGCATAGCCATGCCATTGGTCGTTCTTGTGAGCATCAGCATAGTCACAGATTCCGCGAATCGCGATCCAGTTAAAGGTATCTGAAAGCCCCGCGGCTTCCATCTCGAAGCAAATGGCTTCTAGTTCATGTGCGAGTTGATCTCTTGTCTTTGCATCTTTCATAACCTGGTCAGCGGATGCAATTGTCCCTTCATGGACCTCTATCAACCTGTTTCTGCGAGGAGGGCGCTGGATCAGATGGAGATGCCATTCAGCTTGTTCACCTGTACATTCGCAATCTCTTGTATGTACATATTCGGGTGCATACAGTCGGTCTGTGTGCGCTGCAGGCCTACGGAATGTATCTCTAGTAGGCTGGGACTTGTCGAATGTTGCTTCCAGATTCGCATGTAGATCGGTTCCAATGGAAAGACGCCTTCTCAGGGCATCTATTGAAGGACGAAATTCTGGAGCTGGGGAAAAAGTCTCACCAGTGATCTTGAATCCATCCGGTGTCCTTTTACCGAAGCCATATTGGACAACCCTGGTCCCGATCACCACATCCCCAAGACGCACGTCAGTCGTCGCGTTCGGTACGCCGCCACCGATGCCCACCATAAAGACAAGCCGGATGGATAAGAATCTTCTCTTCATATCCTCCGCCACTCCGGATGTGGATACTAACCCATATTTCCCGGCAGGAAGGCATCCGATTACCACCTTATGAGGCCCAACTCTGCCCCGAGTGTAGTAGTTTGCACCATCCTCGGCTCTCAAGAAGCCATTTCTCTCGTCGTAGATTTCGTCCAGGATTTCCCGGGCGGCAATGTATTCTTTCAGAAGGGCACAGACCCAGCCGATTGTAAACTCGTTGTTACTGGGTCGTGGTGTAGATTCAACCATTTGCGCGGCAGCTTGGATGGTATAGTAACGGATATGATCGCAGGCGGCAGATATTCAGGTAAGATTATCGCTTACCGTGCTTAAGAGTCGGTGTTGAGTCTCAAAACGCGGGAAGCTAGCGAGTTGCTGTCCTCGTCAATGTCGATATGTAGCGCTAGGATACAAGTGCGGGTAATTTCTCCGAAAGCTAGCAAGTAATAAAACAATAGTGTGGTTCCTTAGCTACAACTTTACGCAGCGCCGGGTCGCAGAAATAATATAATAATAATCGTTGACCGTGTCATTTCGCTGCACTGCAACGAACGACATGTATTGCGCTCTGATTAGCGAGACCAGCACGGCCGTCCGGCGCCTAATAGGCTGCATGCTTGCTCGGCGGCTAAGTCACCACGCCAACGTGTCAGAATAACTGCGTTTCTGAATTTAGTAAAATACCAACTGGCTTACAGATCAAAGCACCTCATGTGATCTGTACAATATGCGATGTCGGATGGCGGAATAGGATGGTGGACGGATGTACAAGACATCCTACCGAAATTATCGCCAGGCAATCAGCTTCTGACAACTGTATTGGAGCCAGTTTCCGATTGTACACAATCAATCTACGGCTCTGCTACAGTATAACAACTCATAAATGCCCTGTGGTGTACAGTGTGACTATGAATGCGTCTACCTAAACACGTATGTGTCCACCGAATCCCTTCAATACCAAATAGTTCCGAAGATCTTCATCACGTCATATTCGACGTAGTATGGAGGGATAAATCTTTCAACCATACGATCCCAGGACGTCCTCCAGGGTGGATTGAACATAGCACGATAGAATTCCCAGTATTCGGGCCAAAATCCAGATAATCCCCAGTCCAGTAACACAACAGTACCATCAGATTGGACCAGCATGTTACCCTCATGAAGGTCACTGTGTGTGAACACTATTTTGTGTCCTTTCAGCCCTCGTACCGTTTGGTGCAAGATATACTCACTGGCCCAAAAATTAGATTCTGGGTCGTTTTCGCTTTCAAGTAGCTTTTCTGGAAGCCGGTCTCGCAAAGCTTGGACCATGCTTTCGTTGAAGCTCTCCTCTGATTCGTACGGCCCGTAGCAATACATTGTATGGTCACCATAGCCTCCTTCGAAGACTCCATCTCGGCAAGGTGAGCGATCTAGCCCACCAATGAAGTTGCCTTCGATCGCTCGCATTTGCCGCACATAGTCGGTTAATTGGGCAAGAATTCTCTGGTGTTCTGTCTCCGAAGCATTGTCCCAGTACTGTTCAAAAGGCGTTCCATGTTCATATGACATGATGGTGTATCCAGTCCCGTCAAGAATATATGCACTCAGCAGCTTGGGCACCGCGATGGTGGTACGTTTAGATACTAAATGTAGAGCCTCAGCTTCGGCTAAACGAACCCCATGGCCGAATTTTACAAGCATGTCAGTATCGGCCCAGGCGAGATGAGCGCCCATCTTGTCCGGTATGAGGTCCTCAGCATCTTTCAGACCTTCGGGATCCAAAATAATCGTAGGCCGACCAATATCCTCCGAGTAAATGAGACGCAGCTCGGGTTCTTCGGGGGGTGTCGTGGACTGCTGACTGTCGGTGGCTTTAAGAGCATTTGAAGCTTGCCCACGCGCCGTTTCCTTTTTTCCTGGTGAGCGGTCACTTTTAACTTCCGCCTCCGGGGCATTTTGCCTGTTCTTCTGTCCCTCGACATCAAGTCGGAGTGGGTCAATACAATTCAATTCGGATAGCGACGTGCCATTTCCTCCGTATTCCAGTGGGATGTCCGGGCCAAGGTGAAGTGCGAGCTCCTCCGGCTTTTGTAAAAGAATGGTGTTCCGTAGGAGGTATTCGGGAACATCCAACATAGCGAGGTATTCATGCGATGGATATATAATGTACGTTTTCTCAAGAAGACAGGGGTAGTGTGAGTGGATCAACGCAATTAATTCACGGAGCGCCTGCCGAATCTTCCCTCGAAACGATACGTATCCTTTACGCCCCCCCCCCGGCTTCTGTTGCAGCCGGAATTCAAGTACACAACTCGCCGTCTGGTTGGCATTCTGGACCATGTCAGCTGGCTGGAACAGGAGCAGAGTGGCGAGAAGCTCCAGTACGGCGACCCCCAGATCGCTAATTCCGGCAGACGTTGAAAGACTTTCATGCAACTGTGAGAATCCCTTCATGACCATTTCATCGATCGTGGCTTACAGAACATAGCCTCCACGATTTCTGGTAATATAGAGCAGGCCTAGCTCGGATAATATCGATTTAGCCTTGACTATGCTTGCCTGTGGATTGGATCTTCGCCGCCATTCTAGTGTCCTGGAGAGTGAGTAGCGGGCCTTGGGGACCTGCAACGAAGGGATAATAGAGTGTTGCTGTAAAAACTATATCTATGTTAGCCATGAGATCCCTTCGCGAGGAGGTCATTCGTCGTACACCTTCTGTATAATACTCTCCACCATCCTTGGTTCCCCATGGTTCAAATCAGTGCCCCATATCTCACTATGGCGTGTTTCAGTGGTGAGAGATCGTATGGTTTTCAGTATACATTGTGTTTTTTGGTACAATGGAAATTCCGATGTGGTAGACATGACAGGGTGGCTTTACCAGAAAGTATCGTTTTAAATCGGCCTTAGGACATGCCACCGATTGGCAAGCCAATTGGAGGGTTCTTGAGGGCGAATCGAACTCTTGTACAATTGGCTGGCTATTACAATATGGCAAGGCCTGGCTTGGAAGGAAAATAGCTCGACCATCTGGTGATCCGTTGCTGTCTAACATGGCATTTTGGACAGTAGTGACGATAGGTTGGTAGCTCTATATTGAATTCACATACTGTTCTTATCGGGCGGTAACTGGACACAGATCCCACGTTCATCCTCCATAGTTGCGGCGGAGAACCTGAGGCCATCTACGGAATATAGTAGTTCCATTGCCGAGCCCTGTCGTCATGTGGCCGACTGCATGTGTTGACGTTGCCTGAGGCAGCATTGCTCTAAAAATAGAATAGGAAAATGTTTTGTGCAAGGATGAAGATGATTGCCTACATCCCTTGATACGAGGCTCGTGTTGTTCTTCGAACGTATCCTCATGTAGGAAAAAAGGTATTCTCTTGCTGATCGTCCAAGTATGAGATTTCTATGGTGCTGACTATGGAGTTACAAGTATATAACCTTATCCTACGATTTTTGTTGAGGCGATCATGAGCACGAGTCTAGAGTGAATCGGTCATATAACTGTTTCAATGTCTTCTGCTGGTAGTTGTTAAAGTGTACTAATGTAAGATCTAGCATGCATAATGAACCATCAACCCATCAACATGTTTACGGGTAACTATCGACCTTGCCATGTCCACGGGTCATCATCGTTGTGGTTAGAGCAGAACTGCACGACCTTAGTGCCATCTGATGTTTTGGTCCACTGGGACTTATAGTCGGCTTTTGCTTTCTGCCTGCTATTTTTGCTTTTATCGTTTCCTCTTTCTTTTTACTTTCCTTGGCAATAAATGGCTTCATAGATGAAACGGGGCGTCCTCGTCAGGCACCCGAAACTAGTCTGAGAGTCTCACCCCATACCGCGTTTTTCGTCCTTTTCAGGATTGAGAAAGTGACAGCATGTGGCGATTCGCCGTTTCAAAGATGGGATACTACATGGAAGGCAGATTGTGATCGTACCGCGTTCTACCTCGTTTACTCGCGACCACACCCTATAATGTGAAAGCGTTGAACGCTTGGTTCGAAGTCTACAAAAGCCAGTCCTCTCATTGAAAAGATAGTAAGAACCTGGCTAGTAGCCTCTGTTGGGCACTTGGGGCTGACTAGTTGGCGGGATAAAAAGAGAAACGAAGGAAGTGAATACGAGACCAAGACATTCGAAGGAAGGCAGACTCACGACTTTGAGATTCCGTCCAACTAGACCTGTCCATTTTGTCACTTCCAGCAAATCCCTATACAACCTTCCAGCCTCTCATGTGTCGTCGTCCATCTGTGGTACGATTCTCTTACGTATCATCTTTCTCAACCATGTGTGGCAATTGTAAGGGGTTGTCTAGAAGTGTACCACTGCCCTAGCAGCCAATATTGCTGAATTTCTATATTCAGTGGGTCTGAAAGCATTCACTATTTACTCTGTAGACCAATCGTAAAATACATCCTATTTAGGAAAGCCGGAGGCTGTATAGAGCTCACTCATGCCGTGTGACTGGAGGGTTATTGGGCATCTTTTAGTGCCCCTTACCTACTCCGGCTAGCGCTTCTAACACTAATTTTCTGTTCTCTAAACAGCCTTGCAGATCTTCATTGTCGTTAGAAAACTGCAGAAAGTTAAACCTTTCTAATCGAACCGGCCTTTTACTGATGATAGCAGATTTGCAGGATTTGATGGTGATCTGCGCTTCGTGGGGTTAGCGTTCGTGTATCTCGTATGAGCATGCCTATCATTTGAGCTGGAGAGCTCCACGATAGAACATCAAACTATACGAGGTTTCTATTCTAGAAAAAAGCTTCGGCCAAGCGTCGATCCCTGCCACCCTCATCGTCCGGGGGCCGGGAGTGGCTTTAGTGGATCCGCGTGTCGAGACGACTAAGCCAGCAATACGAGCTTTGAAATACGTAAGGATGCAGGCTGGACTGGCCAAGAAAAGAGTATAGAATCATTGATATCGGATCATCATTGTTTCCTGCCTCAAAGGCTCTTTTTCATGACACAGACTTCTCGTGTTTCTTGAAGATCTCTACCATTCAGCCAAATCCCTGGCGTGGTGGGCACACGGGGAGGGACTTAGGGTTATCCCTTTGGAGGCTGAACACGAGAAGGAACACGAGATTGATGGAGTCGGGTATACACAGCTTCAGGGGGAGCGAAGGATATAAATACGGGTTAGGAGTCTGCTGGTTTGGGAATCATCAACAATCCAAAACCCAGAAGTCGATTGCCTACCAGAACAACAAAAACTCCAAACCCCTCCACTTGACGTGATCATTTATCGCACTCCAATTTGTAAGGGGACTGAGCATTCCAATCAAACTTGATCATTCAGACAACGAATTAACCAATGTTGAAATATAGAAACCCTACAAAATGCGTTTCTTCGGTGGTGTTATCGCGACCTTCGTCGTCTGCTCCTCTTTGGCGGAGGCCTTCTGCCACAACTCGATCTCCTGCGGGCTTGGAGGTGACGATACTTGCAGCAAAACCTGTGTGCGAGAGGGCAACCCTAGCGGCGGTCGCTGTCTCCCGCGTGATGGCTGCCCCGGCTATACCATTTGCGCCTGCTACCCCAGAAGCAAGCGCACCGATGAGGTGATCGATGGCGATGTTGGCCTCCGCAATGTCCTGAAAGACTATGGAATTGAAGAGGAGACTGATAAGGGAATTACGGAAGCGTTGAATGCAAGAGACATGGAGAAGCGCAGCATTTCCTGCAGCTTCCCCAATCCTTGGGGCGGACTTTTCTGCGAAGACCACTGCTCCTATATCGGAAAGCCCGGTGGCCAGTGCAAAGATGGAGTCTGTACTTGCAACTAAATCCTGAGTCTTGCACCAGATACAGAAGCTTCAGGAATAAGTCGTGGAGGAAAAGGTCGATTTGTTTATCTTCTTGTCAAATTCTATTTGCTGTCGGACTATACTGTAATTAGTTCGAATCTTGAGATTTAGTAACACGTTTGAATATATGCTTCTTACAACAGGTATTTCTATCATAAAGCCTTCTATGGTAAAGACTACTGCTTAATAGAAAGGAGAGGATGTTGCCCAAATTGAAATCATCCTGATCCGATACACCAGATGACGTTCAGTGTATCTTGTAGAAAGCAGGAATACTGCCTTCTTTACAATAATTAGGTGTTCCGAACATAGAAACAGGCTTATTGTATGCTCCAACTGTGCGAGGTTAATGTGCAACTTTTTTTTTTTTTTTTTTTAAAAAAAAAAAAATGTTCTTTTCGGGGATTTTGTTCCTATGCCCGCTGGTCCCACTGCTTCTGTGTTCTCTAGAGTGATGACATGGCTTCACAATACGCAGCTGTTCAGACAACTTTCTCAGATCACCACCAAGCTGGCTCCGATTTCTTAGGAGGAATTCCATTGACATTTGGATAGAAACGGGCGTCAGCATAGACTCAAGATTGTAAATCTCTACCTGAATACTTGGTGTACAGTTACCATGGCTGCGTTTGGACTTGATGAACAGTCTCGTGATTTATAGTTACGTATACATTATTGAAGTTCGGATAAGCTCATACAGTGTTTAAACTGATCATTTCATTCCTTCTCCAAGTACAGATTCAACAAGTGGAACATTTTTTGCGGTATCTCGGCACGGCAGTGATTTGGACTGATATATATTCCTCCAAGTTGCACGCTGGTATGCTAACGACGAACCTTCCAACACAGAGCGATAACCATGAACTTAAAAATTACGAAAGGTGTCTTCCATCCGTAGTCTGATGTATGCTAAGCTTATTTCCTATCCTGGACCCGCTGGTGAAAATTTGCAATGGGCTCAAAGTGAGAGGCCCAAAGACCCTGCGGCGGGATCCCGAAAGTCGAGGATCGGAACATGATTAGCTAAGCGGCCCTGAGAGGATCGGCAAAATTGCTTAGAAGATATTTGGAGCAATGTTGCGAAAATCACGCATCTGATTGGATTCGTATACCGCGCTAGATACATGGCTATGGGTACTAAATAAATGTCATGAGTCATGGCCGAGTAAAACGCTCAGCCGGGAATGATATTAACATATTGACTGACATCATCCAAGACCCAGTTTAGGCTGCACGGTGTGCCGAGAGAGTCAGGAAACGGTGCAGAGTTCGCTAAACAGTGGTTAAAATTTCCTATTTCGGACTTATGAACGGCATCTCATCCAACTTTTCCCAAGAATATGACCAGTCAGAGAGCAGCCCGCCGTTCCCCGTGGAGTATTTTCTCCACTTTATCCCACATGGCTTTGAGAAATGTGGGGTTCTTTCAATCGGAATTGTCGGACTGCCATGGAAATATGGAGGGAATGGGGTATGACGGTAGGGAACCGAGAATCGTTCAGGCTTGCCGTGATCGGCCGGTTAGGATATGCATCTTACAATCCCGGGGTCATCTCGGATCCAAAGTCGGCTCTTCGGCGGGATATATAAAACCAGGGTTTTTTGCGTGATCCTTCCTTTCCTCTCCAGACGGTGGTTTTTTTTTCATTTCCATTATCCCCCATTTTAGCCATAAACAAGATGGTAGCGTCACTACTGAGACTTACAGTCCTCGGGACGCTGGCAGTGCAGGCCGTCTGCAAGACTGTCAATACGTCGTCCCTCTTGTCCTACCAAGACAAACCACGGGTGTTCATCCTATCAGATATCTCGAATGAACCGGATGACCAAGAGTCCTTGACACGGTATCTCCTCTACTCTAACCAATTCAAAACTGAGGGCCTCGTCGCCTCGACATCCACTTGGCTCAGAGATGCAGTGCACCCAGAGGATATGCTGCAGGTGATTAACGCCTATGGAAATGTCACCGATAACCTTAACAAGCATGCTCCTCCCGATGCCCAGTATGCCTCCGGAGATTACTTCCGGAGTATCCTACGCAGCGGCGCAGCAGTAAGTCAACCGTTCCTCAGTCCCTTAGATCGCACAAACCCTAACTCTTCCTAGACCTATGGCATGAAAGCAGTGGGAAGCAACGTCACACTTAGCGACGGCGGAAAGCTCCTTCTCCAACGTCTCCAGTCCCCATCCGAGAAGCCCCTCTGGGTCCTCGCTTGGGGTGGTACAAACGTTCTGGCTCAGGTGTTGTATAAGATCCACCAGAACTACTCATCCGAAGACGCGGCTGCCATGCGTTCCAAGTTGCGCGTGTATGCCATTTCCGATCAAGATGACACGGGTCCCTGGATCCGTCGGAACTACCCAGATATCTTCTACATTTCCTCCACCCACGGATGGAACCAATACGGTATGGCAACCTGGATTGCCATCTCCGGCGAGACGTACTACAACAAGGATGAGGGTGGTCCAAATTCGACCACAGTGACTCATGAGTGGCTCCGCGACAACATCCAGGTTGGACCCTACGGTAGTGTCGCCTATCCCGATTTCAAGTTCATCATGGAAGGGGATACTCCTACCTTCCTGTATCTGATCCAGAATGGGCTGGGTGACTCTGAGAACCCCGGATATGGATCTTGGGGTGGAAGATATACCAAAGTGGATCCATCAACAGCCGTGAACTACAACCACTATAGTGATGCAGCGGATCGCGTGGTGGGTCTTAACAACAAGACCTTCAGCTCCAACTATGCTACTATTTGGAGATGGCGTGACGCCTACCAGAACGATTTCGCCGCTCGCATGCAATGGACTCTCCCAGCGAACACTAGCAAGGCGAACCACCACCCCGTTGTCTCTGTTAACGGAAGCAAGGAATTGGCCCCGTTTAAGGTGACGGCTGAAGCAGGCTCGACGATTAACCTCGATACTGCTGGTACTTATGATCCCGATGGTGACAAGTTGTCGTACAACTGGTTCCAGTACGAAGAGCCGGGCTCCGATGATTGGAACGTGGCAGGACAGGTCCCTGCATTAAACTTGACAATTGCGAAGAATGGCCAACAGGTACAGGTGAAGATCCCCGCTTCCGAGGACAGCTGTAATGGAAAGGGGGACAACCCTTCTGGCTGTTGGTTGTTGCATTTGGTTCTGGAGGTTAAGGATAATGGCATTTATCCCTTGACAACTTATCGTCGGGTGCTGATCCAGACTACTAACCAAACGATCTCTACGTGATATGTTTGCACCTATGCATACTCCTGTAATAGATAGCTTGTCAAAGTACACACTCTAATACACTATGCGCATAATGAAATAATGTTATGATGTCTATATCCGCAAACAGGAGTGAAAACAGGCCCCCACAATGGTGAGAGTTAACTCCAATCATGCGGCTTTCGAGGCACGACGTACCTTAGATGATACCATCGATCTCGGGCAAAAAGTGTTAGATTATTTGCAGGTTCAGCCTTTTCTGCCTTGTTACCAATGGAAGCCAGTATATCCATGATGTGGGTCTTACTGTCTTAACTACCAATCGTCCCGACGAAGCAGGCGGTGTATTCAAAGCATGTCATAGATGGTTGCCATTTGATACAAGAGTCAATATTGATACTTATCGATTACCTCAAGGACAACATTCTGGTGTGATTATCGCCATTGAGACTTACTGAGTTACATAAACTGTTATTGGATTATCAAATGCCCTTTGTTGTGAAGCTGTAAGAGCAGTGGAGAGAGGTAAGCAAATTGCCTTGGAAGAATGGCCTCTTAGTGAAACTCGGAACATTCGTCCGGAAGGGAGCCGTTAAGATTAAATTAGGATACAAAAACATTTTGCTCAGGAAGTGTTGATTAGAATATGTTTGTATTTAGGCAGTGATCGGGTAGTAAATGCAATGCCCTTCGCCTCAAAGGCATGCAGTCATCGCACCGACTGTAGAGTACTGACGAAAGAAAGGAATGTGCTAGCCATGACAAACTATCTGCCACTCAAACAGTGCGCTCCAGACTCCTGAGAAGACCATTGGGTTCAGCAACACCTTGCGAAGCGATTGCATCGGCACGCTCCTGCGTGTCAGCAACGGCGTAGATACGGAGTTCATCAGCGTTGCCCGAGGGGCGGAAGTGAGCGACATCGCCGCTAGCGAAGATGATTCTAACTCCGTCTGTGTAGTTCAAGCGGGCAATGGATGAGAAACCATATTCTGGGGAGAACACGGTCTCGAGCTCTTGGCGGATCTGCTCGAGTTTCTTGGCATCAGACTCTGTAACCTGAAGTTGAGCACGGCTACCGTCGTAGGCAACAACATGATCTGGTTGATAGGATACCTCCTGCATAGTGGACTCGGGTGGGGAGAAACGGTCGATAATCTTCAAGCTCGTTGCGCGAGGGAAGTTCCGAATCAAAGCGGCACGGCTGGAACGCTTGGGCAGCGTGGCGAACAGTTCGGGTACAGTGATGCTACGGTTGCCCGCCGCAAACAAAGCGCAGAGCAGAGGCAACACAGCATCACGAGTGGGAAGTGCGGTAAGGATATTGTTATTGCGCTCAATATCAGAGCCAGTGAGGAAACCACCGTTGGCTTCCCATCCACAGACGCGTCGGCGTCCCTTGGAGAGGGAGTGCTGCATACCAGCAATAACGTAAGGGCTACCAATCTTCGTCTTGGGCTCGGTGACACTGGCAAGTGAGCCACGATCCATGGCATCGTTAGTGCTGATAGGCACAACAACAGAGTCGGCACCCAGGAATTCGGCGACTGTCATGCCCAACAGATCACCACCGAAGAAGCGGAGCTTGCCTCCCTCAGGGGCTAGTATGAGAGGGCGATCGCTGTCACCGTCAGTAGAAACCATCGCATCGAATTGCTGTCCAGTGCTGTCGTAGAGGTTCTGAACAGTGTCGAGTTGGGCTTGATCGATGGCTTCAGTATCAATCGGTACGAATGTATCACTTCGGCCGGCAGTGACGACTTCAGCTCCAAGCAATTCGAGGATCTCCACTAGGACGTCACGGCCAACGGCCGAGTGCTGGTAGACAAGAAGCTTCTTGCCTTTTAGTGTTTCGCCCCGGAAGAAATCCGTGTAGCGCTTGATATACGCAGCTCGTCCTTCAGCCGCAACAGGTGGGAGGTTGGATGGGGCGCTGCGAAGCATGCCCTGCTGATTGAAAAGGGACTCAGCGTATGGCTGTGAGAGTAGCTCCTCGCGAGTGACTTGGACATTGTTATTAATAGGCTGTTCATCCTTCTTCAGGAGCTCCCCTTTCGATGTGTTGAGCTTGTACCCATTGCGGTCGAACGGGATGTGGCTTCCGGTAACCATAATACTGCCCTTACCATGTTTCAGGGCATAGTAGGTCAGAGCCGGTGTGGGGATAGCACCTAGGTTGATGGGATGCATGCCTCCATCCTTCAACGCCTGCTCTACTGCTTGGCAGAGTCCTCCGCGACCCTCCTCAACATAGCTTGTGGAGCTGGGCCGAAGGTCATACGCAAAATAGAAGTCATCCCCGGACTTAATACCACCATCCTGTTGGTCCAGGGATTGGAGATAGCGAATTTCAGCAAGCACATTAGTATAAATTTCCAACTGTGTCAGATCAACCACTTTGCCACGGCGGCCGCTGGTACCGAATTTCAGGGGCACCGGCTCATAGGCGAGGTGACAGCGAAGAGCGTCGGAGGCAGAAGGTGAAGCCATTTTCTTCGTTCCTTCTATGTTTCTTGCTTACTTGCTTCTTGCTTCACTGAAGGACTATGGCTATTAGCTTTGGGATGACAGGTAGGAGGGGTTCTTGACAAGTTGATTGAAATGTTGCTATCTTTACGCTTGCGGGTATCACGTGGGAACCTCTGCGTTCAGCGAGTGGAGTGTGAAAACGTGACCGACATTGAGGGACGGGCGACCGGTGATTGGCCAATATGGAAAACACTCTTGCCACTAGCGGCTTAGCTATTCCTCGCATCCCGTGACCCCGCGCCTGCCATCTCAAAACACGTTAAAAACTTTGTAGTAGTCGATAGGGCTCAACTGATTTGTATATAGAAACTCACATTGAGTTATTTCAGGTCTTATTATGAATTATTAGATTCGCGTAGTCTTTAAGCATACCAAGGATGACTCTGTTGTGTCATATGCCTACGAGATAACTACTAACAACTCCTCGCCCTCGAAGGTAGCTAAATCTGCATAGATATTGGATATATTTTCTCTATCTCAAATTGATACTGTTGCCCGGCCACACGGTAGGAACGGATTAATAGACGCAAGTCGAGGATAAAACACAAATGTAGCCAGTGAATATAAAGCAATCACTGTTCGAAGTCAATGGACGGAAGGTGCAAGTCAGTCAGCCGTTAACAGTTACGTATCCCATCCAACACAGCTGAAATAGGCTTCTTCTTTTCATAACCTGTATGCCACTATAACAATAAAATTGTTCAGCTCTGCCGCTGCTTATTGCTTCATTCTGTTGAGGGCACGTGAGCTTCCGTCGGGACATCATCCTGACGTTTGACATTCAGAAACTTTGGAATATTACCCTCAGAGCACCCCTTCTCCACAGCATGAGTCTACACTCCAGCATCATGGACCTGCCTGTAAGTCAAGGCTCGGGTTACTTTTTGAAGGTTATGGACAAAGGAGCAGAGGAGTTCTAACGCGATAGCCTCAGATCGAGAGCATCCCAGACGACTGGACCACCGATCCTGCCGAAATTCACTTTGACCTGGTATGGAAACATCATAGAAGCCAAGGCCAGAAGATGGCGAGGAGGTTCGGGCTATCAAAGCCAAAGGTTCTCATGACTTCAAAGCGCGAAACGGGGATTCCCCAGTACATGATTCAATCAGGCGAGCAGTGCTATATCTGGAACGAGATGGACGACACGGTCTGGCAAATTATCAAGCCTACAGGGCTTCTAGCCATACTCCGAACTATGACCGTCAAGGGACAAAGGGCGCTAAAAGTAAAGAGAATTGAGCCACTCGAAGTTTACGAGTATGAGGAGCATAACGAGTAAATGGTCGTTCCTTCCATTAGGTGGCAAATGGTAGTCCTGGTGATAGCAAATAATATCATCTTACTTTGAAAATTTTCAGTCCTGAGTTCTGTTGTAGCTATACTAACGCAGTAATTCTTCTTGAAATTCACAATCTTGTATGAGACCTTAGCCAATTTTCAGATCGGAAGCAACAATGGCGGAAACCATTCCCATGGCCTTCAATGGTCAACTTGACCTGCGCAATGCGTATACATACTCACTGCCTCAGGTAGACCTCGTAAGTGCGAAGAATCCTTTTTGCCGCACTAATTTTGCAGTAGATCCATAACTTTCTCGCGGATGTCGTTAATCAGCCTGGGTTCTATGGTATTTCAATCAACCAGGTTTCGGAGCTAGTGGCTATTCGTGGGGAAATTATACGCTTGAGGTAAGACATTTCTGTGATAGGGCATTGACTAATGTAAGAAGCAATTAGGAAGTATAGGAAAGGCTAACTGGGTTTTTCTATATAGTCTCCCAAGGGGAGAAGAATATAACGATGTAGCGTTAGACCCAAGGCAACACATACATCGAACTACCCATCCACGATGGCCTTCCGCAAGGATATCGAAGTTACCGGGGGCATACAGTTCGGCCGATGTGCCGAGACATACCCGTTTCACTTCCTCTTAAGGTCTGTATAGTATTCTTTAAGTTACGGGGGAGGCTGCTGATTTGATGCAGGGGACATGAAGCGCCACAAAGTGTCTACGGACTGGCGTTGTGTAAGAGGTACTTGGATGTACCACTGTATGATGATAGGCTGTCGGGTAATATATGGCAGAACCGGTGGGACCTTGTTTGAATTGCCAAACACTTGTTCAGATATGGAAAGGCGACGTAAATCAATTTCTCAAGTGGTATGGGGCACAGGGTGCTCCTCCATGATGACGATGAGTGTTACTGAGCATCCAGCGTAGCGTGTAGCTAGCTTCAAAAGAGGTGTGCATTGATAAATCGAGCTTACTGTGACTTACCTTAACAACCTATGACACTTAATGCTGTTTGTTATGCTCAATAATACCTTAACCCCCTCCCTAAAACTTCCAATGGACCTAAATATTATGTTGTGACATATAACCTACACTATTACTCTCGGACAATGACAGACGAGAATAAGCAGCGTCAAGACAGTTCTTTTAAGGTGTACGTGTGGATAACCGCCTAACAGGTGTCTAATGTTGTTCTTTTTCCCGAGGAAGATAAAGAAACCACATTCGGAAGGCAATTCCGAAACCGTGGGTCTGATAGACGTCGATGTCTTTGCCATGGAACGTGTCTGTAGAGTAGGTGCAAGTCTTATCTCTCGGGCTTTTACAATATAATAGTAGTATACCCCACGAAACGGGAAGTTGTCGAATTGAGGTTATGTTAACATAAGATGCCGATCCTCCTATGTAAGGTTACTAACGTGCAACGTACAATGTTGTGTAGAAGTTTCTTCACAAAGGCTTATCCCGTATGTCCATGAAGTGGTTCGGCACAGGCGGAAAGAAAGTGGGCCGTACAGTAGACATCTCGTCTGTATCATGGAAAAGGCCTCACAGTCTAGACTCTTCACTAACCGTAATAGGCAAGTGACTCCGGGAAAGATATCTTGAAAGGAGTAATCACGATGGAGCCCTATGCACGGCTGGAGATAATTCCAGACGGAGACATGGCCGTCTGCGTCTCCAGCGGCAATTGCTGGGGTGCTTGCGGCCTCTGAGTAATGTGATCAATTGCCATTATTCCCCAGATTAGTTATAACCCGTGGGGGTGCATTGAAAACCCGGGGTACGGTCATACCACTTACCGATATAGATTGTGGAAGAAGGATATTGTTGCAGAATGATTGTGAATTGCCGCTGGGCCTAAATATAAGCATCATATTAGCAAAGGTATCAGTTCTAGTTGTGTAAGGGTATGCGACAAATGCCAGCAATCTTTATCTCGTATCAACGGTATCTGGCATCAGCCCCTATCATATTCCACATTACCCCCGGATCCCCATTCAGCTCCACTCTACTCCATTATGCTTTGTATACTTTGCCGTTCGTTCGTCTGCTGTTGATTGGAATGCACATAGCATGTTCCCCGCAAAAGATTCTGTGACCGCTAGCCGTGGTCTTCCTCGCTTTCTACTACCCGATCCTATATGTAAGTCTGGTCCCCAACGCGCTTATACGACTTTCTACCTTCCTTCCGAGTTTTCAGCTCCTTCTAGCCTGTTTTAATTCAAGTTAATCCAATCCCTGAAGCTTTTAACCTTTCAGCTTCTGTCCGAATCCCATCAAACAGGCCCGGAGAGACCAACATATTAACAGATGCCTCGAGTAACGTCAAGCTCTCAGATTGTCAACGTTTCCCCGTCAGGTAGTATTGTGTCAGGATTAGAAGAACAACGGAATGAAATGCTAGATGCAAGCAATATCGAGGACAAGAAGATAGAACTCACACCAACCCGCCAGGATGTTTTTGGTGACGAGACACATGCGGAGGTGAAGTATAAGGTCTTGAAATGGTGGTAAGGGAAAACGTCCGATTTCATTAACGGGCTAAATGTGCTAATGGATACGATGCTTTCTAGGCAATGTGGCCTGCTTATGGTTGCTGAGACTATATCCCTGGGCATCCTCTCATTGCCAGCAGCCATTGCGAACCTTGGCTTTGTCCCCGCAATAATTATTCTCATCTCATTAGGCCTCATAGCATCATATACTGGCTACGTGATTGGGCAGTTCAAATGGAGATATCCTCATATCTCTAGTATGGCCGATGCTGGCGAGCTGCTTATGGGTCCATTTGGCCGGGAGCTGCTTTTTGTCGGCCAGATGCTGTTTCTGGTGTTCCTCATGGCAAGTCATATCCTGACCTTTACGGTCGCCATGAACACTCTTACCAACCACGGCACTTGCTCCATTGTCTTTGGTATCGTGGGGCTTGTTGTTTCACTCTTGATGTCGTTGCCGCGCACATTGGCAAAGATGTCCTGGCTCTCCCTGGCGTGTGAGTTCCTATCCTCCTAGTATACCATTACCCCCATTGACCACAGAGCAGCATTTATAAGCATCTTTACCGCGGTTATGATTGCCATGATTGCCATCGGGATACAGCGACCGGGGGTTGTTACTACTGCTATTAACCACCCGAGCCTGGTAACCGGAGTGACTTCGGCCTTGAATATAGCCCTCTCCTATGGTGAGTCACATCAGACATGGAATACAATGGACAAATACTTGCCATTGGACGCCGACACCAGAGAAAGTCAAATCTGACCAAACATAGCGAGCCATAACGCATTCTTTAACATTATCGCCGAATTGAAAGACCCCAAGGACTTTCCAAAGGCGCTGTCACTCTTGCAATGTATCGACATATCTCTCTATCTTGTTTGCGGTGTTGTAATTTACCGATATGCTGGTGAGGGTGTTGAATCACCAGCACTTGGATCAGCTGGCCCGCTGGTGGGAAAGATTGCTTATGGCATTGCTTTGCCCACGGTAAGCTCCATTAACACATGGCTGAGCTCTAGTACATATGAATCTTGCAGGCTAACAGTTTCAGATCATCATTGCCGGCGTCATAAACGGCCATATCGCGTGCAAATCGATATATACCCGTGTATTCGCCGGTACCGATCGCATGCATAAGCGTGATTTTGTTGCCGTCGGCTCCTGGATAGGAATTGGTGTAGCACTATGGGTTGTTGCCTGGGTTATTGCTTCTGCAATTCCTGTCTTTAGTAACCTGCTCAGCTTGATGGTATGTTTTTCTTGCCTTTAAAAATAGCGACAGTTCTATACTGACTATAATGCTCTAGACTGCCTTATTCGCTAGCTGGTTCAGCTTCGGACTACCGGGTGCCTTCTGGTTGTATATGAACAAGGACCTCTGGTTTTCGTCACCGAGGAAGATCCTCTTGACTATATTTAATACATTGTGTATCTGCCTCGGAATTATAATGGTAAGCGCACTCACCTTATACCCAGTGTCGCGTCGTATCCCTTTAATTAACACTATCTAGTGTGGACTCGGTCTATACAGTTCAGGCAAGGCTATCCATGATGACCCTAGTAGCCAAAGCTTTTCATGTGCAAACACTGCCTAGTGGTTTTTGTCGCAGTATGCTTGGGTCACTACTTTTCCACAAGATCTTTTTCAAGCACATAAACTCAGAAATTTATGATTTTCACGACTATGCGTGTACTGCAGTGTTTACGGCAAACGGCGTCAGGTGTATCTAGACATATATAACGAAGAGACATTATCATTAAAATTACCCGACGTGTCCAAAATTGTGGGATAACCAAGATTTGGCACCTATAGCGCTTTTACATACTATGTGAGACATGGCCCAATATCACCACCAAGGATGCTGCTACTCCTTGGCTATCTGAAACGGCGGAGTGCGTCAAAGCGATCGGCCTGACACTTATCCTAATGACCTCACCGAAAACCAGTGGCGAAAGACAGCAGGCATCCACGAGTAAGATATGATCGGGTAGGAGCATCAACTCCATACAACGTGCTAGTGCGTAAGACAGAATCGGCCGGAAGCCGAGCAGGCCTACCAACATGGCTAAAGCCACGAGGGATCGGTTTAACAACCCCACAGAGCCATTCGGCGCGATACTCGGGGCAGAAGCGGTGCAATCGGTGAAACACGCCAATAGGAAAGTGTTTCCTCATACGCTATAGCGGTCTTCTGGAAGTGCTTGCCTGATTCATAGTCGCTTAGGTATCGGTCTGGGAAACGGATGTTGCCCTCGTCCAACACTCCGAAGTAAACGGCAGACTGGAGAGTATAAAATGATATTTTATTCTTCCTTTTACGACCTGGTGATTCTTTATAATGTGTGACAATTCCTGGGCGTCTCTGTCCGGGATACGGCTTGGTATAGGACTCTTGAACAGACCGGACTTTGTCCGATGTCTGAGATTGGAACAAAGATGTCTTATCATGCATCGCCAAGCATGTAGAAAGCATATCATGTTGGCTATCATAAGCCACAAACCATAATAATCAGGCCCTGCTGTATTTGTCGTGGGTTAGCATTTAAATTTGTTCTGTGGGGTGTGATAAGCTGAGAAACACTGTTACTCGCTCGGAAGCAACAAAGTCAACAACAGTGCAATACTAGAAAGATGCAAGGGAGACACTGTCGATTAATCTGAAGGATCCTGATAATCCATCGACAACAAAAGCCGCAGAGTAATTCAACGTCGCATTGTATCAACGATACTCATTTCCGTGGCCACTTTCTGTGAATAGATTCCACGCACATTCTTATACCTGATCTCAGCATTCACATTATACCCATAGAGCCAACTTCAATGTCGTACTTAGCTTTACTGGATGCAGGATGAGGATATCTATACAAGTCACTATCAAGACCTTCCCTCACGCTTGAATCTATTGTGCGAGGTATCATTCGCAGTAAATGAGTCGTAATACCCGGTTGTTAGGTACTTAACGGGCGACCCGAACAAGAAAGCAGGAAGCCAAAGACAATGCTCGTCCTGACAAATCATTAGGTATCGAGTAATGGTTCCAACATATTTCTTATATAGCTCAATGTTTCTGCTCTGATCATATCCCAGAGGACCAAGCCTCCGTGGAGAAAATGCGTCTACGTATAGTGGCGATACAGTATTTCTAGACTAGTTGATTATATTAACGATAGCATTTCTATGTATTCTAGAGGAGGCTGGATAATCTATTTGCATTTGTAATTTGCTTTCGTGGATTGAGGGGCATATATGAAAGTGGTATCAATTATCACAGTGGGGATATCGGCAATATCTATTAACTTCGAAGTAACTAAGAGTAAACTGTACTGAGAATCAAGAATATAAGAGCAATACAATGAAACGGAGAATCTGAAAATCAAATGTGGTAGTGAAAGACATAGAAGTGGCTGCAATGAATATTTCCCGAATATTTCATTCAGAGATTGCCATAGCGTGGATGCTAAAGAATACATACTTCAGCGGTACAGCCTAGTCCGTCTGATGAATCGAGAATGTCTCACCACCTTTGACTGTAAAGAAATCTTTCTCATTCGAGAGGAAGGCTGTGGCATTGTATTTATGCAAAGTCTCCTTCAGAGGAGTTGGAAGATAGACCGTGCCTCTGGTACCGTTAGGGGCGGTGACCGTCATGTGCAGCAGGTTATTGCTGTCAAACGACCAATCCACATTGATTTTACCACCAGGAACTGGGTAGGCTCCCTTAGCCCAATCGAGATCCAATGATTGTGGAACAACCTTCCACTCCTTGAAGCCCGGAGTCACAGGCTGCACGCCCAGAACATAGCGACTCAAATCGGCGGTAGGCCCTGAGCTCCAAGCATGACACAATGATGTACTAGAACCAAGTCCAGGAGTACCGTCGGCCATCATGACTTCCCACATGCAGCCAGTATAATTGGTATGTGATGCATCGCTGATAGGACCCCATACACTGTGAAGAAGATAGTTGGCAGTGACACTGTCATTGGCATGAAAGGCGGCCTTCAAATGATATCCAGACGCATAAGGGCTTATTTTCTGTGCCCATCCACTTGCAGCACTCCTATTGGAGAAGGCAAGAGCACCTGATGGTACGTAAAGCTCGCGGGCCAGGGTCGAAAGAACTGTTCTGGATGTTCGATTCCCATATGCGGTCGTGTCAGCAAGCACCGCAAGGGCGTTTGCTTCTTGGGATAAAAAGTCTTTGTGGGAATCAGATAAATAGTACGCCTGTAGTGTATCGCTCCAAAGATGCTTGTTGATGGCATTTTGTAGGTTGTGCAGACGTCCTGCATACAAAGTAGTATTCAAACCCGCATCATCCATAAATGGGAGCCACTGTTTAAGGGCATAGGCGTAAATCAGGTTGAACTTGCTGACCACTCCATCCAAGGCGGGATCATAGTAATTCCAATCACCACCAAGAGCGGAATTAGAGATATTAAACAGGCTGTTAGGGAGTGTCTGAGAATGGGCCCAATCAAGCATGCGAGCTGTTTTAGGCGCCCAATGATTCAGGAAATTTGCATCGCCAGTCTGCTCATAGAAGCGCGCCATGGCGCTGACCATACTAAATGAATATCCAATCAAGCCGGTGATATTAGCGTCAATCTCAGTCTTGCGAGGAGCTTGCTGGATTTTGGTAGTTGGGACAAAAAACCCTGGCGGCATCTGGAATGAGCCTAGCAGCTCTATAGTACCGTTGATATAGTCATGACCGTATGTACTAGCGAACGCTGTTCCAGTCGCCATATCCAAGTCTCCTGCATAGGCAATACGATCCCGACGAGAGCCGTCAACGCTAACAGGCAAGGGGTTTGTACCGAGGAGAAAGTCCTGTAACGCGGATGCATCATTTAAGGACGAATAGTACATATCCTGTCCGGAAACCGTTAAGGAGACGTTGGTGAAAAGTGCCGAATGACCTAGAGATGCGCCCAGCCCAAAGGATCCGTAGAATGCAGCAGATTGAGAAAAGTTGAAGACAGGCACACCGTCGATCCGAACTGAAATACCAACCATTTCCACATTGCTCTGGACTATGTGCCATTGATTTAAAGTAATATTTGATGGCAATTTGGCAGACGCAATAGGGTCCGAACGCTCAGTGGATCCAGCGTGTGCAGAGATTGAAGAATTGGCAACGTTAACAAAGATATAAATCCCATTAGCAAGGGTGTCGCTCAAAACAGTGAATCCAAAACCATTCATTATAGGCTTGACAGAAAATTCGAGATCGTAGGCAGTCATGGCCGTGGCAAAATCGGCGCTGAATGGTTGGGGTGCCAAGCTGTCGATAAAAGCTCCCTCATCAGTAATAACCCAGAAGTTTGGCAGGCTCTTAGCAGGGATTTCTGTCAGCTGCGTTGTGCGAGCACCGACCTGCCAGATACGGTTCAGAACAGGGTCAGAACAGCTGAAAGAGCCCGGTAGAGCAGCGATAGGTGCTCTAGATACGGTAGGTTTGAACCCGATACCAGACAGCTCGACTTCACCTGCACTGGAGAGATTCAGCTTCTGGTATCGCAAGCCCCCTTGGATCAGGCGGTTGGTATAGGTCTTTTGTTCGGTGATGTTGTATCGGTTGATTCGATAAGTATCCATGGCAGCCGCCAATGGCATCGGACCGTCCCCCTAGATAGGATCAGTATTCGTTCCCATCGACACAGTTGGAGAATACACACCATGTCTGAATCTAGAAGAGCACGAGTCTCGCTGTATGTCATTTCGAAGGTAGAAGTGTCACCGGACCTTTTAGAGACATGGAAGGTAGCATATCCTTCGACATTACGTCCATAATCAAGGATAACAATCGAAGGACTGGTACCATTTGAGGCTAACTTGATAAGAGTACTTTCGTCAAAAACCATAGGTGTTCCCTCGGAACTGGTATAGGTCTGAGCGGTATAGGGTAGAGCTGGTGCTGGAGAACCATTCGCAGACCCTCCAGTTACATGTAACAGACCCAAGAGGGCCACATAACTATTGACTCTCATCTGGACTCCAGGGAATCCCGATCAAAGGGAAAAATTATGCTGGGGACAACTTTACTTTGAACAGTGTTGCATTTTTCCTGAACTTCAATCGTAATATATATACCGGGTGAGGTTCATGACGTAAATCCAAATACCGACTCTTCTTACTACACTTGGCTTATTTTGATTTTATTAAACATCCCCCTTTACGCCCTATGAACGAGTAGAGACTTCTTTCGAAGGCGTTTGGGTGGTAAGGGCTCTAAAAAGCGGGTCCCTTTCTATGTAGTCATACCGAGCGGGCCGATCAAATTACGAGAATACGAGAGATGGAAAGAAGGTTCATTCGCCCCATCATCTCTTGACTTCTACTCCACTTTACCTATAATTCTGCAGCCAAAGTCCTGAAGATCGTTAATGTCTTAAATGGTTCTGTGGCAATACTGAAAATTCCTGTGGTTTGAACCCACTTAAGTTGAAAGAAGGTTGTTGCCTGACTACTTTCCTGGCCACTATTATGGCTTTCCAGTACTGCCAATGCTTGCCGTCTCATCCATTATCCATGCCATATGACAAGTCGAATACATGGAAGAAAATTATATACGTAAGGTGAATACGCCAATTCCGGGAAGCCCTCTTACAGCTGTCTAGTCTGTCTTTTAGGTTGACCCTGTAATGCGATTAAATAATGGATATACCGCTCACGTGGCGTGTTGTTTGAGTAGCTCTATCAAATCTTGGAACATAATCGCAAAGGAAAATCTTAATCTACCTCTCTCAGTATTCTAGTCCTTCGGCCTTCGGCATATGATACCCACCCCCCCAAGCCGGCAACGCCACAAGCCAAGGCCACAAATAAGCCTGTTGTCCAACTGGGACGATTGAATCTGTCCATTCCCCACATAAATCCTGCTAGGAATGCCTGAAACACCGTATTCCAACAGTTGCACCATATTACCAGATCCAGTTTCCACGGTGGGCTCGGTTGAACACATAGAGCCGGAGTAGACACCTCTTCCACACCAATGTCGATCGGTCTACGGTAGAACCATGAGCGATGGATATCGCACAAGCGGGCGAGACCAATCTGTTGGCCCCCTACTCTCCATTTGACCCAGAAATAGAGATCACGGATACGCCATGGTGCCAAGCCAAAACCAGTGATGCAGAAAAGGGCGTTTAGGATTTGTGAATCAATTTCGATCCACTTCTTGCGAGCAGAATGGATGTCATCACAGGTCGGGTGGCACATAGCAGGAGCAGCGTTGCAGATGAGGAGGAAAAGCATGCCACCCCAAGCAATCACGTTAAGTCCATATAATGTAGTCAATAACCCTAGGGGTGTTCTGAGCCAATTCCAGAAGTATTTCAACTTTGTCCTGATTTTGCTGGGCGATGGCGTATCCGGGAGAGAATCAAATTGTGTTCTATGGGCGTCCTAAGTCAACAATGGCACTGCCAATGCACAATAGCTGGGTGTAGCAGGTGAACAACAACACTTACCGTTTTTCTGAGTGCAGGGAAGTGACACTAGAAGTTTCTGCCATTTCACTCGTATTGCCCATTTCATAACTAGAGCTGTTACTAGAATTATGACCTAAGTAAAGAAATCGGAGACCACTTTGGCCGTTCTCTTTGCCCATGTTCATGGGCCCATTGATGGACATAGGCATGGGAAGCTTGAGGCACGGACTCTGTATCGGTATATCCTGAATAAGGCAAGTGAATTGTCAGGGTTAAGAGAAGATCTTGGAATAGAAATTTGTACACGAGAAAGGGGCTTGCATCATAGGCATATTATAAAGTCTCGGGCTTTGGTGGGCGTAAGGCAATTGCTTTTTCAGGTGATTCCACTCTATTAGGTGCACTATAGCCTATAAACATTGATAGAGATCTACCCGGGTATGCTTTACTGTGGTGGAGGTCCATACGCGGTACAAACGTTGGATAGATACAATATAGCCCCACTCAGACTATGGTTTCTCTTGGCTTTGGGCCCGCAGTCAGTTTCCATGTTTAATGTGTACGCAAACGGAAGAGGTTAGGGTGAATTGAAGATTCACATAATACGAATATACGAGAGGGTTAAAACGCCCAGCGCGGCATTGTATCATTACCTCGGAAATTGGGGATTTAAGCAAACGGTCCGTGTATCGCTTTGGATATACAGCGGTAGGTCAGTATCTGGGATATCCAACGACCAGCCAAGAGAAGTGAAACGACAATAGGAAAGAAGACAGATCAAACAAATTATTTAATACAGATTTTCTAGAAATGAAACGACCAAGACCTGGAGATTGGCACCGAATATCTCAACTGAGGGCATTGAATTTAGACAGAACCATCTCAATCTCTCCAGGCGAAGCAGGGAACCTTTGTAACATATACTCCCCAAGTTCTATTTGTGACTCCAAGATCTTTGTCTCCGTAGGGTTGAGGTTCCTCTTTTTAATACTTTTATAAATACCCATAGCTGGGTACGCCATGAGGCCGAACATTGCTATAAGGACATTTTAGTACGAGAATGGCAAGTCCACAAGTTCGAAGCCCTTACCTGCACCTGGCTTTGAGAAGAGTTCAACACTACCCTTGGCAAAGCCCTTTGCAAATCCTGCAGCGCCATCCTTCTTTCCCTCCCGGTAGGGCTTCGTAACAAAGCCGGACAGCCCACCAGCGAAACCAGTATAGAGGCTCTGTATTATAAAGATTATATCTTTAGCATCCGACTATAATGCGCTCGTGATTGCTTCCTTGTTACGACGAAAATGCCACGAAAGGACATCCAAACAAAAGGCAACTCCAGGGAGCGTTACAGCAAGCTTTATAACGAATGTTGATCACTTACCTTTCCAGCATGCGTCATCCCACTTTTCCAGCCCTCTATAGGAACTGCCTTTTCTGGCTGCTCCCCATACAACCTGGGAACATTGCGCAAGCCTTCAGCCAAAGCAGTTGGAACATCCAACAAAGTTCCCTTGACCAAGCTAGATGTCATTTGGGTCATGCCTTTGGTTGGGCTGGTGCTCATCTTGCCTAGCCCTACAGTGAAGTCTGTCATGGTATTGAGCAAAGCGCCTGATGTTGAACTTAAGGGGTCGGTGTATGTCTTTTCAATTCTCATATCCTTGGCTCGATACCTTGTTGAATTAGTCATAACAATTCATATTGTTTTTGCTGACCAATGCACGTACGGTTTTAGGTGCTGCATATCAATCATCTGATGTTGGGAGAGAATAGCCATGGCCTTGTGAGAAAGCTTCAGACCACGCTTTTTATCAACAAGCCAGGCTGCGGTTTCCGAGGGTAGAAGGTCGCATTTCAAATCCTTCCAAGGTATGTGCCGGTGGAAGCTCGCGGCTGCATTGGATACTCCATCTTCCGCCTTCATTTTAACAGCAATGGATGCAGCCGCTTGCTGTGCGCTTTTGGTCAAGCAGAACCTAATGGAATCTGAAAGCGCTTTTGCTGTAAGCTCTTTGTGGTCAATGGGTAACGATCCAGCGCCGGCAGCTGCTACCATTTTAGCCCAGAAGGGCTGGCTAGTTATTGTCAGCTTTTTGTTTTCTAGATGGATAACTTAAGACCAGGATGAGAGAGAGGTCTAGACATACTCGCCAAAGAATGGTACTATGGCTGTCGGACAGCCGTTGAGTAAACCACATGCCGTGGTTCCTGCTCCACCGTGGTGAACCACCGCTGCGACATGCTTGAATAGCCACTCTGTCACATATGTGTTAGCGAGCTATTGTGTACATGGGATATTAAAGGCGAATCAAACCGTGGGGACAATCGTCTATGAACAAAATATTGGGATCATTGCATTCTTGACCCAATTTACTCCATCCTCTGGAGACGATCGCGCGGATGCCCAGTTCTTGACAGACTTCTTGAATGATCCTGGTCATAGCTGCTGGATCATCCATCACGATGCTGCCAAATCCAATATATACCGGTGTAGATCCTCGATGTATGAACTCATGTATCTCCGGGGAATTGTACAAAGGCTCATCTCGAAAGAAGAACCCACAAACAGGTCAGCCACAGCAAGGCAAGGGGGCACAAGGATTAAAAACCAATATATGATGGCCAATCTAAAGGCTTTGGTATCAGTGCGGGAGACCAGCAATAGGTGTGTGGTATTTTCATGGCTTCCATAAGTCCAGCAGCGGTCCTCGGTGACAGCTCATCGAGATTCAGTGTTCTCACACGCCATCGATTGATGAGGTCGGCCAATCTGACACTCATCGTTAGTATTGCGTAAATTAATTTCCATGAAAATCATTTGATGCTAGGATTCTCACCCACTCCATGTCAGCAACTCCACCATACTGTACGACATATAGTTACGGAGCGAAGCATCTGTGCCGGAGCCTTTGACATTTGCCAACGGATGTGGAAATTCCTTGGTAGGACTCCAAGGCATTGTGAACATCATGTGTAGGGGCACCCCCAAGGCCTGGGCGCAATGTATGTGGGCGAAGCTTGGGGGGTTTGCGATAATGGCATCCGCAACAAAAGGTAATTTCGTCTCCGGGTCAGGCTCGACACAAGACCGCCAGCATCCATCCAGCATTTCGGCAATCATCTGGCGTTTCCGACCAATTTCGCCTCCGGCAATGGTTGACATTTTCGGTATGATTCCCGGGTTTTTCACCATGAACTATGTAGATGACATCAGGCCCAGTACTTTGTTGCTAGCTAGGGCTTAGAAAATACTCACGGACATCAGCTCCTCCGGATTTCCACCGATAGGGTAGAACTCTATCCCTGCCTTATGAACAAAGTCCCTAAAATTTGCGTGGGTCGCAAGACGGACACGATGTCCATTCTTTTGTAACCGCGTGCCAAGAGCAATGAATGGCTGGACATCTCCTGTGAGCGGTATATATGATACGGTTAGAAGAAGAAGAAGAAGAGAATTGATCATGACACGCATGACTATAAGGGGCCACCAACCTCTACTCCCTACTATTTGAATGACAATATTCAATGGTGTTATTGCGCTCAGCGGCACATCAGGAAGTGGCCGCGTTTCTGTTGGTAGATTTGAAGGTAGGTAATCGTTCAGGCCTGTCTGCTTGGCCACCACAGTTACATCGATTCGACCGTCATCTGCAATGCACTCAGACGTTATTAGTTAGACTTGACAGACCAGTGTGAAAACTGACCGCGGGCCAATGTGGACGCTTCCATGCAGTCACCAGAGACTGCGACATCGTACGAGGGAGGTGGTTCATCATAGAGATGCGACTCCATGATTGATATCCTGTAAGCAGTTGAGACCCAAAGGGTTATGTGGGATGAGAGTTACCTTCTTTATCCCACCGAAAAAGTAGAAAGACAAGTTTTCTTGGCTACTGTTTGATCGGCAGCCCTATTGAAAACGCAAAATACCGGAGTACTTATAGCGTAATATCCGCTTAACTTTAAGTAATGGGTGGAGCCTTCGTCCCAGAGAACACGAGCATACGAAAGGCAACATTATAGAAGCTGGTAGGATGATGAATCATGATATTGTGAAAGGTTCACCTAATACAACACCCCATGGGCGTGGTGGTCAGATATCGTCTAGATGATATGGTCGAGACTATAGTTTTGTTTCTTATCCTTGGCTTTCCTTTCCTTTTTTTTTTTTTTTTTTTCCTTCACTTACGGCGGACTAAGCGAAGTTCCGGACAATAACGATTTCCTACCAAAATCTCAGTGTTCTATTAAGCCACGCACTTATTTAATAGCGCTCTATACTATTCAGAGTCTTATAGTACATTAAAATCATTAATTAAATTAATAGTATTAAAAATATATAGAGAGGACTATAATATCTGGAACCAGTACTATAGTAGTAGTGGTAGAGATAGTAATACTGGTAGTAGTTAGTAGTTACAGACTAGGCCCTAAGCTTAGGGGTCCCAGTGCCTGCTGGTGGTAAAAATCTAAGTCTAGAGGCTACCGTAACTAAAATTGAAAGTTTTTAAAAGCACTAAAGTACTGCCGGTAAAGGTTTAAAGACAGTAAACATATTTAGAACTAAACCAGCTGACGATTCGATTATCTAGACTATTACTATTAGTGGATAATATAGTAAAGCCTTTAAATAGATTGAATTGGCTAAGTTATGGTGCGTTGGTGTTGGTAAACTTGATAATATTTTACATTATCCGGAACTTCGATTTAGTCTGCCGTATTTACTCCGAGGATCGATTGCTATGCCAGGATAGGCTGCGCACTCTCAAGGTCTGTTTCATACAACTTCAGTCTATTGACCCCTGAAGCGTTAGGTTAGAGAAGGTTATGGAATCAACCATGATTCGCTTCTGTGAAGCTATCATTCCTAAAGGTTAGAAAGAGAAGATAGCAAGAGCACCAGGAGTCCAGGACCCACTTCATGTCCGAAGGAAGTAATCCCGCCCTAGTCGTATATTCGTATATTCGTATAATCGCATAGTCGTACAGTCGCATAGGTAGAAAGAACCATGGAACCCATGCATGATAGTGGAGCTGTGGTTAAGTGTGGAAAAGGTTAATCTCCCCCAATGTAGTTTTGCCCTCTATTGGAATCTATGCTGCTTCACGGCACAAAAGCAGGAATGTCATTGCACACCTCATTTACTCGAGCATCTTCTCGATCCCATGGTAGACACCCTTCTTGGTGTAAGTGATATCCCACAAACAGGGATCTCTGAACCCGGGAATCGCCGCCAAACCCAGTAGTGCGCATCGGAAACTCTTCCAGACAGTGATACCAACGCATCTTGGTGTATCGAGACAGGCACGCAAGGTATCAAAGTAAACCTAGGCTTGTTGGGCGGTTTTTGCATGGTCGCTCGGCATCTGGATGAGAACATCAAGCTCACTATACGCTACCTCTACACCGAGGTTGGTGAACTGTTGGAGACTCGCCATCTGGCTCTCGTAATCCGGCAATTGGATTGCGGGGAAGTGTGCTTGCAATCCGACACCATCGACCCTTACTCCTTGGCCTAGTAGCTCCTTGATGAGATTGGCTGCAGCAATTGACTTTTTATTCACAGATTCAATCCCGTAGTCGTTGTAATAAAGTCTGGCTGCGGGATCGTATTTTGCGGTCAGCTGGTAGGCAATAGGAATGTATTCCGCTCCAATAATGTTATACCAAGTCGTCTCACGGTAGCTTTCATCATCATTGAATGCTTCGTTAACTACATCCCAGGTATAACAGCGTCCCCTAAAATACCGAACAACGTTCTTGATATGGTTCTCCATGATGACCAACAGGGTTGGGCGGTCCCAGCTGCCCGAAGTTAGCCATCCAGGGAGACCGTTATGCCACACCAAATTGTGGCAGCGGACCTTTTGACCCTGGGTCAATGCATGATTAACGACCCGGTCAGCATTAGCGAAGTTAAAAACGCCACGCTGTGGCTCGGTGGCATCGAACTATGTCGAGCATAGGTATAGCAGGTTTTCGACACACAGTTGTAGCAGGAGAGGGGTCACATCGTACCTTTTGGCTGTTCTCAGGGGTAATTTGACCAACTTCGGTGGAGTCATCCAGGAAGGTAATGTACCTGATATCATTGAAATATCCCACATCATTTGCGGTTCCAAAGTAGAGCTTCCCCGCACTTGCATGAGGGAGTTCAAGCCCGAGCCCTCTCTTTGAGATGCCAAAGAAGTGCCCATGCCTAGAGGAGGCAGTGCAAGAAAGGAAGCAACAACGGGGCTAAGCTTCATCTTAGTATTTCGACGTCATATAGCGGGATTCCTTGACTAGAAATCACCGCAGAGGACAATGCAAACCGTAGGCCGGTGGCATTAGTGAAACATTTATAGCTTCATCTGCATAAGACCCAAACATACCAGCATAGAAAATAGCTACCCCCATGATATCTTCAATCTCTTCACTGATTTTAGATGGTGGATTTCCCTCTTACCCTTTTCCAATCTACATCGGAATGGATTCAATTTCCACCAACAATACTGAAAATGCTGCACAGCCTAACCTTGGCAGTTTGATGAGGATCTACTCTACGTACACGAATATCCCTGTAAGTCGACGCATGCTAATACAAATACGTGGGATTGGCAACCTTCATGACAATGGTCATCGATAGTAAATGCGGGGTAAATGGCTCGGGGTTGGGGAAACCATCTTAGCTCACATGGTTCGAGTCTCGTAACTTTGTATAGAAGAGTACCGCTTCCTTCTTGAACAATCACATGCTGTGTCGGCAGGTTTCATGGATCTTCCATCGTACATCCACGGACCCTCAATTGTGAGTTATGACATGTGAAGACTGGGCTACAGGAGATATATCATGAATCTCACACCACTTGCAGTATCGTGGTGAAGTTAGTAACTCATATAATGGGGAACCAGTCCACAACTACCTGTCATCCTGTGTTCTTTCAGGCATTGAAGATCTCTTAGACCGCGAAGAGGTAATTATCCCAATTCTATTTTTCTACATTCTGGTATACCAAGTTTAATATGATTATGGCCATGGGTATACATTATCTCGCTAGCACTTAGTGGTGCATCTTAAGTCCCTATGGGATAATCGGAAGCTATAGATATAGGAAAGACGCCAGGATCGGAGGAACCGGCTAATACGAGGATACGGGAATGCGAGTATATAAACCCTTTTCAAATTATTCTCTGATTCTCCACGATGCGATACTTGCATTGGGCATATGATATGATCCATATTAACGAGATTGTCTCGTCCGCGGGCCTGGGTGCGGCAGTAGAGGGCAGCTCTCGGGCTAAACGTGACCGAGTGCGATATGGCGCCCAATTGTTACGTTAGACATAGTATATAGTCGTGCAAGTTCACTAGAGCAGCAATGACAACTTGCCAATAGCTTCTCAACAGGCTTATTGGACTATCGTACAGCATATATAATCCTACTACCATGGAAATACTAGTTGCCTATACTAGCGAGCACCTCGCAAGATATAGTTATGTAGCAGAATGCTCACAACCGGTTTTAATTCAAACCAGTTGCCTTACCAGATTATCTTACAATATCCTTAACAGTGGGACAGGAAAATGAATCTGATAAGTTTGTAGGTCACATAGATTGCGAGGATGACTATTGTAGTACTTTGTTCGCTAGTCACTTTATGTGACTATGTTCAATCTGGACTATCATACCTAACCACAGCTTTCACACTATACCCATTGATCTAATTTCAACGTTTCATTTAGCTTCACTGGATATAAGATGCAGATATATTTCAAAGCTGTCGTCTGGACCTTTCCTTCGCTTGGATCAATTCTGCTTAGGATGTATCTTCTTGGCATCATGAGCACATGAAGATCATTCCGAAATGGGAAAACAGACTGTAGCATAGCATTCCAATGAGATGGAGCGAGCACGCCATGCGTCAAAGGAACACCGCATTCGGATTTCCTAGGAAGGCTTACCACCTTGTTTTTTAAAGACGAATGTCCGTTCTTCCGGCCTTCTAGTGAGGAATCAAATGTTGACATCCTGACAGCTCGTCCCGTTCCGTTTGCAGCGACCCATGCCACCTTATGTTACAACCTGACAATTCAGCAAAACGTTAGTGTTTTCCAAGTTTCCATAATTTAAGTAAATGGAAAAAGCCTTTGGACTGAAAAGCTACGGGAATATCTCGACTCTGGCGCTATCATGGTTTTCGCATCGTCCATGCGTAGGCGTACCTTAATTTTATGCTGTGCTTCACTAGTCTTGTGTAGTGCAGCTAGAGATGCCACATCACCCCCTGCAGGACAAAAATGGGATTTTGATGTGAGTCGCAGATTCCGTAATGTGACAGTTCCCTACTAATATAGGTTAGTGGGGATATTCTGGGATTTCGACATTTGGGCACCTGCGACACGAACGATGCCTTGCAGATCCTAGCATTCCGTTCGATATAGCCGTCTTGGGCATCCCTTTCGACACAGCGGCCAGTTACCGGCCAGGTAGGCATTGAGTGTACGAACTGTAATGATAGATCGGCATCTAACAAGGCGGGCTTAGGTGCAAGATTCGGTCCTCGGGCTATTCGAGCAGCATCGAACCGACATCTCCCTAGTCGGGGCTTTAGTCCATACGCGGGGATCAATCCGTATATGTCATGGGCACAGGTATTGGACTGTGGAGATATTCCAGTTACCCCGTTCGACAATGAACTCGCCTTGAAGCAAATGACCGAGGCATTGCAAGAGCTGAGCGAAAGGTCGGCAACGAGTTCGAAAGATGGTCAGCCACCTAAGCTAATTTTGCTTGGGGGCGACCATTCCATCGCACTACCTGCTCTTCGAGCGCTGAAGAGCGCATATAAACAGCCGATAACCGTAGTTCACTTCGATGCCCATCTGGACACTTTACATCCCAACAGCTATCCCAGTGTATGGTCGTCTCCCCAGTCCGATTTTACACACGGGTCCATGTTCTGGTTAGCTACAAAGGAAGGCTTGATACAGAACGGTACCTCAGTGCATGCCGGTCTCCGCACTCGTCTTACCGGCACTGGTTGGGAGGACTATCAAAGGGATGATGAGCAAGGATTCCTGAGGCTGACGACCGAGGACATCGATGAGATCGGCCCACAGGGCATCGTGGACAAGATTATACGTCGCGTTGGCACTGAGCATCCTGTATATCTATCCTTCGATATAGATGTCTTGGATCCAGGTATTGCGCCCGGGACTGGCGCCCCAGAGCCAGGAGGCTGGACGATGCGTGAAGTTAATAGGATTATGAGGGGCCTGCGCCCACTTAACATTGTCGGTGCCGATATTGTCGAGGTTTCACCAGCTTATGACGACAAAGGTGAGAGCACCGCGTTTGCGGCTGCTCAAATTGCGTACGAGTTGATCACGAACTGGGTGCTGAGCGGATCCGACACAGACAGGGTAGAGGACACAGTGAAGACAGAGCTCTAATGCAGCTGTCGCAAAATGGCAGACATCATCGTCGCCTTTTACCTCTTCTTTCCCGGGCTGGCCTTTTTTTTTTTTTTTTTTTCACCTTTTTATCCTATAATCATTAGTTGAAACGTTGAGGGAGAGGTATTGTCCGTTCTAGTGCTCTTCGTGTGCCTTACCGGTTTACGGTCAAAGACGACCGATTTTTAGACATGATATTGATCGCAACCTATATATACTTCAGAAGATTGTAACAGGCCGTAGCGAGGATAGTGGAGTATATCGGAAAGCTAATATACAATGCTCGTATCAAATGTCGTTCGCCACTAAAAGTATCCATGGGCACTATCCCCCAACAAGCACAAGCTCAACCACGAGCTTTTAGGCATTGACTGAAATCCTGGAGAACCATGGTACTGTGGCATCTATTCATTGGCAAATTCGGGAGACATGACAGCTCTAGCCAGATATGATGTCAGTGTGGCTCAGGATTTCAAACTCTCTTATAAACAGGGCCCGCCCCAGGTCTGGCTACGTACTTGAACATAACTATCAGTGAAATCAACTATATACCGATTTACTACTGAACTACCTCTTACAATGTACCAGCAAATTATTGGTCGTTCCGGGCGACAGATCAGCACTGTAGCCAGGAGAGCCGGGACAGTATGCCATACTGCGTCGCTTTTTACAGCCTCTAACTAATATGCTAGCCTTCACAGAACGATAACTCCTCTAATCGAACACAAATAAACCCATCCATGTTGCGCAGACAGGGTCCTGCCTGGGTTCTTGCAGGGGGCGGAATGGTTGCCACCTTGGAAGGTGTTTATTTAATGTTACGTTCGTTCCGACGCCTGAGATACATCTAGTCTGAGCCAAAGGTTGAATGGTTATATGGCGAATGGGGGACCTTCGTGGTCCATTTCAGGAGGTGGATGACAAAAATGTCTCTACGAATCACCTACACCGTCACTCACTATACTTTGACTGTCGGAAATTCGAGACCGTGTCAGCGTCATTTGAGCTTCGGAAAAAGCGAACAAAACAATATGATAATGGAGCATTGTACTGTGCACTATATACCAAGCAAAAAATGTTCTTATTGCTCCACATACTTGCCATCTAATAAATAATTTAAGACATTGTCATTGCCTTTGGCGTTAGGAGTGGTTTGATATCAGTACCAACAGGGTACTTTGGCCTTTGCAAGTCTTGACTTAGTCCGCCTAAAATTGGGGACAGGTAGAAACGACCTCGAACTCTACGAAGACTTGTCACCTATTCATGTAATACTGTCGATAGGGTATAATTTCCAGCGTTCTGTAAATCCTCTGATAGCTCCTGGAAGAATAGTGGTTGATCGTCACATATTTCAATCTTCATTATTCAAACTTCTCTCAGGTATTCGTCGATGCGTGTGCCGACAGAAATTCCGACCTCCCTAATCATATACCTATCAATATTTGGTAATAACGTCTAACAATGAACTGTACCAGACGTTTTGGCAGCTTTCCATTCTGGCGAGAAAACAATGCCATTTGCCTATACAATCTGTGATACCACAATTGCCGCCCCAGCGACTTAGGAACATCCGTAAGAAATTTAATAGGCTATATCTCATAACGAAGCGATAATGTCTACTATGGCTATCCGGGTAGATTGACTCCTGACATACTATGCCGTCATAACCGATTAACACGTAGCCGGAAAGTCCGTATACTGCCGGGCCGCCAGTGGTCCAGTTAGCAGTCAGAATGAGCAACAGAACTTCCAGTCTCAAGTTACTGGTTGCGGCTAAATATGTCGCCCTTCTGTAATAGATCGAACTTAGCTATGGGTCCGGCGGGCAGGCTAAACTAGGAGTAAGCCTAAGATCAGACCCTTACCGGGCTGTACCGAATGATTGAATTCAGGCAGAAGATATGCTTTGCGTTTAATGCAGGAAATTGTATTGAGAATGTCTCCACCGGTACGTTTGGGAGCTCAATTGTTTCAAGGGGCTTCTTTTGCGGTACATAATCCCGACGCCAACTTGGAGCATTATCGGGCTTTGCAAGAGACGATTCTTGTCCTAGACTCTAGCAGTGATGTAATGTTATTTTGTGTCATGAATCTTCATACTATAGATTAGGGTCTAGAACTGGGGGTACAACTGTCTGCCGTGTCGGGGAGGTATAGAGTCAGGCCATCTAGCCTTGGCTTAATCTACTTGGCATGTTCGCAAATAGTCTATATAGGAAGGCTTATGTTGACCCTATAATCTTCTGCTTAATGTGCCAACATAGCTTACGTTAGAGGAGTAGGATAAACATTTTCCAAGATATGAGGGGGGTCTACCAAAACATTCAACCTGTTAGCAACGGTCACCATCCCGCCGGCGTCGTATTCTTTTAATTGCAGGACATATGACTTCTTGAATACCAGGATATATCGTCCTAGCGAGTCAGATTTGAAGTGCTGGTTGTTTGGCCCATGCTTTAGTCGACTGCCGACATGGTAACATGAACTTGGCATGGGGCACCTAGGGAGGCCTTGTCGAAAAGTGGAGCGAAACTAGAGCCGGGAGACTTCAGCATAGGGAAATGCGGTCCGATGACGATACCCACATAGCACTTGGCTTGGACCCGCCAGGAGCCAATAGGGGATAAAGCACGGCCACATGCGAGTTAAGAATAGCCCGCTGGTTATGGTCAGTGGGCACTGGCCGGATAAATTGCGGGTTTCGATCGTTGTCATGAAACAAAAGTCCGTCCGGCAATTTTAGGTGGATAATGTTCCGGAAGCCCTAGGTACCCAGGAGCCACAAGGCTTGATTCATGAAACAATAAACTCTATTCTAGGCAATTTAGTCGTTTCGAATAGACATCCTGAAGCTCAATGCGGTAGCTATAAAGGGGACTTCGTGTCCCTGCGATTGACAGTGATCATCAACTGCAATTCTTCCAACACGTCCACAGTAACAAGAACAACACCGTCGCCATGGTTAGCTTCTCTTCTCTCCTTCTCGCGGTCTCCGCTGTCTCCGGTGCTTTGGCTGCCCCCGGTGATTCCACACTGGTCGAGCTCGCCAAGCGCGCCATCACCAGCTCCGAGACGGGCACCAACAACGGCTACTACTACTCTTTCTGGACCAACGGCGGTGGTGATGTCGAATACACCAATGGCAATGGCGGCCAGTACAGTGTGAAGTGGACAAACTGCGACAACTTCGTTGCCGGAAAGGGATGGAACCCTGGCAGTGCTAAGTATGATACGACTCGAGACGTCTTGAAACCCACAAGCCACTAACATCATCGTGTTACCAGGACTGTCACCTACAGCGGTGAGTGGGAGAGCAACAGTAACAGCTATGTCTCTCTCTACGGCTGGACCCAGAACCCCCTCGTCGAATACTACATCGTTGACAAGTACGGCGACTACGATCCCTCCACCGGAGCTACCGAGCTCGGCACCGTCGAGAGCGACGGCGGCACCTACAAGATCTACCAGACTACTCGTGAGAACGCCCCCTCCATTGAGGGCACCTCGACCTTCAACCAGTACTGGTCCGTCCGCCAGAGCGGCCGTGTTGGTGGTACCATCACTGCTCAGAACCACTTCGATGCCTGGGCCAACGCCGGTTTGGAGCTGGGTACGCACAACTACATGATCCTTGCCACCGAGGGTTACCAGAGCAGCGGGTCTGCCACCATTACCGTCGAGTAAATCAGGTCGTTTTCATTTGCAGGATACCGTGGCGAACTTTCTTGTGTAGCGTGATCCGTAGATGATGTTTTTTTCCTTCCATTTCGACTGGAATTCCGAGTGTTCCATTCTGCTTGCCAACCACCGGAGATCCCATAATTGGTGTTTCTTGCTGGTGTTGCAGTGTACATAGTTGTACAGAGTCATATTATCTTTTTTTTTTTCCACCTTTTAGTTAGTGAAACCAATACCTTCACTGCCCCAGTTAACCTTGCTCCAAAACTCTCTGACGATCCGCGTGTACACTAACGGATCGGAACCGATTTAAGTCCACCAAATACGAGCGGAGAACGGAGGACAGACACGTTCTATTTCCAAGCGAGTCGCTAATGCTGTCGATCGACTAGATTAAAACCAACCAGATGTCACAAGTCTTCCAGTGGCAATGCTTTCCACAATATTCCAGTCACTTGATCGTAGCCCTAAGGAGCCAAACCCGTCTTCAGGCCGCCCACACGAGTCCGCAGGGCGACGCAACACGTTAATGAATACCTAAAGTTTTTCCGAAAGCCTAGGCAGTGCCCAAAGCGCATGGTAGTTATGGTTATATAAGGTCACCATCATCGGTGCGGGGGTCGGGCATGCATTGAGTAAACAGCCTTACAATCGCATAACCTCTCACAACCATGGACCTGGTCGAACGATGGATATACAACCCCCCGGCGCCGCCAAAACGGACGCGGGACAGACCGATGAAGGTGCTCGCACTGGGCATGTCTCGGTCGGGGACGGAGTCTCTGTCGCGTGCCCTCCGTATCCTCGGGTATGATCATGTCTTCCATGGCTTTGAAATGTGGCAAAACACGCCAATGCTCTGGCGGTCGTGGGCGATGCTCGGGCGACGGAAATGGGGCAACGCTGGTACTGCCGATGGAAAGACTGGCATTACGAGGGAGGATTTCGATAACTTACTCGGACACTGCGAAGCCATCACCGACCAGCCTGGTACACTCTTTGCCCCGGAATTGATCGCCGCCTATCCCGAAGCCAAAGTGATTCTCAACCGCCGCGACGTCGACTCCTGGTATCCCAGCCTCTGCACTGTCCTTCGCCCATTAACCACCGGATTGTTTTATCACGTGCTGCCCTGGTTCAATGCCGACCTCTATTGGGAAGCGCAATATGTTCGGGGTTGTCTGATGCCTTTCTTTCACGGGTCTTGGGAGCAGCACGGCAAATGGGTCTATGAGCAGCACAGTGCCACTATTAGGGGGATGGCCCCGTCGGATCGGTTTCTGGAGTGGACGGTAGAGGATGGCTGGGAGCCTCTATGCCGGTGAGTTTGTTTGCGATATGTTGTGTTTTGCGAAAATGCGACCGTAGCTGAATGTGTGGGTTAGGTTCCTAGAGAAAGACGTCCCTACAGAAGAGTTCCCCAACGGCAACACCGTGGACAATGCTCTGGATGCCCATAATAACAATGTAGACAAATGTGTCGCCTCGGCGGTCCGTAACCTGACTATTTCGGTGGTCTGTGTTGGGGTTGCAGTCGCATATGGTTTAGGAGGTCATCGTGTCGAGTGGCAGCAATGGGCCTACTCTCTCAACTTCCGCGAGAGTATAAACAACCTCCTTTAACGTACAAACGCCGGGGAATTGAACATGACTACTCAGACGTAGTGGAAGGAAGAATGGAGGTCATTCGAATCAAATGTTCTATTTTCCTACAGTGATCGATGACGCCAACAAACTCCATAATGACACCATCACTTTAGCCTCACTACAAAATCCATAACTGCATAAAACCTATATTTATGTATAATCAACGAGATTGATCTGCATTATGAATGGTCTCTATATCAAATTATTTGCAGTAATAGGAGAGTGTAGGAGAGATTATGCGAAACACACGGAGACACACGAACGAATATTATACTACATCCTGGCAAATCCTGCACATCTTCTGCCGAGACTTTTCTGGAAGGCACTCGCGGAGCATGCATGATATTATACATCCAATGTGATTCCACAAGTTAATAATGAGGCGCAACTTAAAACACGGTTGGAACAGTCTATATTTGATCTAGAAGCAAATGTGTGCCTGGACAGATGGGAATGCCGTCAACCACTCCCGAAGACATACAAGCCAGCCGAAGTCTAGCACAGCCATCCGACAAACTTTCCTCTAAATGACACACCGAGACTTACGTTTATATCGTCAGAACCCACTCAGATACCAATCATGAAGTAGAATATGGGGTACTAGACGGTGGAGCAACAAGTCTACGCAACACCGGTCAGCCCAACCCGGGATATCCGCACGGTATGGGGAATTTCTCCGCATTCTCGGGGCGATGATCACCCGAACTCCAGCTCAGGACTCTGGGGACTCTAATGCCCACGGTCGAATAAGATCCTCACTTAAACACATTCCATGTGGGGACCCCGGGATTCTCCTCGGGCTAAAAGACCACGGCCAGATAATGTGCACAACTGCCGTCGGGGAGGCGTACGGAATCCTACCCTTTCGGAAGAGTATTAGATCCATGGAGCCCCGTGGGTGATGGGCCGAAGTTTTGCTTGTCGAAACTAGATGTTATTGTTATTATAGACTTTTTGCGGTATCTACAGAAGCTGGACTTCAGGCACAAGATGCGGCTCTGGAAACATGATTTTAGAGGCAGGACGCTGATTATCGCCATCACCATGGCGTCCTGCCAGGCGTTCTTGCTTTTGGGTTTCGATCAAGGTGCGACTGAAACCATTACCCGGTTTTTCTGAATAAAAAAAAACTAATAATCGCAGGCGTCATGGCAGGACTCGTCGGTGCGGACAATCGATTCGGGAGGGACTTCAACAATCCCGATGCCAACATGCAGGGTAACATCACGGCTCTGTACGATATCGGCTGTGTGATCGGTTCGATTGTATCATACTTTATCGGAGAACGAATGGGTCGTCGGACCATGCTTATGCTCGGTGGCTTTATCATGGTGATCGGTACGATCATCCTGGCCACTTCAAACACTGTCGCACAGTTGATCGTCGGCCGTATTGTCACGGGTGTGGGCAATGGCATGAACTCTTCAACTGCGCCAGTTTACCAGAGTGAATGCTCGCCTGCGTCGTATCGTGGTGCTCTGTTGACCCTGCAGGGCACAGTGACAATTCTGGGCGTGGTTATTGCCTACTGGTACGTCATCTCGCCTTTCCGTCCTATATTCCTTTTCATGTTGAAATCGAGATACTGACCAAGGACCCTCAACAGGATGGACTATGGTACAAGCTTTTATGGATCATCCTTCCAGTGGCGTTTCCCGCTCTCCTTCCAAGCCGTCTTCGCCATCCTCCTCATCCTCCAGGTGATCGGATTACCCGAGACCCCCCGTTGGCTGGTCCAACACGACCGCCACGAAGAAGCCCGCGCCGTCGTCGCTGCGATCGAAGACCGTCCCCTCGATGACGCACTCGTAACCAAGACCATCCTCGACATCCAAGTCGGTCTGGAAGAAGAACAAAAAGGTGGCCCCTTCAGCTTCAAGGAACTCTTCACCTGGGGCGAGGTACAGAATCTCCGTCGGATGCTGATCACCATCACAATCGAGCTGGGTCAACAATTCACCGGATCCAACATGATCAACTACTACGGACCCGTCATGTTCCAAGAAACCATGGGTATGGATCGAAACCTCGCGATGATCCTGGGCGGTTGTATCCAGTGCACATACCTCGTCGGCTCGGCAATTCCGGTCTTCCTCATGGATCGCTTCGGTCGTCGGACGCTTTTGATCATCTGTTCCGCTGGACTGTGTCTATGCTTTGTGATGGTGTCTATTCTGCTTTCGCTAAACCGGATGGACTGTGCCTACGGTGCGACGGCATTCATTTTTATCTTCCAGATTTTCTACGGCGTGGGCTGGCTCCCAGTGCCGTGGTTCTATCCGGCCGAGATTAACACGACGCGTGTCAGAACGAGGATGGCGGCCATCGCGTCGGGGTGGAATTGGATGGCGGTGTTTGCGGTGGTCAAGATTACCCCGATTGCCTTCGGTAAGTTATAGACCTTTCTTTCTTCCGTGACGCAAGCTAATAAGAATAGACAACATCAAATGGAAGACCTTTGTGATCTTCGCCGTGTTGAACGCGGCGTTTATCCCCATGGTATACTTCTTCTATCCCGAAACCAAGGGATTGGAACTGGAAGATATTCCATTACTATTCGCCAAAGGTGGTATTACCGGGGGTGTGTACAGTTCCAAAGGTGGACGCACAGTCATGCCTGGCCAGCATGCTCAGGAGAGACGAGTGGATGAAAAGGTGGAAGGGGTGCAGCAACTGGAAGATGTGAGCTAAACTGTGGATATCTATATACATATATACCCTGGGATATTGTCTGTACACTACTGGGATAGAAGGTAGTCAGTGCGTATTTAATACGACTTTACGTTTTTATGAATCAAATTGGTATATCGAAACTTTTATACTCATCAGTCAACGATTCTCTACAAATAAAGGTGTCTTTGAAACAAACCACTTCCTGTGATCGACACAAGCAAACCATACATTATGTTTTTATACTAACTGAACTAAGTGACATGAACGATCGTCAAATTAGAAACACAGACAGAATACATCTCATCATGACAATCTCAAGAAAGACCATAGAGTCATAATCACCATCCTCACAGGGACACAGCGAGATCACATCTCATCAATCTTCGGATCCATCTTATCCGGCTGCAACATCCTCTCCAACTCCTCTCGCGAAGTAAGCTGTTGCATCTTCACCTCACCCCGATCGGCTTTCACCTATCACCAATGATCAGCCTCCTATCCTAGACCCTATACAGATAGACCTTGAGAGAGATATACCGCCGCTTCACTCAAGGTAGCATGAAGCTCATCCCACGACGAGGTCGGGACGCCGCGCTTTTCCGACAACGTGGGTGATTCAAAATCATCCGGGAAGGAGGCGGCGATGAAAACTATTCTTGTTAGTCGACTGGGTTCATTGGTTCTGTCGTAGGGGAAACTGGGCGAAGTGGCTAGTCTGACATTCTTGGTTTTTAGAGCTATATGCTTCTGGGTGAGCTTGGATTTGGTATGCTCTTGTCAGGGTGGAGGTTCGGAGGAGAGGGCGGGTGCGGATGATGGTGTTTCGGAACATATTGAACGACATATTTGATTGTTGATACTTGTGATGAATTGTTGGACTTATGGATAATGAAGGAAAGTGATAGTTCAGGAGTTCATACGGCATTTATAAGGGTGAGGGTTGTGATGATGTCAGCGGTGGCTAGAGGGTTACCGAATTGGGTAATGTAGCTCCAACCCTAGTTTACGGATGTCAGGATCATAAGGTTGAGGGGTTGTACGTCTACCATGGAACATCTATTATTCAACATTCAGTGACAGCTCCCCATAAGCAGGTCTGGACTCGTTCTTCGAATACGTATGACGCCACACGGAGTCCAGATGCCGAGACTCCTGCTGTAAGTAGCTTCAAGTATGAATCAAGGATCTTGTTTATTAAACCAGGAAGGTCTGAGTAACTAAACTAAACTGTACATGTGTCGTGTAAAAGACATTTTGTTCGCACTCGTAAGTCTATACATTAATCGTACAATAACGTCGCCGACCGTCAATAATCACGATAGAACAACCTTAGTTCAATCCCATACAGCTGGCATAGTAGGTGACCGTCGCGGGCCAGTCGGAGAAGATACCACGCACACCGACCTTCTGTGCGAGGGCATCAACAATGCGATACATGTCGCCATCCTTGCTGATCGCCGAAGAAAACGACTGAACAAAGTAGTTTTCTTCGGCAGCAGATTGTGCCAAGGGAGGGAACCGCTCAAGGGACCAGGTGATGATGTCGAAGCCGGCTTCCTTGGCGGCCACGGCATACTCGGAGGGCACGAGCTCGCCATCCTCGGTAGCGTTCAACAGCGCATAGATAGCGGGGGCCATAATCTTGACGCCCTTCTTGGCGAGCTCGGGGAGGCTGGCAACAGCAGCTTTGTAACCCTCTTCGGTGTCGGTGCGCTCATCAAGATAAATGGCCTGTTTGCCGAACGCGGGTTCATGCTGGATCCAGTAGAAGATGTCCTTATCGAGGAAAGACTGGGGCCACACGCGGGAGGGGTTGATGTGACGGCGCTTATAATCGTTGATGAGCTGTTGAGCGTACATCTCCTGGGTGTAGTTACCCTGGAATGGCATGGTGACCTCAGGGGTCTTGAGTTCGGGAGAGAACTGCAGGCCCAAGGATTCGATCAGGTCAATGTACTCATGGTGCGCCACGGGGGTACCGCAGGTGTCATAGAGCTCTGTGCGCCAGGCCGGTCCACCATACTGGTAATCCTCGGGGGTCGTGGCCGACGAGTTGCTAGAGTCCATCTTAGCGCAGAGCGATTTGAACTCAGCCAATGTGATGTCGGATGTACAGCACTTGGCCTTGGCTGGTGTGCTATCTGTCGCTGGCTGGAAGGGAACAGTGCACTTGGCGGCCAGCTCAGGGATGGTCAAGATGTTGGTGGTTGTGTGGAGATCACACTGGGAGTGACGGCAAACGAGCTCTCGGTCCTTGGTGAAGGCAACGTCACACTCAATGATGCCAGCGCCCATGCGAGCAGCGGCCATCATACCTTGGCGACTGTGCTCGGGAATTTGCAGCGGGCCACCCCGATGGGCAATGGAGAATTGGGGGGCATGACGGATGGGCGTCTCTGCGCAGGACTCCAGCTTGCTTTTCAAGGGACTCTCGTCCATGTCATCCACGAGGAAATACGGCCGGGGGCCGACCTGGATGTTGGTCACATTGGGCTTATGAGAGGCAGCACCGCGACGACTGAACGAAGGAGCGGCAGCCACCACACCAGCCGTAACTATTAAAGAAGTAAGATGCATAATGTCGATCCTGCAAGCGTAACAAAGGTACGGAGTAATAAAGACCAGCTACCCACGCAAGAAGAGCACAAACAGAGCGACGATTACTCTTTGCAGGGAACAATGCTCCTATTTATCCTAGGACCGGGGCCCTCTGTCGGCCCGGTTCCTCGAGGTTGGAGCATATCACAATTCCGTCCCTTGCTTCCCATATCAGATAAGGGCCCCACTCAGCTTCTCCGCGTGCCGTAAGGGAGATCTCTCACACGTTCGGAAGATGCGCTAGGATTCCCTTGGCAACTTGGCAACTTCTTGGCTACAGGAACGGGGAAAACGTGGTTGGCCATTCTGCAGCACATGTCGCGTGCGCGATACATGATTTGAAGCTTCTTACTGAATATTCCCAGTGCATTTTCAGGTGTTGTACGACATTTCATCTAGGATTCTGGGGGGATTCACTGGCCGTGACAACAGGTTCCACGATATCATTTTGTGCCCAATAGCATCTTTGCCCCACTCAAGCATCCTTCCATGAGCATTTCTTTCATGTAAAATAAACCCAAATACACGAGAAGGAAAGAATCCCGCGCCGGTAGGATATTGGGCAATGACGATGGCTGCATGCGATGTGGATACCCCCGACATTTGCTAACAGAAAACTGTGGGGAGTTTCATAGAAAAACGCATTGTATGGGGAAGGTGAAAAAAACGGAATAAAAAAGAAAAAAAGGAAAAAAAGGAAAAAAAAAAAAAGAGGTGCTTCATGTGATTATTCTAGGGCTGATGATAAGAAGCCAATGAGCTGCCTACTATGAGATGTAATAGTCAAGTCCAGTAAGTATTGAAAATGGAGTGCAGGCCTTGGTTGATCCCCATGACGGCAATTGCCACACATAATTCCCTAAGCTTTTGTAGTTCCGATACTAGTCTCAACTCCTTCATCCCGGGGTATGATCCGGCCGTTTACTCTACACCGGATACTCAATAAGACGAGGCACCTCCGTAATCCGCACATGCGCAAGAATACAACAGCGGTTGCCGTATCGCTCCGTCGGTCAATGTCCGGGGAAACAACGACCAAAGTAACCGCATCGGCATTGGTTCAGATAGAGGCATTGTGGGCGCATCTTCATGGTCCGCTAGATGCAGAGTGGTTAGCAGCATGGTCCAAATACCGAATTTGGAAGGTCGTTGGAAATCCATGTGGATCTTTTAGTGAATACTAAGCTCCTGTGAGTGAATAAGATTATGAGAGTCGTTGTATGTTTAATCCGATAGTGGGGTGAGAGGTCGGCCTAGGGAATCCTCTTCATGGGTGTGGTCCAAGATCCCTGGTTCGGTACGGCTTACCTCACATTGTTCCTGATCCAAGAACGCCCGTGAACCAGCCCGCCCTAGCCAGTGGCCTTGTGTAAAAGCACTGCAGATCCATTACACCAACATTCTTCGTGGAGGCAACGGACACCATCAATTGACGGAAGCGTCGGTTGGTGAACAGTGGCTGGGCCGAAAGAAATGTTCGGCTTTGACTTCGCAGAGTATCTTAAATTGGTGGACCCTCATCGCGGACCGAATCAACCACAATGCTGATCTTTACCTGCTCTTGAAAGAGATTTAATCCCGCATTTTCCAACAGTGGGGATTAAGCGCGCTGGTCGATGTAACCTTAAAGAAGAAGGAAGCCGAGGTGCTTTGCGTTTATCTAATGACGCCCCACAACCATCCGTGCCGACGCGATATTGTCCTTTGTTGCCTAAATAAAGGAAATTGATGTCGTCGTCGCTGAAAAGGCTTCGGTTTTCATGAACAAATAGCATATTGGGTTGGTGACAGTTGTTACCCTACTCTATCAAGCTAGGGAGGCGGTCTGCAGGGAAAACGCTCGAATTACGGAGTATTCCGTCAGCAATCGCGGTGGGCGGTGAAGGAGTTCTTCCATTTATCTACAATCTTTTGTTACGATCAGACGGAGTATGTTTAGCTAATGGGCAATCTGGTGAACACGCCCTCGCAAGTAAAGTGCTTCCGCCAGACACTTTTGTTTGTTCATCTGTAGTCATGCGCTATAATTATTGTTAAATCTCATGCCAGCATCTACCACCGGATATCTTCTTTGACGAGGGTTTCATGAAGACTGCATATGGTCTGATCTCGTGCATAATGAACCCTCGTCAGGAATCTGAACGCCTGCAGTACAATTTGCTACTGCGCGATTGATATGACATCTTTCTCCAGGTCCAAAACAGAATTCTGCTCTGAAACAGACGCAATTCCGACTTCGTACCATAGTAACATAATAACTAACTCTGTGCCCTTCATACTCTAGCTTTTACGTTCTGAAAATGAAAGAACACCTCAACAGTACTACGAAAGGTAAACGCGGCGAAGAGACCAAACGGAGCCCGCGCATACATGTCTTGGGTCATCTTAGGGAAAGCCACGCGTAGTACCGAAGCTTAAGACGGCCTTGTAAGTGAAGGCGATTGTCACCACGGTCCCACGGATTGTAGTCGGACAGATACTAGGAAGTGGTCAGTGACTACGCCGGTCCCCAGCTGACCATAGTCCACCGCGGTGATGTTTGGGTCAATAACGACGACGATAGCACCGGCTGACGGCGAGAGGATAGGATCCTGATGCCGATACAGACTGGGTGCGCTATAGGTGAAGCTCAGAAAAGGAATTAGACTAAATTCATTGAGTTATAAAGTATGAAGAAAGAAGTGATTTCTTAAAAAGTACGTCTCAGTGGAAGATGAGTTGTTGTGGGGGAGGGAGGCAATGTTTTCTGAGGTAGATAGATGGAAGTGTAAAAAGTACAAAAAAGTCGACACCAGTGAGATTCGAACTCACGCTCCCGAGGGAAATGCCTAGACTAACACATTTAATGGGTATAGCAGGGCATCGCGTTAACCACTCCGCCATAGTGCCTCAATTGATAAATTGTGGCAAAAGTAAGAAAATATAGAGGTGTTCAATCTAGTTACGTAACAAATGTGGACGTGACATACTCGAACTCCTAGAATTTGTAGGTCTTTTATTACTGCCCTAAATTATGCAATGGTTATGGTTGGGCTTCTCTTTGAGAACATTCTAAAATTGTGCATTTTCCGGTCTGTTCCTAACCAGCCCACAGCACTAAGCAGTCAAACAAATAACCAGCCCACCACGTGAAGTGGCAGATTCAATTAAATCCACCCACCAACACCTTACACGGTTATACCAGACTATCACGCATCAAAACAACGTGAACTTTAGAATACACCAGTCGAGATGTATTTCTTTTATAAAACTTTTTTTTATAATTATCTACTGTAATAAACAAGAAATGAGAGAAGGAATTACAATTAGAGGCCAGATTGAATAATATGATACCAAAAATATGTCAGGGGACCTGACAAATGTGAAAGACAGCGATGTTGAGCATGCTGCATGGCATGGTTCTCTTCCGTGACTGGGCCTATTTTAATCACTTAGACCTTGGCGAACTGCATACTACATGTCCAATGTCCCGCATGTTCAATTTTGTGCCTTTTGAAAACGAGTGCTCAGACTTTAGCCAAGCGAAGCTAAGTTGCGTGTGTGCCATCCTGACAACTCGGCCCCGGTCATGCCCAGGCCAGCTGAGAGGAATCGGTGCAAGTGTTACTGCTCAGGATGCGTTGATCATGAGCGAATCAAGCATGCGGACCTTGCCAATTGTGCTGGGACTTTTCGTGACTGGTATCCCATCTATCTTAAATTGTTCTCGTTCGCCTCACTATAACAGTTAATCAAGAATTTTGGCGCAAATATGTTCAAGCAACGATTACACCGAAATATATACACACGATAATCCCGAAAAGGGAAAAAATCAAAACTTCTCAAGATATGACCGAGCCGGGGCTCACTATTAATGTTGATAGAGAGTTAAAGCCGGATGCCAGCAGTGTATACTAAAACTCAACTTCGCGTTTTCTTACTGATTATTTGCTGGTAATTCGTGCACAGTTCTTGGCAAATTTACTGCCTTGCCATCAGCATCATAAAGCTGTCCCATTGGTGGTTCCCTATGCGCGAGTAACTCCGCAGGCGATGATCCAGTGATGGGATTCTGTCGCCGGCGATGCCGTTTGAGTAGGTATACGCCCCCTCCCACTACGATTGCGACCATCGCTACGACACCGACCACGATACCTGCAATGACACCACCAGATAGGGATGCGGAAGAGGAACTAGGCCTTTGTGTGGAGGTAGTCACGGCAGTTGTTGTGCTCGGGGTGGATGTCGAGGTGGTAGGAATCAATGACTGCGGATCAAAAGCCCAGGTGGTGGCGGATGGGGCTGTGGCCCTTAAGGAGGAGTATGTGTCCTCTAGCACTTGGCTGCTTATGTTCCCGAGCGGGCTGCGTTCGTTATTCCAACAGATATTCAGCTGGTTATCTGCCTTGGTACACGACTCTCTGTACCCTCCGTCAGACTACTTGCCGTTAAGAAGGGCGTCGAGGAGGGAAATGGAACAAAGACAAACGTTTCGTAAAGACAGCACCATGTGCGATCCCCCGTGCCACAGAAACGCGTGCTGTTATTACTGGCGCATTCGGAAGTTATTGACCAACATATATTACCAAGACCATCATTGTAGTCGCAACAGTATAGTTTCCCTGTCGCCGGCTCGCGAGCACATGCATTCGGGAGCTGGCATTGAAGATTGTTGAATGTTGTGTTGGGCATGTATAGCTGCTTAAATTTGAGGTGAAGTAATAGTCACTGTAATGGCTCATTTTGGTGGTGAAACGAATATCGGCAGAGGGAAAGTTAGCTAAACGATCCCAACTAATGATTAAGGGGGGGAACGTGAGAAATCTAATCTACAGAGAATCACAACACAGCCTGAGCGCCAAGTTTGCAGATCCTCTTGGAGGTCAGGTTGACTGCTGAAGATAAACGAGTGGTCCACTCTCGCAATACGAGTTCTAGAGCATTCATTAGCTAGATTCTGTCTCTGTACCTGGAGCTACTAAGGATATGCCTCAATACAAATTTCATGACCGGCATAAGTATACCTTGGTCAAGCTGGATCATACATCTCTAGGCCACAAGTGCTCCAGCAGTTCGAGTCCACTCCTTCACTAGCGACTGCACTTGTGGCAAAAAGCTTGTCTCCCGGTGGATTACATATCATGGCCATCGAGCTATTTGTATGGTATGGGTCTCATCAGGAGGGTAGGGGCTTAGTTGCTCTCTAGAAGACCAGAACTACGAACGAAAGGACTCGCTCTAACACGCAGAGCATTTATAAGGCTCGGGCGCTAGGCCTACCTAGGGAAAGCAGCGTGCGGGGTTTTCCGCCAAATCTTTGTTAGCAGCAGTTTAACGTACGGAGTATTCCGTAAGTACTCCATATAACCGCAATCTTTTCCACATTCTTTCACCACCTTCGTATAATGCTCAAGGCTTACCAACCCAATTCACAACCAAATAAATGGATACCAATCTTCCAATTAAGAAGCTCGCACTTGATCCGCCTCCTCTCTCCGAGTTGAGCCAAGTCATTGACGAGCGATTGAGCAAGCATTTTGCTCATGTCGCGGCCAGTATTGTTCCCTGTCCCGATCTGCGTCAGCCTCCCTTCCATCTAGCTGGCGAGGGCCTCTGTGGCAACGAACGCATTGCAGACGTCGGTGGACCTCCACATCTACGGCCCACTCCACGCCTGGACAAAAAGTACTCACTGCCCACAATCATGCGAATGACCGAAATGCAGCAGCGAAGCTTTGTTTTGGGCGCAGCCGCTGGTCCATTCCATGTAATCGGGCAGAACTCCGAACTCATGCCGAACCTGGCACGCGGGCATGATGGCGAGTGGCAGAATGAGACGCACTACGCAAAGGTCAATGAAGAGGGGCATTGTCATCTCGACAGGGTTCTTGACGACTCAAAAGACTTTGGCCTGATGGCCAACCTGTTCGGTTCGGATGGTCTGCCGGGAGACGTCATTCATGTTCGGGCGAAGTGCCGGACAGGTGATTTGAACTTCACGGAAGCGATCCAGGACGTTCTGAAAACGAAATATGGCGGGCAGCCCATCAGCATGGGCGGAGTCTTTCTCGTTCGTAGTGGAAAGACCAAACTCCATGTCATGACTGACTTCAGTCCCGATCCTTGTCCCGGTCCCGATCACGAATGGTTCAAGTATTATGACTCGTCGGCACCGTTAATCTGTCTCACAGTATTCCACTCGGTGGACTCGGAGAGCTGGGATTTACGGATGGAGCACACGCATTGCTTCTCGACGCATGGGATGGGTGGACATTACCACTACGACACGACGGCAGAAGAGGTAGAATATGAGGCCTGGTTGAACACGGCCAAGGTGGTTTATAGGATTGACCAGCCCGGACAATGACTTCGGCTTGAGTGTATGTACATATCTTACTTTCTTGCAGCGAAATAGACCACGCGAATGACGCACCATCCATTCCGACGACTTGTAAAGGCAGCGGATTTCATTTCCGACCTATAAAATCGGTTGCAGACCACCGGACTTCGGGCTCTACAGAACTTAAGTCCGGCCACCCCCCATGGACTTAAGGGTTATCTTATCTCCGATGCATGTTTGGACTTGGCTTCTTCATGGCGTCTTTCATCATCACTGTTTCTTTCTTTTTATAAAGATAAACCTTGTCGCCAAGCTTTGTCCCACTTACGCGCTTCAAGATCTGTCATTTATTCTCCACCATGCCTGAGAATCGAAGCGTCAAAGCCGCCCTCGCACTGATCGACCAAGACCCTACTAAGATTCTTGGCTTGACAGTAGGACCTCACGCAAATGTGAAACCAGGACAATACATCCCCAGGGCTGGTACAATCACTTAATTACCCAGACAGCCCCTGATACCAACTAACAATGCAAACCTAAGACGCCCAATCCCACCCCACACTCACCTTCGACGTCCCCTCCCCGTCAGCAACTTACATGGTCGTTAGTCTTGACATCGACGCCCCATTCCCCTCCTTCGGGGTACTCGGACCTATCCTCCATTGGATACAACCGGGACTCAAAGCCAGGAACGGCCAGTTGGAAGTCACCAAACCGTTCGTTGCGAACTATATCGGACCCGCACCGCCTCCGGGTAGCTCGCCGCATCGGTATATTTTTTTTCTGTATGAGCAGCTGGAGACTTTTGATGGGAAGAAGTATGCGCCGCCGGATGGACAAAACCTGAGTAATTGGTATCGCATGCGGTATGATCTTGATGCGTGGGAGAAGGAGATTGGGCTGGGTTCGGTGTTGGCGGTTAATTATTTTACGAGTAATTAGGCAAGATTCCATGTATAGGTTCGGTGGTTAATGGTTGCTTGTTCTACGTGACTTATTGTTAATTAGTCTTCATTATGCTAATCATAAAAGTTTGCAGATAAAGAAGAGAAGCATTCCCACGATTGCGGCATGCTTTGATGTTGTGCCAGTACTATACACCACATAGGACTGATAGTATCTTCCACTATCGGGATGTTGAGAAGCCTGTGAATGCCGATAGATTGGGCATTCTTTCGAGAAAATCAGATGTGATTAGATCTCGGTCAGATTTAGGCTGCGATCCAATTCACCGTGAGAAAGTCATAGGCGACAAAAGCTGATAAGCTGACCCATTGATTCCTCATCATAGGTTCGTAATGGATATGGCCCCTACGGATGACCCATAACGTTCTATCTCTGTAGAATACTATGGCCAATTCAGGCTCGATCTGTAAGCGGCGCGCTATTTCAAGCTAGTTTGTCCACGAGGCTCCGTTTTTGGATATCGGTCGTTCAAGCAGGAGGCATTGGACGATCAACTCGAGGCCAGTTTTGCGTTTGCTGCAGGGGTCTATAATCACCGAGGGGAGGCTCAGACTTCGTCACGGTGGGCTTAAGTTGAACAACTCACGAAATCAATCCAATGATTTCTGGAGCCACAGCCAGAATGAATCGAATCACCAGGGAGGAGGCAGCGCATGCAGCCACAGAATATAGCCAGAATCTCACATAGCGAGCACAGCTCAGCATGGTGGCACGCTCACAAAGATTATCTAACCGCTCGCGAACAACTTAGATGTCTTACGCTGCAACCGATTTTCACAATGCATCCAAGACGGGATCATGTCAAAGTTGCAGAGTCCAACTACTTATGTCATCTCCGTCTAGAGTCCAAAAAATGATTGGTTCCCGTCGGGCACGTCATCCAGCCAGCCGAGATCGAACAGGTCGCGCAGGATTCCAAGCTCATCGATTAAAAAGCTCTTCCCATCAGCGGGTGGTAGGTTGGCAGAACCCTCTTGAGCCGGATATGTTCTATCTTGGTTTTGTCTCTGCGCGAACCCCGTCGGATCATTACCAGGCCATGCGTTATTAACCAGTGATTGAGGGTCAGCCGGAGCGCCGGTTATCGCATCATATGCCTCACTAGTAGACTTAATCAGCTTCGCTAACTTCTGGCCGGCCTCTTGTGCCACTGTCCACGTCTGTCCGAGGAATGAGAGCAATTGGAGCGCTAGTTCCGCTCGCTTCAGACAAACATCCATAGGTGTTGTGCCGCGGACCACCGGATATGTCCAGACGCAATAAAGGACTGTAATTGAAGCCACGAATATAGAATGTGCGGACAACCATGAGCATTCCATATTCGAAAATCGATGCAGGTCCGCATAGATGGCGATAATTTCCATGGCGCTAGTGAAACACTCCTGAACGGCGTCTAGACCGGGTCGAGGCATCTGCGGACTCGGACGATAGAGGAGCATAATGCATTGATGGTATTTGAGTTGCAGTCGTTGGACGGCAACCCCAGAGAGTGGGCTAGACCCACTCTGCAAACGGCCTGGCTGGTGATCTTGCACCTCTTGGAGAAGAGTAACACAAGCTCTTTGCGCTTCCTGTTGCCATGCACCTACATCTGCCGGCCAAGGAAAGCGACTAGGCGACCGGGAGACTCGATACAGCATTAGCTTAATCTCTGCAACGAGCCGGTCAAAGCGCAGAGAATAGATGCATGCAGTGTACGAGGTTGGAGCCCGTCCCGGGATCGGTCCTGCTTCTTGAGAGTTAGGATTCCGGTCCCAGTAGGTAGCCGCCTCTTCAACCTCGTCGTTGCTGTCGAACCCAGGGAATTCTCTATCAATCGCTTCATCCCGCAATGTGAGCGGGCGACCAAGTATCGTAGTCAGGGTACGATCCATGGAGTATGCTGACCAGAAGATTGCACTGCGCAAATGCCGTATGTTTCGCTGATATGGAGACTCGCTCTCTTTACTACCTACAGTTACGAGAGTTAGTCATCGTTTGTGTCAAACCTAGAAAATACGATATAGGTTGGTCCCAGCGTAGACTTCGATAATGAGACGAGTAACTCACTATTATCACGGCGCTGCAGCCCAAGGTCAAGACAGCTTGCAAGTATAGTATGCAATAGATACCACGCATTAAGTCCCTCCGGGCTGTAAAAGCTATGCTGCACCAAAAGCAAGAGAATCTGCACTCCCTCAATGCTATCATGAAGCTTGATCTGTGTGCCGTAAGACATCCCCGTCGCAAACAGCTCCCGAGAGCCAAAGGTTCCGGATAATTTGATTTCAAGAGATCTTGCACCAAGAGAAAGGACCAGGAATACCTGTGCCAGCGCTAGCTTCACTGGGAGTCTACTCTCCCAGGTCGATGTTTTGCTAAGGCGAAACACCTCCCCTAGAAGGGTATAGAAGACGTCCTGAGATATGAAAGGGTAGAATGTTGACGCAGCGAAATACATCTCGGCATATTGCTGACATTCTGCCATCGAAGGCAGGTCGACCTGCAAGGCTTCACATAGTACAGGGCCTTGACCCGGGTCGTTTAGTCCTTGATCTTGGTCATTCTGTCGCGAATACGCCAATGGCAGTCCTTGCGACTGAGGTACGCTCTCATAGATCAGACGGGCAAAGGTAACTCCAGATGACGGACCCAAATACTTCGGATCGCTGGCGTTGGTCAAAGAGAGTAAGCCCACTTCGTGGGCCAGCGGTTGGTCCCGAGTGATTCGGCTAGAAGACGAGACCGCCGGGGAGGCCCCAGACGTGTCGTCTGTTTGTGCCGTCCGACTCAGAGGTGACTGGACTTCAGCTAGATGAATAGCCCTCGTAGGGCCTATGGAGTGGACATCCTGTTGTGAGGCTTGTGTTGGGGAGACATGGCTGTGGTGCTGTTCTTGGTGCCATTGTGTCGGCTGCGTTCGGATATTTGCCGACGGCTCGATCTCTTCGCGGGCCTCCAGTTCCCGCACGCGATTCTCCAGGTACTGCAGTCGACTAAGGGAGATAAGCACACTTGAGACATTATGTCTTAATTGAGGCCCAGTTATAGTCTTACCTCTTAGAGACCGCTGATCCTGGAGTCCCTTCAAAACATTCCACTCCAGCTCGGGCGCAGTTCGAACAAGCGGGTGTGCCTCCGTCGCAGCGGACTTTCCGCCGTCGGCATCGCACACACGCCAGTGGACGGCGTCGGAGAGGCGAATTGAGTGAGGCAGACATGTGGAGTTAATGAGCACGCTTGCTGCAGCATGAGGATCAACATTTGTCCAACAATAGATTTGATGGGGATATGATGAGAGTCGCTGGAGTTATCGGTTGCAGCTCCGATGATATCGGACCGCGTAAATCACGTCCCCGGTCGGAGTTCGGCTAAACCCCGTGCGCCTACTTTGCAACATAACCTGCATCAAATCCTTCCACACGTTTGATATTATATGAAAGTATTCGGTTCCAGAGGAAGATTAATACCATAGAAGCTGGATTATTAGAGCAATTATGTTGTTTTGATCATTGGTCAGACAGTCCCCGTCTAAGAGGGGTTTTGGTTCAAAGTATATATATTCGAATGTTTCCATCATGAAACTTTGTAGGCAGTGTTGTATCAGCATACAGTATAATACTAGGTCTATGTTCTAGTGCATTCCCATAGCTAGTAGCGTCCCGAGGATCCCAGAATATCCATCATCCTCTCAATTGATCTAGCGTAGATCTCGACTGCTTGGACCTTGAGGACCGTCAACTCAAGTGAACCAGCTTTCTCAGCCACGAAGTCCGTATAATCGTCGCGCACGGTGCGGTTAAGGTTAATCTTCCTCACACCACATGTGATCGTCTGTTGAAAAAGCTCGTCAGACACCGGGTGTGTGCCGTGGAGGGCTAGTGGTGTAGTCTTTGACACCAGCTTCCCAATGGCCGAAAGACTGATATCACACCAAGTTGAAGGTTAGCCGGTCTGCATTGATATGTGGAGATATTATAAAGCATGGGTTGCAAAAGATTGTCTAGGAAAGAAGTAGCCGGGCAACTGTACGTACCGCTCAAGATCCCACGCTTTCTCCGGCCCGCCAGCCGGATAACCACCATGAATATTCCCAAAGGAAGGGGCCAGATAATGAACGCCGGCCCGACGCACAAATGTCTCAGCTTCTTCAGGACGCGTCATAACCGCGTCCATGTCCACAGTTGGCAAACCATCCTCGCCACCCTCAATACGGCCCATCTCCGCTTCGATGGTGATATTGAGAGCTCTTGCCCGGTCTACAATCTCTTTGCAATAGCGAATGTTGGCCTCTTCGTCGAGCGTAGAGGCATCCACCATGATAGAATCAAAAGGTAGGGAGAGAGCTAACTCCACATCCTCGGGCTTGATGCAATGATCCAGGTGGACTGCGATCGGCACGGCGGCCGCATGTGCAGCTCTTACAACGTAGCGAATGAACTCCGAGCCCTGAAAATGCATGGTCCATGGAAATAATTGGATAATGGCAGGCGAACGCTTACGCTCGGCAGCCCGAATGACGGCCATGATTCCGTCATTGTTGTAGCTTGATGCTTGTTAGACTTCGTATTGTAACTATACGGGGATGGCATCACTCACCAATTATACGCACCCACGGCGTAGTTGTTCTCATTGGCATGGTTGAGGATCCGCCAGGTTAGATTGCTGGCGGGATATGCGTCGTTTTCGGTATTCATATTGGAATATTATATGAGTGACGGCCTTATGAATACTGGAAAAGCATTACAGGATGGTGGTGTGCGAGATTGTGAGTCAATAATAAACATATTGTACCTATGTCACATAATAGTCTACACCGGCTTGTATATCTTGGCCGCGGCATATGTTCGCTAGTATTCGTTAATTATCGCTTCATGCCCGTCGGCTTCGGTCCGGTTCCTGGTCCCGGTATTCGGCCGGCCTTGACCCACCATGGGAAACATGAGTTGGGCCAAATGAAGTCATTATAAAGGTTTAATCTGGATAATCATTGAATGGCACATTGTACTGTACTTTTAGGTCCGCAAGGTTTGTCATAGGGCGTGGTTATTTTGCATTCAAGGTATCTCTGAGTCCCATGCGTTTATAACTAGCTGAGATACAATATACCATTATGTGCTACACGAATGAAGACCTGGATTGGTGTTGTAACTTGGAGACTATTATAATACGAATTGACGAGGTGGTAGAGGGTCATCCTCCAAAAGTTTAATACTGAACGGGTATCTTTTTATATTCTTTAACATCTATACACAGCAGTGACTCAGGATAGGGAAAGAGGGCTTTCGGATAGAGGAAGCTCAGAAACACCGTACTGTTTAGCAGTCTCAAGGAACATCTGCTTTTCAGCATCCGCATATGGGATTCCTTCCTGACGACGCTGCACACCGAGGCGGTGTTCTGGCTCTCCAGGGAAGAGCACTTCGTTGAAACCTGGGGCAGGAGTAACGCCATGGACACGTTGCACCAAAGTGTCCATACGAGCCTTGAATTGGTCTGTCGTCATAAAAATATCAGGCTTGACGGCGATGAAGCAATGCCCGACATCTTGCGGCTTGGTGTCCTTGTACTGGTCTCCGACTTCACCCCCAAAAGCTGCGCCTGTCAAGACACCCGACATGACATCCATCAGGATAGCGATACCAGAACCTTTGGGACCACCAATTGGTGCCATGCTTCCATTCAAGGCGACATTGGCATCGGTGGTGGGGTTGCCGTCCGCGTCCAAGGCCCAGCCTAGTGGGATGGACTCACCGCGACGGGCGGCGCGGCGAATCTTACCTTTAGCCACTACGGAAGGCGCCATGTCGAGGATGTAGGGAACTTCGTTGTTGGAAGGAGCGCCTGCTGCAAAAGGTGAAATCCCCAGAAGCGTCTCCTTGCCGCCAAAAGGTGGCATCTGCTTGGCGGAGTTGGTGAAGACAAGAGAGATCATGTTCTTCTCTAGGGCCTGAATCACATAGGTGGCAGCCATGCCAAAGTGGTTCGAGTGATTAACGGTGACCATTCCAATGCCGTAGATTTCTGCACGCTTGACAGCTTCCTCCATTGCTCTGGTGGCGACCACGAAGCCAAAACCATTGTCACCGTCCAGATGAGCCACAACGGGGGTCTTCTCGGTCAGCTTGAATTCTGGGGTTGCCTTGACACGGCCATTGCTGACACGATCCAGGTACTGAGGTAACCGAGCTAACCCATGAGTGTCCTACGGCATAGTTAGGTTACGCTGCGAAAAGGGTCAAAGAGCCACAGTAGCGGGACTTACCACGCCCCGAACATCCGCCATGACCAAACAATCGGCCATTGATTTGGCATCCTCCGGAGAAAGCCCAGCTTTCACAAGGAGCTCTGAGGCAAACTGACCAGCGGCAGTGGGATCGGCATAGTAGCGAGCCTTCGTAGCCAAAAGACGTTAGTAGATCGGATCATCCGAAACTTAGGACAACTTACGGAGGCCATTGTGCAGTAGTTGTATGGATAGAATTGATGATTGGAGTTAATGTGCACTGGCTTTCTTGGGGTTACAGAGCTTAAGAAGCACCCTATAAGTAGGAATTAGTATATACTGAGGTGAAAATAAAATGTAGTGAACTCCGATATGAGGGGAAGACCGAACACGGTAACGGACCGAAGCCGAATCGACTCCACATATTTTTGCCGTCGGATTTTAGCCGATGACTCGCCGATTCATTAATTTCCTGGATGGTGTCATTGCAAAGATTCAGAACTGTTCCGCACCATTTCTTCATTTTGGACCTGTCATTGAGATTGATTATCGGTCTACCAACTTCTAATCAAGGATGGCTGCTAAATGTGCCACACCCTTGCGGTCTTTGAACCCACAGCCCTTCGGACGGATCGTCAGCCGGCGACTGTACAGCAGCCAGGGCCCGACAGTGGCCGTCTTGTTCCAAGATATTGATCCTCCAGTCATTAACGGGGTTTGTAAACCTCGAAAGCCGGGTGGTGAGTGCATTAACTGTTTCTTATAGTGAAGTCTAGTTACCCTTGCACATTTCTTTACTGTGTTTTTCTTCTCTAGCTCTTTCCCTTGTAATTCAGTAATATCTTCATTGGCACGGTCAACGCAGATCTTCATGAGCTAATGCAGCTCCTGCAGGCTATCAAGACTCGGGAGCAGACATTGCCTACACACTGCGGTCAAAGGGTATCAACATCACCACTCCGGACCCTTCACCGCAAGTATCCAAACACGAAGGCTGGTGCTTCTCAGATACAGAGGAAGGCATCGTCTCCGCCGTGAATAACGGCGCTACCCATCTTTGGGCTAATACAATTCTATTTGATTCGCACCCGCTGCAACGATCTCAGAAATTAACACCCTATGCCTCGGATCTATATGTCGTGGGTCAGCCACCTGGCCTGGTAGAAAATTGCGACGATAAAGCATTCCTAAACGATAAACTTCGCTTATTAGGCGGCTACACTTTACCACGGTCATGGCTAGTGTCGAAGTCTGATAACCTGGACGAGTTTCTCGGCTCAATTAAAAGCTTCCCTGTTGTCGGCAAACCTGTTCGCGGACGCGGAAGCCATGGCGTAAAGCTATGCCATAGCCCCGCCCAGCTCAAGCAGCATATCGAGGCCCTTCTTGGGGAGTCGCCTTTGATTATGATTGAAGAATACCTAGCAGGCGAGGAAGCTACCATCACAGTTATGCCGCCATCGCCAGAACGGCCTGGGCACTGGAGTATGCTGCCCGTGACGAGGTTCAACCATGCGGACGGCATTGCTCCGTACAATGGATCTGTCGCGGTGACAGCAAACTCCCGTGTTGTGACGAAGGAGGAGATGAAAGATCCAGCGTATGGAAAGGTTATGGAAGAATGTCAAGGTGTAGCCAAACTTATTGGAGCAACGGCGCCGATCCGAATTGACGTGCGACGCTTCGGGGAGGGCTCGGAGTTTGCGCTTTTTGATATCAACATGAAGCCGGTAAGATATCCTGCGGCAATAAAGCTTGTGCGTAAATAATTGCATCTAGAGGCTGACTATGATCTTTGCAATACAGAATATGACTGGCCCTGGCCGTCCCGGTCGCGAGGATCAGGCCAGCTTGACTGCCATGGCAGCGGCCGCCATCGGTTGGGACTATGGAACTCTCCTGCAGAAGATTCTGGCCAGCGCACAGCGTCTAAGTGCTTTCCGTGACTATCGTAGTCCATTTTAAGTGAATTGAAGATAGTGTAAAGCTGTATTATTTTGAAGGTTCAATAGATTTCTAGTTCCAATGTACTTTTTGTGTCCAAACTCGAGAGCCTAAGTGACCTTATCATATATTTACAATAAAACGACCTAATAGGATGCGGAAGAAGCTTTCGTCTATCTTGCTAGGATAGGCATGGCTAATGGGTAGCTCAACACACAAATTCTAAGTATTAACATGAATATCTAACACATCTCACTGGGCTGCATGGTCATTGACGCCATTAGCCCCATTCAGTCCCTTTACAGGCAAGAAATGCCACATATATTCATCTTCTGGAGCAACTTCAAAATCAAAGCGCACCAGGTCCTCTTTATAGGGGAACATGTATGTACTAGTGACCCTACGTTCATGGACTAGAATAAGCAATCTCATCGCGAATGACGTTGCCTCGTTCTGAATCGTGTTACGTACCAATGATGCTCTTTGCTAGCTTGATATTTCTCTAGCTCTGCGAGGTTCTCGTGGAAGCTGAGGAGCGCAATCTCGAAGCCTTTGCTTCTCTCAATTGGGTCCGTCACAGACGGTCCTCCAACTACTAGGCGATGTCCTTTCACACAATCTAGCTCCTTCAACTTTTTGAGCTCTCGAACAAACGTGTCCTTGTGCTCTTGCGTCACCTCAGGACGGAACTTGAACATCACTGATGTTTCGAGTGTTAGAGGCGAACCAAAGTGTCTATCGCAAAGAGGTAATACGGTTGTAGGACTTACCCATGTGGACAATCGTCATGTTGGACGTTTGTAATATAAATATGGTACAGATGTGCAACACACAGTTATAATGCAGTATTTAGGAACTGGCTCAAGTACAGGAACTAGCTTCTAGAAAAAGGTGCTAGCAAGGTAAGGCAAAAGAGAGAGACAGAGAGATGATGACGAATCACTGTCTATATTTGATTGTGCATGGGATCTACCAAGTATAAGAATATGTCTTCGGTACAGTGTAGATTAGCCAACATCTGGGTACCAGCGTGTCTCGGACTGTAGCCGTCGCGAGGGATATGGCGGTTAAGTCCCGCAATGCTTCGGTTCGTCGCCGTTCGGCAGCGCGACACCTCTTCCATATGAGCACCTTTAGACATTGCATAAAGTTTCATATAAGTTATACGGACAGAAACTAGTGATTAGGCTGGCTGTTAGCTCCAAGATATCTGTAATACTGTGTCCGCTTGCATACGCGTTACCCCCTTTTCGCACGCTCTCCATCAATCATGCCATGTGTCTGTAAGTCTCGCGTAAACCTTTCGAAAGCCATATATCTCTAGGTACGATGGTATGTATTGTACCATGGCTATGAAATTATTATAACAGCTGGACGGTGTGGCCGAATTTGTTTGCCGAAATCTAGCATACTGAAGGCGTAGATCAAAACATAGCATTTATAGCATTTAAGCACATTTTGTAGTGAGCCATAGTATTCCTTCTCAGACGGAGAGAGTAAGAGAAAAAGGCTCTTGCACTGCTCCAACAATCCGTCCGCCACTATTAGTGGATAAAATATCACTGGGTTACAACTTACAACCATCCCCCCTTGACCGCTGATATGATTGTTGGAGACCGGCCGTCAACCAAGCAGACGATCACGGACTCGAATATATCCTTAGACTGGTCGGCTTTACAAGGCTAGGTAATGTCCGTCTCCGTACTTTGACTTCCCCGCATTCTTCTAAACATGGGGTGCATATGGCAAGGTGGAAGGTTTCTTAGAGCGCCTATATAATCCTAGTGGTTTTCTGATTTCTTTGACCACAGTCCCTACGTGTGTTTGCTGAGACTTTCCCAAGAAAAACATATTCAAAAGGCCTTTCTATTGTTTTGTTCTTTTCTTTCTCTCCCCCCTTTTTTGTTTCACTCCGTCAACTTTATCCCACACTCATCATGTCGGACGAAGTGAAGCACTCGCTTCAACATGATGAGGAAGCCGCTTCCACGGAGAAGGGGATGGACAACCGAGTGGCTGCCGCACAGCAAATGAGTTCGGAAGAGTTTGCTGCTGCGGAGAAGAGCTTGAAGCGTAAGCTCGATGCCCGCCTCCTGCTTTCCGTATGGATTATGTTCGTGATGAACTACCTTGACCGGGTGAGTGTTGAGAAATAACTAGCTAATATATTCAATATTACACCATATTTATTATGGACATTTATACATCTCCCTCCTCCTTTCGAAGTTTGTCTTTGCCCCTAACTAATTATTGCAACCCCGGTTTACAGAACAATATCGCTGCGGCCAAAGTTGCTGGTATTGCTAAGTCATTGCACATGACAAGCGAACAATATGCTACGGCAGTGGCTATTCTATTTGCTGGTTACGTGCTAATGCAACTCCCATCCAACATCTTTCTAGCTCAAATGCGTCCATCATGGTACCTCCCGGGTGTTATGACCATCTGGGGTATGCTTTCGGCCCTAGTCGGTGCGACCCACAACGCTGGGGGATTATATGCTCTCCGTTTCCTTCTTGGCTTTGTAGAAGCTGCGTTCTACCGTAGGTGCTCCACTTCCAACGTTACCCTGTTATGGCATTATTAGTTCGCTACTAACACTTACCAGCCGGTGCCTTGTTCTTAATCTCATCATGGTACCGGCGTGACGAGATGGGTGTGCGCAGTGCGTTCTTGTTCTCCGGGTCTCAGCTGGGCAGTGCCTTTTCTGGTCTCATCGCAGCCGGCATTGAGAGCGGCATGAACGGATTACGTGGCCTCGAGTCATGGCGTTGGATCTTCATTATAGAAGGTTCAGCTACTGTGTTTATTGCCATTTGTGCAGCCTTTATTCTCCCTGACTGGCCCAGTAATACTCGATGGCTCAGTCCAACAGAGCGCGCAGTTGCTGAGTGGCGGCTTATTGCTGATGCCGGTCAGGTCGATGAAGATGATGGACGGTGGAGCTATGGGTTTAAAAGTGCCTTGTCTGATTGGCGACTATACATCTTTGCGTTGACCTTCCTCTGTATACAAGTGTCGAGCGCCACGTCCAACTTCTTCCCATCCGTCGTTCAGACGTTAGGTTTCAACCGCGTCGATACGCTTCTTCTGACCGTCCCGCCCTATATAGTGGCGCTACTGATTTCGATAGGAAACAACTGGTCGGCAGACCGATTCAAGAATTCCTCTTACCATATCATCGGGCCACTGGTACTAGCCATCACTGGATTCGTCATTGCTGCTGCTACACTCAATACCGGTGCAAGATACTTTGCGATGATCGCCATGGTGGCAGGGGGCCACGGATCAAACGCCGTGCTTCTGGCATGGGTTCAAAAGACAATGCTTCGGCCACGCATAAAACGTGCATCGGCTGTAGCGTTCGTTAATGCAGTGGGCAATCTTTCCCAGGTGCGTCATTAACTGGAAGCGACCTTTCCTAATCGTCATGTAAGGAGTCCCCAAACTAACATTCGTCTACAATCATAGATCTTCTCCTCTTACCTATACCCCGACAGCTCGGCACCGCGATATGTTCTCGCTATGTCGGTCAACGCCGCATTCAGCTTAGCAGTCATTATTCTTACATTATTTATGCGAATGGTTCTGTTACGTGCAAACAAACGTCTTGCTCGTGGAGAAACAACCGTGGAACAAGAAATGAAGGGTGGCAGTCAAGCTGAGGTGTTGGGAGTTACTGAGGAGGAGCGTGCTATGCGTAGGGAAGAGTTCCGCTTCATTGCATAGGGCTGATTCGCGATCTTATGAGAGCTATTGACGGCTGTAACCTTCCGTTCTATATGCACGATGGAATAGGATTTGCGATGGAAGGCACTGGGGTCTAGTATACTCTCCCTGTTGCGATGATCGAAGTACTACCCAGGGGATGGGGATTTTGTTGGACGCGGTATCACTCAAACTGGAAGGGCTGGATACTGCCACGTCTCTCATATAATGCCGTCCTTTACTATATGATAGCATGTATTTGGTTTTCATTCATTATCTACCATTGGACGCATACACCCACTTCAGCATCAGCATGAGAAACGAGTGTATGATTAATTTGGCTTACACTTTCGGGGTTACGGTTCGACAAGTGAAAGCGACAATTAAATTATCTAGTCATGACTACATTACCGACCACGAAATTCCCTAAAAGCCTCCTCCACAGAACGTCCCGCCTTAATAGCCTCCGCACATTTTGCGTCGGCATCAGCAATAGCCGGAATGGCATCCAGAACCTGTTCAGCCAGCTCCTGTGGAAGTCGCACAACGCCATTAAGATCAGCGATAATATAGTCACCGGGTTTAATCCACGCATCTTGGTTCTCGGAATTGAGCCGAACGGGAACATTCACTTCCGAGGGGCGACATACTTCGCCTCCAGCAGTTGTGCCCACTGACTTTGCGAAGAGAGGGAAGTTGAGAGCACGGTGTTCGTTCAGATCGCGGACACGCCCGTCGATTACAACACCGGCTGCATTGAGGGCTTGGGCACGTAGAGTCATGAGACCGCCATAAACAGCATTGACATGAGGTAGGGGTTGAGAAATGAAGACTACTGCGCCTTCGGGGATCTTGTCGATCTAAGCCGTCGTTAGTGCTGGTCACAGACTTTACCAGAATATGGTGGCTACATACATAGTTGCCTTGCACTTTCGGAGAAGAGACGTCTGACTTGGGGACAAACTTGACGGTCATTGCTTGGCCGATGATCTTCGTCTCCCCGGCTTGGAATTGTGGGGAGTACATGGTTAAGCCTTCAAGGAAGCCGCCATTGGGATACTTTAGCTTGGATAGGCCATCGGCAACCTGGTAGAGGTTAGCTATCCCTTCTTGGTCTAGGACACCGATATCGAACAAATTCAAGTGAAATTATTCTTGGTTGCATTCTGGAGACTTGAGACTGTATACTCACATCACAAGCACCCCATGGCTGCAAACGCGCGATGATATCTTTCGGATCGGATGACATTGTAACGTGCTGGATTGTCGGGCGATTCAGCCAATTGATTTCTTCAGATACAACTGAGTTTGGTCCTTGCAAGGCGGATGTGAGCCACAATTATTAGTCTTTAATTTCACTACCTTCGATGTTGGATGATATCAATAGGATAACGACACGGTTGCTGTGGGGAAGGACGGAGTCCGACCGACTCTCGGCTCGGCTATTTGCCGACGGCTTCGGATATCTCCCCCGTTGTGCATTGGAGCTAAACTAATGTACAATAGAAAGAGGAGCTGAGAGTGAAAACCAAAAGAAAAACGCCAACTGAGGGGTGCTAGACCTCTGGTCCTATGCACCTGACACTTTCAACTTCGTGTAATTGCACTCCAGTAACTTCCTATATCGGAATGTAGATTCAGTGCCGAGCCACAGGCTTACTAGCTTGGAGAGATAGAAATATAAAGGAACCAGAACGTACAATTACACGAAGAATATAGTGGATCTATATTTCTCCGACTTTCCTTCCCTGACCATAGAGTTACAAGGGTACAATTGAGTCACAGCCCACACAATTCGCCTTCTCTAGCCGGTCATCATTTTCCTTCACTTGTCTGAAGTCATTGAGAGCCCGGGCATCGTCATCATGGGCAGCTTAGCAACCGAAGACAACAGCATCTTTCCAAAGAAGCCAGTTCCATCAGGCGCATGGGACACCCATCACCATATCTTCGAGCCGGACCGTTTCCCCTTCGCAGAAGGTCGACACTTCACACCAGCCCGCGCTTCACTTGAGGACTTACAGAAGTTCGAAAAGTCAATCGGAGTCGACCATGTCTGCATTGCCCATGGTCTCTCTTACGGACCTGACTGCAGGTCACTTCTTTACTACTTGGAGCAATTCGACGGCCAGGCGCGGGGTATTTGCGTGTTAGACCTGGAAACGGTTTCAGATGAGCTCCTAGATGAATACCACGCGGCTGGAATACGCTCGGTGAGACTTGACTTTTTCCGGCACAAAGCCATGGACAACGTGCAGATTCAAGCGGAGTTGATCGAAGCTACGGCCAAACGACTGGCAGCCTGGGGCAGGCCAGGTTGGAGCATTCAAATCCAGCAACCTCATCTTGAGTTCTGGCCTCGTCTGCGAGACGTGGTGAATGGATGCCCGGTACCTGTTGTGGTGGATCATTTTGCCTTGATTGCTGGTAGTAGCTACCGAGTCAATGACTATGTCACCAATATCCAGGATGATTCGTACCTGACAGAAGGAGAATGCATCGGTCTCGCAGCACTTTGTGAGACACTCCGAAATGGCAATCTGTGGATAAAGATATCTGCTCCTTACCGTTGTTCAAATCTGGCGCCAGGCTATGATGACCTCCAGTGGTTGGTGAGGCGTTTTGTGGATGCTAACCCCAGGCGAGTGGTTTGGGGAAGCGATTGGCCCCACACCCAGCGACACAAGGATCGGGTTGGTAAAAATTCGACTAGTGAGGAGGCCTTTCTTCAGGTTGACGATAAGGCCTGGATTGAGTCCTTGAGTCGGTGGATGTCAGAAGATGAGTGGCAGCTTTTGTGGGTGGAGAACCCGGCTACGCTATATGATTATCATGAGTAATTCTCTACGGTCAATGGAATCAGATATTTTAGTGATGGTTAACTGTATTCCATATGCGAGATTTAAACCAACGCAGAATGAGACCCAACGCCGTATATCAGTAGACCGTAAATGATATATCCATGTAACTTTTTTGACGCCATACGCTGGCAATTGGGGAATTCAATAAATATGAATTTGTCTTCTCTGCTGAGCTCTTCATCAAAATTAACTATGAACGCCCAAGGATTGTTCTAACCTCTACTGAAATAGCATCCGCCACCTGCTCTGTCGTAGAAAAACCCCCTAGGTCTGGCGTTAAAGTCTTTCCCGCTTCAATCACTTGAGTAACCGCCTGCTGTATCGCCTCAGCTTCTCTCGCGTACCCAGCATGAGATAGTAGCTCCACTCCTGATAGAATCAGCGCAATAGGATTAGCCGCTCCTGTTCCCGCAATATCCGGTGCAGCCCCATGTGCAGCTTCAAAAGTCGAAGCACTATCGCCTATGTTCGCACCAGGAGCCAGACCGAGTGAACCTACCAGTCCAGCCGCCAGGTCCGAGAAAATATCACCATATTGATTTACAGTGACGACAACATCAAAGTGACCGGGATTGCGAACAACAGAATAACAAGCCGCATCAATCATCATGTCATCAGCCAGTACATCAGGGTAAAGCCGAGCAACCTCTTGAAACGTTCGCAGGAAAAGTCCGTCCGTTTCATGGAGTACATTTGCCTTGTGCAAGCATGAAACCATTTTTCTACCGTGCTTCCGTGCATATTCAAAGGCATATTGAGACACTTTCCATGATGCACTACGGGTCACTCGTTTGATCGCCTCGGCTGCTGCGCCTTCCTCGAGACTTTTTTCCCAACCGATATAGGTATCTTCGGTGATCTCGCGCATGATGACTAGGTCCATCTTCTCATGACGTCCAGAGATGCCGGCATAGCCTCTAATCGGGCGTGGATTCACGAATAAGTTCAGTTCCCGCCGAATGGCATTATTGATCGAGGGGTATGTCGCCACCGATCCGTCTGTCTGCGTACAGCTGATACGGCCGTGAAGCTTTTCTGCTAGCAGTGGGGCTTTGATACAAAACTTCACTTCCTTTAAGCGCTGGATAACTCGAAGTGGTAAAGGGTGCTCATATAGCTTAACTGCCTCGTCTGCAATAGGGATGAAGTCCCATTCTGGCTGGATGCCCGTTGCTTCAATGACGCGGATAGTGGCCTCTGTGATCTCCGGCCCGATTCCGTTTCCTTTGAGAACTCCGATTCGCATGGTGGCCAGATAGCAATCGTAATAAGCAATTTGTTGATGAAGGAGGTTATACCTGCCAGAGGCGTATCATCATAAATTATTATGATACGATACAGTTGAAGGTAATTTGGGGTGAAAAACAATGCGGACTATTCGGCTCACCCGAGGTCTTCAATCGGGGATCGGATAGATCCGAAGGCATGATGGAAATTTACTCGAAATGACCTCTGGTGCCATATATAGCCGGGCTTTTTATTAAAAAAAAAATTAATTAAGAAATATTAGCGTTATTCGTTGAATGAGCGCTTGGAGATCCAGGGCATAAGTAAGTTTTAAGCTTAATCACTCAATTCAAAGACATGCGGATGAATGCTGAGAAAACAGATACTCCGAGCCCCAGATGTGAATATGCCATGGATATGCTTTCAAAACTAGGTAATATAGAGCGATATACCAGACTGCTACACCCTGAAGATGTCTCACTCATGAGTCAGTGCTTACTCAATACTCTTATCCAAGAACACAGTAAAAGGTTCTATGCCTCGATTCTTGTCTCACAGCGAGTGACTATGCTCACATTGAAATAGCTAATAGAAAGCTACCCTGAAATGATGTGAAAATGAGATAGTGGTGAAGAAAGCATGCCCAAGCACGGATATAGAACTCTTTGGAGCTGTATTGTCATTGATTTCCTTCAGACTAGCACACAAGTAATCCCCTTAACTCGTGAACCCAGTTAATTCAGACGCGAGCTAGCGGATGCTTCTCTCGTATTAATTATCAAAAATTCCCATTTTTCAGCCACAACGACACAACCGGAAAGAGCTGGTGGAGCTTTTACCGTGCATTCTAAACCTATCAAGGAATAGGGACTCTGGAGCCTTAGGCCCCCACCCGGTAGCCTAGCTTTCACAGACCCATATTTAACTCTGCTATTTGCGACGAATACGAACCTAACCCGCACACCAACTTATTGCAACTGCTTCAGTTCATGCCATAGAGCCATTGCAGAAAATGGGTGGCTTTCACGTATACTGCGCGATATGTGGCTCAACCTTCTCCAGCAGGCAGTTTATCTCAATTGATTCTGACAGTGAAATGGGTGATCATACCTATTCTGGAGAGGTGATTGGCGATAGTGATCTGGAATGGCTTGATGATCTCCGCGCACTGGGCCTTAATCCAGACGCTGTTGGAGACAGAAAGTTTGTTATCCGTTATTTCTCTGACCTGTCCTATTGTCCTAACAAATTCAGGTCTTTTGTTACTGGCGATGGATACTATGACGATGCAGTGAGTTGTTATTAAATCTAAACCAACGGGAAGACGTTCTAATAGAGGGTACAGGGTGCTATTGATGCTGATGCAGGCGAAGGTTGTTTTTGATATAACTATTAACCCTAACTTTTGCAATCTAACGTAAAAGAAGATCCAAATGTTCCCATTGACCCAGACCGTCGACCGCCATATCGCTTCTACGCGTATATGTATGTCTTTTCCCCATAGAATCTCAGACCCTTGCTCATTTATCGCTTGCGGCCTTGCTGATCTTTCCTAGGGCCTGGAACGATGGGATGCAGGAACATATACCTGTTTTCCCTTTTCATAAGATCTGCTACGAGGATATCCTCCTTAGATGCTTCAAGGATGAAACACTAAATGGAGACGTCCTTTATTCCCTCTGTGGGGAACTAGTTAATGATTTCTCTCACAACGCACTGCTTTTGGATTATGGAGAGCCCACGCCCCCAGGTGAGCAATACTGGGAATGCAAGAAGGGCGAAGAGGTAATTCCACCTTATCAGAAAGTGAGCCCTATATTGACACGGTCGTGCTATAGCTCCTAGTGACGAACCCAGTGGAAATCTCTCCGTTAACTAAATATCTGAATAAGCTTCGGGACCTGGTTAATGCTGAACTTGACACACCTCAGCCCGAAAAAGGCCCGGAGAGCGCCGACATATTCAACAAACTTCCCTATGAACTGCGGCAGCAAATCTTCAGCCTCCTTCCCTTGGCGTCTGTGTTGGCTCTCAAAGCAGCATCATGGTCGATGCACACGACTCAACTTCCAGAGAAGAGTTGGAAAAAAAGACTAGAATCTGACTTACCTTGGCTCTGGGAAGTTCATGTTATCGATATGACTGGCTCCCAGAAGCTGGAGGCTAAGCTTTCCAAGATAATTGCTAAGCTTGAGGAGAAGAGTCAGTATAGGAATGGCAAAGCCAACTATATCCCCGGACTTGCAAATCGAAAGAGGATTTGGATGGTTTGTGAGGACATTAAAACCCTGTATCATGAAAACTTAGCTGAAAAGGCCAAAAGTGAGAAATCAGAAGCCTGAACCGGAAAACTAAAGATGGAAGAGGACTTTTAGTTTAAATCAAGCAGACAATTGAGCCTCAATCAATCAACTATATTCCTCAAATCTAGATGGCTGTCTCTGAGTACGTGAATAGAGAGTGAAAGCCTGCCAATGGTACATAAGCAGCCCAGGGGACAGACCTCAAAAGCCAACACTGCTCAATAGCCGTCGGCAATAGGATGTACCCTTGCACTTGTGAATAATGACATGACAAATAATATATGCAGACACCGTGTAATGCAAGGGAAAATAAGACTATGATGTCAGATTTTGCATGGTCACAGCGGACAAGCACGCCAGGTGCACCAACACAGGATGCTGATGGGCTGCGTTACGGCCCAGGAACTGCCTCAAGTGCATCGAGGTCAAGCTTTACGGGGTTTGGATGTCGATCTCCATGTCGGTATAAAATCCGCCGATATCCATCTACCGGATTATTATCCACCCATATACATTTTGATCCCTCATAAAACATTCCTCGGATCCTGTAAAGCGCTGAGTGGAAGAATCAAAAACACCGTTGAAAGTATGAAGCTAACCGCATCAAACCCCCTGTTGCTTCTAGGCTTCGGCCTCCTAGGCCACGCATCGCCATCGGTCGAGGTACAGGGCAAACATTGCACAGTAAAGCCTCTCGGTCACGGCCAAGACGACGTCCCCAACATTCTCAACGCAGTGGAAGAGTGCGGCCAAACGCCAGGAGGAAGGATTTCTCTTCCGGCGCCCTACACGTATCGCATCAACCAGCGAATGACGACGCATCTTGAGCACTCCACCCTCGAATTAGGCGGGACGTTACTCTTCAGCGACGACATTACATACTGGGTAGATAATTCCTACCGGATCGACTTCCAAAATCAGTCAACAGCCTGGCGGGTAACCGGCCATGACTATGTGATTGACGGAGGTCCGGAGAGAGGTGGAATCGACGGAAATGGTCAGATGTGGTACACTTGGGCGAAAGGAGGGAGCAATGTGTTCGGTCGACCTATGCCATTGCATGTGTTGAATTCGACCAGGGCGGTCCTTCGCAATCTCGCCATTCGACAGCCGCAGTTTTGGGCTGTGTTGGTTGATTCCTCGTCGCATGTTGAGCTGGATAATTTCTATGTCAATGCGACTAATTCAGATCCTAATGCCACCAAGGATACGGTTTGGATTCAGAATACGGATGGGATTGATATGTACAGATCTGATCATGTTACAATCACGAACTGGGTGTATGAAAGTGGTGATGATGCGGTGGCATTCAAACCGAATTCGACTAACATTCACGTTGAGAATGTGACGGTATATGGAGGACCTGGGATTGCGTTCGGATCGTTGGGACAGTATCCCGACAGGTATGATATTGTCGAGAATATAACTGTGAAGAATGTCGATGTGAGTAGGAGATTCAACAGTCTTCAAAATGCAAGCACTAATATAAGCAGTTCCAACCGTCCTTCCAGAGAGCGATGAACTCCGGAATATACTTCAAGAGCTGGTAAGTCCCCCATCTACAGAATATATGCATTGGTCAACTAATAATATCCAGGATCGGTGTCAACTTCGGTGTCCCTCCGAACGGAGGTGGAAACGGCCATGGCTATGTACGCAATGTGACTGTCGAGGATATCACATTCAAGGATGTACAGCTACCGATATACATAGATACATGGTACGTAATATCAGACCTATTGGGACATGCAGGCTAACGGAAGGCAGCTTGAGCTACCTATTCGACCAAAATGTTACCCAATACTGCGATACGTCCACGTTTCGATTCGATGATCTCCACTTTAAGAATATCAGCGGCAATGGGCTTGCTACTCCCACTGACTACACGGGCAAGAATATTACATTCGCAGTATCCATGATCTGTTCCAAGGAGGCGCCATGTACCAATATCACTTTCGAAGATATGGATATCAAACTGCCTGAGTCGTATAGCGGAAAGAGTGTTCTATGTGAGAACGCTGATGTGCAAGGCCTTAAATGTAACTCATAATCATCTGTCTATTAGAAGACTAGGGGCATGCAGGATGAGAGATTCAATAAGATACAAGCGAGACCTATGTGAACAAGTGACTATGTTGGGTTGGTCTTCCAAGGGATCCATGTTACATAACATAATAGGCAGATATGCGATTCGTCTTGCATCGTTGTAAAGGGAAACTCCATGGCCGACGTCAATAATAGTTAAAGGCTCACAAGTACCGACCCGATTTGATGAAGTCATACCCTTAATGCATCAACACCAGTTGCTAATTTTAACCTCAGCATCAATATCCCGCCTCCTAGCTTGGCATGACATACCATTAACGAACATTATTGGCTCTGAGCACCTTCCTAGTTGAAGCTCCTATCAATGCTGCAGATGAAAAATGAAGAGCCAATGATTGTTCTAATCTTTGTGGAGGACCGACAGGGTTGTCAAACGGGCTCGTATTTAGGTGGCAACGGCCGAGCACCGAACCAAGGATTCACCCACCTTGCTCCGACGACCTAATCGGATTGATACGCGATCTTCCCTGTAAAGCATGGGTACCTAAGATCTCAACCAGCGGTCTCATAGGTCCTGCAGCCAAGGTCGAAGATTGCGGGGAGCCAACAGTGGCAGTGACTTCTTGTGAGAAGGATCCAAGATCGAATCCAGTGGTAAAACTGTCACAATGATGCGGTGCCCTTCGTATTCGCTAGTCATCTGCAATATCTTGGCCAATCATTATCGCACAGACTGAGACAGGATGAGTAAACGGATATTCTGCTAGAGGTATAAGAGTAGCTGGCCGTCGCAGGGAACTCAGCGTTCAAAACAATCTACCGGAATTGAAAGAACACATTCAGTACAATGTATATTTCCAAAAGTCTATCTCTTCTTTCTATCCCTTTCGCCCTTGGGGGCTTAGCAGCAGCTGGTGGCTGTGGCGATGCTGATGCCTGCGTTGGAACCGAATATTGCACAACTGCCACCTTCACTACTCCAAAGGCGACAACGATAACAACTTGTGTTCCCACACCGACTTGCTTAGGGGTCTATGGTAAGTAGCATTATATATCGAGCATGGACCTGTTAGGTTGACCATGTCAAGCGGACTGTGTCTCTGGTGGTGGAGGCCCAGTTTGCTGCTCGACTTATTGTGCAGCTACGAAGTGCCGTCCGACTGATCCGAAATGGCCTGGCTGCTCGGAGGATCTGGGTGTTTGCTTGGCTGATGAGAACTGCTGTTATAACAATAAGTGTGTCGATGGTCTTTGCCGCAGGGTTAAAAAAGAAAAAAGGGCAGTAATGTTTTGAACCAACGATGGTCAGGGTGGAGAAAGAATGATGATTTGCCATGCATGTTCTAGTTATGTGATCTTGTTGTCTCGAAATATACATATTTGTGGTTGTGGGAAGCCCAGGTGGTTTACATTATGATTGTGCAGTGGTAAGGAGAAGTAGTCAAGTGAAAACCTTTATTTTTTCCCTCTTAATCGACTTTAATGCTATCATCCATCGCTTATTGTCTCTTCGGCTTTCCAACACACCGTGCAAGAAATACTCTTTATATCTGTATCCCACATTGGTGGTCACAACTACGCTCGTCTAACAGTTGAGGTTGACGGCTATCATCAGGAGTTAGTATATGTCTTTGCACAGAAAGTCAGTAAGCAGAGTACGTACCATTGGCAAACAGGGCATAGGTGTCTGCATTCAATAGAGCCTGGCTGGCACTCAAGGCGGTGGCAGCGGAGTATCCATAGCCAAGGTCGTCGGTGCCAGGGCTGTACACACCCGGGGCATGAGTGAACTCATGGAGGGTGGTAGTGGCCTGGTCCTGGGCGTGGCAGGTGCTAGTCAAGGCCGGAAGGTAGGAATAGTAGAGGTCGCAGTTGGCGATGATGTTATAAGCCGGAAGGGTGTATGCAAGCACATTGGAGCTGCAGTATCCGTACACGTCACTGCAGTAGTACGTGGTACTTCCGGAAGCGGTCGACGCTGCTTCGTTAGCAACGGCGTTCAGGCGAGCAGCAACCGTGCTACGGGTGGAGCTGGATGTCGTCTTGAAGTACTCCTGGAAACGGGAGGAAGATCCTGACTGCGCAGCGTTGGCAGCTGCACGTGCCAGGGAGACTGTGTTTCTCAGAGCAGTCTGGAGGGCTGACGATCTGCTGCCAGAGCAGGAGGTGACCTTGGTACGACGGTCCAGGATCTTGACTGCCTGGGAGACAGTGGCGGCCTCAGCCGCATCGACATCAATGGAGAGCTCATTCGAGGTGAATGGAATGTATCCAGTGACCTTGTTCTCAGTGGTGATAGGCACCAGACCGTTGCTGTTGATGGTGATAGTACCTCCCTCGGACAGGTCACTAGTACTTGCGATATCGAACTCGTCCTCGATAGTGGCACCAGGGGCAAGGGTTGTCAAGGCATCGTCAGACAGGCCTTCAGTGATCAGGCGTTGCTTGACACCCTGAAACTGAACCTCGGTTGCTAGGCGATGTCAGTATATGCTTGCAAGATTAAGGGTTCGAAGCATACCATTGCGGAACAGAGACACCTTCTGCACCGGGGCAGCATCTTTGAAGAAGTTCAGGTGCACAAAGGTGACATCCTCACTGCCAGTATTCTTGACGACAGCCTTGATCCGAGTGTTGCCCACCTGGCTAAGAGTCACGTCAAGTCCAGGAGCGCTACCAGGAACCTCCACAGGAACGGCATTGAGAGTAGGTGCCAGGGCCAGAAGAAGAGAGGAGGCGGGAAGGAAACGCATCTTTAAAATTGAAGGACTTGAGGTATTGAAAAGGGCTGTTGAGCTCGAATGACCTGTTTGTGATGGAGTAAAAGCTGGCCATCACAGCCCCTTTTATAGATGAGTGTTACACTCCGTACGACGTTGAATTGCCTTTCAGTCACCCCCTCAATTTCTCACCCTGATACTGCAGTACCATGAGCTACGGAGATAGTTACTCTGTGACTGGCACTGTTGACATCTCGGAGGGCATGGCTCCATCGTGTTCACGCACGGGAAATTGAAGCAAGAATGGATTGATGCCCTCCATTGGCTATGATAGAAAACGCTGTGATGAAGCGATTTATTCGGCTGTGGCCTATAACGGAGAGCATCCTTGGCCCGGCGGAGAACCGCTGCAAGCTATATAGATTTAGGAAGGTCCATCTTGGGGTTAACCATGCCTGGTGCAATCGGGGAGCGAAGCCAAGATGTGGCTTGATGGTGTTTCATCAGGCACTTGATAAGAAAGCATTAATCCCGTCGCATCTCCCGGCTTCCGTTCTTGGCGAGAGTCTAAGACTTTCTTGGCGCATCAGGAGGTCGCTGTAATCTTCGGACTTCTTATCAGATAGAAGTGGTGGCAGTGTATGTGACTGTTCACGAGGAGATGTAGTCGTCGAGATTACATTTTAGAGTTCATAGGCTTGACATACATAGACAGGTTTTGTATGTATCGAGCATTAATAAACGTGCTAAATCATATAAATCCGGAGTTAGAAACCACTTGCATTCATTTTCCAAGAGTCAGCAGGTTGCAGGATGGTGTCATATCAACTAGTGCTCGGGCCCGGCACTATAATGCTTAGTCGCACTCCAGAAAATGCCGAATGGTCTTAGGGCAATTTAAAACCCTTGAAGAATGTAACCCAAGACTTGAAAAGCCTCGGCATTTTAAGATTAGTGGTATTTTCCGTCAATCAAAGCCTTTGATCCCCCAATAAGTGGATTGTGGGGAATCCCATTCCCTGTTGACCAGTATCACACGATGCAGGGTTATCATTGCCATTGGCCTGCTACGATGTTGAATGCCGAATATTAGAAAGCCGTAGTTCATCGGCGCATTCCGGATTGTCCCTTATCAGGCAGCTGTGAATCTAGAACAGAGTAGGTGGTTGCATATCCCTCCATCCCACAACTTCCGCAGGATAGTCACTCTTCAAAAGAACCATCATTAGTCTGCATTACACTCTGTGCACGGAAGGTGAACAGCAAAGATGAGTACTTCTCTTTCTCTACAAGTTACCATCACTCCCCCAGTTATTCCAGCCTTCTCCGAGCCGCCGACAGTGCCTATACAAGTGTCTGTGCACAATCCCTCCGACACGCCGATCACAGTGCTCAACTGGGGTACCCCGCTGGACCCTAGCGCTAATGTCCTAAGTATCTTCGACCTCCGTGATACAACCGAAAATCAGCCGGTGACCCTGCCAACCATCAAAATATCCCGTCGGATGCCACCCTCGGTTGATGATCTGGTAGAAATCCCGGCGGGCAGTTCGGTCGAGAAGGAGGTTACACTGCCTCACGTTCCACTCACCATGGGACACGAGTATTCCGTCCAGGCTAAGGGAAACTGGCATTCGGTGTGGGAGAGTCCTCGCGACGACGTTACTGCGGAGAAGCTGGAGCACCTTGGAGCTGCCGAACGGGGCGAGTTCACATCAAATGTTGTTGCCCTACGCATTGAATGAGAGAGATGATATTGTAATTTGTTGATTTCCCCAATGTTGAATTGGGTAGTCATATTGCTTTCGTTCCCTGTCCGGACATGTGCGTACTCAGATACGATCTATGAACCTTTTGACATTGCGAGATACCGTGCTTTTCTGGAGACCGCAGTAGGTGCACTAGGTCTGCGTCGTAAAGAAGGTCATTAGATGATTGCCTGCCGATATAGCAAGGCAGAGAGTCTCGCATTTCTTTATAAGCACGAGAAAGATATGTGGTAGAGAATCAGGAGCATACTAGTTTATCTGAGACTCGGTGAATTTTAGTTATTTAGTGTAGGAAGCGTTATACGGGTAGCTGGCAGCAGTAGAACAAGGCCTTAATATTAGACCACACATATGTGTATTTGCCTTGGCAATTCTGATAGTGTCCTAGGAACTTTTGGTCTCCATCACTCAAGAGAGTGAGTGGGAGCCCCGGTGGGAGAGCCGGTGGAAGCTCCGGTGAAGGCTCCGTCCGCCATCCATCGTGTCCCCATATAACCCTAGTTATTTGGTTGAGCCGCTGAATAATCTCGGATGGCTTTTATGAACTATATCACGGTGCATTGGTCCTTTTTTCTAATCTGATTTATAATTGTTCCCATATCCGTTGACGAAACCCACCTGGTTTCTTTCTACTTAAGCGGGCAACGTTGCCCTACCTGCCCATCGGAATGCGGTCTCATCTTATATGTTCTGATACTCCTAAGGCTCCTACACAAACTGAGTTGTCAATCGCCTCCACCACCAGAGCCGTATTCATTCAACGCCATCTCAAAACCAGCCTTTCTGCCGTTCAATTTGTCCGTCCAGCAACATGACATCTGACACCAAGATCCTCCTCACCGGTGCAACAGGCTTCATCGGGGGCAGTGTCCTTACTGCCCTGCTCCAGTCGTCTGCGTCGTCGCTCCAATCCGGCCCTATAACGTGCCTGCTGCGAGGTGCCGACCGCGCAGCTCTCCTTACCTCCACCTACGGCGAGCGCGTCAAGCCCGTCCTCTACGGTGGCCTCGATGACCTGAAGACTACCACCGCCGTGGCCGCACAGCACGACGTCGTCATCAACACCACCTTAGGCTATCACTCACCATCCACGAAGGCGCTCCTCCGCGGCCTGGCGCAGCGGAAGGCCCAAACCCGCCGTGACGTCTGGATGATCCACACGTCGGGTACATCCAACATCGGCGACAAGCCAATCACCAACCCCGTTGGAGTGAGGGAGTTCGACGATCTGGTCGACGATGTATACGCCCACGAGAAGGCGCTCGAGGCGGCAGAGCCCTACGCGCAACGGACTACCGAGCTGGGTGTTATCGACACGGGTCTCGAGCTGGGTGTTAAGACACTTGTAATTATGAGTCCTATTATCTACGGAAACGGCACTGGCTTGTTTAACAGGATTAGTATCCACACCGAGTACATGAAAGCGATGCTTCAGATGGGACATTCGGTAGTGGTGGGTGACGGGACAGGTGTATGGGACCACGTTCACATTGAGGATCTAGCTGACTTGTACCGGCGCGTTGTGCTTGATGTTCTGGAGCGGGAAGGGGAGACCCTACCCTCTGGGAAGAAGGGGATCATGTTCAGCGCCAATGGACGGCATTCGTGGCTGGAGTATTCGCAGCTGGTGGCAGATGCTTGCTACGAACGGGGTCTTATATCGGGGAAGAAGGTCGTCCATCTTAGCTTAGAAGAAGCCGCAGCCACTCTAATACCGCGTCTCAGGGTTGCTAAGGAGGTATTTGCGGAGGACGATTGGAAATCGGCGGCGGAGGGGTTCTGCAGTAACGAGATGACGGCCGCTAATGTTGCCCGGACTCTTGGGTGGAATCCGGTAAAGGGAAACGAGGCCTGGAAGCAGGCGTTTCGGGATGATGTGGACAGCATCGTCAAGGCTAAGAGGTAAACGGTTGTTGTGCCTAGGGCTAGCAAGGAGGGAGTAGTGAAAATATAAACGGATGTCGATTTGGGTAAATGACGTCAGGTATTAGCCAAGGGAAAAGTCGCATTATTAAGCAAAAAACAACAATTAACTAAAAAAAGAGCTTAGATCTATCAAGCGCGTCAGCTCCTGGTCTTACATGCTGAGCATCAATCACACGCGAGGATGCCTCCAAGGGAATTTGTTTGTCAGTTCCCCGGTTGCAGGGCAGGATATTCACGTAAAGAACACCTCATTCGCCACGAAGCCCAACACAGTCAACGCCAGTCTTTTCCGTGCCCAACCTGCAGTGGAGAGTTTGGTCGAACGTGAGAAAGTAGTCCTTCTCAGGGGTATCCAAAGCCTCTAACACTAGCGTAGTGACACTCTGCGGCGACATATGCGTCAGATCCATGGAGTAAATGGACCAACTCACATCAAACAGGCCTGTGCCCATTGTCGGAAGACGAAAGTCCCGTTGTCAGGGAGGATCACCATGCAGTGAGTGCCTACGTCGAGGGATCCAATGTTCTCTGGGTAGACAGGTTGAAGCTCCCAGTCCCCCGACAGGCGGATCGGATATTCCACCGTGGAGTGCAGGCTGCTCTAACCCGAGACGTCGCTTTCTCGATCTGTACTTTGAAAAGTTCCACCCCTACTGGCTCCTAGTCCATCGGGGCTCGTTCAACGAGGACATTGACCCGCCCTTACTTGTCCAGGCTATGGTTGTCATTGGGATGTGGATGAGCGACGAACCTAATGCACGGTCAGCAGCGATTGACCTCCACAACACCCTGGCCTCGGCCATCAGTCAGCAGAGAGTGAGTGGAATCCGCGTTGTTAGGGACCTGCTCTACTGACAAAATGCTACAAGGAAGAATGGGATGTCTCCGCCACAGAGGATGTAGGTGGTGCTCCCTGGCCGATCGCGACGTACCAAGGCATATTGCTGCATATAATCTTCGCTCTCGTGCACGCAGGCACGGGGAACCTCGGCATCGACTTGAAGCATGCTTTCTCCCGTACCCACACCGACCTTCTTAACTCGCTTATTGGGAGCTGCAAAAGACTGGGCATGCTATATTATCCACATATACTTACCCGGTATTCCCAACGCGATTCCGGTCCATATATCTGGCTGGGAATTGAAGAAATCAAGCGGTTCAACTTGGCCCTATACAGAGTCTACCGGGCAGCCAGCGTGGTTGGAAAGCGAGCCAACAACAACACAGACATCCATGCAAGACTGACCGCAAGGGACTTACAGTTTCCGTTCCCGACACATACACGCTTATGGAAAACAGTGAGCATGGCGGAATGGGGCTCTGCTGCAGCGAGAGGGGTGTTCGATCAATTGTTGGATGATACCATGGAGGAGATGTGGATCTCGAAAGTCCACGGGGCGCTTGGTGTCGATTGGGAATTGGATTATACTCCTCAGGACTAGCTTTGCCGTATCCACGCTATTCATCCCACTAGACTTCGGGATTTCACTATACTACCATCCTATTCCAAAACACATGTGGGTGGTGCGGAGGGCCCGAAATAGATGCAAAGGTTTGTCAGTCGTCCACTGATAGGGATTAGCCAATGGCATCTCCCAGCTTTGAATAGACAAAATACATAAAATAAATCTGACTCCGATGAGACCATAACAACTATGTGTCTTTCTTTACTACTATATGATATGGAATTGAATCACATATTTCGACAATCTTCTTACCTCGGTCTTTTTATATTATATATGAAGTCAATGTGACTCGAAGTCGGCTCATTTCCACAGATAAATCAAACTATTCACGCATTATTGATATTCAAATATAGTATAGAAGGATGGTGTCATAACACAGAAATGAATTATATTCAACCTGAAATGGAGTTTCATAGGACAAACTCGAATATACATTTCAGATACGTCAGACCCATGACAGGACATGCAACAGCTTCAACTGAACCGTACAAAGTGAAAATTCGAAAGGACCCAAAGGCTAGAGTGAATGTAAGGCCCTCGACCAACACCAACAGTACAATTAGTCATCGCCTGCCTGTTGTTGTGTTTCCATGAATGCCCTGTCTGTCTTCATGGAGTCAGCGAACTTCTCAGCTTTACTTCCGCTCGCAAAGAAAGAGATTTCCTTGTCCTTCTAGCGTCATCTCCTGCACAAATGTCTCCCTTCGTCTACACGGAACGGAGCGCTCTAGGTTCCACGTGCTGTATATGTGGTCTATACCAACTCCACTGCACTGTACATGGAGATAATGAAGCTTCTTTCCCTCCGCCTGGGCTCTACCCTATACAGCAATTAGTACAGATGCGTTTCTGTAAAAGCCAATACTTCTACCGCTTGAGTAAGTCATGATGCCTAAACATTTAGCACTTCAACGTCCCTTCAACTGACAGTAACTCTAGTCCTCCACAGTACTCGTAATGGCATATACCGGGTCTCTGGTGTGGCAGTCAACATAAGAGTCACCCCCGGGGAGGAGGTGCTGCAAGCCGTGCCATGGGACGAGAAGATAGGAGCTATTGGATACCCCGAAAAGGACTGGGATCGTCTGGTACTGGTTATACATCCTCCTGAGCATGATGACACGAGTTCTCACGATCTCTTCGGCTACCATGTCCACAACAGTTGTTGGGAGTTACTGACACATCATACAATGGGGGAAACTGCGAGACACAACTTGGCCTCAGTTGTCAGGATTCGAAACCTCCTATTTGCTCGCGCTCAGGAACGTGCCGCTGAATTAGCACTAAGGGTGGTATGTATTCCCTAGGTTCGCAGTTCGACTTATCCCGTCAGCGCTGACACGAAGTTCGTTATCCAACCAGATCCCGCCAATATCAAAAGCATTCAGTCTGTGATCAAGCGAGCTCGAATTAGGACGCGCGTGCGGTTTCGCATAAAAGGCCGTATCAACCGTCGACGCAATCGTTTGTGCTATCTTCCAGTGGAGATGTTATACCCAGTCGTGGATTACCTTTCCACCGATGAACTCGAGAGCGTGCAGACCGCTATGAAGTACTACCTTGGTGATGCGTATTGGCGCGCACGAGTCCCAATGAAACTATTCCACGAAGTGAGAAGTGTCTGGGATGAAACACTGGACTGGCAATTTCTCTGCTTAAAACTTGAACGGCTTTCGCAGACACAGGACCTAGCCTTTCGACGATACATTATAGACCAGTTGGATGAGTTGCAGGCATTTCTTAGTCAGGCAGCAAACGAGTAACGTGTGGGAGGGAGCATGATGATGGTCTGGTGAAAGCGAAGTGAGAGGCGTGAAGGGAATTAGTTTCGGGACGTGTATCTATCACGGCAGCAGTGTTGCCCTCAGCTTCTAACAGCTCCAGTAGGCATAGGCATAAATAACGTTGGTCAGACACAGGCCGCTGTATATTTGTTTTGCATCTTCAAACACGATGTGAGATACTGAATAAACATTACCCTCCATGGATATACGTTTTGCAACGTTCTCTCCGGTGAATGGATTGCCAGCATCGCAACCAGTGTAGGCGATGGTATCATGATCACTGATCCTGTCGCGTTAGGTCGGATATTGACCCTGCAACGGAGTTACAAGCTGCGAGACACGACCCTATTCACATCCTGTGCGTTGGAAAAAAGGGCAGCGCAAGAATTGATATAATATTTGAACCTCCCTTTGAAAAGCGATGAAACAAGACATGGCGTGTTTGCAAGACAACCCTTGATGGGCAAAAGAGGTCGGTTGAAACAAAAACAAAAAGATATCGTCAGCGACAGGATTTGAACCTGTGCGGGCGAACCCAACAGATTTCTAGTCTGTCGCCTTAACCACTCGGCCACACTGACTAATTGATATTTAATTGGCAGCATATGTAAAATACAAGCACACAAATACATTTACTTCTCAATGTTCCAAAGGCAGGCTTTTTTCGAATATGTAAATCCTTAGAAGAAAATTATGTCTAACACCACATTCTCTTCTCATTAATCTCTGCATCATACAAAGGCTTTCCGTTCATGTACTGTAATATCCCGTAGGGCGTGCTTCAAACGGTGTTCCTTTCAGTTCAATCACGTGTCCACAAACAATATATATATATGCATCATACCAATCAAAATCTTGGGATATATACAAGACTGTGATATACTCCTTCGAATTATCGCTCGACAAACACAATGGACTTCTTTGCAAGGAAACATATCCTAGAATTGCAATTTTGTAGATCATGATAAACACGCGTGATCTTTAGCAGGATTCGATGCAAAATGCAATCATCAGGGGCATGTAGGCTCCACATGGAAGGAAACTACCTTTAACTGTACCAATGGATCGATCGAATATGACGGGGAGAATCTAATCCTCCGCAAAGGGCTATGACGTTGTGGCATTCTACGTAGCCTGTTGATGCAGTCGATGCAACGCCAGATACGCGTCCGTGATACGTTCAACTATTATCCGGGATGTGTTATCCAGTTAGATTCGGTGTTTTCGAACTCGGCAGTGTCTCACCGCGGTGACATCAGAAGCATATGAAGGCCATGCTTATCGCCACTGGAAGTATGATAAAAAGCACTGAGGTAAACCAAGCCCTACAGCATCCGAAGGAACTATCAAGGAAAATCTTCAGAATCCAAAGCTTGTGTCCAATTTCAATCAAAGTAAACCCAAGATGAGCGACCGCACGAACGAGACTTATTCCTCCTCTTCTTCAGATGATGTGATCGATGGCACCGATAGCCCCATCTGCGCTGCCGATGATACAACATACGACACCTACGATGCCGACGCCACGACCAACTATGGCGTCCGAGCAGCTAAACGCCTCGATACCAAAAAGGAGACGGCGACCGACGTGAGTATCCACGAACATGAAGCCCCTAGTGGCGCCCGAATCAAGAGGACCAGCTTTGAGAACGGCCGTGGCCGTACAACCTACGACCCGGACACGGGGGCATACGATGAGTTGTTAGATTATAGTACGGACGATGCGGACCATCACCATCGCGAGAAGCTTGACGCCGACGGTGTCTATCAGCTGCGGGATGTCGATTTGCGTAAAGATGGGACGAGGCATGTTCATCGCGAATACAACAATCCGATTACTGGGATCACGACTTCCGTACAGGGAACTATGAGCGACCGTGCCTTTGAACTGGATTTTTAGCGTTTGCTCTTTCTTATCAAGTCTCTCTGTAACTGTTAGATGCGGACATCAGAGATATAGTAATATATATCTTATACCAACTCAGCATGCACACAACGCAGAAAACAAAACACGAGACCAAGACTACCCCAAGAAAAAAGTCTCACATTCGTTGTCATATAACCATGCCCTTACTATGGACATATTGAAAACGGGAAAAGCTCTTGAAAGGTGAAGAAAAGCTTTAAAAGCCAAGCATTTTAGAGTTGGTGACGACCAAGCCACGCGATGAGCAACATGTAGTTTCGGGAACTGTTGACCGAATTTGAATAGAGAAAAGATAGGAACCGGAATTAGACCCGGACTCTGCTATTCGCAAAGGGAGATAGGCATTCCTGGAGTCGCCGCCGGAATGCAGAGGAAGTATGTGTTTATATTTCCTGTTGGATAAATCTTCTGGTTCTATCGTCAGCCCTGTCAGCCTTGTCAACGTGTCCCTAATGTTAAAGGGATCATATCAAAATACTCTGAACTAATTATAATTGTACCGAGAATCTATATTGTGAGTGAAATGCTCATAACTCATATTTACGGTTTATTTTCAACATGTTAGAGGTCTCCCGGCCATTTTCTGCCCATGAGCACGGCAATTTATAAATCGACCAATATGACCATTTTCAATGGCCTATGCATAGCGTTTGAAGGAACATCTCGCAATGCCTTGATAAAGAGATCTATGCATAGGGAATGATATGTGCAGTATCTATGGCCAAAAGAGATGGTACCAACCATGATAAAATTGAGAGACATGAACGCCGATTATAATTGCTAAGAAGCGTAACGCTTGTATTTGTTGTCTGTTGTACACCAATAACGCCCCGGACACTGTGTTTCTTTCCAATTTCTTTCTGTCCCCATGGCCCTGTGACGTGCTTAGGACATTTGGAATGGGCCGCGCGACTCGCACCAAACGCTGTCAATGACGGGAATAGTTACTGAGGATTCGTGTCTGCCGGGGGCAAGAAGGACTTGTCGATGAGTACAATCGCGACCCCTGAGATTGATTAGGATAAGCTCTTTATAGCTCGCAGTCGGGCACTTACATGAAGACTCGGCAATGTTCGGAAACGTAGACGGCTGTGATGTCTCTAAAGCATTGTTATTTCCTGTGTCCTTAACCATAATCAGTCAGACTTACTCTGCGTGGACATCGAAACAACTTTTTAGTGGGATGTTCTCGACGTGAAAAGTTGTATCAGCCGTTTCAAAGCCGACCTTCACAACACATAATTAGTAAAGATCCTTTGTTGACGGTGATTGGTCGCATACAGTGGCTGTCCCTGTTGCTACACTGCCTGTAGCCATGGCGAGGGCCAAACCCAGGAACGAGATATGCTTGAGTCCGTACATTGTGGGTGGATGAGAATTGGGCGAAATTCGTCAGAGCTTGGTGTAAGTGGCAAGTTTCTCTCGATGAGTGACAGACGGTTTTAACTTGTCGCGTTCTTAAGGTGGTATCCCTTGCTAAGAATGGCCAGTTGTTGTTTTGGACGTTAGGGCATCCCTTGCGTTCATGAAGGGAACACCAACCACATTCCAGTGCGCCACCTGCTCGACAGATAACCACCCCTTTCATACAATTCATTGGAGAAATGCTTCATGTACTTCCGAAAGGGCTGAATTACAAAACTTTGAATGATGTTGAGTGTTTCGGGGTAGGTTTATGTTGTTATTATGTGAAAGTGAGTTTATAGTTTTGATGAGTACCTCGTCGCGATTAGAGAGTTAAGTAGGGATAGTGTCTCCCTTGAAGCTTATTAACATGTGAAATATTGAGAACGGACACGGTCGAAGGGATATGTTCCGATTTATAAATGAACAAACGTCTTTCGCTATTATTCATCCCTCCTGAAATAGCTCTGTCTCTATATCGAGGAGGAAAATGAGGCCCAGCTGTTGCTCAATCCCAGGAACGATATTCTGCATGAGCTTATACCTTTCCGAAACTTCAACTTTCTCCAAGTTCATTTGATGGTTTTTATCTAGATGAGAGACATTGAGTCGTGTAATTGCATCCTCGGCCTTGGCAGGGTCTGAAAATCGTGTAATAGCAGTCCTTTGTAGACGTGAGTCCAGTATGCTCTATGTCATTTTATACACAACATACCCGACGGTTCTCTGGTGTGGATCCACTGGCATATACAGCTTTCGGGTGTCTATTGGTCCGGGACTGTCTAATTTCCTGGGGAGAAATCTGGTAAGGGTAGGCCGGTGGGTTTGGCCAACTACCGGTAAACCATCGGGAGTCGTTGGAGATACGTTTACTAGTACTGTCACCGAGAAGTGTTCCGGATGGAGTACCTTAGATCTTGGGTGGATACGGCAGAGAGTAAATCACTGCAGGGGATCAGAGCCGTTTACAGTTTATAGATACTACATGCGGGGCGTGTAGAGGCAAAAGCGGACTGTGGAGTTTCTATAATGTATACATTATCGACCGTAAGATACCTTCCTCTCTGTTCTTTGCTATACACTCTGTTAAGAGCGGGACAGAAGTATAGCCAAGTCTTATGATAATGGCCAGCCCCGTCTAGTAGACATAAGCGACCGTCATATTGCAATCCTCCTGGCTCCGGTTATAGTAGTCGGACCTGTCAATAGTACCCCAGGGCTATTCAGCTTTTCCGGGGCTGTTAGTCAAAGTCGGAGGTAATTAGTTAACGCGTTTCACGGTGCTGATAGGGAAGCGAACGACTGCCAGGCGATCTCATGGGTCATTAGCCAACGCCAAGGACATAGTCTAGACCAGCAACGTTCGTCGGCAATTAGAAAAGAATAGGAGGTACCGGCCGTTTAATTAAGGAGTCTTGTCCCTCGGAATCTATTGTATTTCAGCCATGTGGCCCCCTTTCTTTTCACCTTTCTGCCCTCCCTTTCGCCCTCTGTATGCTTTCTCTTCAAGCCGTTGCAGTCGACGTAATCCCTCCGTACTATCCGTTAATGACATTGAGCATACGATGCTTTTCAACACGAGAAATAAACTCTGAACAGCCTCGTGGCGTTTTACTTTCTGGGCGGCGAAATAAGCAACACTAAGCAATCAACAAGAGAATTTGCGTAGAATAATTGCATCTATCAGAGACGCGGCATTGTCGCTCGGCAGTTTTAGCGCCAAAGCAAAATCGGCCTCGGTGCAAACCAGCTGATATCGGTATATTTTCACGCCGAACTGAGTGACTTTGGAAAACCCGCATCTTAATAATCCAGACGGAAATCCCCGCATCTCGACAGTTGGGTTCTAGCCGGCAATGGTCCTTTTACCCAACTACCGTGGGGCCATGATCTCCACCACATGGGCGACATCGAATGGCTCGTTCATAAGGCGCTACCAGTAAGCATGTCCACTCGGGAAATGATCACGGGGACCCCGCGTTTTCCCCGTATGGATCGACTTATCTGTCTGTCACAGGAAGAGTAAGTTGGGTCCGCGTCATTGCGTTAGGGCCCACTCCTTGAAAACCCCTATAGCTTGGTCAATGCCCCTCTGATATCTCCCTTTCTTGTACTCTAGTTGCTGTTGTTGGAGAACACAATTTTTATAGCAGTCATGTCATCAACGGAGTATAAAACGTCCCAGGGGCACACGCCTGGGAAGGCAGAGTCAGAATTCTTCGAGAAGTCGGAGGCAAACATCCAAAGTGTCGATGCGACCAGTCTGCTCTCCGATCAGCACCGTGATTATTTGCTTCAACGACATGGCACCTTAGATCTGGATCCAATCCCTAGTATGGATCCGGCAGATCCATACAACTGGCCGTTATGGAAGGTGAGTTGCTTCATTTTGTTCATCGTCTCGTGTTGCTGTTATTTCTTGTCGGTTTCTCGTAACCAGTTCAAGTGCTAACGTACATGACCGCATAGAAAGTTGCGAATCTAGGTTTGGTGGCCTTCCATGCCTGCATGGGAACCTTCACGGCTGCCGCAATCATTCCTGCCTATGAAGCAATTTCCGAGGACCTTGGTGTCTCTCTACAGAGAGTCAGCTATTTGACATCGCTTCAGATCGCCATTCTGGGAGGTGCCCCGTTATTCTGGAAGCCCCTTTCGCAGCGCTTCGGACGCCGCCCAATTTTCCTCTTGTCCCTCATCCTCAGTTGTGTTTGTAACATCGGCTGCGCAAAGAGCCCAGATTACGCTTCGATGGCAGCATGCCGCGCTCTGGTATCATTCTTCCTCTGCCCAGCGATGGCTATCGGAAGCGCTGTTGTCACCGAGACCTTCTTCCGACGGGAGCGAGCGCGATATATGGGAATCTGGACGGTGATGGTGACCTTGGGCGTACCTGTTGGCCCATTTATTTTCGGATTTGTTGCCCAACGCGTGGGATATCGATGGATTTACTGGGTTTTGGCAATCGTAAGTCATAAATTGTTATCACGCTTCGCATCACTAATACCCTCTCATCAAATCAGACAAACGCCTGCCAGTTCTTCCTATACATTTTCTTCGGCCCAGAAACCCGGTACATTGGCGCCGAAGTACAATCTGATGGCTCATCTTTCAAACGAGAGTATCTCTCCTTCGGACGAATCGATCCCACACCATTCCGCCTGTCCGAATTCTTCCACCCCCTCAGCCTATTCACCAACATCCCCGTGCTCCTCGCATCAGTAGCCTACGCCATGGTCTTCCTCTTCGCCTCCGTCCTGAATTCCGTGGAAGTACCACAACTCTTACAGAGTAAATTCGAACTCAACGCAGAACAGCTAGGTCTCCAATTCCTCGGTCTGATCATCGGCTCCCTCCTCGGCGAACAACTCGGCGGCTTCATGTCAGACATGTGGATGAACGCCCGCGCCCGTCGCATCGGACACAAGCCTGCCCCCGAATATCGTCTCTGGCTGAGCTACATTGGTTACCTGCTCACGATCGCCGGAAGCGTGGTGTTCCTGGTCTGTACAGAACAGGCCACCGAGGGTAAATGGACCGTGGTTCCAGTGGTGGGGACGGGTATCGCGGCATTTGGTAACCAGGTTATCACGACTGTGCTCACGACGTACGCGGTGGATACGTATCCTCAGGATGCGGGGAGTGTGGGAGTATTCATTAATTTCGTACGATCGACTTGGGGATTTATTGGACCTTTCTGGTATGTGCTATGTTCCCCTATCTGGTGGACGTCGTTGACTAATAATGTTAGGTTTCCGGATATGTTTGAGACTGTCGGTATTGCTAAGAGCTCGGGGGTAGTTACGGCTTTGGTTATGGGCGTGAGCTTTCTTCCGACTGTGTTTTTGCAGTGGCAGGGTCAAAGGTGGCATGCTAGTGTGGTTGAGAAGTGAGGTCCGTACAAATCTACAGGACAATGACCGATGTATGTATATAATTAGTTTGAGAGCACCTTGAACCTGCGTCGAATTAAAACAAGCTTTGAAAACTTGACTAAATTCCCTACCATGGTGTATTTAATTCCTTACCCCGATCACCTATATTGAATTAGGTCGAATTTATCTTAATACTGCCAAAATCTATATCTACACAAGTGAGATAGGCTGAAACATCCGACCACCAGAAATCGCTTCTCCATCCATAATCCCATGGACATATGTCTCCCCGATCAGACTTCGTTTATCCGTATCTAAAGAATCATCGCTCGAGGATTTCCTCAAAATAAACGGTGTTCGTGCTCCAGAAATCACCCATACCTCATCCCCAGGTCGTACAGACCATGGACCAAGCCCAAGGTACCCCAGTTTAGTACGATAAAGCAACCGTCCTCGATAGAAATGGACGAATGTTTGATCAAAGTCACGGTCATCGATCCTGACTATTCCCCGGGGCTTTCCCACCTCGTCCTTCTCCCCGTATTGTTGTATTTCCTCCCAAGTTGGCAATGTGTTGTTGTCATCTGTTTCGCGGACCAGATTGAGGTTCGTTATGGTATCTTCATCCGATGTATGCGTGAGACTCCACAGGGCTTTTAGCATAAAACAGCGAAAGGAGGACTGGGCATCGTGGACTGGATTGTCCGCGGTTGAAGAGAGCTTGTTGGTCATCAAGGTCCGCCAAAGTGCCTCAACGCGATTCTCCCCTGTAGGGAGGTAGGTCTTCTCCAGAGAGGATATTAGTTTTAGCCAACTTGGTGGATGGAAATGCGTAGCTGTTAGTGTGCCGATTTGCGATTCTACACTAACTATCTCATCGTGGAAAGCACCATCTAGCCGAAGGGTATGATTGTCGTCGTCGGGGAGAATCCCAGCTGGGGTATCGGGGCTAACACCTGCGCGGAAGCGTGGTGACCACAGACGTGTTGTTATAAGGGGAGCAGTGAAGTTGGGGATCCACGATGGCAATTCCTGACCATCGAAAGTGCGAGAGATATCCGGACTTTCCTGCACAAAGGAGAGTCCTTCAAGACATTCGAAAACCTCATACTCTCCCGTGTGCCATGTCTGGAGAGGCTCATCGGGAGCTCCCTGCATGAATATTTTGGCAAACTGAATAAATACTTCCGATATGGTTTTGGAGTAATCGGCAACCATCCTCTTTAGAGGGTCATCAGGTAGCCGAGATAGACCTATTAAAGCAAAGACTTTGTCTCTCGGGTCAGTCGCTCGAAACGACCAAACCTTACTAGCCAACAGCGAAAGACTCAATTTGTGCTCCCATGTGGGAACCAGCGTGATGCCATTCTTCTTCACATACTCATCTATCACAGTTCGTTCGAAGACGTGTTTTGAAGTCCGGAGTCGAATATCAGTCAACGTACTCAGTTCGCTCCCTCCAATTCCTCTCCACCGGGCCAACTCAAGGGCTTGGGCCAGGGACCGGCTGTTAACCCGAGACGTGAAGTTAGGACTGTGAAACATAATAAAGAGCTTGTGATATTCGAACTCGACGCGACCGCAGAAGATCCGAATCTGCTTGGCCAAAGCGATCTCCTGGATGATCCATACGCGCTGGAACCAGGTTCGTCGGAACAAATTTACCACCGCCTGGTATTTCAAGGCAGCCTCATTTGATCCCTTTTTAGCGACGCGTGTCTCTGGGTCTTCCATAACGTGATTGTTCAACACATCGTTGTACCACATGTCCATGCCTTCTTGAGATGGAAGATGTGTGGCTTCGAAGGCACGCATAGTACTCTCATCATCTACACCTAGCCAGACGAATACCCCCGAGGACTTCGTATAGATCATGGACATGATGGCTACTTGCGCGTTACGTTCCGCAATATCATCTTGATTAATACATATTGCATCAATCCAGAATTGCTGACTATCCATCGGAGAGAGTGGCCGTGGCCTACTCCCAACTATGTGGTTGATATCAGCTCTCTCCAAGTATTCGATGACCTCGGCGTATTTTCGACGCTTACGCATCTTCGCACAGTCAAGAGGTGTCCGCCTCGAAGAGTCCCGTCGATGCAGATCCGAGCCAGCCTCCACGAGTATCTTGACGACTTCGAAATAGCCATTCTCAGCGGCGTAATGTAGAGCCGTCTCTCCAAACATGTCTTGCGCCGCCAAGTCTGCGCCTCGGGCCATCCAAAAAAAGACATCATTCGCGCTTCCAGCTTCGGCTGCCTCAATCAGGCGGGTTTTGTTATATGGTTTGGTACGCCGATCGACATACAGTTCTTGCGTCTTCAAACGCTGCAGAAACTCGAACAGATTTCTCGTCAAGAAGAATATTTGTCCGTTGATCGCGACCGGGAATTTGTTCTTTGGACCGTAGTCCTTGGACCTCTCGTGGTCTGGTGGAAATGGTGATCCCCAGGTATATGACAAAGCCTGGAAGCGCGGGTTGTCGTTGAGGTCGACGACTTGTATAGATAATGGGATAAGCGGTACTCCAAACACAGTAATGTCAGACTCGCCGTGGAGTAGCGAGACTACCCGGATTGATGTCGGGGTCGGAAGAGGATCATATTCAAATGTTCGAATCTTCATACTGTGTATATTGGGCACTTTGGCAGTCAAAGGTTGGGAATAGAAGATGTGTGACCCTGAACTGCCCGCTATTTTGGCTTGAATGCCTTATTTAGCCGCTAAGCTTTATACAGTATGGGTTAACGCACAGCCTACTTTACAGCCACACTTTAGTGTAATAGATGGGAAAATCAGACGTTTCACCTTCATCGTGCGGCCATTCAGATTCTAGACAGGATTATTACCACACCCAATTAAATGCTGAAGATGAGACTCTAGCTCCACTAATTACTAGAGAGGGCTCCGCAATGAGGGGGGCAAATGTTCACGCCATCGTATAAGACACTTTTATCTACTCCATATATAGTTCGCTGAGGTGTTATTATAAATCGAATTTTATTAATTTCGACACGGAATTCCATTCGAGAAGTCCGAGCATGGTGCTCTTTCCCACCATTCGAGTATAGTGTGCTATCAATTGCATTATTGCCCATATCCGATAGATCCTAGCAAGACAGCAGTGTATTTTGTCTGCCTAGCACAGCGGATACAGGATATATGGAAGAGAAACATGAATAATTGTGATGGCAGGGTGAAGAGACGAGAGCTGAAGAGAGTGTTCTGGCGTCGATCGCTGCTGGGTCGCCAATAGATTCCTGCTACTTCGGGGGAGACAATTTTCCCTTTCGCGAGTGAATGTGTGAGCTGGTCATTGCATCAACGATAGACCGGTAGTGATGTTGAGTGGTTAGAGCAAACGTCTCCAGAGTTTAAGGGAGCTGGTGGATCAAGGGAATAGAATACCTCATTGGCTTCGTATAGGTAGGTCAAGGGTTGATATATAATGCTCAGCATATCCACTGATGCTTTTGAATACTCTTGCTGTTTGGAACTCATATCATTGAGGCTGATAACGTATCTTACGCGATTTGATACTGTATAAAGTTAAGGCACTAATAGTGTCTCGTCACTGATGCTAGAAGATCCATGTAATTTTGGTTATGTATAGATGAAAGTTTGCGTTATTCGTTTCCAAATGTAACCCTCCTTGTCCAGGAAGTAATCTTTGAAGGCTCACAAAAGTATCCTTTTCAAAGGCAGAAGTATATATACGAGAATTCTCACTACGAACATTCGCTAATGTAAATGAAGTACCACCGATGAGCATCGATGCTAGTTCCGTCCGTTCCATCGTTACCGCCCGTTGCATCGATTCCTGTAACTTCAGTCACATCAGTGGTGGTCACTGTTGCCTCGTCGGCACTGCTGATATAGTACTCCGGGCTGAAGTGATGATACCCGAGTAGCGTGGGTGGCAGCTTAGGCACAATATCATTCGTGTGCGTGACGCGATAGCTGCCACCCTTGTTTTGGTCCGTGATATATGTTGCCAATGCCTCGTTTCCAAGTCGAGGTTGTCCGTAGTTGTACTGTTTGGTTAGCACATTTGCATACCGTCACATTCACCGAATAAAGATATAACATACCAGCTCAACACTATGCCCGGCATTCCGCAGAGCAGTCGCTGCGAGGGCTGCCAGCGCAGCGCCGTAACTATGTCCGGTCAAGACTAAGGAATAATCGGAATGATCCGACAAGGCGGATTCCACCTTGGAAGTAATGGTATCGGCGATTTCGCTCCATGCCTTCCAGAAACCGCTGTGCACTTCACATCCGGAACACAAATCGCTGGCATCCTCGAGGGCAAAGTTGAGGTTGGCTACCCAGTTGGCCAAGTCAGAGCTACCCCGGAAAGACAGGACTAGCAGTTTGTTAGTCTCATCGGCCGCGAGGTACCCAGCGGGGTTGCCGTAAGATGACGATCTGAGTTGTCAGCAGTTGTCTGTGAATTAGAAGTGCATATCTGCGGTGACTTACTCGTTAAATTCATCCAAGGTGTTGGTAGATGCCGATTCTACCAAAGGACAATTGCCAACAGAGCATGTCAATTTAGTGCCGGTGGAGTTCAAGTTCTCAGAACAGTATGCGGCGGCACTGTACTGTGCAAAGAGGTCCAAATTGTTCAGGAGTGAAGAGCTGACATCTGAATCCGTCAGTCTGGCTCAAACGAGTCTTCATGTTAAGAATTGACGAAGAGACAAACATACCTCTGCGCAGTGGAGCCGGGGCTGCTTGAGCCAGTAAAAATAGACCGGCAACGGTCCCGAATCGCGCGAGACTAAACATTTCGAATGCCGTGCAAGACGAGATGCATTTCGCGAATATCCCTTGCGAAGCCAGCCTATTTTATACTCCTGTGATAGCCCCTCTTTCAGCCTTTTTTTTTTTTTTTTTTTTAACTATCCCTACCAGAGGGATAATAATCTAATGGAACCCCGCCCCTTGGCCCTTATCCGGACAGGCATCATATCCGAGCACGCGAAGGTATTCAAGGGCTGTATGGCTGGCTGATTCTTCTCTCATAAGACCCACTAGCGCCTTTCCAGTATAGCGCTTCGTCAGCAATAACAGAATGCATAACTAGTGCGTCGGATGGTTCCCATCATGCCCTATCACTGATAAGCGACCCCAACGTGTTTGTGGCTCAGCTGTGTGATAGGTGTGCCTGAGGGTCGCTTGCTGAGGCATATGCAGAGTGTTTTCTAATCAACTTTAACTAATCCATTACTCCTGACAATAGCATTCCTGCTCATCTCGCATAGTATCATCAGAGTTGACCATAGAAATCACAGGTCATGGGATATGCCGATTAGGGCTGTTCAGGAAGAAACTCCGTCGGATCGCCGATCACAGGAAATCCTCTCGTAAAAATCGTTCAGCGACATTTCCCCTTTAGGACCAATTTCGGACGATCTTCCGGACTGCTGATTGAACTATTCGATTGCGAAGTTGAGTGCAGCTGACAGGTATGTTGGCCTAATATTGTAAAACTCGTTATAAGCGATTGACTTTATGAAACTTGCCTATGTCGAGGCTAACTGAAATTTGTTTATAAGAAATTTGATATCATACCCCTTTTTGAATTGCTTCCATGACGTATTTCCCCTAGGTCTAGAAATATATTTTACAGTGATAAAACATATTCAGACAATGACAAGTGTAGCGTACTCATGTTTCTGGATATATGTGTGGTGTGAGGGACGTCTAATAAAATTAACGGAGAAAGGTCCAATACTATCATCTTTTGCCTGGCACCTTCTTACCCCGCCTGGTAGGGCTTCACCCCTCACAAGACGGAGCTTGGCCATGTGCCAAGTCAGCTGGCATTGACGACTCGGTCAATAACTGGAAGAGAATAACAGCTATCATGTTTGTAAGGGCGAGTCCTCCAATGGAAGTCCAAGCCTCTTGCTTTAATGTAACGTTTATGGATTAAACTCTGAGTCTCTGCTAGGACGTTCGGAGATGTTTCTACAATAGGGTGGTTTCATAATAGATACTAACTCGATAGCACCCCCGCTTGGAAAATATAAAAAACAACATTCGCTGATAAATCACCAGTTTTCTTGAAGCGCCGACTCAACACTTTACTTAGGCCCTTCCTTCTAGGTTGGCCGCAAGCTGGCTCCCTATGGTAGTCAACATGGCCTTGAAATTTTGAAGCCAAGGATTCACTGGATTCGTTACTATCCTATTTTTCGAGATAGGAAGGCTCTTCAACGTACAGTAGAGAACCTATGGATACTGCCTATTATTTAATTAGAATTTCTTAACTGAAATATCTTAGATGATTTTTGGGTTCCTCAACATCACTTCGGGCATTTCCCACGCTCCAAGAACGCGATGTCTGGGAGCCGTATGAGAATGAATAGCCTGACTGCGTAGATCACTGAGAGATAAGAGAGTGTGCTTCTCTACTCATTGCTTATTACGTTTCCAGAAGTTCTGGGACGAGTAGGCTGACAAACTCAATTGGGATGTCGGAAATTGAGCCGCTGACCATCCCATCGGTTGTGACCACCAGCGGTGCGAGTTGTAGGATCCTTTTAAATAGGTACTTAAGCTCGGTTGAAAATGTCCTGTGGCTGATTGGAACTAGAAAGGGCTGTTGTGGTTCTTGTTCCGAATACCTGTACTGTAGATTCCCTATTTTGGAAGGTCACTGCAGTGTAACAGCCTTGGTGGGTATAACGTGAGTAGGTAGCAATGAATGGACAACATTGGACTGGCATTTGGCAAGATAAAATTGTTGATAAGAAAAGGAAAGTCAATAGAGGTACTGTCTAGACACCGTTCTAAATAAAACTAGGAATGATTGGGTAGCAATTCCCCCAGGCATTGCTCGGTTGGGATACATATGATGAAAGATGGGGAAAGAAAAGATTGCTGAGAAAGGATTGTTACAGGAATTAAGAGGTGGATAGATAGCAGTTAAGCTATAGCAGTGTCTCTTATTGAGGCTATCCTTAGGTTATTTACTCTGCTTCCAGTGAGGCCAGTTAGGGCACGCTTCCCAAAACGGAAAGGGGATGTCGCCAATCAAAAACACCTCATTACGCAGCTGACATTACATTTGAGGACCAAAGGTACGATGTCTGTTAAAACAATTCCATTGCTTACGAGAGTTCACTGCGACCCATGGATCGCATCCCAAGTGACAGGCTTACAGGCCATACATTCATGATCCAGACCCGAGAAATGACGTCATGTAAATACTTGTCGCCTGAGGCATCAGGATTTGTGTGCTTTGGTTGGCGGCATCAAAGGTAATGACACTCATACTCGTCATGGATTCCACCGAGTTTAAATTTCCATATATGGATGGAACTCCTCGGAGGGACGAAGTTCTTGTTCTAATGCACATACCTACGGGCCTGCAACGTTTCCTATCCATTAGCACATTTAACCTGAGGATACGAGTATAACTGTCTGCATGCAGAGAGACACAATGTTCGCCAGACGACACAGTTGCCAGACAGCTCTTAGAACGGGGCGTTCACTGATTCCTCAGTATCATCCCATGACCCAGCCGGTTCTGCCAGCTTCACTGCGGACGATGCAAACAGTGATCAACCTCCAAGCGAAGGAAAACAAGGAGGAGGCTATCGATTTCGAACGTCAAATACTGAACCCCGAACGAAATGAAACTTGTAAATCAGGCACTGACGACGAAGTTGGTCACCACAAGTGCTCCTATGATCCGTCCAAAACCACACCAGAAAGCGAATATCTGGCCGATGAGGAAGAGTCCTTACTCGATGGCAAAGGCCATCATCCCCTTTTCGTCAGCCCGGCGAATGTAGAAGTCAGTCATTATATCGATCCCATGTCGGAAGGGGCGGTGCACGGTGCTGCCAGGCTGGGCCCTAGTGCACAGGGCTGGACTCGGAAACATAGGGAGGTGCATATTAAGGATGTTCCGGGGAGCCAGTATGAGCGTTATGAGAAGCTTTTGAAGGAATTGAGGAAAGCCAACACAAAGGTTTGTTTCAACCCAGTGTTCATATTGTTAAATGAGCACCTTGTGAGACCTGAGTGACTGTGCCTTAGTGAAACCCGCTAATCGAGATCGTCACTTTGTACTGTCCGTTCGCGCGTTCTGCTACGACGGTTTGACGAACGATGGCTTAAGTTGTAACTTGCATAGCTCGGTGGATTCTGTATACGGATATTAAGAGGCAGGCTCCAAAATTGTCCTTATGCTTCATGAATCTGGAAGATTAACGGATGGGAGTCTTACTAGACACACTATCTACCTATCTCGACAAGCCAGAGTGACAATATTCATGGTCTATAACTTGGGGGAATGGGATACGCACTTTAGGAACTTTTTTGTCTTTCGTTAACACTACTACTGGAACACTGAGTAAATCTGACCCAGATGTGATGGCTGCAAAAAGAAAATATTCTTACAATTTCATAAAGATCCAATAGGATATGAATAATATTGACAGTTCTTTTAGACTGTTTCACATCCTTATTGCTACCTTCAGTAGCATAGCGATAATTTCCCGTAATCTCCAGCTTCATACCATATAACCATCCAACTCCAACCACTCAACAATAAAAGCAATAAGCAAAACACTCCAGTCCTCCACAGAATCAAGATCCAAATTCTCCCCCGTATCACCCAAACTATGCCACACCTTCGGAAAGTCCCCAGTATCAGGATTCGCATCAATCAGATGTAGCACATCCACACCCCGTTCGATGAACGGCACCTGGTCATCATAGATAGGAAACCTGTTCATCCCAACCTTGTCTCTTTCGGCATCAATCAACCAAGGACTAATGCCACGCGACTTGAACTGATTTAACCCTTTCAACCGCTTCTCAAGCACAGCAGCCCGCCGATACACGTCATGTGTCGTGTTAAAATACGACGCAATCTTCGGCTCCCTCGAACCAAGGAGATCCAACAAGACAAATAACGAGATGGCCTTGATCCGACTGGAATATTTAGAAGACGGAGGATACCGCGTATGTTCCCACTCGGCAGCTAATGATCGCGCCCCGAATAACATCTCCGGCCAGTCAGGATTAAACGCTTCCTCTCCATCTGTGAATATAACTTGTATACCCTCCACGTTTTGTAGCGTAGGTAAAGTGTCCCATTTCCGACTTAATGCTGCATCGATACTTCCCACGGCGTGCATGATTATAGCGCAGGGAGCTGCACTGTCGATGGCTCCGATGAACCCCTCTGGTGAGCTTTTGCTGTCGTAATGAGCTACCAGGGTTAACCTGCTGATGTTACCTGAAGGAATACCGGGCGGATCACGAGTGGCGATTAAGTTGATGATGGGTATTTCCTTGGTGGTGGATTTGGCTGTGGAGTTTTGGAACTCGACTTGCCAGTGTGGGAGTGTTCTGGAGAAGAAGTTGGTGAAATGGGATCTGGTTGCTTCGGAACCTGGACTTCCTGGGACACGGGTTCGGAGGATAGGGGAGAGGAGTGTGCCATTGTGAATGTTAAAGTCTATGTTTGGTCGAGGGAGGTAAATGAGGGTGTTGTTGGATATGGGCTGGTATGTGAGTGTCTGAGTGATGGTAAGTATTAGAGTGAGGACTGTTTGTAGGAGGATGCTAAGTTTTGGGAGTTTGGAATGCATCGTGGATGGTAGTTTGTCGCTATAATTCTAGAGAGTGGTTTCTGAGGCCGGACTAGTTTCTTATGTATGCTCTCGTCAGACCGAGATGGGAAACATGGAACAAGTTAGGGAGTGAATAATGTCGAACGCTTAAGTGAATTGGAATAGTAAGACGTGTCTTCAGCGGTGCATTTCGAGACAAGGATGATTCTTCGTAGTATATGCTACGGTCACTGGGCTCAACCCTAAACAGTTTGTCTAGCCAGGGGACGTACTAATGGGACCTGACACTTTTCGGGTCAGTGTATCCATTCATTGAATGATTGCAAATTCAAGGCTTTTTCCATTGACACGAACTAACTATTATTTTCCTTCCCTATAAAATACCATCCGTCCCTGCCATTGCCTCAGTCGTTTACCGTATACCTGCAAGAACATCATGAAAAATACCGACACGAAGGTGATAGCCGCCTGGATCCCCAATGCCTTGGCAGGTCCAATCCGTGTTACCCAGTCAATCTGGATATAAGTAGCCATGAAGCCGGCCCAGTTGCGACTGGCTGTTACCCATGCACCCACGACGCCTGAACCCTCCGGATAGGAATCAAGGAGATAGGCATTGATAGCCGTCGTGACAATCATGACACCGATACATTGAATAGCCGCGAACACTGCGATGACCATGTAGTGCCAGTGATATTCAAATGCCAGACCCAAAATGATCAAACTAACGCAGCAGATAATCGTCGCAGGGTACGTGATAATTAACCGAGCTTCGGGGTCTAGTCGTCCACCGTGGCGTTTGATGTAGTACTGTCCAACAGCGTCGTGAAGGAAGTGCCCGGCGAACCAGCCAAGCAGGACACCGATAATGCCGAAGAAGTAGAAATATCCTGGGTGGAGTCAGTTTATTATAAAGCAGTCGGGAATATGTAGGGCGATAGTTACCTATGCCTCTGGTCGAGAAGCCATATATATTGGTCAACCAGATCCCGATCGTCGTATTGACGCCGATGACCCAGGCGAAGTTGAGGAAGTAGTATACCAGGATAGTGAGCACCGGTATCTTAGTTATGGCTATAACAGGCAGTGCCAAACACTGAACGAGGCTTTTATGTTTCCAATATTTCGCTTGATGCGCGCCAGTGAGACGAGTAATATAGGACCCTCGGGACGACGGCGGGTGCTTGCGGTCAAACAATGATTCATCCAGAAAGAGAATCAGTATAAGGCCCACTCCGGACATGATTGTGCACAGCCAGAATGCCCAGCGCCAGCTGACCCCAGACACGATGAATGAGGTGATCAAAGGGCCAAGATACGGGCTCATGATAATGGAGAATTCCACATAATTTATTACCTTGGGGTGCTCGTGGAAGAAGAAGAGGTCTTTGATCCACATTAGGGCGCCTCCCTGACCAACACTACAGAAGAAGCCGTTGATAATACGCGCGGCTAAATAAGAGGGAAAGCTGGTGGCTGCGGCCGACCATGCACAGGTGCCAACCATGACGCATTGGAAGAAAAGGGTAACTGGCAAGCGCCCAAAGTAATGCGCCAAAGGCACCACGAAGAGACCACACGCGCCTATGGTAAAGAGATTACCGACCACTGCTCTCTGCACCGTAGCTTGAGCTAGCTCCCACTGCCTGGACCATCGCATCAGCTGTATATTCACCGGAAGTGATTAGTTAGTTGATGACTTACATGGACTGTGGAATAACAGTTATAATAGCAGTCCCTCCAGTGTAATCAGCTAACAGCGCAATATAAGCAACTATTGCTACAGCAAACCATTTCTTCCGGGATGGCCAATTCAACGGGTCATTGGGTGTATCGAGAGGCTGCGGAATCAGAACGAAGCGACCGTCTGGACTAGTTTTCAGGCGCGCCGCATTGTCGGGATATTGGCTAGGATCAACGACATATCCTTCAAGAGCTTCTACCTCTTCATCAATCTCAGCATCTTGGACATGAGCTGGCAGCTTCTCGTTCGAATTCGGGCGTGGCATGGTGTTACTACGAACAAGATATTAAACCACTCAGGATAGGAATGAAAATCAAGAAACGAAGAGAATGACGAGAGAGAAGCGGTTCATGAAAATTTGGTCTTAGCCAAAACCGCTAGGAAACGCAAAGTATTCAATTTCGCAAAGGTAGCCTCGTTTCGTCTAGCGATACGCTGGAGAGGATAATCCCTGGGCCGAAGTAACCCAATCCAAGGCAGCCCAGTCTAATATTTGCAACATTAGGAGAAATACACCATTCTCTGAGTAACACAAGCCAGTGTCGGTGAGTTTCAATTTAAATAATTAAGTCGTACTGCGGCGATGCCTAGACAGGGATGGAGACTGTCGGTGCCAGACATGGCCCGTACGCTTGGCACAACCGCCATGCAACTGTGACGTTTCACCGGCGGAGGACTAACAAGCAGGGGGCTGGAAAGGCAGTACGGAGTAGCCGTTTTCACATGTAGTGTTAATAATCATCGGACATTACTTATATTGGGCAGGGATGGCGCACCAATGCAGGTGCTAAGCATGGGTCCGCGCTCAACCTTAGCCGAACAAAGAAACCAGCGGCTGGCCCTAGTAAATAAGTCAAAGACGGGTGGAGAAAACGGCATCGTATTCATTTATTTGATAGTGGACGTAGTACTTACTAGGGATTTAGTATTGATGTCTCCAGCCAAGATCCTTGTTCGGGAAGACACATCACACACTATGATCCAAGGAAAGGATTAGAGCTGTACCGAGTCTGTTAGGTAAACTTATATGCCCCAAGGAACAACGAACCTCTGCTAAAAGGTGGCACATGGTACATCAATCCATGTAGCTCTTCCTGTCGTGGGGGTCAAAGGTCTGGCTGCATATTCAATGACAGAGCCACCGAGTCCAGAGCATGGAGGAAAAGGGTCACTGGTGCTCGGAGTCACCTGGGCCGAGGCGGGTCTGGCATTGATCTTACTCGCATTGCGAGCGAAGACTGCCTCTCTCTGTCCGCCTGGTCAGCCGGCATTCGGTATTTTTGGTTTACGATGGGATTTTATTTGGGTTGTCATTGCACTGGTATGGTCCCATGGATACTCGTGCCGAAAGGATGCTGATCGTATGAAGGCCTTTGCTTTGTGTGCGCAAAGCTTCATGACCGTGAGTGTAAGGTATGGCCTTGGAGATCACCAAAGTTTGTTATCGGCGCACAATATCGTTCAAACGAATCTATGGAGTTGGATGGCACAGATCGTCGCCATCCTCTGCCTCGTGATATCGCGGATCGCTGTCATCGCATTCCTCTTATCCCTTCAGGGCCGCACCAGTAGCATCGGCCGGATAGTGCTCTATACAGTTGGCGCGGTACAGGGCATCATTAACGTGATCGAGGTCGCCCTGATCCTGAAGCAATGCGATCCGACAGAAAAGCTATGGAATCCAGCGGTCGTGGGAACGTGTGATCGAGTCCTCATATGCTCTCGGGTTGGGTTCCTCCAAGGCAGTATGTACAGGAAAAATAAATTGTCCACCTAACTCAAACCAATTAATTTTATTGTTTAGGCATTGGAGCGGCAGCCGATCTCTTTCTCGCATTTTATCCGGTGCACATCATCGGCCGACTGCAACAAATGAAGCTCTCTACTAAGATTGGCTTGTGTTTGATTATGAGTGGAGGGCTCATGTATGAGATGATCTCAACACTCTCCAATGGCTTTGTTCATACTAATGAGTATCCAGAGCAGGTATTGCTGGCATCAACAAAACAATCGCAATTGCCTCCATTACGCACGATGACCTGACGTACGGAATCTACAAACTTAACACATGGGTGCTCACTGAAATGTGGTTCATTATTATCTTTGGATCGATCCCAGTACTTCGTCCATTCTTCGTGCGCTTCACGCAGGATATCAAAAGTGCCGCCGGATATGGTCATTCTCGAAGCCGTACCAATCCTTCCGATTACCTGACCAGTGGCCGCAACAATCGTGAATCGTGGATGCAACTCGATGACCGGTCGCATAGTACTTATGTGACACATGTTTCTACCTATGCGAAAAACGATTCAGATCTGCAATGTGGAGAAAATAATCATTATGCCCTTGGGCAGGGACAATCAGGAAGACAAATTCTGGTCACGAGGCATACAAGCGTGGAGTCGGAAAGATGCTAGTATTCACTTCAAAGTCAGCAGAGCTCAGAATATTTGTCAATCCATGGGAGTGGCAGAGCCTAAATGCAGGGAGCTTTGAATCGTTCCATCTTTAGAATCTACTCAACGTGGGGTAATTCTACATTGCATGATATCTATACTTGTTGAATTGAATATTCCCCTACAGCTATTCAACCTCACTCCATACATGATAGATACAAAGCATTCTCTTGTTAGTATTCAATTTGAGGCCCACGGCGTAGCAAAATGACTGCCTCGACTACATGAATAGGATACTTTGTTAAGGCTTCCAGATACAACTTTTCATCCCGCTGTGCAGGGATATGCCGGAAAAAAAGAGAATAATTAGTAGAATACTAGGTAGATTGAGTCACACAGCGAAGATCTCAGCACGTTTCAGCGAATCCAGTGGCTATTTTGTGGATGGTAGCATTGGGACAAGGGTCTGATATTCCAGCCCCACCCACGATATATGAATTGCTCGTGCCGTTTATCCACCACCCTGCAGTAGTCTCATTTCGCAATGGAACCTCGCCCATCCCGTGTCTACTTAATATAAATTAATGAGACGATATTCGTGAACTAAGGAATTGGCTTTCGCTTCATTTTAGACCGGAGCTCCCGCCAGTTAAGATGGAACCGGAACTCGGAATCCTTGAGGGCAGAGCGAAAGATGGGTTGGCTGGGATTACCTCGCTTAATCATAGTGTCATGGCACTCGGTAGGAAAGGAATTAAGCTGGGACGTATAGAAGGCTAACGGGTAATATAACCTTGACCTATAATTCCGTACTGCAATTCACTTCACTTCTCGTATCCGTGCCGCACCTTGCCTCTCTCCCAATTCTTTATTTCAGACCTCAAATAACACCATAAAACCTCAGAATGGCAGTGTCCAGGGAACTCGCGGAAGTCCAGAGGCTTGTAGCAGCTGAGGCAGCAGGCGACACAAATGCACATGGAGAACTTTTGAGAGCAATTCGCCAGTTGCAGCTAGCGGTAGAAACACCAGTAGAGACGACCTCGCGATTTAATTTCCAGGTATGTGTTGCGCAAGACAAATCGCCACATTCCCCGCTCACCTCCTACAGATTATGCAGAATATCTCGATACGTGTCGCCATCGAGAAACAGTTTCTTCATCTTATCGCAGCCCGAAATGGCGCGCCCATCACAGCGTCTGAGATTGCAAACAAAACTGGAGAGAATCTATTGCTTATTGGTAAGGTCAGATGCTAGGTGTAGCTTTCTATGAGAGGACTTACTAAATGCATAACTATTCAGTGCGTGTCATGCGTGTCCTGACAGCCATTGGTCTATGTGATGAGGTTGGTAATGAGACATATGCCGCCAACGAAAAAACACACTTCAAGATTCTGCCCGGATCCGTAGCTGCTGAGAAGCATCAGTATGTGATCTTAGGACTCTAAAAATTCACTGCTGAACATGAGACTGACCATTTACAGTTTTGATTTGGACTTTGGCATGGTATGGATTGGCTGAAGCTCTGTTTGACATGGATCGATTTACTAAATCCTGGTAGGGTGGTAGGCTTGTCGACTATATGCGAGGCCCAGGCATTCAACAATTTGCCGATGAGCCTGGGGCAACCACTTTATTCAAATATGCCCATGGCACCGATGTCATCTTCGGGCTATTAGAGAAGAACCCGGAGCAGAAGCAGGCATTTGATGACTACATGGCATCACGACGAGTAGCCAATTTGCCCCAGTGGTTCGAAATATATCCCGCAGCTGAGAAGTTTGCCAACGCCCGCCGGGACTCCAACGCTACCTTGATGGTTGATGTTGGGGGAGGGCCCGGGCAGGAGCTGATCCGATTCAAAGAGAAATGTCCGGACATTCCCGGTCGTCTAGTGCTTCAGGATCTGCCCTTGACCCTTCAACGCATTGAGAAATTGCCCGAGGCCATTGAGCCGATGGAATACGACTTCTTTACACCGCAACCGGTGAAAGGTATGTAAAATGTCCACTGATATGGCGACCATGTAGCTGAAACCTGGTTCATAGGAGCTCGTGTATACTTCCTCCGCGATGTGCTGCACAACTGGTCTGATGCCAAGAGCACCCAAATCCTATCGCGAATTGTCGAAGCCATGGACCCCGAGTATTCGACATTATTGATCGATGATTACGTCCTGCCTGACACTGGGGCAGATCTTAGGGCTGCGGAAATGGACATTCTCATGTGGCTTCACACTGCTGGGTTGGAACGTACAGTCTCCCAGTGGAAGACCCTCTTCGGTACTGTTGGCCTTGAACTAGTGAAAATATGGCACTCCCCCAGAGGTAATGAGTCCGTCTTGGAAACTCGAGTGCAGCAGAAGTAATTGGTATATTGTTGCTGTATGAATGCTTGACACGGCAAATGCGCGTATGATATAATTAGACGAGTTAACCTTTTGCAAAGTACTGTATATCTCTTCCCATGTTACTACCATCAAAATATATAACATAATGATGCAGTAAACTACACCAGGTTTCTACCCAACCCGTCACACTGAAGATTATAATTCATGCATGCGATTGGCGGTTCTTCTTCAATCTACTTGCTCACTTCTGGATCGGTACCAATCTGGTGGAGTGACATAGACACCGATTGAGAAACTTGCGATCAATACAACGAGGAGCAAAGCTACCCACGCTCTCTAAAGAATGGCTATTCATTGTTGAAAAAGGAAGTGAGCAATGAGATCGAACTGAATATCTCGCTCTCGAGCACATGAGAAATATGGGGTGCGATAGGCTGCGCGTGCTCTCTAGACGTGTAAGGGATATGCTCTAGAACGTGGAAGATGTTCTGTTGTGGGTCTTACTCTAGTCACGGGATCGATCTATGTCAACTTTAGCTCTTAGCGCTTGTTAGGTCGTGTTAAGTCTCACCTTGCCTTCTGGTTTGTCTTTTGAATTCCCCGAACTCGAGTGTGTGTGATATCCATTAAAACCACCAATATGACGTCTGAGACAAATTTCCTTCAATCGGTGCTCATCACCGGATGTAGTTCAGGTGGAATTGGCTCGGCATTGGCCGAAACATTCCACGAACGCGGATTGCACGTTTTCGCGACAGCACGCTCAATGTCCAAGATGGCACACCTGGAGAAACTGCCCAACGTTACTCTCCTGGAGCTCGACGTGACCGACTCGAAGAGCATCGAATCTGCTGTCGAGGTCGTCACCGCCAAAACAGGCGGCAAGCTGAACTATCTGATCAACAACTCAGGTCAGAGTCTCGTCATGCCAGCTTTGGATACGAACATTGAAGATGCCAAGAAATTGTTCGATGTCAATCTGTGGGGCATGGTTGCTGTCACGCAAACCTTCTCGCCCCTGATCATCGCAACCAAAGGAACAATCGTCAATGTCGCATCGCTTGCTACCTTCTTCCGCTCCCCCTGGCTAGGTTCGTCTCCACTTTATCCACATTCTTGAACCTTTCCTTATTGACGACGGTTAGCTTTCTATAATGCCTCCAAGGCAGCCGTAGACGCTTACGGCCATACTCTCCGTCTGGAATTGGCTCCCTTTGGTGTTAAAGTCGTCACTGTAACTGCGGGGACAGTCCAAACCAATATCTTCAGGCCTGTAGAGGAAGTTCCCCTCCCTCCTGACTCCATGTATAAAGCAGCCTCGAAAGAGATGGCGGGTATTGCGAATGGAAGGTTTGTCCAAGGATCTATGGCCCCGGCCGAGTTTGCCAAAAGGGTTGTGGATGATGTGCTCAGTGGAGCAACAGGTATGATCTGGAGAGGAACAATGGCAACCATTGCACGGATAATGTACACCATTCTTCCGACTTGGGTAATGGTAGGTGGTTGCCCTTTGTTTCCAAATTCAGGTCCATTATGCTCACATCTGAATGTTTAGGATCGTTTGACATTCCCTGGTTCTGGTCTGGATAAATTGAGCTGAGGAGACGTGTGAAAGTCATATTTTGTGGAATGTGCAATTTGATCTAGTTTTTCTTTTGTGAATACAGAAAGTTGGCTTTTATAGTAACACAACAGTCTAGATATGAAACTCGAGCTATCTGCTGACAACTGAAAGATTATGTCCATTTAAGACCTGGCACGCGTTACCTGCGTATTGCTAGGTAGAGACATCTACTCAAGGGTGGAGGTAACGATGCCCCTGCCGACTGTCCTTCCACCCTCACTGATGGCGAAGTGCAGGCCTTCTTTTATCGCCATCGGCGCGACCAGCTTGACTGTGATCGACCAGCTATCACCTGGCATCACCATTTCCATGCCCTCCAGCGACGTGATCGAACCCGTCACATCCGTCATGCAGATGAAGAACTGCGCCTGGTAGTTGTTGAAGATCGGCGCGTGGCGACCGCCCTCTTCCCTGTTCAGCAGGTACACCTGCCCCTTGAAATCCGTGTACATCCTCACGCTTGATCCCACGTAGCAAGATACCCACGTTCTCGCCTGCCCGGCCTTAGTCCAGCGACTTGCGGAACATTTCCACGCCTGTGCACGTCGTCCGGACCACTGCGCCGAAGCCCACGATGTCAACTTCGTCGCCGACCCGGATCACGCCGCGACCTGGAACTGAGAACACGTCCTCCACCGGCATCAAGAACGGGTGGTCCACCGTAGGCGCGGGAACCGGGATGTACCTGCCCAACGCCTCCACCAGGCGGATGATGGCGTGCTCGCCTAGCTCGCTCCCGTCCGAGCCCCCTTCCAGCACCTGTTTGGCTGAGCCCTTGATGATCGGCAAGTTGTCGCCGGGGAAACCGTAACTGGTCAGCAGGCCGCGCACTTCTAGTTCCACCAGCTCGTGCTGATCCTCGTTGTCCACCATGTCACACTTGTTCAGGAATACAACGATGTACGACACGCCAGCTTGCCGCGCTACCATAATCTCCTCGCGCGTCTGCGCCATCAGGCCGTCCATCTGCACTGCGTCGCTGAGCATGTATTTGATGTAATCAGCTTGACGAGGCCAGTCGACGTGCATATATTGTCGAGTCTCGGACTCGTACTGGACGTGGGCGGTCAGCATGGCCATACCATGGACCTTCTTCTTGAGCTCGTTGTCAGTTTAGTCGTTGGCTATGGAGGGCAATCCAAATTTGGCGGTGATGGCAGCCGTCAGGGTTGTCTTGCCATGATCAGCATAACCAATCGTACCGACGTTGATAAGGGGCTTTGGTAAGTGAAGACAAGTAACTAGTATTCCATTATAGTCGTTATAGCGGTCATGGGCTTAGTTAATGACTAAAAGGGGGGTGAGAGGGTGTCCACAGCAGAGCTCATATGCAGGGCAGCTCTCTCGAGTCCCCCCTCCTTATTTGTTCTCTGTGGACTGTGTCGACCTCCCACAAAGTGTGCACCAACTAGCCTACAAGCAGTTTAGCGTTGCGAGATTTCTTTCATCTATTTGTATCAGAAAACTCCAGGGTGCCTTTTTGGAATTAAATACCTCGCCTATGCTAACCAGCCCTCCCCGGTCCAGGAGACTGCCCATGTGCTTGTTACTGTATCAAAGCCCATCAGGATTGTCCCTATTGCCCGGAATTGCACTACACATCCTAGATGAGGGCATATTCACGCAGTATACCAAAGCTAACTCTAGCTGATGGAACCCGGATTCCTCTTCGTGAATATCAGCTTCAACGAAGGTGCCACCAGCGTAAAAGTATCCAGCTGGCCCTCCCAGAAGGTTTTGGCCGACTGCCCTGGTGCTAAAGCAACATCATAACTATGGAGTATCATGGCGACGACACGTCGCAGTTCCATCAAGGCGAGTCGTTTCCCGACACATGCGTAGGGTCCTTCTCGAACGGTAAGAAGGGAAGTGTATGAAATGGGAGGAGTCAAGCTACTTACCTGAGCTGAACGGAATAAAAGCAGAACGATCCTTCACAAGCTCAGGACGAGTTGTCCATCGTTCGGGAATGAATTCGTCCGGGCGCTCGAATGCGCGGCTGTCTATTACCAGGGTAAAACGAATCAGTATTGATGGACTGTGCCATGGAGGTATCCTTATTCCCACTCACCTCGATAGACAGTGTACGTCGGGACCTGTATAACAACATTCCCGGGTATGAACTTATCGCCAATCTTCAGGCCTTCTGGCGGCGTGACACGTTGCAGGCCAGACGGGTTGGGAGACTGGAGCCGCCATGTTTCGTTGAGAATAGCGTCAAGCAAGTCAATTTGGGCCAGCCGGTCAGACTCTAGATCTGGGAGTGCGTCTAGTCGAGATTGAAGCTCTCTAGTGATGGATGGGTTACAAGCAAGATGGCAGAACACGTTGCTGAGCGATGAAGCTACTGTGTCACTAATATCTTTTAGTCATGTCACTGATTGACGAATATTTAACCTTGACCAGATGTCTTGAGAACATGGTTGGCGTGTTGTGACATACCTTCCAGCCACTACTATAAGGTGAGCATCTCCGTGCAGATTCAGGGTGTCTTGTTGCGACTGTGGTCCCTGGCGATAAGCATCAAGGATCCAAGAAAACACGTCAGGCCGCTCGGGTTCGCACTGTTGTACGGTAGTTAGAACATCAGTAGCAAATTGAGTCTGCCATTGATGAGGCCTTACCTTGGCTCTCTCGGAGATCTGGTCAGCTATCCATTTCCAAAAGCGGAGGAAGTTGCTGTTCAATAATGGTACTCTCTTGGTAAAAGGGAAAAGCCAAGCCAAGTGGCTGAAATAAGCTACCCTGGCCATGTCTGTGCGGATGGTCTGTAAAATGTAGGATTCTTTCCCGTCGATCAGCATGTTAGAAGTTTTGCCGAAGGCAAGATCGGTCATGACGTCGAAGGAAAAATAGTTGAACCACTGGGTGATATTTATTGGCTTTTCCGCATTTCTCTGAATTACTTGGAGAAGCTGCCCGACGTGTTTTGAGACTCTAGGCTCGTAATCGTGGAGTGCTAGTGCGATAGCCAATAGTGTCAGATCGATTGCTTTATTAGAATTTCGATAAGGTCCATTTGGTACCTTTAGTGCTAAACCCCTGGTCCCAAACTTTTCGCCGGCGTGCATGCTCTTGCTTGTCTCTCTCCATGAAGAGAGGCACGCGTGGTTCTAGTAATGTGTACCATGGACCTTTAGTCACAGGAGACTGGCTCCCATATATCGCTTTTACTGCCTGTGGATCCGCAATGGATAGCTCGCAAGGGCCTGAGATTAAAAGCATTAGACTGGGTGATATCGCTGTAATTAGGTACTCACCTAGTCGGACATAGTCGCCATACTTGTGATGAAGCTTTTGAACTTCTATAGGTTTTTGTAGATTTAGGGATAATGTTGTGGTATAGAAATTTGTCAGGCGGCCAAAGAATGGGCCAGGAAACTTGCGGAGCCTGTGGAATAATAATCGATGAACGAGCATGCTACAGTAGACGCCGAAGAGATGGTAGCCACACAAACTCGAGAAAGCTGCCGGTGACAGCCATAGTCCAGCCCAATTCAATAGGCCAAAGTAAAGTGCCAGATTGCCGCCCATAATGATGAAGGTATAAATCTGCACAAGCAGCATAGAAGTTGTGTCCCATTCCCCAAACCTGTACAAGAGGTTATGAAGCGAAACACCGCTAAGTGTCGCAATTAGCGGCAGCGAGCCATGTGTGAGCATCATTTTGACTGCTCACCAACCCGCACCGCTAGGTCTCCAAAAAGCGTTATGTTGCCTTATGACAAACTCTCCAAGGCTGATGAGGAATATAAGGGTGTGGGAGCCTCGGCCCTGAAAGTTGACAGGCTCTGTCAATGATATGCATGCATCGTGCTTTTGGCCTAGAACATCCATACGCTTCACGTAACGGTGCGGCTGACGGCGGGGATGTTCGGCTATTTCCCACAATGCCCTGCATTAGATGATGATTTGCAAATCACCTGGATAAATCCCTCAGCTGCAATTCTGCAGCTGGGTGCTGTATCGCTAGTGGCAATTTAGTACGTAAAGCAATAGCCCAAAGCTGCCAAGAGCTATGAGGATTGCATATCAACAGTGGGTCACGACTTCCGTTCACCACACTAATTAGGGCAACGCGCCGAGACTCCTCACCTTTCACATCACGGACAGGTATCGTAGTGGCATGGATCCCTAGCTCCTTCGGTCCCACCCCTGATCTTGGTGCCCTGTGCTTGGCTGCTAATGTGGCCCTAGCCTCTTGTTTTGACCACTAGATGTCTTAGACTGTCTAGTGTAATGTAAGTGGCAAGATAGATTTAGGAGCTGTCTTCGCTAGCCCTTACATAGCCCTGGAATCAGTTGCAGGAAAGTAGAGACGGCTGTGCCCGAGGAATTCCGACCTTCTTCACGAGTGTTGCAGAAAGGCACGAAAGGCGTCGAATTGAAGCAAGACCACTTCGTCATCACGTGCACCAAGTCGCTATGCTCCAAAGCCTTCGTGACGGTAAAGTTACCTCCCGTGTGTTTCACTCCGAAGAAGGATTTTGTTCGTAATTCAGCAGCCTGTTGTCTTGTGTGCGTACGACTAGCACAAGGACCAATGAAGGACGACGGAAATGGTCTCAGAACTGAGAGTGGAGACAAATGAGAGCCAAAGGAACTAATATATGGGTTTATATTAAAAAGGTAGGGATTGTGGGTCCAATCCAATCCCCTAGATCCAAAGGCAGATATAGGCCTGAGCAATCAATAGTTCGCAGCTGAAAAAGGGTGTGCAGGCATCACGCGGGAACCAACTTCAAGCGCACTGCATATGATATCGTGTCAGTGGCGTGCTAGCTGAAGGCAGCCTGCTCCCACCAATATGTGGTACGCCGTGTGCATGTTATGTACAGCTGAGTGATTGGTTGGCGATCGTGACGGATGTCTGCTGGGTCATACGCCACTAGAAGCCTTTCGTGGTCTGTGCTCGTCGAATTTTCTACTCACATGTGGCTCTTATGGTGGATGTGTAAGGCCTGTCGGTAATGTCATGACAATCTTATTTCTGTGAAGAAACATATCAGGTTGCTGAACGGAGATTTATTTGTCACACGAATATCATCAACTTCACACGTCATATTCACTGTCAAATAATACAGCAAATATGAGTCTTTCGTCTGAAACTAGAGAGTTGATGGAGCAACATCTGTGTGAATACACAAGGAAGGAGGCAAGTCCTTCAATGCGAACAAATACTATCCAGCTAAAGAACTACAGTTTCTCACTACACGTAAGCAATAGAGTCTACCCATATATCAATAGCTGACGACGCTAACATGCAGATCTAGTTATATATTCCCGACTTCGGAGTAACCGAGATACCATTTCAGAGCCAGGCAGGGCAATCCTCAGAGAAGAGCACCTGTATCCGGGATGTTCTTTACTCACACCTGGGATTTAGGTATTCTACACCGTCTGAGAATAACAGAGATAAAGCATCCATTCTACAACAATGTATCAGCGAAGTTAGAACGATTGCTCTGTTCTTCCCGGATATACGGGCCACTAATATCCGGATTTGCATGGCTGCTTGGCTAGGAACGTTGTGTTCCATTGATGACTTGATTGAAGATATGATGCCTGATGAGGCGAGTGTTGTTCTACACCATTCGATACAGGCTCTACGAGAAGAATGTAAGTTATTAAACTACAATTACCGAAGCGATTACAATACCATGGCTAGGGAACTTACTGATACTAGATATATTAGGCTCCTTTACCTCTCCCCAGCACGCGGTTGTTGAGTATTTCATTGCCTTCAAGCGACATTGCTTAACATATTTATCTCTGGAAGTAGCTCGACGTTTCTTTGATAGTGTTTGTATTACACTTGAGGGGCTACTTGATGAAATAGGCTTCAATCTGGGTTACTTGCAATACAACCTGGAGACATATATGAGCATACGTGGGCGTACGATTGGAATTAAGCCCTTTTTTACACTCATCAAAAGCATACTCGGAACAAATGACCATCACTGGTCGACAGAAATATTGGACATGGAGAGGAATATTTTCTCTATAATTGGTCTCCAAAACGACCTAGTTGGCTTGGAGAAGGATATCCATACCAAGCAGCAAATGAATGCTGTTTTTGTTAATGCAGCACACATTACCAACAACATCACATCCGCACGGAAGGATGCAGCACTTCAAATTGCCACCAAAAATATCTCTGCTTTGCATAACCAACTTATGGAGCATGTGTTGGAGAACCGTGCAAATCTTCAGCAGAGGACCATTGGAAAACTTGCGTATACTCTCGAGTCTAGCTTTGCAGACATACAACTGCTGTTTACACAGACGCATCTCAAGTGGTGCACATCCGCGAAGAGATATACGTTACTGCCGCAGAGCTAAACAGGATGTAAATAGAAACGGTCAAGATAAACAACGGTGATACTTGGTATTTTCTTGTGTTAGAGGGGACAATCTTAAACCCTTTCTCCCGAAATTACATAAATTTGAATATTATTTGACTATCACGTATCCATTACCCCATTATAGCACAAATGAAATCCTTCCTTTCATCCAACCTCGGCAATGATACGATAACACAATCCACGATAAGATTAAATCCGATAAGAATTATGCTTATCACTGATAAGGTGCGGCATCGGCATGGCCCGTGGACCGGGATTGTCCGTCTCCGAGAGCATCGGCGAGTATAAGTGGTGGTCCGTGTTGACATCCCAGCTTCAATCGGATGAATTTGGACTGCTTTAGAGCCTATACAGAACCATCATGCCAGCAACTGTGCAACCACTCACTCCGCCAGCCGGATCCGACGTTAACTTTGGCGCGGTCATTGGCAACATCGATCTTGAGAATTTAACAGGTATGATCCTTCCATCTCTTCTATCTACTTTAAACGAAAAGAAACTTATAACCTACAGACGAAATCTTCTCCACAATCCACTCTGCCCTCTACAATCACCAAGTAGTAATCTTCAAAAACCAACACCACCTCTCCCCGAAAGCCCAATATCTCCTCACCCAACGCTTCGACCCCTCATCCACCCAATATGGCCACGGCAAAACAATCGACGCAAAACGAAGCATCCTGCACCCAGACCTGAAGACCGTGCCCCATCAACCCCAAGTTCAAATCATCGGTCATGGCTTCATCGACTCCTACGAAGGTTTAACCAACTTCCAATTGAAACACCCACACCACAAGACTTTCCACCGCGATGCAATTCCTCCGGAAGAAGATTATGATTTCACCCGGTTTTATAGATGGCATATCGATGCTGCGCTATACGAGTATCATCCACCAAAAGTGACGACATTACTTGCCGTTAAGGTACCGAAGGGTCGACGACAGACTTTGCGGTATGATGATGGCTCGGACGAGACGTTGGATGTGCCTCTCGGAACGACGGCCTTTGTCAACGGGGAACGGATGTTTGAGATATTATCTGCCGAGGATAAGGAGTTTGTGCTGGGGAGTAAAGTTGAATATGCACCTCATCCGTATGTCCTTCCTTCCCCCCCTCAACCCTTCCCGTCGTTATTATAATATAAGCTAACAACACCCAGATACATCTGGATGAGTCCCGCCCGTTCCCTTCCCACAGGACTAGGTCTCTACTCCCAAGGCCTCGAACTACCCGAATCCGAGCTTCCGCCTATCGACCAATCAAAGATCATGATCCTCCCCATGGTCTGGAAGAACCCTGTAACAGGAAAGCCAGCGCTCCAGATCCACCCCTCCGCGGTGCGGAAGATCCACCAGAAAGATGGATCCGTTATCGATGATCTAGCCCGTGTGCGGGAGATTGTCTACCGGTTGCAGCGACCGGCTATTAGCCCGAAGCATGTCTATGCGCATGATTGGGAGGAGGGTGACCTGGTTTTGTTCCATAACCGGGGTGTGTTGCATTCAGTAGTGGGGGCGTTCGGGGATGATGAGGTGAGATTGTTCAGGCAGTGTAATCTGGCAGCGGGGGAGGCTCCGGTTGGGATGAGTGATTAATTTATAATGTATTCTGGATGAAGCGATGTGTGTTTTTATGATATAGAATTTGGAACTTTTAGATTTCTTGTCTCACATGTATTCGAGCTGATGTTGGACACTCCTTGATATATTAATCACTATTATATTTCATTAATCCCTCATCCACTGGAAACTCCAGAAACGCTATAAAATAAGGGTATATGATGCTAAATACAAGCTGGTATCAAGAACATCTATGTCTATGGGCTCTTTATCCCAATGCAATTAAATCCGAAAAACGGCTCACGAGACATTAGTCAGGTCATGAGACGTTATTTTCAACACACATATCAATGCATAAATCAATGCGCAAGTTCCTGTTGGTTGTCAATCCCTTGAACAAGAAAAACATGGGGCCTCGAAACTTACGCTAGCAAGCTTGCTCTTGGCTCTAATTCTGGCCCCGTAGAAGGACAGGACCCAAGGTACGAGTGTCAGGGCGGCTCCCTGGAAACATTAGTAAAACATTCCAAGCTGGTAGAAGTCAGTATAGACACTTACAATTCCACCCAGCAAGCTAGAAGCAGCGGGGTATCCCAGGTTTGTGAACAAAGCATGGGTCACAAGGGGGAAAACACCACCTAATAGATTCCGGCCTGGACCCTGCGTTAGAGAGTATCCTATGACTGACATTATAGTGCAACTTACAGCAAGACTGCGCGGCAATCGCTGAGCTGGCAAAACGATGGTACGTATCAGCCAGATAGTTAAAGACCGCCAAATAAATCGACAAAATGCCCATGGTAGCACAACCGACAGCCAGAGCTGGAGCGATCCAGTGCACAGACGGATACGAGGACCATCCGAACCAGAACAGGCCGGCGGGCATGAGTACTGCCTGGACACAGGCGAAGTAGAGACGTTTCTCTGGGGTGTTGGGAAGCTTCACGAATCGGCTCACGACTCTTTCCTGGTAGATACTGATAAGGGTGGCGATGATGACGGCGACACACATCGCTATTCCTGTTAGCCTTGTGGGAAATAGTGTGGGGCAGTTGTAACCTACATGTGAAAACAGCTCCCGATTGCTCAACGTTGAAACCATGGTTCGTCTGGAAAATCAATGGGACAGAGCCGAATTGGAGATACAGCACGGCCCAGCTGAAGGCTGCCCAAAGGGAGAAGAAGAAAACCACCGGTTCGGTAAAAAGCATATCTGGCAACAGTTAGCTCTCGGTATTTGTGGATAGTCCCTAATGTAGAACATACGAAAAGGGCGATAGAGGGAGATGCTGATCATTTGTCCGAGGGAGGCCCGTTGCTCATCACTCTTGACCTTCCACCGGATCCGTTTCGTGCACTGCTTCTCCCCAGACTCGTCTGGCATAATTACACCGAAATGACCTGCGTCTTCAAGCGCTTCATAATATTTGTTTAGTGCGTTTGCCTTGCGACTAAGAATGACGCTGCCACGGGTTTCTTTGAAGAAAAAGAAGATGATGACAACAAAGACAGCCGACACGATCGCATGCGAGTAGTAGATCCAGCGCCACGTGGTGTGATAGACGATCACGCTCGACAGGAGTGGCGCGAGACCAGTACCAAATAGTGCAGCACCCGAGAAGAGAGCCATGGGAGTGTTACGATCTTGCGCATGGTAAATGTCACTGATGACACCTCCCACCATGGTTGAGAATGTCGCTAACAACTTTGTTAGCAAATTACCAAAAATGAGCCATGTATGAAGGCGACGTACACGCGCCAACACCTTGGAAGAATCTCGCAACGAGCAGTCCAGCAAACAGATGCGTTCCACCGCAAGCAATAATACATGCTACATAATGTAGGTCAGAATCGGTCTGAAAATAGTTGCTGCGGCCAACATACCGGTGAAAACGACACCACTAACAACGAAAATTGGCCGTCTCCCATTGAGCTCCGAAAACGGAGCCAAAACCATGGGTGCCAAGGCAAACCCTATACAAAAGATAGTGATATTCAGGTTGTATACCACGGCGCTAATCCCCCATTCCGCTGTTAGCTCTGTCGAGGCCGGATTGCCTTCACCTGCTGAATAACCAGCCAGGGCAGTCACAGCGCAAGAAATCCAGGTCATCATTGTTTTTCTCCATTTGGGCCAGAGAAACGGGGAAATGTATTGCTTCATATCGGGACATTCTGGCGCGGGGGACTGGTTGGGGCCGGGCGGCAATGTGATCCGCGGCGTTGGCAGCGGCGTTTCGAGCTCCAGATAGAGATATTCGATTTCCTGCGTTGGGAGCGCATCTTTGCGTTCAACGTCGACATCCGTAGAACAGATGGTTTCGCCGGAGCTTGAATGAGGACTGGGGCGTGGCAGTCCCATGGCTACAGATGTAGGCAAATCGTGTTTCTACCAGGGCTGAATGTGTCACATTCTAGCTTGGGGACTGTCCAATTTATAATGATCTACATTTCTGGTCTAGATTTTACGCCTTCCGAGGAAAGGACCCAATTTTGTGCAAAATTGGAGAAGCTTGGACGCACGCTTGGTTCGGAGTATGCCCTATCGTCCGTAGTATATCGCCGGGATTTGAATTATGTGAGCCTTTACATTGTTTCTGCTCGATTCATCCTACTTAATACTATTTTCTACACGCGTTATATAGTTCAACAACACCGTTTTTATGTTCATAACCAGCTACGTGGTTGTTGTAGATGGTATTGAATATTGTTCTCTGCTACTTGCGGCTGAAGACACAGGCAGGGATATGAAAAACTGATTCGGGGAAGAAGTTTCCCCACATCTCCAAATCGGAGACGCCAGGGTTAATAATCCACCACAAATCCTTGACTCACAAAAGGCCGACGGATGAAAAAGGAAAAAATAAAGAGATTTCTCAAAAGTCTCCGAAACCACGTCATCATCTGCTTACCTACCCACGGTCTTTCGCAATTTGGGCTGCAGAGGGAAAATCTGTTCCTCCACCTTGACGTTCCCATATACGTTCTCCCAGCGCTCACGCAAAGGCTCCGGTGTCGCCCACGCATTTTCGGGATCCCGCAGCCAAAGTCGCAAAAGATGGCGTCTCCATCCTTGTCAGCACGATAGAAACCGCCAATAGAAAAAAAAAAAATTTTAAAATGCACTTACTCTTTGTCAGGCTCATCCCGGAATCCCTTCCGCGCATGGAAAATACTCAGGTTGTTAATATACTGGACGTCACCTTTTTGGAAATCCAATGCGGCGCTGTGCTCCTCGGCTAGGAAGTGAAGCGCGTCAAGCGCCTCGGCCTGAGCCTCAGAAATCGGGGGAATATTGGTCGACCGCGGCTGAGCGAGGAATCCGGTGAAATAACGACGAGCGTATTGGATCAGGACGCGTTCGGGGGTGGTATCAGTTGCCTTTTGGTGGTAGAGAAGGGGACGAGTGGTATAAGGCTTTTCGGGGTCATTGAATCTGATTTTCTCGCCTTAGCGATCGACACTTTCCTGCGAACCTACGACGACTCACCCATCGACCGGCCATGGCTCCGACAACGTACGGATCAAATCCGGCCTCTCTTTAGCCAGGATGTTATATACCAACCAACTGCTGGAGATCTGGCTTTCGCCTCCTTCGGCTGCGGGGTGGAGACAAAGGAGGGAAATGATATCGCCAGAATCTGTGTGGAACACTTGTTTATCTGCCGTGTTGGACGGGGCGCCGATCGCATTCGCTTCACTCGTACGTGTCAAATCCTTGATATGCGACAAGACCACGGAGCCACCTTCTGGCGTAAACCGTTTGTCTTCTTGGCGCCCGCGAATATTCCCGATGTGCGATGATACACCTGCATAGATGATGATATTTTCTTCCCGAGTGTAGCGATCGATATCGAGCCCACGGAGAACGAAGAATCCTCGTCCGTTATGGATTTCGTTCGATAGCGATCGCAAAGTTGGACGAAGCGTGGGCAAAGGAAATGTGTCCTGGTTAATATTTCCCAAGCTCAAATTCTGGGCTATGAAGAATCAGCACGGATGCCTGTTCATGCGCCCTGTGCGTACGACTTGCTACGAAACGCATTGCTGGATGGGACGGGAAAGGTAAAGTATACCCTGAAAGCTCTTCAGCGCAGCATCAATTTCCTCCCTCTGCCCATCACTCAACCTGTAGATCCAGTCATCCCGCTTCTCGACATCCTTTCCCTCCCAAACCAAGGGTGACTCTAATTTCTGCGGAAATCCATCAGGTAGGGTCTTAGAAAGCTCCTCGGTAGCCTGTCTGCGCGCCTTCCGTGCCGTATACTTTTCGTAGTCAGGATGATATTGGATATCAGGCTGAACGAGAGTCTGCACGGCGACCGACATGGTGAGGTGTAGGGAATCTTATTCACAGTAGATTTGCTATGCTAAGAAATCAACAAAAGATTGATTCCTTCAAGCTTTACCTACGAATATAAGACGTTGCATACCCCGCAGCATACAATCACATCATCAAATGACGGCGCAGCAAATCATTGCGCCATATGGCCCGAAGATTGCTATCGCGGCACACCAACAATCACAATATTCGTAGGGCAACTTCTGAAACCAGTCAGATGGTGTGATCGCCTGCATTTACCCCATCGAGAAGAAGAAGACCATCATGAATGGTTAGGTTTCCCTGTCACTAACCCTGGTTACGTTGCCCGGATTTCTAAGCAGCAATAGCATCACATACTATATGCGCAGTTCTGGTAAAGTGTCTCGGATATTCGGCGAGATAAATGCTCGTAACTTCATTGCTGAAAGTCATAATGCACAAATATTGACTAGTGACTATTCCTCCAGCCTCCTCCCGTCAATATCAATGTCTATCTTATAATACTTGAACTTCCGACTGGGGACCTTTCTTTCGAAAAGAATATCCAATTCCTCAAACGTCCTCCCCTTGGTTTCTGGCATACACCAGTAACAATAAATAACACACAGTACACTAAGTCCAGAGAAGAGGAATCCAATCTTCCCCTTCCAGTCGGCCTGGTCTTCATTCATGGCGTACGGGATAGCGACCGCGAAGACTACCGACCACACGAAGCAAGCTACCGTTGCTAAAGCGATCGTAAACCCTCGCAGCGCAGCGGAGGATACTTCGGCCAGAAGCACGTAGCAGAACGGGCCGAGACTGAGGTCGTATACAAATGTGCAGACTAACATCAGACCACACTGTGCCCATACCGTGTTCGTTTGACGCGGTGCGAGGTCGACGGCACCGATGATAAACAACAGAAGCGCTAGTGAAGAGCAGCCGAAAAGGTACATGGTTCGCCGGCCGACATACGATAGCAACAGCCAAGAGATACAGGTGCCCAGGAATCCGATGGCAGTCAGACCGAGGTTCATTGAGAAGGCATCGGATGAATCCAGACCAGCCAGTTCCATGAAGTGCACGGCATAGTTAATGAAAAACACGTTGCCGGTGAACGCCTGCATGCTGTACGCCATCACGCAAATCATCAGTCGGCGGAAGTTAGGCCCGCGGAAGCATTCCATGTAGTGGGGCCGGTCGCCCTGGAACTCCTCCTCGAGACGGAGTGTTTCTCGAATATGCGCCAGCTTTCGCGATACGTCTATGCTGGGTGTAGCCAGGCGACTTAGAGATACGCGTGCTGCGTCGTATCGGCCCTTGCGACACAGCCAGTACGGTGGATCCGGACAGAAGAATACCAGGAACAGCATGACACAGGGCAATGCCCACTGAGTGGCGATAGGGATTTTGTAGGACAACTCACTGTTCATCGACGCTGTCCCCTTCAAGATGCCCGAGGCGATCAAGGAGCCGATGGAAAACGCCAGGTTCGTCATGGTTGCGGCAAACCCGCGCAGGACGAGTGGAGTCACTTCGCCGACGTACGCCGAAGCGCAAATTGGGTAGAATGCGATCACCGCGCCGTTGACAAGTTGCCCGACGAAAAGCTGGGCGGGCGTGTGGCTGAAAAACTGGATGAAAATGAACGCGATGGACAAGCACGAGCATATCGCGATCATGGTACGGGGCCCGAAGCGGTTGTAGGCAGCTCCAGAGCAGAGAGCACCTACAATAGCACCGAGCAGGTTGGCATAGTTGAAGGCCGAAAGCCACTGCGCGGCGATCATGTAAGTTCCGTTGTATTTGTAACCATAGGTCTCCTTGAACACGTCCAGGCCGACGAGACCTTTCACTACACCCCCGTCGATCCCCTTAAGAATAGTTGCCTATCGTCTTGAGCAAAGTGTGCTGAAAGTAATGTTGTTGGAAACTTCTCACCAGATTCATGAATAAACCCCACCCCACCGCGGGCCAGTGCAGCCGCATGGCGGTCCAAAAGCCCTGGTTATGCTCATCCTTCGAAAACAGAAACGAAAGCTCTGCATCCTCGATCGCTGACACTGGGACAGATTGAACCAGCGTGGTCTGCTTGTCTGCAGATTTACTCGTCATAATTCTGAGTCGACGAGTGGTAAAAGTTAGGGCTTCAATTTGCCATCTTCAGAAAAATATATACCGACCATAGGCTTGGCGTCTCTCGGGAATCCAATCGTTGGGCCGCGATTAATCACCCTATCAGATCAGATCAATCAAATCCATAACATAATTTATTGTCCCACGGGTCCTCGTGCCAAGATTTCTTTGCGTTTACGGAGTAGAGGGGGTGATATCATATCAAATAGTACATGTTGAAGTGTGCTAGAGGTTGTCTACTGGAATTGTTCATGTGTTGTGAAAAAATGTATATTCGTGGATGTCTTTATTCAAAGTCGGATATATAAACCGTCGTAATCCCCAGCAATACTAGATACATATAGTTCAGCATGCAAGTAGACAGTAAGAATAATCAAACAAGCTTTGCACTACGAGTAGGGGCACTTTGTTCTAAATGATTAGCTTCGTCAATTTTAATACGTTAGTGGACCGATCGGATCTTTGATACTTAATATATCACTAGTATCGGCATATCCTGGATCGGAGACCATGCGCACATCACTACGGTCAGTACACTGTGGTTCACTCACCATGAATGTTGATTTAGACGCCGACGACAAAATTCCGGTCCACACATGGGGAATATACATAAGTCGGGATTGGTCTGGGTAATTTGCGAAGTGACGAACTATGGTACGGTGCATGTATTCTTCTATTGAACGAAGGTATCCACAAGCCTCTCGGCCGTTTTGTACTTTTGTTAGAACGGGCTTTATAGTGAGACGTGGAGGGAGTTTATCATCATGCTTAGGGCCCGAATGTTGTCTTGCAAAGCCACCGCCTACAATGATATTTTTCCAGTAATTTCTGTAAATGGACATCCCAAGTCAACTAGCAAGGACTAGAGTACGCTCTGAAGACCTCAACCTAGCGGTGAGTGATAATACACTAAAAGATGATGAACTCCACATGGCACAGGAAGCCATACTCCGGAGTAGATGCCAACTCTAGTTAAAGCCCTACTCTAGTTGAAGCGGTAGAGGCTTAGACCCCACACTTCATTCTGTTTTCTTTCTCAACGGAAAGTTCCAAGAAAGATGTACATGTTAGCAGGTTAAAGTACTGCCATGGTGGCGTGGTGTTCATGTATGCTGAAGGAGATAAACTTTTGTGCAGCTTGCGCGGGGAGTGCCTGCATTAGAGTTGCACCGCTGACTACCATGTAACCTACCACTGGAATGCAACCTGTGATGCAAAAGATGCAGCCGAGGATCATTGCAGTCTACGACCCTACGTGGCCTACTCACTCAACCGTCACTATTGAACCGTCTCGTGGGGTTGCCCCACCTTGATTACTGAACCGTCAACGCACGGCCGGCTTGGCTTCCCTTGTCATCCTCATTTGATCAATCACGGCACTTGTAGTACGGGAGACCGTGGATAGTCGAACCACCGGTAGCATTTTTTAGGGGGCCATTAGACTCCGTATAAAATGAGCGGAGTCTCCCGTTGTCTCCAGTTACGTTACCCCTCCACCCCTCTGTTCTCAACATATTGTACATACGAGTCAGCGAGAAATTAATTCACCATGTCGTTGGATATCACTGTAATGTTGGCCGCAGAACTGCTATAATGCTTCTCTCTAATCCGGTTACAGACCTTCTACAACGTTATTAATAATGAACTGACCACCACTGCCGAAACGCGTCATGGCATCAACCCCGCTAACCAACAACCCAACCCCGAGGTCCCAGTTTCAACCGCCGCGGATCTGGACAAGGCCGTGAGCGCTGCTCGCCAGGCTTTCAAGTCATGGTCGCGGACATCAGTGGACGAGCGTCGTAAGGCGCTGAGCGCCTTTGCTGACGCCATCGAATCGAACAAGGACACCCTGGCCAAGCTACTGACCCAGGAGCAAGGAAAACCATTAGACCAAGCATCCGGTGAAATTGACAACGCCGTGATCTGGGCACGAGCTATCCCTAAGATTGAGGTCCCCGAGACGGTGATTGAGGAGAGCGAAGAGCGCAAGGTGATCCAGAGACACATCCCCATCGGTGTTGGAGGTGCCATTGTGCCCTGGAACTTTCCCATCATGTTGGCGGTCGGAAAGATCATCCCGGCAGTGTACACTGGTAACACTATCATTGTTAAGCCGTCGCCCTTCACCCCTTACTGCAACCTGAAGCTAGGAGAGCTTGCTGCCCGTTGCTTCCCGCCAGGCGTGGTCCAGGTGTTGAGCGGCGGTGATGACCTCGGCCCAATGATCACCGAGCATCCAGGTATCGATAAGATCAGCTTCACTGGTTCTAGTTTGACCGGTCGCCGAGTCATGGCCAGTTGCGCCAAGACCCTGAAGCGAGTTACTTTGGAACTGGGTGGCAACGACCCTTCCATTATCTGCGACGATGTCGATATCGATGCAATCATTCCCAAGGTAAGAGAGGTTTTTTTTTTTTTTTTTTTCGCCATCTCACGAGCCGTGACTTACTCGAACAGGTCGGTGTTCTGAGCTTCCTGTGCTCGAGTCAAATTTGCATGATGATCAAGCGTCTCTATGTGCATGAGAAGATCTATGACGAATTCCGTGACAAGCTCGTCGCATTTGTGAAGAACTTGAAGCTAGGTGAGGGCACCGAGCCCGAAGTTTTCTTCGGTCCCCTTCAGAACAGCATGCAATTCGGCAAAGCCCGCAACCTTATCGATCACATTGCATCCGAAGGCCTGAACTCCGTCTTGGGAGGTTCTATCCCGGATTCGAAGGGCTTCTTCGTCCCGCCGACCATCGTTGATAACCCACCGGAAAACTCCCGCGTCGTCCAGGAAGAGCCTTTCGCGCCTATTTTGCCCATCCTCAAGTGGTCCGAGGAGGCAGACGTGATCGCCCGTGCGAACGACACCGAGTATGGACTCGGAGCATCGGTGTGGACTAGCGATTACGAGCGCGGCCAGCGTATTGCGCGCCAGCTTGAAGCTGGTAATGTGTGGGTAAACACACACTTTGCGGTGCAGCCTAATGTGCCATTTGGCGGACACAAGTCTAGTGGCATTGGTTCTGAGTGGGGTGTGACCGGATTGACCGGCTGGTGTAATACTCAGGCTTTGTATTTCAATAAAAACGCTTGAGTAGATATGACTTGCGTATATGTCGGAGTGAACTTTTAAGCGATAACAATATCATTGAATGTCATTTGCTTGGTACATACATATCATCCATGGCGTAGCCCCATCTAGTAGAGTGCTTATTCCACCGGCCACCGGGCCTTTACTCGATCGTTCAAACCGGCTCTGGCGACCACTTCCTGACTTCTTTTCTGTGCTTCCTGCACGATCTCCTGTTCATCCATGGTTAACAGCTCTCCACTACGCACCAGCATTTTCCCATCCACGACTACGATATCGACATCCCTACCGGTAGCCGTGTAAACAACCGCACTGACGGGATTGAACCAGGGCTGTAAGTGGATACGACGAGTATCTATAGCCACAAAATCGGCCTTCTTGCCAACCTCCAAGCTACCGATCCGATCTTCCAATCCCAAGGCACGGGCGCCGTTGATGGTCGCCATCTCTAGAACAGATTCGGCCGGTACCGCGGTGGGGTCATAGGATAAGCTCTTATGGATGATACCCGCTAATTTCATCTCCTGCAGAAGATCGCAGGTATTATTGCAGGGGGCACCGTCGGTGCCGAGACCGATATTAATACCGGCTTGCTGCAGGTCCGGCACGCGACAGATTCCAGACGCGAGCTTGGCGTTGGAGGTCGGACAATGCGCGACGTGGGTTCCTGACCCTGCAAGTCGCTTGATGTCATCATCGTCTAGATGCACCATGTGTACTAGTACGGTCGAGGGTGAGAGTAGGCCGACCGAGTCGCAGTACGACATAGGCGTATGGCTAACGGATGCAAAGAAATCACGGTCGGCGCGCACCTCCGCACAGTGCATGGTAATGGGGATGCCTTTCTCACGAGATAAACTGGTCATCTCACGGTATAGAGTGTCTGATACCCTATCATCTTGTTAATGGAAGTCCCAATGCCGGCTTTTCAAGGAAGTGCTTACCCTCCAGGGGTGCGAGCACCAAACCACACTCGAATGCGGTCATTGGCCTTTCCATTCCACTTCTCCCACATCTTCAACGTACCCAACAATGATGTCTCACGATCTTCGACCAGTCCAGGGTGCATGGCCCAGGCATCATCCTTGGCATACCGTGCAATGTCCATGACGATCTTACCCAAACAGCCACGGATGCCACTCTCCTCGACTGCTCGTGCCAGACCATCGAATCCGTACCGGTCCGCGAACTGCTTTGATCAGATCAATTCCGAAAAAGGGTGGCACTTGTTGAGATAACACACCATACTCTCCAGGAAACACGTTGTTCCCGACTTCAACATCTCTCCAATACTCAACCGCGCCGCGGCATATCCGTCCTCGGCAGTGAAATTGCCCTGCAGCACCCAGATTCGCTCGCACAGCCAAGAAACCAACTCGAGGTCATCAGCAGCACCCCGGAGCAGCGTCTGAGCCGTGTGCATATGGGTAGAGATGAGGCCCGGAATGACTATCCGGCCGGTGAGGTCGTACTCCTCATCGTCGGGGTATTTAGTTTTCAGGGCTGCGGTCTTGCCGATATCCGCGATTAAGTCATTCTGGACGCGAATGGCACCGTCCTCAATGATGCGTCGGTTTGAGTCGACTGTGATGATCGTGGCGTGAGTGTAAAGCATGTTGTTCAGTTTTGGGTTTTCGGTGGGTATCTGTCTAGAGACTTGCTCATTCTTTTGGAAGGTTGATATACATACAAAGTCCCACTATCCGGAGCCGACTTCCCCACACGGAGACCTCCGATGGGCGGGGAATCGTAAGTTTCCATGATTGATAAGATCGGGCTTGCAGATAGAGTTCCTATTTAATCACCAAATTAGATGATAATTCATCTTCTGTTGTTAGCTCAATGTGGGGTGCATGAAAGAATGGTTAATTACTGGCGAACGGCATGTGAATTTAACGGATATTGCGAATGATTGTGCCTGGTCATGAAACCGAGGCTTCAATGTGAAGTGTGGAGACAAGTCCACGCTGGATGATTTACTCCTCCTCCTAATAACATATTTGCAAGCCTATCGACACAGTGATTGTTATAACTTGCATATCGTCATACTTGGAACCTTTGTCCTGTCCTTGATAGACAGTCGTTTCGATTTCCTTGAGGTGCTCTACCAGACACTCCTATCCTCGAATCTCTGTTTCTCTCGCCTAAATACAAACCGCCCAGAGATACATGAATAGCAATGTCATGGGACAATATAATTAAGATTAAGTTGAGTCTCAGATAAGACTAGAAGAAAGAAAGCGTATCACATTAAATTAATTACATTCATACATAGTTTTGATGCCACGTATAATTAGGGTCCTCCGACAACAACCCTCGAATCGCATCACGGGGCTTCGTGGGCTCCCTACCCAAAAGCTCCCCCATCAATGAATGCGTCGTAGCCAACTCGCCCTTCTCAATCCCCTCATACCACGTCAGAGTCTGCTGAAAGAAAGCCTTGGGCTTCCCGCCCTTATCATTCCCACCGTAGATCTGGATATACTCCTCGGGGGATACACGCTCGAACTTAACCTGCCGACCCGTCGTGTTATTAATAATATCCACGATCTCCGATGGCCGAATAGTGTCTTCAGCTGTCAACAAGACGGTCTCATTCTCGTGGCCACCTGCGATCATCAACCGCGCTGTCGCTTCACCAAGTTCTGACCGCAGGGTTAATGCCATTGGGCCGTCGGATGGAAGAGGCACGCTGGTTGAATCGGGGTACCAGTTGAGGAAGATTGGGAAGGCTTCTGTGTAAATGCCTTCTCGGATGGAGGTGTAGGTGACTCCAGATCTAGGGGTTTTGTTAGTTTTGAACATCTCTGTCGTGATTGAGCATGGTCGACTTACTTCCTAAGCATCTCTTCAGTTTCTAAATGCGCCGTCTGCACGGCGGCTTTTGAATCGGACTTGAATCCTCCAAAAGCAAGAGAAGTATACCACACCTAACCAAATGATTAGCCATGGCCCGAACAATTTAAGACAAAAACAAAAAGCAAAATAAATATAAAGAGAAAGAAAAGGAATCATACATGCTTAACTCCAATCCTCTTCGCCGCCTCAACAAAATTCTGATGTTGTTTTCGACGCTTCTCATTATCGAACGTATTGGTACTAACAAAAAGTACATTCTCAACATTCTGGAACGCGGTATCTAACGTAGCAGGGTCATCATAATTAACCTGTCGGAAAGCAATGCCACGATCCTCGAATTGTTTCCGGTTGGACTCCCTCGACGATGCAGCTGCAAATTCCTCCAACGGTTTATTGGCCACGAAGTAGTCAAGGACATATCTTCCCAGGCCACCTGTCACGCCCACGATGAGGTATTTGAGGGTCATGTTGGTTTCTCTCGGGGGTGATCAAAGTAATCCTCGTATTAATGTCTCGTTTTCTTTTGTAAGGGTCTGCTTGACTAATAGAACTAAAGTACATACCCACTGCCACGCAGGATTAACCCTATATTTATATATCCATAAACATATACACTATTCATGGGTTGATTGCTAATCACCCGATTGATAAGCCCATCCATATCCTTACCCCCCCTGCTGTTCTAAGAAATTCTGTTACATCTACCATGCCTCTCCTGTGTGGAGTAAAGGTGACTTCGTAATCATTGAGCCAAGACAAGTTGTTGGCCCAAACCATGGGTATGATTGGTTGGGCTGGTCCAAGTTAATGAGGTTTTGGGGCTAAAACTGCAGGATTAATAATGCGTGATTATGACGTAACTAGGGAAATATATTGAGCTGCTACGCTCGGACTTTGAATTGTCCCTGTGCCGATTGTTGTGTGGTCTTATTCTCGTATTCATAGTGCTGGGATTGGGTTGAGCGGTTGCAGGGGTTTTGAGGGGGGAGGGTCTAGACATGTTAGATCTATCGTTTGGTTATATAGCGATAGCATAGTATTAAGGGCAATAAATCTCTGCTTTTCTGGTCCTTTTGTGTCAAGGAAATTGGGTGTTCATGTCCCCTTCAAGTTTAATGGCAATACTAGTATTAAGATGCGATCGAGACGCAGCCATGGCCTGTCCAAATTTGGGAGTCAGAATGATCAAACGCCATTTTAAGGCTCCAATAAGTATTACATCCTCACCCAGTTTATTGTATGCCCTGTACCTTAGAATGTCGACCAGAACCTCTTTATTCAATACCATATAACGTCTAGTAGTTCCGCCAACCTTCTAAAGCCAAAACCAGCTTACCTTAATAACACCCAAAGTTACTTCACAACTGTTTCAGTCAGACTCAACCACAACCGTGTAGAAGAGGGTTCGGAAGTCAATGACCTGGATTAACGAGAAGAAGGTTCCATGGGGGAAACAAAGCAATGAGTGTACTATTGGTTGCTATCCGAAACCAGGCATCACCGCAGCTCGGGCTCATACCAGTTCGAGAAACTTGTGATGCATAAGGACCCGATTCAACCCAGCCGAAAGAAGCATGTTTTACTCACTGCAGCAACCAGGGTGCCGATCATGGAAAAAGATACCCAATGCTCATTCTAATGTAGTAACCTTGAAAAGTGGTCTGGGTATTCAGTTAAGGATTCTACCAGGTCCAGCAAACGGGTACGTGAGCATGGCGACGATGGAAAGTGTAGAACATCTGCTACCATTTAAGGCCATAGATCTGCATGAGGCCGAGATGGTATATGCTACTAACTGTGGCCTGGGATATCAAGGAGTCAGCAAAAGTAGTAAAGCCAAGTCTACCACTGCCATAGAGTCCATTTCACCTCGCGATAAAAAGGCTCCCCCTGTTTCAGGCTAGAGGGAATGCGAAATCAACCGAGAAATGTTCTAGAGTCTTCTGGGCAAAGTCAATCGAAAATCAGATCGCACTGCAAAGTATGTGCGGACAACAAGTCGACTGGAATGGCCACCCTGATATGGAAGGCCTAACTATAATCAATACCCCCACTTTCAGAGTGTAATAAATACAACAAGGCTCCGAACCACTCTAGAACATTTGCATCGGTATGGAAAATGAAGTTGCGGCACAGACACGTCCAATTTTGATGTACCTTTACGTGGGCAGGTCTCTGTTGGGCTGAGACCGTTGAGTCATGCTGACACTGATATGCAGGAGCCCGAAGGCTTCATGGCGTTTCATAGGTTTCACGGCATAGTCTTCAGGCACGCCAGCTGCGCTCCAAGGACCAGAACCGGGACTATATCTATCACCATTAATGTTATAGTGGCTATAGCTGCAAATAAGAACTAGAAGTTGATATACGGCAAGTTTCCCATTCTGAGACCTGTCTGTGATGTCCTTTGGTTCATGTCTCGCTAAATTAGGAGATGCCACCTAGAATACGAGCAAGAGGATATGAGATAAAGTCCAACGATGCGCTGTGCGAAGAGGAGACACTGTGAACCATGGCTTCTCCTTGATCAAAGCCATCTGCACTTTTGACAGCTTGCGAGTCAGGGTCAAAACCTTTAGAAACAAAGACACCCAATTTTACGCCTCAGCAACATCGTCAACTTCATCCCAATGGGAGACCAGGACCTCATCCAAGACCGAACGAGATTGAGAGGTCGTCTCAAGGACACCCTTAAGGCAACATTTGCACTGAAATCTCTCCTTGATTTGTACTGAAAGTCACCGTTCCTCGTTGATCCAAAGCATGCGATGAAGCCCGCTCTCGTGACCGCCTGGGGCAAGCCGCCACAATACATCTCAATCCCGAGATCTTCCACCGCCGTCAACTCCACAGATCCAACTCAAGGTTCTAGCTACGAGCGTGACACGGGTTGTTAGAAGCCGAGCCTCCGGCACACACCCTACTTCTTTCAAGGTGACTTTACCATTTGACCCAAGCGTTGACGGAGTCGGTATAGACGAGATCACAGGCGATATGTACTTCATCACCCAACTTGCGGGACCGCTCTTTGCCGAACGCACGAATGTCGACCTAAGACATATCGTACGGCTTGATCCGAAGACCGACCCTATGAAGGTAGCGGCACTGGCAAATCCGGTGTCATGAAGCTGGATGACCCTGCGATGCCGTGTCATTGGTGGCTGCCAGGGACGTACGGTGCTCATCATCGGAGCAACAAGTGCTAGTGAGAGGTGCGCCGCGATCGTGGCGCGCTCATTAGGTGCCACTCGCATAATCGGGATGTCGCACAATGAAGAAACCCTCGCCGCCGTGGAAGGGCTCGATGATCGCGTCGTGCTTCGGGAGCCTTTCGCCCTTCCCCCAAGTGTGGGGCCGGTACATATCGTCCTGGACTACATTGGTAGTGGTCCTGCAGTTTCAGGGATCTTGCAGACGGTTCGGGCAGTGTATGGGAAAACAAAACTTGCAGTACATCCAAGTCGAGAATATCGCCAACGGACAGCATATGTTTGACGTGGTGCCGACTTACCTGATCAACCATAGGCCCATTTGCATCCTGGGTACTGGAATGGGGTGTTTCACCGTGCAGGATTGGAACAACGAGCTGCCAGAAATTATGAAGATGATTTCCCAGATGCATATCCCATTCTCCATTTTCACTGTTCCTCTGAGTGATGTTGCGACTGCGTGGGAATCTGAAGACACTTTGACTAAGAGGTGGGTTTTGCTGCCTAATGTATGAGTAGATAGTCGGTGTCGGTTCAGTTGTTTTATGATTGTATAAACTCTCGTCTGCCTAGAAGTTACTCATAGATAGGATGTTTTATTTTCGCTCAATCAATCTTTCATGTTGCAAATCGCTGCCTGATTAAGGTCAGATAAATGAGATGTAACAAGAACAATGTACAGCAATAGAATTTCTGCCTCAGTTCGTTCTCCATGGAGATCATGGTCATGTTAGATATATTATTCTGTCCAGTTCTATACACAAATTCCAGTAATACCTAATGCTTATCTATGAAAAATGAATATACCAACCCAATGATTTAATCTCATGTTCACCGATCGCGTCAAATCATTAACTTAGTTGACTGACTGCCGACTTTGTTCGATCACGACCCAGGCAGGCCAGCAGGGCCACAGCAGTCAGTACCAGGCCTTTAGCCTCCAGGGACAATTCACATCAGAAGAGCCCCGGAATGAGCCTCCATGGCACAGTCTTGCAGTACATAGTCCATTGGTCGCCATACTTCGATGAGCAACGGGCATCATCTCGCAAGGACCGATGAATAAGGAGACTGGCCATAAAGCAGAAATATGTCCAAGGGACAATATGTGAAATTCCACAGCCAGCACAAGTGCAAAAGGAGAAAATCAAATCTCCGATATAATTGGGATGACGGACCAATCCCCACCAACCTGTTCGAGTATTTATTAACCAACGCAAACATGGTTAACCGAGGACTGGGGTTGAATGGGAGACGTACCGGAGTAGAGAAGCATAGACGAATGTGACGAGCCATCAGTGGTTTGGTAAGTTGCTCGAATGATTGAAGGCTTTTGGCCCCAAATCAAGCTGGTTCCATTTGACTGGCGCGTGCGATACTTTTGATGATTTGCATCACGGAATATCACATAACCTGTGATTCCAGCTACTAAAAGTAGGGTACATTGTAGCCCGGACAGTTGTACTGGGTGATAAGCAAGATAGTGTGCTTGAGTGGTGTAAATTACAGGGAGCCAGACAGCAGAGCCCCATGCCAGGTTGAAACCGAAGTGATCCAGGGCAATGTCTATCGTACTTAGATACCTAGATGGAAAGTGTTAAATTGTTCAATCGTTGCAAGACACTATATATTAGTTCTGATACTCACCAGTCCTCATTGACGAAAAAGTCTACCACATACAAGGCATGTAGCAAATTAACAACTACCATGGTGTTGGTAAGGTAGCCAAACTTCTGGTATTGCAAAGCAGCAAAGGATAAATCCCTGATAGATGTTACCATTAGGGCCTGCAGATGAAGACTTATTTTAGGGAGAAAAGGCAGCTTACACGAGCACCCAGCTGTTCATACCAACACGTCCAATTTGGAAGAGTTTCAAATCCCAGTACTTGCCCAGGCGGGGGTTTAGCTCCACTCCGGATAGGAAATCGTGGATGATGGATCCTTTCAGTCATAGTCAACCTTCTTGTTCATCGTGGAAGATAACGCGGCTTATTGCATACCGCTAAATCGAATATCTCTCGTGTTCTGCTTGCATAAATGGGACTTTGCCACCGACGCAGCCGTGATCAAAAACCCGTAGATATTTGCAATAATAATAAGTTCCCCCTGATGCACTGCGACAAACGTGGGGTCCAGTCTTCCTGCTCTGACGAGGCCAATAAATACCGCTAGGGTTGCAAACCAGGACCAGAGTCCATTGACTTTATATGGCAAAGAATATCCCCCGGGAGTGGGGGGGGCGGACACAATTCTCCCCGGGAGGGCTTGGTATAGGAATGCTTGAAAACCTAACCAGGAGATATACGCTATGATACCCTGTGTGGTCAAAGATGGGCAATATCGCGTGAGAAATGGAAGGGCGCCCTGAGAATACAAGTCGCCGAGCACCTTTGTAATTGAGCCATCATAGTGGGTGAGAGCCAGCGAAATCAGTAGTACGAGAAGAGGCGCTCCGACCATCAGCATCATACTAGGAAGGCTAGAAAACCCCGACACATTGTGTCGCCTACCCCAGAGGGCCTTTTGACCAGTGGTCACTGTTTTCTGGATCTGGCCTTTTCCGGATGCAAAACCGGACAGCCCGTCAATGAGCTGTGCAGTGGCCATTCTCAGCAGGAAGCAAACAGAGCGCGGAATAAAAGAGGAAAATAAATGTCAAGTGGGATCAAGGGAGAGATTGGGCTTCAAACTCTTTATCTAAATAAGGCCTGATCAGCGGCGGTCGGCATGAACTGTATGCATCATGGTATTGTTGGTATCCACAATGCTGGCTAGTCCTTACTTCTCCCCACTTTATGTCCCAGACATTCGTCTTATGGAATATTTTTCCATGTTGTGTGGTTTAGAAAGGTACCTTCAGGTACCAAAAGAATACAGAGGTAAACACGGTAAACCACGGTAATGTGGATTCTGTATACAACACCACTTTATTAACTCCAAATATCTTAACAATTAATACTCCGTATACATAAAATAAATAGTCAAGAGGTGTTACGCAAGACACACACTTCATTTAAGACGCTTCACGGCTTTTTTAAGTGTCAGCTGGTTATATGTGTCGCTTAAGGTTAGGTTTCTATAAAATACCAAAAATACACGCGCGGTTTACAGTACACAAGAAAACAAATCTTTTCCCGAGTACCAAATGTGAAAGACACTTCATTATTTAAAATATTTAATCGTGATACTACTTATATACGAAATATAGGCCAGACCACACGTGTTTGTGCAGTACATGGCATTATAACTCAAGGTCGAATAATGACGAATCATATCTCTATTTTGGTGGCTGACGATTATTTCTGTCTTGAGTAAAGGCTCACGGAGCGCAGACCATCTCGATGCAGTGGAGCTGAGGAAGAGGAAATCAGTGAAAATTTCACAACCTGGAGGAATTCGCCTACCATGACTTGGAAGAAAGAACATCAAACTGGCCTCATTGGGTCAAATAAACCGTCCCAATCAGGTAATACTGGCGACTTCATGTCTATATTCGATACAGAGCGGTGGTCGGGGCGTGCTTTGACCTTCGTATAAATGCAATTATAGTTATTTAGGCTTAGTTAAGACACCTTAGGGGAGGGGTTGTATATCATTTCCTTTTTACGACTCTTGTCAGCTGGATACAAAATATAATAGGACCACCTTTGGCGCAGCGACTAAATAGTTCCACTTACGATCTTTAAGCGAGCCGCCCCAGCGTCCCACCCGGGATCAACCCGATCTTTTTGCGCCCTATCTCAGTCTAAGACTTTAAGTAGATTTTTGTACGGAGGAGCTGAGCTGAATCCTGATATTTCTCGAAAACCCACTCCGAACCCAGCCGGTTGGGTCGTCAGGATGTGCTTTACCAATTTAAGCTTAGATTATGATCTGAGTGAAGAAATGCCACATGGACTTGGTAATCTATTCCATACGAACGAAGAGATTTCTGTACCCGAGCTGATCAAGTTGGGCCAAAGTTCAAACCTCAGACCTGTCAACAACGCTAAGACCGAGAAACCTGCTGCAGTTACATGCATTCAACCACCATGCTGCCAGCGATGCAAATAGTATGACTATGACAGCCTGACGTTTCTGCAGGCATGGGTCAAAAGGGCGGTTTGTTGTTCTAGGACTGTGTGGGGCCTGAGAACCATATAATACGTAGATCGTATAGGAGATCCCGGTGTCGTGGGCTATCCATGGATCAAGTCATCATCCAGTGATTTGCGATGGTGGAGGTTCTGTTTTACTATGGAGCAAGTAATCCACCTTTCTTCACGAGTTATTCGAAACAGAAGCAAACTCCTGCAATAAAAGTGTTGAGTATACTACAGACAGGAAAAAAAAAAAAAAAAAAGGATAGAGAGAGAGAAAATAGGGCATTCATGCTGAATATTCACAAAGGCGACTGTAATCAAAGTTATTTCCTCAAGGCTTGAGGTACGAAGCTTAAAGTGAACTGTCTCGCTTTTCCTTTTCCGGAATCATCACGCAAATACTACGTAGTGGATATGAAGATCCCATACCATTGATACGCGGTCGACTCTTGGCCGGAAGATCAATGGCTTTTAAGTTTAACCCTAAATATCAATAATGCCAGCCAGCCAACCCAGGCATTCTCTCACCGCAGCCTCCCAACAAAAAAAAAAAAAAAAAAAAAGGAGTTTCAAAAAGTTGATGTGAAGATGGTATTTTTCGTCCGTAATTTACTAGTATCGTTCAGGTATGAAAACCACACTTACTTTACTATGAGCAATTACATATACCTTAACAATTGCAATGTGTGACCTTGAATAATAGACACCATGTTTTTCTATACTCTGTCTAGCTGATCTTATTGTATATACTATATCCTTGGCATGTCAACGACGGGGGAGAGAGAGTTCCATACGAAGCGCTAATGCTTTTTCTGAGCCACTGGACAGTTGAGGATATCAAAGTTGGATATAAATAGGCTGTTGAATCGCCCATTCATACTTTGCCTTAGCTTGTTCTCTACCACGAATAACCAATTATCCTGTATAGAGGATTATTATCCAATTATCAGGCCATATGTCCCCTTTCCAGGGGTGACAGTCGTCCTCCATTCTACCCCTTTATATTCCGGTCTCTCGACTGCAGTTACCTCAAACCTTTCAGCTGCGGGGGGAAGCGATGCAGCGACTGCCTTCGCATTCGTTTTGGGCTCGGTCCAAGAGCCGCGAATGGGACGAATGTCATATCGCACAAGAAGTAACGCAACGAGAGCCAAGATCTCTCCTGTTGCGAAATGGCGCCCAGCGCAGATATGGGGAGATAACCCAAAGGATAAAAAGCCAGATGCCTTTGATTTCTTGTCCGTTTGCAGAGCGGTCTTGGTAAAGCGCTGGGAGTCAAAGTCCCCGGAGTTCAATCCCCACGTTGAGCTATTTTTGTTGATCGTTGGCGCAGGAATTAGGAGAGTTGAACCGGCCTTCAGAAGCCAGCGATCATTCAATAATGTATCTTGATAGATCACACGGACCTGCCCGGAGTTAGATCGCGTTCGAAGGGTCTCCTGGAATGACGAGAGGAGCGTCGGGCACTTTCCCCGGATATCTGCCAAGTCAAGTGTATGGATTCCTGTCGAGTCGATAGAGACCGCATTCTGATGAATCTCATCCTGTATCGTGCGTAATAGCTCAGGGCGAGATAATATATCAAAAAGCAGCCAAAAACAGCTTGGGACCGTATTTGAAAGGATTCCAACTCCGGTAAGTATCTCTAATCTTGCGATGTCCTCCAGAGTTGCGCCAGCCTCTTGCTGAACCTTCCATCGAGAATAGGCTAAATGAGATGAAGAAAGATGGCCATCCATTTGGTAGAACTGAAGAAAAGCCTGCACCAGCTGTTCTCTGCCTTTCCAGGCTTTTCGGCAAGTAAGCCAGGGAAGGGTGTCGACGAGCAGCAGGCTTAGATTTGATTCAAAATCCCTATACATCGTTAATGTTGGAAAATAAGGCAAGCAAAAGCGGAGACTTAAGGAGCCAAAATTACCAGAAAGCTTGTCTGATAGATTCAGATTTATAAGGATTCGAAGGGCCATAGATAGCATCTGTACTAGCAACCGTGAGTGCCTCGCTACACCATTCATATAAGTCCAATGAACCGGTAGGAATCGAAGCTACTTGATCGACAATTTGTCCGAGGACATGGATCATCTGCTCATTTAGATGGTCTAGCTTATTGCCGAGGAGTGCAGGGCGCATCACTTCCACCGTTTTCTTCGCAAGGCCCTGGCCCCCCAGTTCTTCCTCTCGCAGAAGCTGCAGACCAGACTTTCGAATACCCCCGGCCCGCTCTGCCATAGCTGTGAAGAGCGGGTTGAATGACATGGAGCTGCGGTTATGCCGCACGGAAGGGAGTAAGTCTGGAGATGTAATGATATACACTTTTTCCTTGAGAATTTTCATGGTGAAAACTGGCAGAGAGTGTTTACCACTAAATTGCTTAGCATGCTACGTTTTTTTTTTCCTTGAATAGGAATCCTCTCAATACCTTTCTGCAGCGAAGTATTCAATTCCATGGATGAGAAAGGAAATCAGGTGGCCAACCAGTGGGATTGTGCTTGGAACCAGAGGTGGCTCGCGGGGATCCAGTTTCGCGCGTTGAGTAAACAGGAGGAAGGACCCGAGAATGGCGACTACGCTTAATCCCAGAAGCGTGGTGAAATCAGACATGGTCGTTAGATTGCAATTGGGAAGCCAGGTTGTAGGCAGATCTATCGTGAAGGAACGGGGTTGAAGCAACTTTTTACTGACCATCATTGATTTAAAATACATTTATGTACCTAGTAATTTTCCATTATTACGTACGACAAATGATTGAATTTCTTCAAGCAATTAAACTTCCAGTCAGTAATTTATGAATCTCGATCGCCACACTGAGTGGAGCCATCTGTGCCGCTTGTAATTTACATACAAACCACTATATCATTGTTTGGAACCCACTCCAGAATTAGTTTCTCTCTCTCTCTCGGTCGTTACCTTCCAATTAGCAAGTTAATAGAAACTTATCAAAGCAAAAATGAGCCGCTGCTACTCCAGCAAACCAGATATTGAAGGCAACATATATTTTTGAAACCCCCCCCCACTGAAAGTTGAGGTCTGCGGTAACTTCTCGCTTCACACCTTTGGAAGCTTTAAATCGCCCACGCAGAGGCCATCCAATGCTGCAAAAGAAAAAGCAATGGATGAATTTACAATTTCCGCGGGGAGCCTTTGCTTATTCTCGCTTTTAGTGGGCTTTGCTATCCAGACTGCTTACCGCCTGTTCTTCCACCCTCTTCGCAAGTTTCCAGGCCCTAAACTAGCGGCCATTTCTCATCTGTACGAGTTCTACTACGATGTGATTTGCAATGGTTCTTATCTATTTAAGATTGAGCAGCTACATCAGAAATATGGTAAAAAGGCCAGATGGTACCCAGCGTCTTACAATATCTTTGTCTTGCTAACAACCCCGAAGGGCCAGTCGTACGGATCAATCCGCGTGAACTTCACATCAATGATCCTTATTATTACGAACAAATTTATGCCGGCAGCTCGCGGGTCCGAGAAAAGGATCCCAGATTCATCGGCGTGTTTACGACACCTTTGCCTATGGTTGCAACAGTTGGTCATGAACATCATCGCGTTCGCCGCGGCCTCTTGAGCAGCTACTTTTCCAGAAGAGCCTTGAAAAAGGCCGAATCGATTATTGACCAAAAGGTCGACCGTTTGATTGTACGCTTCCGCTCCGCCTTTGATGGTCATGCAGTTTTGCCCCTACAGCGCGTCTTTGCAGCTCTTGCGGCGGATATCGTCTCAGAGTACTGCTACGGGGCGAGCCAAGGATATCTGGAACAGAAGGTCTTCCAAAATCAGATGATCGATGCGGTCAATTATGTCATGTCTATGTGCCATATTAACAAGTTTTTCCCTATCTTACCCAAGCTCCTTCGCTGCGTGCCGATCGGGCTTATGGAGAAGTTGGGCCTTCAGATGGCCGATGTAATCGGAGTGAGGAATCTGATTCGTCGACAGGCGGCGAAATCTCTTGACAAGAAGTGGTTATCGCATGACAGTGACATGCTCTCTAAAAATGTGTTCGATGCTATAGCTGCCGCCGATGTCGCACCGCAAGAGAAGACGCTACGTCGACTTGAAGAAGAGGGTGCGGCTCTCTTCGGTGCTGGAATTGAGACTACCGCAAGAGCCTTAACCGTCGCCATGTTTCATTTGACCAATGATGAGACTATGCGATGTAAGCTACGCGACGAACTCAACCAAGTCATGCCTGCTCCGACCAGTCGACCAACCTGGGCTGAGCTGGAACAATTGCCGTATTTGGTATGATTGCGTTATCTATAATGTTGTCATTGCTCATTGCTAATTGAGCACTGCTAGAGTGGAGTGGTTAATGAGTCCCTGAGGCTCTCGTATGGGCTGGTGGCTCGGTCTCCTCGCGTGTCACCTATCGAATCATTAACGTACGGTGAATACGTGATTCCACCTGGGGTAAGTGGGCAGCACGAAGCTGTGATGAAGTTTGTTGTTTGCTAACATCGTTCGTGTATCAGACACCAATCAGCCAGTCAGCCTACTTTGTTCATATGAATCCTCAGGTTTTCCCTGAACCGGAATCCTTTAACCCTGAACGATGGATCAAAGCCGCTGAAAATGGACAGTATCTGAACAGATTCCTTGTTGCATTCTCCAAGGGAAGCAGGCAATGTCTAGGGCTGAAGTAAGTTTGTTTCTTTTACTTTCCTGTTGCCTTATCTCTAAACTAACGGTGGCCAGTTTGGCTTATGCCGAGCTTTATTTAACACTAGCGAGAATAGTTCGTCTCGTTGATATGAAGCTTGTGGGGACCACCATCGAAAACATCCGGGTTGGGCGGGACCTTGGCCATCCGGCCCCGAAAGCTGGTGGCTTTGAAGTTAAGGCTGAAATCGTGGGGCTTACAGCTTATCCTTAAGAAAGCTAAAACTTGATTTTTACATTACTATCTTGAGATGCAAGCTGTCATTGCGTTGTATGAGTCTGGATTGTTTGCCAAATTACCCATGATACCTTGAGCCTAGAGCTTTGATCCTAGGCCTATTGAAAGATTATAGAATACTGTTCGAATTTCAGATTTGTCTGCTTTTGATTTTCAGTCTTGTCAAGAGCATCCCGGCCTTCTCCGAGCCATGCGTTCAAAATAAATTCCTTTTTTTTTTATAGCTACGCTACGTTTAGCAAGTGGGAATGATGAGCATTTATGGTTTCATATGACTTAGCGATTTATATCCAGTCAAGACTGACACGAGAATCGCACAATTTCCCCGATGTCTGGGATATCCAGTTATCTGGATCTCGATTATCCCTGCATGCCTGTTGAAAGGCAGTACTTCGGATTAGTTCAGCTCCTGTACTGGACGGAGCGTTCCACATTTCGTCGCTATCTGGAATGCAAAAGTCTAGGTCTGCCAGACTTAGAAGCTCACTTCTCGGATCACTGGCATCCTTGTCGGCCATCTCCGCCGAGGCATTCCGAGTACAGAGTCGACAGAGCTTATATAGCGACAATCCAAACCGCTTGATTTCCTCCACGTTCACCCATACGAGCGCTATCGGGGCAGAGGAGTGATACTTAGCAAGCATATTCGGATAGTTAAACAAACCGAGCCGGCGACAGGTTTCCACGAGTGCCGTGAGGAGTTCATATTTGGCGTCCTCTAGTTGAAAACGGAGGTTTAAGTCAAGAGAGGTCTCTTGTTTGGCAACAAGCACAGCAAATATAAGCTGCAGAAGAATACTCTGGTAGGTCGCCATGGGCCAGGGGGTGCCATTGCTGCAATGTGGCGTCGAGTCTGATATATACCATTGACACTGTGAGACGGAGAGCGTCAGCAGAACGTTAGCTTTTGTGGTGAGGACACTAGTTCACACCCTTTGAGCTTGAATTGCAGAAAGCAAATTACGATGGAAAGTCATCGCTGTGTCCCGTGCCGCTTGGTCGCCTTTGATCCACAACCCAACCATTAACATTGATTGGAGAAGTATACACGGCTCTTTCGAGAGCTCAAATGTCCCCCGATGCAGGAACGGCCAAGTCGGATGAAAGTCGTGAAAGTAAATATCAATGAAGTCCTGAGCGATCCACCGGGATTCACCAGGCACCGAGCTCACTATATCCGGGTTCAAGCGGGTTTGTGTCTCTTGAGGTTTGCTTTTGCCGTGAGCCGCCTTCTGAGGCCGTGGACAGGTAACCCCTCGCTGCTGACAACGATTACATGGGTATCCACCGTTACAACGTTCCTTTCGAGCATGGCAGGCTTCGCAAGCCTGCCGCGCCCGAGACTGCGGAGGCTCTCTCTCTGGATGATAGTTCCGGATATGGCGACGTAGGAGATCGCTGAATGATAGTTAGTTTCTACATTAGCTCACAGCAACGATCATCATGGGACATTCCTTCTGGCCAGGGTACTGTCGCAGTACGGACAGGAGAAGCGCGCCCCTTGCTCATGATTTGCCATGTGCCGGTTTAAGTGTTCTTTCCGTTGATAAGTCATATTACATCTCGGGAATTGGCATTGAAAGGATGATTTCGCAGAGCCAGCATCTGAGCGTGGCGGCATTGGGGCGTACGTACGTCGTGGCATCTTTTGCGATAGACGGAGAAGAGGTGAGTATATTGCTGAGAGGGATGCCGAGTGGCGAGTTCCCTCATCAGCTTTTTCTCTCCGGTTTACTAAGCTCATGAGCAGTCGGCATCCCGCTCGGTCGATCCCTCTCGGTAAAGCTATATAGCAGGTATAAGTGATTTTTATGCTTGTGCTTCCATATATCTAAATTCTAATTGGAAATTTGGTCAGATTATTTCGTTTTATCTTTTGAGTACTGCGTGACTTGATTTGGTGAAAGAGAGCTACAGTTATGGGTTCTTCGTGCCACTCCGATGCATCGGGCGTGTTCGTCAACGAGCCTGAGCTGACTCGAAGTTATACGGCAGATGCAGAAGGCTACACTGCTCAGACACTTGAGCATGCTGTCTCCAAACTGCCAAGCTTGCAAAATTCCTCGGAATATGAGGTCTACTGGGAACCTGAGGATTCCGAAAACCCTCGTGTCTGGCCGTTATGGTACAAAGGTGTCAGTATTGTGACCATGAGTCTTGGGGCGACAGTAGTCAGCCTTTTCAGCACTTTATACACTTCAGGAATCCCAGGCCTGGAGAATGAATTCCACATATCGAAAATCGTCGGTCTGTTCGGTGTCTTTACCTACCTTCTCGGCATGGGGGTGGGAACCATTGTAACCGCCCCACTGAGCGAAGTAGTCGGTCGAAGACCGGTTTACTTAGTCTCCATGACCATATTTCTCTTGCTAATTCTTCCAAGCGCTTTGGCTCGTAATATGGAAGCGATCCTGATTGGCAGGTTTTTCGGAGGTCTCTTCGGCAGCGCGATCATGGGCAACTCTCCTGCCTCAGTGAATGATATTGTCTCCGATAAACACCGCGCCCTTGCGTTTGGTATCTGGTCGATTGGTCCTACAAACGGTCCTGTCTACGGCCCGATAATTGGCGGCTTTGTCTTCGAGTATTTGGGCTGGAGGTGGACGAACTGGATTGTTCTGATCATTGGTGGTGCAGTTCTTGTCTTGATGTGCTTAATCAAGGAAACATATCCTCCGGTGATTCTCCAAAAGCGAGCAGCAAGGCTCCGGAAAGAAACAGGAGATCCCAAGTGGTGGACATGCTATGATGGCGGAGAGGATTTGTCAAAACGGCTTAGAACTGGTCTTAGCCGGCCGTTCGTCATGCTTGTGACCGAGCCAATCTGGTAAGCATCCTGTTCTCAGTCCCCTGTGTCTGTGCCAACAAGCCTGACCCAATGTTAACCCATTGTAGCATATTCTGGGACAGTTATATCGCAATCGTCTACGGTATTCTTTATCTGTGTTTTGTTGCCTACCCCATCGCCTTCCAGACAGAACGTGGCTGGTCGCCCGGCATTGGAGGCCTCTCGTTCATTGGCATCGGATCCGGCGTCCTGATCACCATCGCATGCGAACCTCTCTTCCGCAAAGCAATCAATAGTCACCGCAAGGACCCTGAAACCGGAGAGGTACCTCCAGAGGCGATTGTCAGCGTTGTTATTCTTGGCGCAATTCTCCTCGCCGTTGGGCAGCTGTGGTTCGCCTGGACTTGTACACCAAATGTCCATTGGGTCGTGCCCATCCTGGCCGGCGTGCCGTTCGGTTCTGGAAATGCATGCGTTTTTATTTACGCCACTAGCTACATCGCCCGCTCGTACGGTATATACACTGCCTCTGCGCTGGCGGGGAATATGTTCTTCCGCAGTATCATGGGCGCTTGTCTGCCACTTGCGGGACCGTCGATGTATAACGCACTGGGGCTGAGCTGGGCCAGCACTTTGCTGGGCCTTGTGGAAACGGTGTGTATCTCCATTCCGGTTGTTTTCTACTTCTACGGGCATAGAATTCGTAAGGCAAGTCCCATGATTCAGGCATTGAAGAGGATGCAGGCGGCGAGATAGAATACCTTCACCATAGCTTTTCCGAAAGTTACTATGCAGATTCTTAGGTCGTTTTGTAATACTTTCCTGTGGCTGGATAGAGATAATGTGTCATATTATTACATTAATGCATACCACCCCCAATTGATCCTTACCAACCTATGCGATAACTCATAACCATTCTAATGCTATGGATGTATATACTTTTAGTACTCCTCTGCAAACACTACCTGATTGGTTCAAGCTACTAGTAACAGCCGTTACTGCTTGCCAGGCCTTGCATGGTATTCCATAGCTACTTATCCTTGGGCTCCGAGACAAGTTCTAGATATGGCTGAGCAGATTCTTTTACTGACGAGATCATGGAAAGATCGACACCTTCGTAGGCCTCTATATGTTTAGGGCTACCATGAATCTAGGTGGTCTACCCGATGTTAGTAATCCCGCATTGGCGCATCCCACCAGGCCTTGGATAACGTAAAGCAAACTTTTAATCAATTGCTTGGTTAAATTATTACTTATTAGAAATATGGTAGCTGAATTTGGTTGCCAGAAGGTTATGTCTCTTTGTGTGGGGGTACTCCTTGTGGTGGGCTACTAGCTGACGACTCCTATTCGGTTGGATCTATGGCTGAGATCCGAGGAGGGATACCGAAAGGCGGGATGCCGATAGGAGGGATGCCGGTGCAATAGGATTGGAGCTGATTGATAAGTTAAAGATTCACTTCATTTAGATTTCTAATGTCCTACAAATCAGTGAACCCCTTCACTGAACTGCTTTACACGTTCGAGGTATAAGTACCGGGCACCGGCCGTCGATCTCCTTAACATTCTTCATTCAAGTCCGCAAACAGTGCTATTGTGCGTTACGCAAGTTTAACAAGCGACTCTGATCAGTCTCTATCTACTCATATTTCTTTCTCGATTCCTTAAACACCATGGCTCCCACTTTAAACGTCACCCACATTGGCACTGCCACTGCCATCCTCCAGATCAACGGCGTCAATTTCCTGACGGACCCGTTCTTTTCTCCAGCCGGTACCTTCTGGGACCGGGGCGTTATAGTCCTGGAAGTGACAGAAGACCCTGCTCTCCGTCTGAACCAGCTTCCCGTGATCGATGCCGTACTCCTCAGCCACGAAGACCACCCCGACAACCTAGACGAGCTGGGCCGTCAACTCCTAGACGGACGCCGCGTCTTCACCACCGTCGACGGGGCCAAGAACCTCGGTCCTCGTCCCGCCGTGCACGGCATGCAGCCCTGGGAGGAGATAGAAACCATTATCGCTGGCAAGAAATTCAAGATAATTGCGACCCCCACTAAGCACGTTCCTGGGGACGAATGCACCGGCTTCATTATAACCGGAGAAGACTTTGGACTTCACGAGGACGGCCTCCCCAACGCAATCTACTTTACCGGTGATACTGTCTACATCGAAGAACTGGACTCTATCGCGGACCGGTATCATATTTGTGCTGCCGTGATGAACTTGGGCAACGCGCACGCTCCTAACGTGAAGGATCCTAACGGTCCCCTCATGCAGATCACCATGGGTGGCAAGGATGGTGCTAAGCTATTCCGCGCGCTCAAGGCTGACGTCCTTATTCCTATGCACTACGAATCTTGGGGCCATTTCACTCAATTCGGGACTGAGCTGCGCCAGGCTTTTGAGGACGAGGGTATCAGTGATAAGATCTGCTGGTTGAAGGGAGGCGAGGAGGTTTCGGTTCTCTAAAGCTTGTGGGAGGATATGTCATGGGGTTTCCCTTTCCTATACTTTAACATGTATTATACAGTAACGACTTGCCAGAATATATCCATAGGTTTTCCTATTTTCGCAATTTAGATACCGATGATACCCAATCATACTACGAGTATCCCGGTACGTCGTCTTTGAGGTAAAGGATTCGGTTCTTCTAACGTCATCCTATAATATGTTTAAATACAACCATGATATCACGTAGGCAATCCTGTTCATACTGGGTATATCTATTTTTTGTGTATTTTTCACTACTGAAGTATATATCGAAATCGAGAGACAGATGACCTTCACCGCTAGACTAGTTGGATAAAGGTCTGGAACTACTAAATGACGCTATTGAGTCTATAAGCCCTAGCATCCTTTTCCTACGTCCAAGGAAGCCACCGTGCAATTTACCTTTTTGAGTAGGTAGTTCGTCCATCATTTGCTTCGGCAGATATAAACCGTAGACAGAGTAAATGAAATGCCTCCCCATCCCCTTCACGCTTTTGTTTGTTTACCATTTCTTTGTATATATACGCTGGTATCATCCAGGCCCTTTGAGGCCCATCAGAAACTAGATGTTGGTGACTGGACTGACGCTCAATCAGGACTTTTACATACACCAGAAAATATAAATTCCAGATCAGAAGTGGTTCATTCTGCCCTCATAATCATAACAAGTCTATATTTATCATGACACATCTATGTACAAACGATCATCATACTACTAACCCATCACAGGAACCCGCGCAAATGCTCGCCGAGAGCCATGATAGCCATGGCTTGGCCATACGGCATAGACGTGAGGGGAATATCTTTATAGAACTGCAGAGTATCACCCATTCCTGTACCGAAACTAGTATTCTGCAACTCGCCGTCAGCATCCACGTGCCCGACCACAGCCGCGATCGCCTTTTCGGCGACGGACTTGTATTCCGCGGAGATGTAGCGCTTGCGCACTGCCTTCAGAATACCATAAGCGAATCCGGCGGTGGCAGATGACTCGACATAGGAGTCTGGGTGGTCGAGGAGAGTGTGCCAGGAGCCGGACTCGTTCTGGAGACGCTGGAGCGCCTCGCATTGTGCTTCGAGTGTGTCGATGAGGTGGACCCGAATGGGGTCGGTGGGCTCGAGCTCGAGCAGTTCAATGAATTCAGGGATGACAATGGTGATCCAACTGTTACCGCGGGCCCATCGCGCCTGCGCGAAGTTGTGGCCGCCGTCTTCGAAGGTCCATCCGTGGTAAAAGAGTCCGGTCTTGGTGTCGAATAGGTATTTAATGTGGAGGAGGAATTGCCGCTTGGCTTCGGCGATGTACTCTGGGCGGTTTAGGAGCTTTCCGATCTTTGCGAGCGGCATGACTGTCATCATCAAGGTGTCGTCCCAGAGCTGCTGGTAGTTGTCTGTGAGGTAGGTGGCATGCTGCAGACCGCCGTAGCGCGTCCGAGGCAGATCGTGCATGGCCCATTCGGCCCAGGCGTCAAGCCAGGGGAGATAGGTGATGTTGCCGGTCTTCTCATAGACGTAGGCCAGTGTCAGAAACACGGCCATAGTGTTGATATTCTTAGTGGTGCCGCCCTCGGCAAACCGGGCGGCAAACCAGTCTTCAATAATTTTCAACAATTCAGGATCGCCAGTCATCTCGTAGTATTTCCAGATGCCGTACAAACCGATGCCGTGCGTCCATTCCCAGCCATGCCAGGACTTGGTGTCGATGATGCGACCGTCTGCCAATGGCATAAGGAATCGGCCGGTCTCATCTTTGATGTTGACGAGATTATGAATGAGGCGGTTGATGGTCTCACGAACCTGCGGAGGAGAGGTATTCGACGACGACATAATGAAGCACAGACACACAGACACACACTTTGAATTACCCAACGGGAAAAAGGAAATACGAATAGGTGTAGAGGAAAGAGCAGGGCAAAGTGAACGGACCAAGCGCCCTAATAACGCTCACCGAAGCGGATCCACAAAATGATACGCGGAGAAACTCTCACCACTTTGTCCGTGGGATGCTTTTAGCTTCGGGTCAACGCCAACCGAGGAGGCGCACTTAATGAAACTAAATTGCACCGGTTTCTTTGGATCTCCTCGCTGATTTGACGAGAGGATTGCATGGGTCCCAAGCTTTTCGGTGGGCCGGCGGCACTGGCCCGATCTCTTCGCTTGGAACTCGGGTTATTCCTCTCCGCATAACCTTTTTCCCCAGACGAAATGACCCACGGGGGTGGCCAAATTGCAGAACTGGGGAAATATACGGCATGCTCGTTGTCCTTGGGATTAGACCGCTAGTACGTAGTAGTATACCTATCCTTGGCCGCGTAGTGACCCCCATTAATTTAAAAATGAATAATAATAATCAAGGATTACGCCCGTGGAGAGTGCTGGCGATAAAAGGTCCCAGCGCCCCTCCTGGCATTTACTGGCCTCTCTGACACTGCTCGCTTCCCATCCTGCTAGTAACTCTCATCAAAATACTGCAGGGGGTAGCTCACGTCTTCATTTTCTTCTTGCATATTCCACCATGACAGACGCAAGACCCCCATCCGCGGGTGACCACCAGGTCCACCAGACCACCCTTCCCAACACTGAGATGAACGACCTGAAGAAAGACATCTCTCACGTCGAGCGGGTGCTTTCTCCCAGTGACAAGGATGCTGTGGACCATACCCGTGTCGATAATGAGCTCCAGGAGTATGCAAACCTCGGGCGGGTAGAGATCGATGAAGCCACCAGTCGAAAACTGCGGCGCAAGATCGATCGCCGCGTGCTGGTGATCATGATTATCACCTATTTCCTACAAGCCCTGGATAAAGGCACAATGTCATTTGCATCCATTATGGGTATTCGTGAGGACACTAACTTGCATGGCCAGCAGGTATGTATCTCTGGACAATAAGTGAGAAAGTGAGCAGGAAACATTGATGTTGACATACCTTCCCTTCGAAGTACTCCTGGTTGACGACCTGTATCTACATTGCTGTCCTGATAGTGGAGTATCCAACGAATTGGATGCTCCAGCGAGTCCCCATCGCCAAATACCTTGGTATCAATATCATCCTTTGGGGCTCAGTTCTGGCACTCCACGCGGCTTGCCACAACTTTGCCGGGCTAGTCACAGTGCGTACCCTCTTGGGTATCTTCGAAGCCGTCTGCCAACCGTCATTTGTGGTCCTCTCGGGAATGTGGTATAAGAGAGAGGAACAAGCTGACACGGTCACATACTGGTGGGTAATCCCTAATCAATTGACATCGCTCCTCCAGGGAAGCAGCTGGCGTTACTGGTTCGAATCTAACCTTTGTCTAGGTACATGATGAACGGAGGTCAGCAAATTGTCGGTGGTCTACTAGCATACTGTTTCGGCCTGATCGGTAAAGACAAGGCCATTCACTCATGGCAGGCGATTTTCATTGCATACGGATGCCTTTCAGTACTCTGGGGCTTGTTCGTTCTCTATTGGATGCCCGATTCACCGATGCGGGCCAAGTGCTTCACCGAAGAAGAGAAGCATTTGATGGTCGAGCGTGTCCGTGCCAACCAGACCGGTATGCAAAACAAGCAGTTCCGGGTATACCAGATGTGGGAAGCCTTCCGTGATCCGCAAATGTGGTGTTACTGTGCCATCCAGGTTTTCACTACACTTCCCACTAGTGGTCTGGGTTCCTTTGCAAACATTATTATCACAGGCTTCAACTTCACCGAGCTGCAGACACAGCTGTTAGCTATGGTGTTGGGTGCCTATATCATTATCGTCCTGATGTCGTCTGCATGGTTGGTGAAGAAGACGAACCAGAACCTGCTCGTCATGCTGGGCTTTATGATCCCGTATGTGTCCCATTATTTTGTCCACCTTTCTTCTAAAAAGTATCACTAACACTCACCAGATCCTTTGTCGGAACCATTGTCCTAATGACTGTCGAAAATAAGAACTTGGCCACAAAGGCCGGTCTCCTCATTAGCTACTACATCACCCTGTCGTTCTGGTCCGCCCAGGGTCTCTGTCTCTCCATGGTGTCTCGGAACATTGCAGGAGCAACCAAGAAGTCGACCGTAGTTGCAGCCACCTTTGTCTCGTGGGCTGTCGGCAACGCCATCGGTAAGCACTCCAAAACCCCTATAAAAGCCACCAGCAAAGCTAACACTCGAGTCATCAGGCCCGCAGGTTTTCCTAGACAAAGACGCGCCCCGCTACTTCATTGCCTTTGGCGTCCATCTAGGATGTTACTCTGCCATGTGCGTGGCCGTGCTTTTCCTGCGCTTCTACCTAATGGCGCAGAATAAGAAGAAGGATCGCATGTTGCAGGAGGCTGGGGTTAACCCTAGCACAACTGATAACCTTGACCACGCTTTTGAGGACCGCACGGACCAGGAGAATCTTCACTTCAGATATATCTATTAGATCTTGATCTCCTTGGTTGTTCTGACAGTGGTTTTTATTGTCTATTTGTATGCTTGATGTATGGAATGAATGAATATATACCCTCTTCTCTTGTAGTCTTGTGTCAAGCTCCCGTTGTCAGTGAGAGGGCACTTGCAAATCTTCTGCAGATCTCCTGCAGATCCTCTGCAAGGGATCCCTTGGTTGCATAAAATTGATTGACCGATCTCTGTTAAGGCTAATCTGGAATGTTCATAATCAGGGTAGGTGGGGTGGTACCTCAATGTTAAGTTGCTAACACAACGCGCTAAGTTCTGCATATAATGATATCCATAGCGCGGTAGGCGTAACAGAACTGTATAAATTGGTATTTTGTGATTGCTATGCTATTTCAATATCCGATTGTACATTATGCCATGTGTGTTGCGACCAGATTAAAAAAAAAAAAAAAAAAAAAGAATTGGAAGACAGGATATAAATTAAAAAAAGAGGCCGTCATCAAATCCGAGATAAATGTTGCCATAGAGAGAGGAAGTATCGTTGCTCGGGCCGGTCTGTTATTTTTTTTTTAAACTTTTTTCCCGTATTCGCCGTGGATGGCGGCGGATTGATGGCCACGGCAGATATTCTGCCAATACCTCGTCCAACCTCTACCAAAAGTACCGGCGTTTCTTGTCCTTCTTCTTTGACAGCTCATCCTTCAATTCCTTGACTTGTTTCTCCAGTGTCTTGCGTTGTTCTTCGACAATCGCTCGCTTATGCCGTGACGACACAAGTTTGTTCCTAGCTTCCTCCAGCGTTTTCTGCGCCTCGTCACGCTCGCTCTCAGCGGTTCGGGCCTTTTTCTGTGCATCAGCAGCCCGCCGCTTAGCTTTCTCTAGGGCCTCTTCCAGCTGAGTCTTCTCCTTTTGCACCTTCAAGTTTGAGGCTTTTGTGTGTTTCTGAAGCAAGGTATCCTTCTTCGTGAGCATTGCTGCTTGAGACTCCGCTTTTTTGTTCAGGGTCTGGACTTGATTTTGCATCTCACTGAGCTGCTTTTGTAGCGTTTCATGGTGGCGTGCGACATCCTTCTCTTGGGCCGAACGGTTCTGTGACTCTTCAAGAGCTATGCGTAATGCATCTCGCTCCGTATTAGAAGCTTTCAATTCTCGTTCCAGATGATCGATACGGGCCTGCCAATCATTGATTTGCCTGGCATCGCTACGGTCCTTTTGGAGCAACAGGTTTAAGCGATTCATGTCACGATTGAGGGTGCTCCCGATGAGTTGGACTCGGTCTTCAAGGTCATCCTCGACCCATTCAGTGTCGTCATAGACATGAGGTCTACGAGTGCGGTCGCTCCGTTTCTTCCTGCCGAACTCCGCTTCAAAACGGTCCCTGTGGACGCCCATGAGCGATGACGGCAGGAGGGCCGTTGTGAATGACTGGGGGGAGTCGGGAGGGGTATCAGGAGACATCATATGCGGGTAACGAGTCTGTGGTCGGACAATCAGGTCTGCCCTATGTCTCATTAGATCGCACATATCGTCAAAACTTCGTGCACTGTATGTACTTAGGTATGTATTCAGCTCGTGCGATTGGACCTCTGACCCGTGTCGCATTGGCGCTATATCGGAGCGGTACGAGTGGAAGTTAAACTTAATTGTCGAGTACCACGCAGGGCAACAATCACACAAGTGCTTTTAAAGTGGTACAAAATGAAGGTGTGCATTATTGATGGTGGGTGGTACATCGCCAGCTGGCGATGTAGATGTAAAGTTGTTATTCGTCACTTGGCATCCACTCCCGTTGCGCCACGGAAACTGGTGTGGACGATTCTCCCTGACGGCCACCATAGTTTATGGGGGCACCTGGGACTTCAGTTCATGTTTCAAATTCCCAGCCATGCCCAATAACAAATTGACGATTGTCGATTGCGTCCCTAAGACTACACCGCACATTCAACCTAAAGGATCGTCGCTGACACCACGTCAAGCCCGTCGCGAGCGCACCGTATTCACGAACAACACAAGTATGTCATTACAATCTTGTCATTGTTGCCTAATATAATGCTTGTGTCAAATATCCACCGAGAAATCGTCACAAATGCCTCACGATGCTGTTCGTGGGCGCGCCATGTTGTCCAACATGTTGGCCTGCGTCTATAAGGTGATAAATCTCCGAAGGTCTCAATTCCGAACCATATGTTTCCAAGTTTTAGGAGCCGCACAAGTGATGCTTGCAACAAATTAAGCCTAACTGCGGTGGTCTATTTGGCAAATCGCGGACACGAGCCTCTTTGGCACTCTTGCGTCTCGGCCTTGTTGTTCACATAGTGTCCAACCCCTACAGCGCTCGTGGACATGTAAACCTGACCTTCTGTCGCTAATATCCCCATTGGCAATTGGGTTTGTGCTGTCACCCCGTAAGGTTTGGCCAATGATAGGATATTCTGGCTTCAGCAAAGGAATCCAAGGCCTCCTCATCGAGCAAACCTGATCGTAACTCACGTGTCAATTGCAGACCAAGAAATGATCAGTATATCCGGAGCCGAAAAAAGATGGATTCCACCGTATCTTTCCTAGTTCAAAAGCAGGGGTGCCAACGTATACACGCCATAAAGTCCAGAGAGGGCCATAGAGAAGGTTTGCACATTATTGTGGATAATGCATTGTCATCAAGGGTGCGCCACCCGAAAGGAGGGTCGCCACAGCATTGCTGTCAGGGCAACCCCCTCCACCAATGGCATTTCATTGACTATCTGAAACCCAAGAGATTCGTAGAGATTGGTTGCTTTGGCACTAGCCTCGAGGCCAACAGGGGTTCCGTCCCACGTGGCCTGTTTGAGGCCCCATTCAACGAGCCTGCGACCGATCCCCTGTCGCTGGTACGCCGGGTGAACTGCCAGTGTTGACAGGAACCAGAGTTCTGAAAAGTCGTTGTACGGAAAGCAATCAATGGTTAAAGCATTGTACCTAGCCAAGCGAGATGCATCTACGCTTCGGTCGGGGTACAGACGAGTCACAAAATGTTCGCTCACATTTCCAAACAGTTCCTGTACGCCTGCAGATCTTAGTAAAGGTATATTCTATAGTTTATTTGATGTAAATAGAGGAGTCCATATATGGCTACTCACGAGCCCACCAGCTATCATTCGAGGTCTCCTTCCACCGTTTGGTGGACTCTTCCGCCGTGTCTCCGATGCGCTCCCAGACACAATAGCCAAGGATAGGCCATGAGTCTACATCCACGGAGCGCGTTCGAGACTCACCTACTGCAACAATGACAACCCACCCGGGTGATGTCAATTTCGCCCGTAGTCGTCGCAGGAAACTCTGACGATAGTCGGAGTAGAATTCCCTACGCCTAGGGCAGAGAAACGCAAACAGCTCATCATCCAACATGGATTGTGCGGCCACTTCCGCGATGGATGGAAGGTCTTGCGACACTGCCGGTCGCAAATGGACTTCGGTGAGACTCATGGCGTGAAAACTTAATTCATACAATGTTTGTGGATATGGAAGTTCAGATGTGGACTATAGAGGTGAGTTTCCCAGTTGATACCCCGAGTCTCCGCTTGAGATTGGAACCTGTGTGCTAGTATGCCCAAAAATGAACTAGTCGCAGGCACGGGGCCTAGACCTGATACGCGTAGATTCGCTGTATTTCGTATATTACACACATATGAGAGAACACAAACGGTACGGAGTAGGTAAGGAGTCAATGTCCGGTTGAAACAGGGGCCATCCTCTTTTGGGTAAAGTTCAGGGTCGCCACCACATCACATGATCGAACTTGACGGACGGAAGGACCCCGAAAGGCAACGAATGAACCCCGATGCTTGAGAATAAGTTCCAAGTGTTTGAGCGAAGTTTAAAGAAATTCAGAACGAGAGTCAAACTTAATCCTCAGTACAGGTGCTTGGGATTTCTGTTGTAGAGAGTAATCCCTAAACAACCGTGACGAATATTATTAGTCAGTCGTTAGCATGTAACTAGATATGTACCAATAGAACATATGGACTTTATCGGGCGAGAGAACAAAAAAGGGTCAACCGTCAAAGACTCCTCAGATTTCAGGCTCCGGCACTCCGGGCGCCCGGGGAAATCATGTGGCACTAAACCTTAGCTGCACGCTAGCCCCAGTTTAGCGTTAGTGTCGTGCATATTTCCCCCAATATTTGCCGAAACCCCATCCGTTCACTTCCATCCATTCCACTCTCTCTCTCTTTTCCTCTTCTCTTCAACCACCAGTCTCGTGGGGACCTTCGACAGGATATCTCCTCCACCAGGATCTCCACTGTTTCAGACCATTCCGTCCGCCCGTCATTCAGTGTCATTTCCTTGTTGTTTCGTCTTCATTCTTCTCCTACTTTCATTTAGACTTGCCTACTGTATATATATATACGAATTTCTATCACTTCACGACTTTCTTACCTCTAAATACCTTGTGAAACAACAAAGCCTTTCCCTAGATATAGTTGTGCCGGGTCGCCTATATCAGTTCCTCCCCTCGCCTGTGTTTATCGTGAACGTATATATTTCACCACGAGACAACCCCCGGTTCGATTCACGAAATGTTCTAAGATCATACGGGATATCATCGATACGGATTACAAAGTCGGGCATGATTGAATATGGCTTCAAGTGTTGTCGCCCACTGCCGCTCGAGAGATAAAGACAATCGGGTTGAAGTTGAACTCCTTTGATTGTGAGAAAGGGTTGCGTCATCCGGGCGTCATGGGCGACTCACTGTCGCAGGTGCCCGAGGGCCTCATTGGTGGTTATCAAGGAGGTCTTGCGGTGAAAATCTTGATGGTCGTCTTTAGCTCAATCGCTCTGTATAACGCCATCGAGCTCATCATTCTAATTTTCCTCGTCTTCAATCAGTATAAAGGACTGTACTTCTGGGCGATGCTGTTGTCCAATGTGCTCGGTGTCATCCCACATGCCGTCGGCTTTTTGCTAGAATTTTTTGCGAAAGGACCATTGTGGTTTGCAGTCACCCTCGCCACGATCGGTTTCTATTTCATGGTTCCCGGGCAGTCGGTCGTCCTTTATTCTCGGCTTCACTTGGTCGTGCAGAATCTCAATGTTCTTCGGCAAGTTCGGTACATGATCATCTTTAACACCATCGTTTTGCTGATTCCAACAACCATCCTTACCTACTGCACTATCTATGTGCGCACCGAATCGATAATCCGCGGTTACAATGTGATGGAAAGGATGCAATTGGCTTGGTTCTGTGCACAGGAGATCTTGATCTCTTGCATATATATCTGGGAGACGATCAACCTTCTGCGGCTGCGGCCGGACAAAGATCCCACCCGGAAGAAGATCATGTATGAGTTGATTACGATCAACGTGATCATCGTGCTCCTAGATGTGGCGCTTCTGGTGTTGGAATACGTCGGGTTTTACGCTCTTCAGACCACACTTAAAGCTGCAGTCTACAGCGTCAAGCTGAAGTTAGAATTCGCCGTGTTGCGAAAGCTCGTCTTGCTCGTCAATACTCGCCCCTCCGACACCAGTTCCACCGATCACGAAGAATATCCTAATTTTGTGAACCCGGAGCAACTGACGGGTGATATTACGCATGCGGCGCCCGTTCGCGCCCGGACTCGTTCTCGGTATCCATGGAGTGCCATCTCAATGGACAGCTTAGACCGGTCAGAGCGCCGAGGATATTCTTCTGAGACCACACGCCCGCCGTAACTCTACCTCCATTGTAGTTTCTACATCATATCCATCCACTCTTTGCCCGCCGATAACACTTGGAACATACCGAGCGTGCTAAAAGACGGCTCACCCGAACCTGGGGAATAGCATTCCTCCCGCGCGCGATTCAGCGAGGCATTTGCCGAGGCTGCAAAAGGGCGGATGACGGCGTTGTCAGGGTTCAGATTCCCCGGTCACCACGGTATCGGGCCAGTAGCATAACGCTTCCCCAGCGGTATGCGTTGCATATACATCACTTCCTCTGTCATCATATTTTGGAAGGTCACGTGCGGGAACCGACTGCACACTTTCTTCATCCGTTAAGCAGACCAGATCTTACGCAGTCGCTTGAAAAGACTGTGCACATAGTACGCGATCAAAGTATATACTAAAGAATTACCACCATGGGTTGGTCCACCGGGTGTCGCATATATCACTAGGTATTTGTGGATTGTTTATATCGAAGACGCGAGAACATGTCATCCTTCGTCATCAGAGTTCCAGACAACATGAAACGAAAGGGGTGGCGGACCGCCACAGCAGCCACTTGGCACCACTGCTGAGGTCTCCACGCAAGCTGTTTTTCGTCGTAACCACCACGCTGCCTCCTAGGAATACCCACACTTATAGCAACCTGAATATATACTCTCAACATTCACATGAAACATTTGGCATTTATGGATTGGACTAGAACCCTCAGTCCAAAGATTATTTTCGTCCTCATGCAAAAACGGATGGCTGCAATCCTGAAATTCTGTAGTAAGAAACTGTATGGATCAACAACGACAGATTCACTAGCTTCGAATATATATATCAATCAATGTTTCAGTATCTGGCAGAGAGTGGCTTCGAGAATAGGGAAAGTTGGAACATTCTTGTTCTTTTCTCCAACCCTTAACAATGTGGATCTTGAATATAACTTTCAGTCCTTTAATTTATTGCCTATGCAATCTCAAGTAGGAACTACCAGTACTCTGGTTGATGTGGATGGTGTGCCTATATAAAGATTGGATCCGGGACGACTCTTAAGCTTTGACCAAGCCGCACCGTAATTCGAGACGCAAGGGCTAAGCGACGGTACACAATGCCACCAATCCGAAGTGGCCATGCTGCAGCCCAGCCGAAAGCTCGTGGGATCACGTGGACAACGGGAGATGACACATCAGCTGCGGAACGAATGAAGATTAATACAGGGGACTAAGAGAGGAAGGTGGAGTGTGATGCATTGCACCGTTTAGCTTAGTAGGAAAAGGTACACAATCGACCCGAGCAGTCGGGTTCCATTCCTTCGTGACAGCGGAGATGACGTCACCCACCCGGCCTCCATACAAATTTCAGATATGGCCTGATTTTGCTCAACAAGTAAAAAGTTATGTCTCCAACTTCATTCCCTCGATATCTGGCAGCTCATATCTATTAGTCAGGGGCTTACTATCCTACCATGGTATGAATATGGGTATTGGAGGAGTGAAACTACTACCTAGATCACTCCAAACAGAGACAGAATTGCAAAGGTAAAAACTCTCAATATAAAAAGGATCCAAGCTAGGCCGGAGGACGGAGGATCGGTACCACCTATCATTTTGACGTATGAATAAGTGGAATCATTTTCCCTTGAGACTAGTGAGGAGCAGGTTTAGTGGAAGATTTACCGTGGGGTTCTCGTTCTCGATCTCAATTTTTTTTTTTTTGGAGGGGTCGACCGAAATACGGCACGGGATTGGCGAGTGCCAACTTCTGGGCCCGAGACGGTGACCGCCTAGCTGAATGTAGGAAATATTGCCGTCGATCCATCGGATACCGAGGACTCACTGTAACTCTTCTCTCTTGCCTTCTCCAATCTTCGCTACCTGACTTTCGCCTGCTTCCTTTTTTTTTTTTTTTTCTCCCCCCTCCATTTCATTTAATCTCTCTGTGTAAACACGGTCGATAATCCCCGTTTTCTCGTATTCTTTAATGCCTGAACCGATCCCGGGAGAATCTTTGTTTATAACTCCCCTCTTCCCCACTGTATGGTGCTTTTCATGTATCCCTTGGTGAGCGTTGCCACTAACCGAGATATCTCCATTAGCCCTCCTTTGCCCACCCATTACGTTCCGTGCATGCGCCGTCAATCTTGTGAACCCCCCGCTGTTTTATTTACAATCGATCAATTCGGCATCATCCTCCTTCTCGTCATCACTCTGGACACATTGCGTCACCTGTTGAGCGTCCGTTAAACATCACCGATTTGTTGCTGTCGCCCGTTTGGGATATTTGCCCATGCCACGATAACACGATTAGTGACAGATTGTGATCGAGCTTGGTTTGGTCGAGTCCAATCGTTAGGACGTTGAAATGGAATCCAATACTGACTCCGTGCCCGCGCCGAAGCAAGGTTCTCGCGAAGATGCCTCTGAGATTGCGCAGGTGGTCCAGAAGGTACCGTTTACCGACCTTTCAGCGAAACATATCTCCGAGAACGAGGTTAGTCCCGGTGCCGCCGAACGAGTATACCCAATTCGGTCAATGGTCTTCGTCGATCCCTCGTCGACTACTGCGTCGTCCGACGATCCGATCTCACCAGTGAGGGGAGCCAGGCAGTATTCGATAATCGATTCGCGAACATGGGATGAACTGCAATTACAACGCAAGTCAGATACAGAAGTCCTAGCGGCTCCGATTGTGGCAGCTCAACTGCCCACGGAAGCACCGGGTTCCGGTAGCGAAACCCTTGTCCAGAGCCCCGCCACCCCCGCAAATGCGTCGTTGGAGAGCCCGGCAGAGGCAAACGGAGCGTCGCACTTAGTTACCACGCGATTTAAACACGTTGAAACGGACGATGGTCACGCTGTTCTCACCGGAAGAACGGTTGATTCTTTTCGGGCCTGCGAAGATGAGCCGATTCACATCCCCGGAGCAATTCAAACCTTTGGTGCGATGATGGTCCTGCGTGAGGAGTCAGAAGGAAAACTAGTAGTTCGCGTGGTCAGTGAGAACTCAGAAAGTATCCTTGGCTACTCACCCCACAGTCTCTTTGCATTGGAAAACTTTTGTGACATCCTCGATGAGGACCAGGCGGAAACTCTCTTAGATCATGTTGACTTCATCCGTGATGAGGCGTACGATCCTAGTGCCGATGGCCCCGAAGTGTTCATTATGTCCATCGCCAGCCCAGCTGGCCAAGTGGTGCGACTCTGGTGCGCCATCCATGTCAATCCCGCTAACCCGGGCCTGATCATCTGCGAGTTCGAGCTGGAGGATGATCGTATCAATCCCATCAGCGGCTCCAGTGGGCCGTCCCCCTCGGTGCCAGTTGATACCCTGGGCGTTGAATTCACTCCGGAACAGTTCGCGGAAAGCACCGTCAACATCAGCCAGCCACTTCGGTTGTTGCGGAACGCGCGCAGGCGAAAGGGCGAAGCCGCCGCAATGGAGGTTTTCAGCATTGTTAGCCAGGTTCAGGAACAGATGAATCGTGCCGAAACATTGGATTTGCTGCTTAACACCACCGTGGGGATTGTTAAAGAGCTGACGGGATTTCATCGAATCCTGATCTATCAGTTTGATAGCCAGTGTAATGGCGTTGTGGTTGCCGAGTTGGTTGATCCGAGGTTCACCGTAGATCTTTATAAGGGCTTACACTTTCCCGCCTCCGATATTCCCAAGCAAGCTCGAGATTTATATCGGATCAACCGCGTCCGCTTGCTTTATGACCGCGAGCAAGTGACAGCACGCTTGGTTTGCCGCACTGTGGAAGATCTGGAGCGACCCTTAGATATGACACACGCATACTTACGTGCAATGTCGCCCATCCATTTGAAATATTTGGCCAACATGGAAGTGCGTGCCTCAATGTCGATTAGCATCAACGGCCCCAACGAGCTGTGGGGATTGATCTCTTGCCATACCTACGACACTGGCATGAGAGTCTCGTTCCCACTCCGTAAGATGTGTCGACTGATTGGAGAAACACTGTCGCGTAACATCGAGCGTCTCTCATATGCATCGCGTCTGCAGGCGCGCAAACTGATCAACACTGTTCCAACGGACGCCAATCCGTCTGGGTATATTGTTGCTTCGTCTGACGATTTGCTTAAGCTCTTTGATGCTGATTTTGGTGCCCTATCGATCCGCGACGAGACCAAAATCTTGGGTGGGTCGACCCATCAAGAGATGTTGGCTTTACTGGAATATCTCCGAATGCGCCGGATTAACTCTGTGCTCGCGTCGCACAACATCAGGAAAGATTTCACGGACCTCAAGTACCCCCCGGGGTTCAAATGCATCTCTGGGTTGCTTTATGTTCCCCTCTCCGCTGATGGCACGGATTTCATGGCCTTTTTCCGGCGGGGTCGACTGACTGAAATCAAGTGGGGCGGCAATCCCTATGAACAGAAGGAGAAGATCGGTAGGCTCGAACCGCGACAGAGCTTTCAGATTTGGAAAGAAACCGTCCTGGATCAGTCTCGAGAATGGACGGACTCTGACGTGGAGACCGCTGCCGTTTTATGTCTGGTGTACGGCAAATTCATCAAAGTATGGCGGCAGAACGAGGAAGCCATGCAGGGCTCGCAATTGACCAAGCTTCTTCTGGCAAACTCCGCCCATGAGGTGCGGACTCCCTTAAACGCGGTCGTTAATTACCTGGAGATTGCACTAGAAGGTGCGCTGGATAAGGAAACCAGGGAAAATCTCACCAAGTCGTACTCCGCGTCGAAGTCATTGATTTACGTAATTAACGACCTACTCGACCTGACAAACACGGAAAAGGGCCAGGATCTCATTAAGGACGAGCCCTTCGACCTTGAGGCGACCTTCAAGGAAGCGACTGGCATGTTTGAGAGCGAAGTGGAACGGAAAGGGATCAACTATACCGTTTTACCACACCCTGGCATCCCTCCAACAGTTATCGGGGATCAAAGACGTGTGCGGCAGGCCATGTCTAATCTTATCTCGAACGCTATTCAGCATACATCTGGTGGTGATATTACCGTCGAACTCTGGCGCCAGCCGGGCCGTGCAGAGGATGGCTCCGCAACCGTGCAAATCGCAGTCCTTGACACGGGATCGGGCATATCTCAAGCTCGACTTGAGACCTTGTTCCAGGAGCTCGAACAGGTCTCTGCAGAGAGTGACAACCGCGGCCCGGGTGAAAATGGACAGGACAATCTACGCGAAGTCGTGGATGAGACAGAAAAGCAGGTTCTGGGATTGGGGCTGGCGACAGTCTCTCGCGTCGTTCGTAATATGCAAGGGCAACTCAGTGTTCGATCGGAGGAAGGCAAAGGAAGCCGGTTTCAGATCACGTTGAATTTCCCTCTACCGGCTGATGCCGCCGTTGCCAAAGACGAGTCCGAAATCCCTGTTCACAATGTTGTACCGACGGTCCCCTTACAGTCGAAAGAAGAGTTCGTGCTGGTTGATACTCGATCCGAGGGGCGTAGTTATGGCGGAAGTGATACCAACAGCGAGAGTGGGAAGGCCACACAGAAACCTCCCACGTCACAGCCAAGCCTAGATGAAGAATCTAAGCATCGCCCAGAGAACTGCGACGGCCCACCAACACAGGAACCTGCGCTAGTTGACCAGCCTCCAGAGACAAAGACCGAGTCCACGTCGCCGACCAAAGAGCCTCCCCCAAAACCCGATCCGTCTCCTTTACCTGATACTTTCCATGTCCTTGTCGCGGAAGACGACCCGATAAATAGCAAAATTATACAGAAACGACTGACTAAACTCGGCCACACTGTATGCCTAACCGTTAATGGCGAAGAGTGTGCCAGCGCCTACCGTGCGGACCCTGCTCAGTTCGATGCGGTCTTGATGGACATCCAGGTAGGTGCTGCTTTCGCCATGCTTTCATTGAACAGCGCTAACTAGTCTTGCGTAGATGCCAATTGTCGATGGTATAGGGTCCACTAAAATGATCCGTCAATTCGAGCAGGATACCCCGCCAGACTCACTGTCAAGACTGTCTAAATTGAACGGTCGAATACCCGTCTTCGCCGTCTCGGCTTCGCTCCTTGAGAAGGACGCAGAAAAATATATTTCTGCAGGCTTCGACGGCTGGATCATGAAGCCAATCAACTTTGAACGGTTGAACACCCTCCTTGCCGGTCTCCGCGATGACGATGTTCGCAACAGCGCCACCTATCAACCCGGTAAATGGGAGAAAGGTGGCTGGTTTCAAGGGCGCTAACAGCCCCAATCTCTATGATAGTCCAACCCTCTATGATTTATTGAACTGATGAAAAGCTGTCACTCTGGTTTCGCCGACACCTGCGATGAGCGTTGCGTTAGCATTTGATCAACGTTTTTGATGGCATGAGTATCCATTGGTTAAGGAGAATGCCTACAGTTCTATGTATTTCACATCTGCATTCATGTCATATATACCCCATCAATCGATTTAGTTCTACAGAATGAACTGGATGTTTATATTTTTATAGAGATTCTGTATTGTTCTTTGAGCAGACAATGATAGTCTTTCCAAGTGTAGATCCATGGTCATCGACAAGATATACCCTTCCACGTCCAGATATCATTCCTCGTAGCTACTAAACAGAGTGTTTAAAAGAACAGAATGACAAATCTAAACAAGGACTGCCGATTCTTAACTTAAAAAATCCCATCAAATCGAAAGCAATCTATAGATGTCAGCAAACAATGTACCAAACCCATACCGAAGCCCCCAAAATCAAATAAACCCAGCAATAACTCCCGCAACTTCCACCAACCCAGGCATCAGCTCCTCCCCATCGCACTGAATAGACATATCCAAAAACCTCCTAGCAGCCAAAAACGCCTCTCCACTCTGCCAGGAATGACACTTCCCAGGTTCAACCCTTAACCCAACCTCCACACCATCCTCTCTGGCACAGTTAACAAACCTCATAATGTCATCCACGAAAACCTCATCCGCACCAGCAGATACCCACGTCCGAGTCGGAAGAATACGCTCCCAAGACCCCCTCTCCGTAGAACGGGAGGCAAAATCCCCAAAGAGAGAGACCAATGTTGTATCAGAATGTAGAAGCTCCTTACCGGTTCGGTGGAGGAATGTCCTGGACATGAAATCCCTTTGCTCGAGGATCGGTATCAAAGGAGATGAAAGGAAGAGGTCAATCCAGGGACTTAGGAGAATCATAGACCCAGGTCGTGGATATCCTTCTCCCTTATACTTATCTTTCTTCTCCTTCTCCTTTCCCTTCTCCTTTCCCTTCTCCTCATCCTCATCCTCATCTAGAGAAAAGATGAAAGAAAAAGAATCCCCCTTATAAAGAGCAAGACCAACCAAAAACGACAAAGCAAGATGACCCCCCGCAGACTCACCCATCAAACAAAGCTTCTCAGCCCTAACCCCCACCTCCTCAACAAGATACTCATAAGCCCAAAAACACTCCCATACCTGTCTCGGAAACACCCCATTGCTTACCAACGTATAATCCAATGTGAAAATACAAACTCTAATCCCCTTCTTCTCCAATACCTCAGCGAGGAATAATAATCCGGGGAGTGTATCCCCCGGATGACCAAGTGCATACCCGCTTCCGCGGAGGTGGTAGATAACTAGGTCTGCTTGTTTGGGGTCCATTGGTGTTGTTGTTGTTGTTGTTGTTGTTGTTGTTGTTGTTGTTGTTGTTGTTGTTGTTGTTGTTGTTGTTGTTGTTGTTGTTGTTGTTGGTGGGAGAAGGCCACGACATACCCAGTATCCTGTGAAATTGGGTCTTTGGATCTTGTGGAAGAGGTGGGTTTTAAGTGGGCTGTAGCGGGTTGAGAGGAGGGTTTTGGATCCTGTTTTGTTGGGGAGGGTGTTGTGGATTGCTGGGGGGATTTGGTCGAATGATCTTTTTTATTGTTGAGGTTGTTAGTTTAGGTCTTGAGTGTGGGTTATGGTGAGGGGGAAGGTGGTATGTAGGGAAGGGGCAGGGTATGTTTACTCTCGTATAAAAGACCGAGTAAGGTCTTTCAATAATGGTGGACGGTCTGGTGTGCCTGTGAGATGGTATAGCGTTGTTTTGAAGATAGTCCACGGGACGCGGATGAGGAGGAATGTTGTTAGGGCTATTATGTCCTGGATACTGATTTTGGGTGGTGGATTGGGGTCTTGGGTGGTCATTTTCTTTCGTGTTGGTTTGTGATTCTTTCATTTTGGAACAGGCTTGGATGGCGTATATAGCGGTAGATCTACTATCTGAATAAGACACGGGATGTGGACCGTTAACGGCTCGGGATCCATTGTTTCCGATGCTCGGGATGTTATGATACATGGTATCGACTCGGGTTTGTTTCAGGTGGTTTATCCGAGACGGGGGAAGGATGGGTGTCGATCATGGGTACACGTCTTGTGTGCTGATCTGCGATGTTAGGTTGAGACCTTTTACGGTTTTGTTTATACTGTGAGTGTGAAGAAGAACAGGAGAGATAGAAACGAAGCATGTGAGAAGTGGCGCAAGAAGCAATAGTATCTAAATTCTATATAAAAATTCGGGTGTGTGAGACCGGGTAAGTAGCTTCTCAGATATCGTCATTCTCACCAGGCCGAGTTAAAGAAACCCACGAATCCGCCTTTCTGGCCTCTTTCTCCCGGGGCATGAACCAATAAGGATGGAAGATGTTAAACACAACAACAGCAAGCACCATCGGGATTCCATCAAGACCAATGAAGAACCACTCCCGTGTGATCAGATATCCCGACCAGCCTTCCAACAGTTCGATCGTACGGTAGATGCTTCGCACGTAGATGCAGACCACGGAGAACGTCGTCGCCAACACCAACAGGCGCATGTGCGAGGTGAACCGGGCACGAAGTTGAGGTCGACGACATCGAACAAGAAAGTCGATACCGCAGAAGGCGAATGCTGTGATGGCGGCCATCTGGAATACAATACCAGCCACCATTGTATTGGTCCCCGGGGTAGTGTCCCCGTCCACTTCGCCTGCTGCGGAAGAGGCCATTCCACCACCCACTGCCTGTACGACCAGCGAGATGATATCACATGTGCAAAATATCCAGAGATACCAGCTGGGGCGAAGAATAGAACTTTCCGGACCGAGAAGAGAGATGAGTTGGCCAAGAAGGACGTATATACCGGCGGTGAAGAACGTTGGGCCTAGAAATAAGAGCGTTTATCAGACAGTGTCGGTAGGGGATATATTGTGCACAGGGCATACCGATAATCAGTGTTGATATTTGCATCAAGAAGGCGTCCGTTTGATACGGACACTCTGCTGACCACGTCCGTGCTGCCCATCCTAAAACCTCCGCTGCAATAAGTCAGTGCATAATCTCTGTCAACCGTTTCGACCTCAGACATACTCAAGCATCCTATGGCAAATAGTAAGCACCACCACTTCCTAGACCAAAACGATTGTGCTGTGTGAGCCACCATGGATGTTCCAAACAGCACACAGAAGGCGATGCCTGCTGCTAGTGAGGGCTGGTACCCGTATGCCGGGTTGACACCCTCTACCATGGCATGGCAGCCTTTGTGCAGATAATCCTCGATCATTGGCAGCTAAATGTTAGTCAACACAGTGTTACTGGTTTCAGTGAGCAGACAGAACACCGGATTGCGCCTCCTCGTGAAGGGAAGAATGGTATAAATATGCATAGACAACGAAAGTGGGCCGCAGAAAGACCGAATATTTCAGAGTTTGACGATGAACTAGCCAGCATAGCCCTTTCCATGTTTAAATAGGCACCAAAGTGATCGAACTGGGTCTATAGTATGCCGGTATTCGACAGGTTTGTAGAGTGTGGACCGACCACCGAGCTCCGAGGCGGTCTTGGCATGATGAGGTCCGAAAGCCGATTTTGGAACATCGCAGGCAACACAGACCAACATGAATGAAAAGTCGAACGAGACTGCAATTTCTTGGCGATGGCGATGGGCCTTAAAAAACTCTTGCAGAATGGTGGTTTTTCAGAACAACCATGATACAACGTTTTGTACATGTACTTCTGGACATTACGGTATACCGCCCACACCGTCTTCAAGCCCGACCTTCTCACCACCCACCCTCCAGCAAGCGATCCGCAGGTCAAAATTTTGGTCCCTTTGTACCAATCAAGACGGCACGTCAACAAGTGCGTAGCCTTTCTGTGCTACCCTCGCCATCCGTGTTACCCGCGCACCGAAAGATCGGGCCCTTGAAAAGGACATATGTCTTCATTGTGGTAGATCCACAGTGACAGGAACCGATGAGCAAAAGCGCTCTATTGTCTTCGTAAGCGTTTTATTCAATACAGTCACTGGGACCAGCTTGTGTGTTCTGCCAAGCATTAGTGCCCCTTGTTTTGATGTTTCGGAAAAAGCGATGAATAAATACACTGAAGCCAGAATAATGAATGTCAGTCCAATAGGCTCAGAAAGGTAGGTTCTGGTCGAACGGGATGCTAGTTCCGAAAAGGTCCGTTACATCGAACCCAGTCAGAGAGCCATCCCCAGCATCCATGTCGTCAATAGCAGGAAAAAATAACGGTAGAGTGTCTGGGCTGGCCAAGGGCGGTCGGTGGTCATGCGTCTGAGAGCCAAAGTAAGTAGGCGCTAGATTGAATCTCATGTCAGAACACTTACCTCATTTCCCAAGAAAGGCGCGGCTGAGGACAGGCTATCCTCTTTCATACGCGGCGGATCAATAGCCGCATTAGTCGGCACTGCGATGGTACTTGCATCATTTCCTTCCAAGGGATACGTGCGGACGAAATTCCGGGCAATATACGCAAACTCAGCAAGCACAGAGCTAGGTAATGAGCCGCCAGTGGCATACTCTAGCCTACTAAAGTGGCCTCCAGCTACTTCCAGCAGAGCAAGGTTGCTAGCCGTTTCTGGGTGCGTCGGGTTGTGAATAACGAGGTCGAAGAGAATAAACAGCGCCGATAAGGGTAAGTGAGCAAGGATGCTGCATACTAAGTCAGTTGGATTCCTCGTTAAAGGGGTAGGGAGTCATACTAAACTGGCGTGTAAGCCTCCATGTCAATATGTCGCAGTAACTCAATAATTGACCGTGCCGCTTGCATAATAGCCTTTCTGGCGGCTACCTGTCGAGGGCCATCGGAATGTCGTCCCAAGTGCAAGGTCAAGCGGCAAAGCGCGATACACGCATTATGGTAGTAAAAATGAGTCTGCAGAGCAATGAACGTCTCACAGGAGCCGTGCAATGATTGTGCCCGGAATGGCTCCGCGGGCCGAAAAATCATCGGTATTGACTGCCGCCACCGTTCGAGCAGGCTCTTCATAGTGTCTATTTTCCGGTAGTAAGATACCTCTGTATTCCACGTTGCGCTAATTGAAAACAGAGACTCATATGCTCTTGATAAAAAGCGAGCAAGACCAGCGGATGCAGTCAACCAATTATAGTCACCAAACACAGATTCCGGAATAGTAGGAACGGGGCATCCTATGTCGGAGTCCATGATCACCTAAAGTACAAATGGTAAGAAGGAATGCGGACCAATGTTTTATTGTGCTTACCGAGGTATTGCCGTGATGAAAAGAAAGCGTTTTCTCCAAGAAGTAGATCACCCAGAAAGTTCGATATCGAATATGTTGGTCTGCTGTATCTGATGCTGCGTTCAATCTCAGGCGCTGTGCTACACAGGCAGCTTGCTTGATAAAAAGAGAGTCAAGGTGCATGTAAGAAAAATTGAGCGCAAAGATTGCCTAGATTTATCAGTTCTGCATCATATAACGTGTGAATGATACATACCATTGCGGTGATGGCCTGTAATATCATTAGCTAACCGCTCATCCAAGACTTTGTAAGCTACACTACCTGTACTCCACCCAGGCATTCGGCTCCGACAAATATATCGGACGCAAATCCCAGAGCTACCTGGTAGAATTGCCAGCTTTTCCCTTTCCCAGGTTCGAAGGCACCGCCATCATGGTACTGGCAACCTAAAGCCAGGATAGTATGATACAATGCAGACCAGTGGATATCCTTTTTAAGATCCGCAGCTAGATTGATGTTCGATATTCTTTGTTCAAATTTTGATCGATCAAGAAATGGGTAGACTGGATGAAGCTGGCTAAAATATGCTACCAATAGTCAGAAATCATACCACAGCATCGGATTGAAACCTGTCTCATACAGTTAACATAAAGCTTCATCGTGGCTTCCTCCACTTCAGGTAAGCTTTCGGGTTTCTGCCATAGCTTGTCGGTAGCCGGTTGTTCATGGTGGCGTTCATAGCGATCATGCACAACGGCGGAAATTCGATTCAGCAGAGATTCAACTCCGGTGTGACCCAAGCGATTAGTGAGTGCCCGTATGCGACTTTCAGAGAAGTACCCAATACTTGCGCTTCCGACTTGACAAAGAAACTGTTAGCAGTTCAAATCTTGTGATACATAGCATGGACAGTTCAAAAACCACAGGAAGAGCGAAAAAGAAAAGATGGATGAATGAGCATACTGTAGCTATCGTGATGCTATGGACCCAGGTTAGATGACAAGCTATGTTTTCCCACTACTTAAAGAATCTCATACCGTGACAATTGTCTCCAGATAGCGAGTCCTCCCGGGAACGCGATGGTCTTCGATGAGCTGATCCACGTAGAGAGGTAATGGATCGGAAGAATCCTGTGCTAGAATGGACTGAGTAGACGTGGATAGTTCACGCGCTTGTGGCTTAGATTGATACTCAGGTGAGCCAATATCATTCACGTCGCGAAAGGGAGCAACGCTAGGGGAGGAAAGATTGGCTGCTTCCCGAAACTTTCTTCTGTATGCTTGAAATACACATTTATCACCCCGTTTCTATTTGCGGTACATCAGCGCATTGTACCTACTGTAGCATCGGAGGTTACTTACCTCGCAGTTGTGGCATTTTGCATCGGGACCGCCATCTTTTGGTTCTATTGGATCCTAAGCGTTAGCAAAGAGGCCTACCCGTGTTGTTAGGTCTTACTTAGGCAGCGAACTTTGCGTGACCTGCACTGATTGCAGGTCGATGACAACCTCTGGCGTAGCATCTCAGAGTGAAGTCATACTTGTACCTGTGGTGTTGATAAATTGACTTCCTTCTGGAAAGCAATGGAGGTTGTATTTGCTTAGTCATTCCAGTCTTATGCGGATTAGTCATTCGCTACATAACTGTCTTGCATGCTTCACAATTTGTGCATTGTTTATATTTGACACAAGAATGTGTATTCAATATCCTAGGAAAGGAGGAAGATAATTAACTACTTAGACAAACCCTAATTCAATTAGCCATATGAAAGTTTCCGTATTCTTGGTACAGACCAGATTTATCATAGGATTTAATGATTTGAAATACAATCTGATCTCCGTATAGACTTGAATATATATATCTCTAGGGACCTTATCGGTGTATACTCCTCGTACAAAGCTAAACAATCTTTAGTGAAGTACACATGAGACATGCATCACCCGAGGAAACCCCAATACAGTAGGATAATTTATTGTAGAGGGCTAAATGTTAACTGAGGGCAGACGATAACCCAATAACCGTAGTGACTTGCCGGAGCGATGTCCATTTGCCGATCATCTCGGCTAAGTGTCAAGCGGCAAAATGGCTTATCACTTCCACGCTCCACTCTTGGTCAATATACTATCAGCAATGGATTCCCCGGCTGCTATCCGACGCAGGAGACGTCGTCGCGTAGCGGAGGAGAACCGCAAGAGGTCCTTCAGAGCGTACGTATCCCAATAATTACCATTTTGGCTCCCCTGGACATGGCTCAAGCTCATATAATTTAGATGCGACCGCTGTAAGGCAAGAAAAAGCAAGTGTATTGAATCAAATCCTGGCAGATGCCAGCGGTGCTCCGTTAATAACCTGATCTGCAATTTTCAACGGTAGGTGCGCGCTGTATAAGGCAATCAGACCCAGAGGAAATGGAGAAACGTAAAGACCGAATCCAGATTCTCACTTAAGATAGACCGAAATCGCCTCCGCTTCGGGGAGACGGCTCGACAGGTTTGAATGAAGATGCAACATTAGCCACACCAACGAACACTGGGAAGACCACCGCGCAGGGCGCCTCGTATACTCATAGGTCACTACCCACAGCGCCAGTTTTGTCTCCACGACTTGCTAGTAATGTTCTTGCCGGAGAGGCTGTTGGGGGCTCATGGCCCAAAGTACTCTCCCGGCTCCGAGAGGCGTTCTGCTTGGACCCGCAAGGAGGCCTGGAAGAACAACGCATGGCTGTAGGTCAGGCTGTAAGTCGAGTCGATTGGTAGTATATAAGGTGCCGGAGACTCACTGTTTGCAGCAGATGAGCCATCCTACAGCGCTCCATCATGCGGAGCTGGATCGTCTAGAATCGGCTGTGCATGCCTTCCCTCCGTACCCAATTGCCTCCTTTCTGCTGTCAGTCCTCATTAAACATGCTACCGACACATTCTTTTATGTTGATCAGGCCGAATTCGCGTCGGAAATCCATCAATTCTATACTGACCCGACCTCGCCGTTGCGGTCAGACTCTAGTTTTGTCTGTCTCGCGATGGCAGCCTTCGCGCTGGCAAGCCAATGGACGACATTAGAGAAGCCCGAGGGGCACCAGACAAGTGTCGGTCTGGAAAGGAGTGATCTGGGTAGAGTATTCTTCGATCATGCTCGAACATTGATACCCGACATTATCGAGCGACCGTGCCTACGGTCTGTCCAAGCACCCTTTGTCTTGGGGGTATACCTGATGCCTGCGAGTGCAATTGGGTCATCATACGTCTACCTTGGGTTGGCTTTACGGAAAGCATTGGCACTGGATCTCCATCAAGATGTAGACGACCAAAAAATGAATGAACGCGAAATTGAGGTCCGCCGTCGTCTATGGTGGTCACTTTACTCACTGGAGCGGTTGGTACCCTTCGTTGTAGCAATCATCACAGTTCATCTAATTGCACTGCAGATGTACTACAGTCAAATTAAACCGACCGCGCTCTATCAGCACCGCCGCTATCACGACGCCTATCCCATCATTACTTCCAGCGCTAGATCACTCCCAGAAATTCGATAACCTCAGTTTTCAGCTCGCTTATATGCGGCTGGTCAAAATCCTAGACCATGTTTCCGATCCTGAGTAGGTCAGAACTTTCTTCTACCAAGGGTAACCATGTGCTGATTCGCACAGGCTGGGTAGCACCGGCGACGAACATGCCCTCCAAGCAAGATATGAATCGGACCTCAAAGAATGGAAAAGGTCCCTACCTCCAGAGTTCAAGCTTCAGGACACGGACCCCCAAGACTCGAGATATCGCGCTGTATTCCACCTCTACCTTCATTACTACTATGCATGGATCACCATAGGAAAAGCATCTCTCGTATCAGTTGTTCGAGCAAAACTTCGCTCCTGTGCCACCGGGTCCCAGGCTCCCCAGATCAGCAATGTGACCAGAAACCTATCGAGGTCCTGTGCCAAGGCAGCCCGAAAACTTCTTGGACTATTCGAAACAATGAGTATGTCACATAAGATCACCCGATTCTCCTTTACCGACTTTCAAGGCTGCAGCATCGCAACAATCGTCACCTTACTTGATGGGATCACCCAACGTGATTCAGGGTACGAGGCACGGGTGGCGTTTGGTCTGGAGCATCTCCGACAGATGGCCATCGGGAACGCGACGGCCAAAATGGGCGTCCGGTTTGTTGAAGCAATTCAGTTGATTACCAACGAAGCACGGGAGAAAGTTAGCCGGTCAGCATGTGCAGCTGAGAGAACATCCCAGGGTAACAGTCGCGTATCTTCGACATCTGAATATTCCCAATGGGCCTTATGGCTCATGCAACAGGAACAGGCCCAAGGATTCAGTGAAAGGACGTCTTCGTTATCTGTGGTGCCTGAATCTATGACACCACTCTCGCCAGTCGGGCAGTGGCCATCGACACACCATGCCACAGGTCTGAGGCTGACATGGCCTGCTCCAGAGCGGCAGATGTTCTCTCCAACCTTATTTTCGATACAGAATCTCACGCAGGAGTCAGACACATATCCAGAGGCACAGGGTGCTGACTATGAACTCCTTCCTACGCTTCAACATGACGAGCAAGCATTTTTGATGGAGCTAACAGGCCTTGGAGTTCTGGATGTTTCTGGATTGTCGAACCCGCTTGAATGATTTTTAAAAGGCAAGTCCTGGGATAATCATAGCTACTGCAGTCCCTTTCTTCAGATCGCCATAAAGAACAGTGTTAATGTAATAGTCGACTAAAGTAGTATATTGACGTTATGCACGCTGGTATTTCCTCATAGCTCATTCATATATGTACAATTTAGATCCTTATTCGTCGTCTCTAAGACCTCTCCTCTTTAATCCAGCTATACCCTCACCGGAGTTGCGCCGTCCTCGGGGAGCGCCGCCCATCGGCTCTTATAAACACGCCCCGCTTTCATAACAGCTAGAACATGCTCGTCGGGCTGATCAAAGATGGTTACATTCTCTAAGGGGTTCTTGCTTAATACGAGCAAATCTGCCTCAAAGCCCTCTTTGATTTGGCCGAGACTGTCGCCGCAGCTCATCATCCTCGCCGGGTTGACAGTCGCACTACGCAGAACCTCAAGAGGCGAGAGTACCTGCGAACGCAGTTGGAACTCTTGCGTTTGAGCAGCACCCAGCGGGCCCAGGAGATCCGAGCCATAACACATTGTGACGCCGGCCTCTGATGCGATCTTGAGGGCCCCCAAGCCAGACTTGAGCACCTGAGAATTTTTAGTCTGAGATTCCGGAGACAGGTAGCCCTTCCAACGATCACTGGCCATCTGAGCATAGGTGATGAGCGTGGGAGTCAAGTAGACGCCTTTTTCCGCCATCAGTTGAGCCGTCGGTTCATCGACAAAGTTCCCATGCTCGATGCCCCGGACACCGTTATCAATGCAATGCCGGATTGCCTTGACCGTGTATGCATGGGCTGTGACAAAGGTGCCCGCATTCGCTGCGCACTCCACCATCGCCTGGATCTCGGCATCGGTGAATTGGAGGTGCTCCAGCTTATCGGTGGGAGATGCAACGCCGCCCGAGCCCATGATCTTGATGAAATCTGCGCCGCAGCGGATCTCCTCGCGAACAGCCGCCATACACTCGGGGACGCCGTTACACATGCGTCCGAGCGAGTTTTGGTTGTGGACTCCGCCACAGCATTGACCGTGTTCATGCGAATTTCGTAAATCGCCGTGTCCCCCAAATTGCGACAGGGCATGGCCAGATAGGAAGATACGGGGACCGGGAAAGACACCATCTTCGATGGCCTCCCTCAAGGCGAGTTGGGCTCCACCACAATCGCGAATGCTAGTAAAGCCTCGATGCAGCATCTGAGCGGCCGTATAAGGCTGGCGCAGCAGGTGCACATCGTTGGGATTCCCAAAGGCTTTGCTCAGGTCGGTGAATCCTGGGACAGCGCACAAATGAACGTGAGCATCAAATAATCCCGGGCAGATATAGCGACCCTGACAGTCAATTACAGGTAGATCGGTCGGTGGATTCTCTCCTTGTGAGATTGACTGAATCTTGCCTTGGCTGATCACCAAAGATGAGTTTTCCAGGATTGTGCCGGCGTCAACGTCGACAATATTGGCGTTAGTAAAGACATAGCTCTGCGGTGTTGGCTGCAACCAAGGCTTGATGTCAGTCCCTGGAACTTGGGTGTTTTGGGTCATGTTTGCGATCTTCTTCGTGGAGGCAGGAAATGATGCGGGGAAAGGGATGTAGGAAGGAATGTCGCACGTAGGACTAATGTTATAAGAGACACCCTCACCAGTCGAAGCTTATATGCAAGACCCCCACTAATGTCGTATAACTACCCCTCTTAAGATACAAGGTCAGAGTGGTTGTCGGGATCCTGGCCTGACCGGGGCCAGATTGCCGACGCGCATCCCGACGGGCCAATGTGGATCTTCAGTTGATGGTGTTTTTCGGATATCTGCCCTGGTGGATTGCGTCGGATGGCTGGACGCCAGCTATCATGTGTTCTTATCTTACCCCACAAATGATAAGGCATTTATTGTGGATCTGGGGAAATGATTCATGCATTTCTGCACGCTCCTTGCTTGAGCGCAGCATATAATAATGGCCTGGCCGACTCCACTATCGCTCGGTTGTCCATCCCTCTCAACCCTAAGACAGCACCAGCGGTAGTATCGACCCCTTGGCTCGGTGCTCATTCTTCCACTCATGGATATCCCGAAATCCCCTTGTGCGGACATTAAAGATGAGGAACGACGAGTCGGCGAGTTAGTTCATCTAACGGCACCCTACAGCGCTGAGGAGGAAAAAGCAGTGGTGCGGAAAATTGACATGATCATTCTACCTTTTGTAAGGAGCCCATCCCCGTCCACTCCCATTGCTCGTGGGTTCAATAACCAACGATTCTGGACTTTAAGCTCTGCTTCGTCTTTTTCCTACAGTACTTAGACAAACAAAGTCTCAGCTATGCTGGTGTATTCGGCCTGATGGAAGACCTGAATTTGACGAGTTCGCAATATTCCTGGTGCAGCTCTATCTTCTATGTGGGCCAGCTTGTTTCCGAATATCCCTTCATTTACCTGATGAGTCGACTCCCTCTGACAAAATTCGTTGGTGTTACGGTGTATGTTGTGCTCCACTAGCTTAGTTGGCCTTGACGTTTTGCTGACTATAGTAGGATTGTTTGGGGTGGTGTGTGTATGTGTCTGGCTGCACCGAAGACCTACAGCGGATTTGCCGCCGTTCGATTTCTTCTCGGCTTCAGTGAAGGCGCAGTCTCGCCAGCCTTTGTCACGATTACGTCTATTTGGTACCGTCAAAAGGAGCATACGATTCGCACTGCCCTCTGGATCTCCATGAATGGCCTGGCCCAAGTCATCGGCTGCCTGTTGATGTACGGCATAGGCAAAAACACAGCTCTAGCCATCGCACCCTGGCGCGTTCTGTTTTTAATCTGTGGGGCCATGACACTGGCTGCCGGAGTTTGCTTCCTGGTGCTTATGCCAAGTGGACCCAAAGACGCATGGTTCCTCAACGCCCGCGAAAAGGAGGTTTTACGGCAACGCATGGCGCAAGACCATGAAGGTGGCGATAAGACGTTTTTCTCCCTACCGCAACTCAAAGAGACTCTCATGGACCCCAAGGCATGGCTGGTCTTCTGGTTCGGAGTGCTTGTAACGATGCAGTCTCCCGTACTCACCTTTGCATCCCTCGTCATCGAGTCCCTTGGCTACAGCAAGCTGGACACAATGTTGTACACAGCGCCCTCTGGGGCCGTCCAAATGGCCTTATTATGGATTGGAGTCGCGCTTGCCACTATCCTCCCTCGTCAGCGGACACTAGTTGCGCTGATGCTCATTATCCCACCCCTTGTCGGCACTGTCTTTTTGTTCAAGCTCGACTTGACTGCCGAATGGGGTATGATTGCCATGTCTTGGTTGGTGAGTTAGCCCTTAATTTTCTTAGCCGGGAACATAAGCTTCGTGCTAACCCTATCATCGACAGGCCTCATGTATAACGGCCTCCATGTCCATCCTTCTCTCCCTCTCTGCTTCTAATGTTAAGGGTAACACAAAACGTGCCATCGTCAATACGATGTTCTTCATTGGCTATTGCGCCGGATGTATTGGGTCTCCACAGTTATGGACGAAGAGACCTCGCTATACCGAGGGCGTCATCACATCTATTGTTACGTGGTGCCTCCTGTTCGCTGCGGTGATTATCTACCGCTTGCTGTGCATGCAGGATAACAAGCAACGCGAAGCGAAGACCGGTGCTGATGCCGACATGAGCGGAGGAGATATGCTAGAAGAAGATGGGCTACAGGCAGCCGATCTGACGGATAAGAACGATCCATCATTTCGATATGCGCTATAAACTAGGGACTTATTTATTTAGTATGTTATGTAATTAGACATGAAGAAACGAGGT